AGAATTTGCCTATCTAAGCAGGTTTTTCCGGATTTTTGGTTACAGAAATCCCGATTCTCGTCAACCTCCCCCTTTACAAATGATTTTTATTCATTGGGGTGTCCGAATTGATTATTATTACCAAAAAAAAAACCATTTTTAACCGGCGTTTATGCCGACTAGAGCTAAGTTTTTCATAATGAGCGACTGCTCAGCTCATTTAGCTCAGCATATTTGCAACTGTGCTAAAAACTTACACGATTATTAACATAGAATTTGTTTCTATTATAACGAATTCGCATCGCTACGAATGGAAAAACCGCAGGCATCATTCGATAATTTAAACAATCCTCTTTTTATGAATATTGGTGGACTTTTTATCACTGGTTCAGTCGTAGTCCAAAATAAGGGACATCAAGATAAGGGTCTTTTTGGCTCAAAACGCCGAAATCAGCGGCAAAAAAAATCCAATTTAAGGGATTTTCTTAGATAAGTTAGTTTTTTCGGTTAGCTAAGAGCCAATAAATGGTATCAATAACCTTTATTTCAACCTGTTTTGCCACAAACTGAAGTGATATGTCTTTCAGAATATAGTTTCCTCTTTCAAAAATGTTATAAAAGCCACCCAAGTAATGACTTCAGCATATTTTGCCGCGAAAAATAAACTTTGAAAAAATCTGGCAGCGACATATTTTTTGAACAATTTTGGAGCAAAAAAGTCCCTTATTTGGGACTCCGATTTAAGAAGAAAGAACAACGGGGCGGGGCAGGGCTGTTGACCATGATTCGAAGCACCAATGCTGACCCGAGCGCTGGAACTAAATTTGCAAAAATCAAGTTTTTAAAAAAGGATCATTTATTTCTGAGTATTTTGGTAATGAGTTACCACAAATTTTCGGTGATGAGTTTGATCGTTCCCGTTCAAATTTATTCTTACGTGAACTTTTGGAATAAGGGTGCCCTCAAAGTTCAAAACCGGATAGATTCCAGAAAAAAAAACCGTTTTATTACAGTAATCAGGGCTCTTAATTCGCAGTGCGAATTCGTTTTTTTGCGAAGCGATGCAAAACGAAGCGAATTCGCTGTTTTTTGCAATTTTCAATGATATTACGCTTCGTACATTGGCCAAGAATTCGCTTCGCTTTCGCTTCGCAAAAAATTTAAAAAATGGTTCGTTTTCGGTTCGCTTTCGCACTAGGATTTCAGCTGATATTAAACCCCTGCAGTCAAACACAGCTTCAATCATTATCTTTTAAAGCCTGTTAGGTTCAGTCAAAAATTAAAGTGGTTGAAGAAGAGTTTACAAAATAGACTTTGTTATTTTAACGTTTTTACGCTCACAATATTTAAGCATCATTTTAAATCAATTAGCATAATTATAAAAAAGTTGATTAATCATTTCTCAGTTATGCTGAGTTTTGTAGATATCATGAAGTTCGTTCTTACTCGCTTTTTGGTGTTGCTTCTTATCTTAATTATTGTTGTCTTTCCGAAGCTATGATTCTGTTATGAAGAGTAGGTTCCTTAAACAAGCAGAGTTCCAGATCTAGCGCGATGAGTCTTTAAGCAGTTTTTCAACCTTTTACCGACTATCTTGTTGTTCATTCTCTGTCAAAATGACTTTATTCTCATTAAGAGATGACTTTTGAGCACAAATTCTACAGACAATCAAAATAAAGCCAAAAAATCTAATAATTTGACCAAACCAACTGTAATGCGAAAATCAAACGAGTAAGATATCAAAAAGCAGATCGTGATTAAGCTTAAAAGAACGATGATCACGAAACCGCGGAAAGAAAGGATAATAAAGTAAGCCAACAACACCATAAAAATAACTAATTTAAAATAAGCCAAAGCTTCCTTGTCCGGTCCTCCAAAGCCAAAGTTGTGTTTTTTATTGAATGCCATCCGTTCGGGCCGAGAGTGCATGAATAAACGTCTTTGCCATTGTGAAGCTTGCCAAACGGGGCACAACGGACTTATTCGCAGCAAGAAAAAACTCAAAGTGATCCTGAAAATAAGGCCGATCTTGCTCGTCGAGAATGCCGAAAACAAAGAGAAAATTGTGAGCGACTTCACCAAATTTTAAGCAGATGCCGGGGATTCGCATGCCATCCGGGATGAATATCTTGCAGATCCCAGTAGCAGCCGCTGCAGACGCCGACGAAGGACCAGCAACGAGCATCTTGTACGTTTTCTGAATATTTACAGCAACGTGAATATCTACAGGGTGAGAAAAAGAAGGACTGACAACAGAAAATACTAGACATAATTGAAAAAGTCTTATTGCGATTTTTTGTGCTGTTTTATGCGAAAATCGCTCTTTGATAATAACACGAAAAATTAATTATTATCATCAAACTCCTCATTTTTATTACCTACGATACAAAAATGGCTTAGAGTTATATCTTTAAAATCTCATTTTGATTGAAAGCATCACAGCCCGTACCACGGCAATATTGAATTAATCAACAGATGTTCTTACGCGTTTATGATTAACACGTGTTTTTTTATAACAGTTGGTTTCCTAATTTCCGGACTAATTTTGTCTCCTGGTTAAAAATGTCCGGAAATTAGGGTCACAGGTAAATATTGTATGTCCCACCAAGTACAGTGAAACCCCAACTTTTTGGATGACAGCTTATTTGAAAACTGGCCTTAAGTTGGGTGATTCTCCAACTAAGTTGGATGACGCTAAAATTTTTCTATTTCCGGAGTAAGGGAATGAATCATGGGAATCAAAAATGAAAGGCGGAGGGTCTTATCAGAAATTTCTCGCACGAACCGAGTATAAGTTGTAAAAATTCTAGAAAATATCCAATAATTTAAATAAGTTCATCATCAACCATGTGATGACTTGGTCTTCTGTAATTTCAAGAAGACGGTCGAGCTGCAACTCCGATGGAGGTTGACGTAGTACCACAAGTTCAAGTGAGAGAAGATGCCGACGCTGAAAAGCCATCGACTTCAAAATCGCCAAAGAAGCAGCCGAAGATAACGAGTTTTTGTCACGAAATTTGTTACATTAAGGGGGTCCCCAACGATTTTTCTGAAATTGGCCATTTTCGACCGGCGCTCACGGCGACACGGACATATATTTTTCAAAAATTTTTTCTCCTTTATCAAACCTTGATCTAATAAAACGTGTCTCAATTTTTTTAAAATCGAACCACATCTGGCGCTACGGCGCCGAGAAGGAAAGAGTCTCGCGAAAAATCGCGTTTTTTCGACACTTTTTCACCTGAGATTACTCCAAAATTTTGGGTTAGAAAAATTTTTTCCTCCTGTTCCGAAAGTTCTAACACTTATTTAGTGAAGCGTCTCTCAGTTTTTTTAATTTCCAAAAAATGATTTTGTAACAAAGACGATCAAAAAAATGTTCGATTTTGGAAATTTCAACCCTGTGAATTGCCTTCAAGGCATCACCTAAACACTTATTTTCGGACAAAAATAGAAAGATAAGCCCATAGACTTCCTAAAAATGTGTCATAACTTATGACTTAGAGACCCTTAGACAACTGCAAACAAGAGTTTATTTTTTGATTTTTATGCAGACTCGTCAAAATTGGCTACTTCAGCGTCAATTTTAGACATTTTTTTCTACAACAATCGAAAAAAGCTAGAGACCTTTTTTGCAGCTTTTTGCATGAGAAGTTCAAATCTGAAGAGAAAATATTCTAATTCGGAAAATCGAAAAATCGTGAGGGACCCCCTTAAAGGCCATCTAGAGACAAAAATTCGCAATTTTACAGACATTTTAACGTTTTATTCGTAAAGGAGTTGATGATTTGTTTCGAAGAAATTTGTTGTTAACGTAAAAATAGCCAAAGATTCTAAGTTTTTTTGAATTTTTAACTATCTCAAAAATTGAAGTAAATCGTAATGCAACAACTATCGCGAGCTCAGAAAGTGTGCTCGCGCTCGAGATACGGTTAAAAAGTGAATCTGCGATTTACTCACTGTGAATAAAAATTGAAAAAAAAGTGGCCTTAAGTTGGATTTTTTTCCGATGACAGATTTCGGGGATTCTTCAAAAAAGTGGCCTTAAGGGATCCGCACTAGAATTTCTGGCCGCAGATTGGTGCTAGAGAGCAATTTGAATCTAAAAAAGGGTATAATGGCTTCAAAAAGTTGTTCATAAGAAATTTTTCCTGTTACTTTATCAATCACACTAATCATGCATGCAAATGTAGCCAAGGGTCTAAACTTCAGAAAAATGAAGTAATATTAGGAATGCATGAGGCCAGAAAAATTTAGATTCGACTTGAAAATGGCCGAAAATGGCCGTTTTTGGCAACCTAAGTTACTTTGACGGCTTCGTACGCATAAGTGAATCTTTTAACTAGGGGATTATCGTGCATGCGTTTGCTCGTCAAGAAACGGGCTTCAATTTGAGCAAATATACAGCCCAACACGCAAGACGAGTAAAAAAATATAGGGGTCAAAGTTGAGAAAATCGGGGGGTGATCCCTTAAGTTGCTCGGCCTTAAGTTGGGGTTTCACTGTATTCTTAAAAAAGTCTTGGTACAGGCTCAATACAAAAAGATTATGAAAGAAAAGCCACTGAATGACCCTAAGTTTTACTCCTTTTCTTCAACCTCGCGAATAAGCTCAGATTGCGCCCAAAAAGAAATTAATTTATTCGTAGATTGATTCTTCTTTTAGAGAAATTGATCGCTTGTCAATAAAATTTTGAAAAAAAAACTCCGGAAATTCGGACAATTGTCGATTTTGTAGTGTCCCACTTAGTTGCCTTAAAATCTGAAAATTTTCGGAAATTTGGATTCCGGAAAGTTGGAAACCAAGTGTATATATCGCCGTGCGGCTCTAAAATCTTTCCGTATCGACGTAAACGTAACAGTCTTTGAGGCACCTCTTTTTCTTGAACAAATCTTAGTTAGAAGATTTTACTGAGAAGCAAGAATTCTTAAGTCTCTCTTAGCAAAAAGTTTGTCTGCAATATTATCATCAAAGAAATCACGAGGACATTATTATGTTTTATTCTTTGAAAGATAGTATGATTATGCGCGTTTTCTAGCGATAAAAAATCCCCATTTTTGATCCCCGTTCGTGCATCTGATCACTTTATCGCTCCATCCGCCATTGATCGCATCGTACTCCTTTTCACTAAATTCCTAAGCGGCTTTAGCAATAATGAAATCAAGGAAGAGTACCTTGATGAAGTCATCTTTCGTTTTGGCGAAAGTTTCGAGTTCTCCTTTGAGGATGTCGATGAAGCCGGAAGTGTAGTCAATATCGCGGACGTCGACAAATCCTGCTCGTCCAATGGTTTTACCGTATTCTTTTACTGTCAGAAGATTGTAGCCTCGCTGCTCGACATACGCCCTAAAATCCAAATTTAGTTCAGATATTCTTTCACGAATTTTTTTGCATTTAATTTAAGCTTGAAAGTGTTATTATCAAAAATCGACTATAACTAGAAAAATGTTTTTGATATAAACTGAAATCACAAGTTAAGGACCCCCGTCAGCTTTTTTTGAAAAATCAAATTTCGGAATTTTAAAATTTTGACCCCGGAAATAGATTCTACGGGTCAAAAAACGATTTTAGGGCTACATTTTTTGGGGGTCTATCTCGACTCCTTCACCCTTAAAATCGCATTTGAAAATTGGGAATTTCGCCGAAAATTGACGAGTTTGCCCTAATTTTGGCAAAAACATTCATTTTTCTTGGTCAAATATTCGTCCTATCAAGTTTTTGAAGCAAGTTTAACTTGAGGGTACATAAAGAACCGAAAAGTTTTTAAAAATTTAAATTTTTCGGAGGAAAAAGCTGACGGGGGGGGGGGTCCTTAACTCAAAATATCCCTGTAGGTGCGGAGTAAAGTTTTTTTTCTGAATAAAAATTGACAACAACAACGACTGTAAAAATAAGTAAAATAGTTCACCTGTAATTCGGGCTCCATTTATTCGGAGTGCAGCAATAGTCGGAGATCATCAATGTTCCGCCAGGTTTCAGCCATTTGAGAAAGTTTTTGAAAAGAGAAAGTTTGTCAGCAATATGAAGAATTGTGTCTCGGGAGTAAATCACATCAAAAGTATCGTCAGGGAATTCGACTAAAGTAGCATCTTTGACAGAGAAGGAGACGTTTTCCAAGTTGTATTTTGTGGCGCGCTCGTTGGCGATGTCAATCATATTTCGGGACAAATCAAAGCCTGAATTCCATTTAATAAAATTTTTCCAAAAAGTTGTCACCTTCAACATGCGCTCCATATTCCATGTCCATGTGAAAGGCGCTGCCTCCGATTCCGCAACCAACATCGAGCACCTTCTGGCCCTCCTTCAAATTCAGCATCTTGACGAATTCGCGCGTCGTAGAAATCCCGCCTGTTGAGACAAAATCGTCGCCAAAGATTTTTTCGTAACGGAGAATTCCATTTCGCGAGTATTGTTGCTCGTCCAAGAATTTTTGGAACTCGGCCGAATCTTTTTTCGGATTCAATTTTTTTTTTCTATTATTTTTCATCAAAACTGATTTTTTTTAATTTTTGATCGAGTTGAACCCTAGGCGTAAGATTTTCCTTCTGCCATTCTCTTCCTTGTTTTTCTCTGATTTGCGAAAATCAAGATCAAAATAAAATCAACGAGATTTTAAAGCAAAATGGGCGGTTCACAAAAGTGGGAGCGTCACCAAGTACGCCCGTGCTTTTCATTATGTTGTTCGTTGCTGCCGAATTTATGATGGATGATCATTAGCTCGAAATCAAGAGATTTGTTACATCATGAATTTGATCGATTTCGTTATTTTGATTTATTGCCTCAGCAGAATTTTTTGTACAGAACTCCAGGCGCCAAGGCTTTTCCGTAGTCGCAAGCGAAGATTAAGGGGGTAGGCATGAGAAATCACGATTTTTCACCAAAAGGACTGGGTAAACTCTGATTTATTCAAACAATTTGAGTTAAGGGTACTATCTTCGATTTCCCCAACATGAGCCTTGAATAACTCGGAACTTGTAAATGATTGCTGAGTCCATATGGGCTCATATAATAGACCTGTCCTAGATCTTAACTATTACAGAGGGGTTTATGAATTGCTTGACCGAAAAGCGGCTAAATTTTGGCATGAAGTGGACATCTTCGCAAAAATGGCCTATATAAAAGGTTGAATAACTCAAAAACAAGTCTGAAAACTTGGCCTTATTATATTTTTTATATATAATTTGAAGCTTAATCTTTAAAATTACAGAAGGAATTTTTCATTGAAAAACTCAAAATACCAAAAATAATTTTTTGAAGATTCTGTCTCGCAGATTTTTCGAAAATTGAGCATTTTTTAAAATTTTGCGACATATTTTTGGCTCTAGAATCGAAAATATCTTGATGTAGCGATCGATACAGCTACTAACATACTGCTCTTTCTCTGAGCTTTCGAACAAGCCCTTGATCAAGAAAATCGAAGTTCAAAATTTTTTTTCGAAAAAATTTCTAGTGGCCATATCTCAAGATATATTGATAAATTCGAATAGTTATCAAGAAGGTATAATCATGAAATTTTATGAAGAACCCATCTCTAATAACCGATTCTTATAAATCTTTTGAAAGGTCACCTTCTGGAAATCGAAGATAGTACCCTTAAGGGGGAGGTCGACGAAAATAAGAATTTTTAGAACAAATTTCCCGAGAACCCCGATTGTGACTTTTCGGTTGGAAAAAGAAGGGTATTAAGAATCTGTCGGCAAAGAGTTTGGCAGAAATTTTGTTCACTTCTTTACCAAAAGTGTCCGAAAAAAAATTACGAAAAAATCAGAAAATTGCAAAAATGGCAATTTGGGGTCCACTTTGAGACTAGTTTTCGACCATTTTTTCTGGTCAAAATTTTTTCTTCTTTTCGCCGATAGATTTTTTCAACCCTTTTATTTTCACCAGAAAAGTCAAAATTTTTCCAGCCAATCAGGTTTCTACGGAATTTTGTTCCGAAAATCCCGATTCTCGTCGACCCACCCCCTTAAATTATCGTCTTTGATTTTATCTCAAATCGGTTTCAAGATCTCTGCCCCCTTAAAAATCCAATGATCCATCCAACAAAAGAAATAGCAAGAAAAATAATCAGGAGCATTTTTCTCGTTTCTTCTTTCAATGGCATCGTCGTTTTTAGTACAACTTTCTCTGGATAAACAGACAAATGCTGAATGAAGAAGCTAATGGTACATTTTTAGACAGAAACTCATGGCTTACCTGCCAATAGCTTTTATAATTAGATTTTGCTCCGGTTATAAATTATTTAATGCGCATATTTTCATTATTTGTGGCTTTAATCTTTGTGGATAACTCAACAGCAAAATGACAAAAAAGAAAAAAATCTTCGCAATTATATTCGGTTGAATTTGCTTCTTTATTTGAATTTGTTTTTTGAGCATTTGAATAAATATTATTAAAACTCATTTAACATGAGTCATTCATAATTTTGGCTGTTAGAATTTTTTAACATTCAGATTTTCTTGTCATAAAATTATTTTCTATTCGGTTTTTCTTATTATTTTTGACAGAATAAGCAAAAAGGTAAACCAAAAAATAGTTTCCTTCAATTCAGAAGCGAAGTGCACACTGGTTCAATTTGGTTTTGAATTTTTGTAACGCCGTTACAATTTTAACTATTTGGAACGTAGCCGCCCTATACCCATGCTGATACATAAGAATACCGTCTTTTTCACGATATGAAGCACAATGAAGAAAACAATGAAGCGGTCGTGTCATAATTCCACAATTTGTAGAAATTGCACAAGATTTTGAGCTTGACTACCGTGTCAAATCTAAAGCCAAACATAATAATCTTGTTTCAATTGAGCAAATTTGTCAGACTTTATTTGAGATGCGGACAATAAACAAACATCTGTTCACAGTCGCAAATCATTTTGTGAGCAGTCATATACAACATGTATCTCATAAGTCCGGAAACTAGGAATTAAAGAAGAAGATACAGGATTTATTGAATCAAGAACAACAAGGTTAATCTAACACGCTTAATTACGACATAGGCGGTCAATCTTCGGGGTAAATTACGTAAACGGGCTAAATGTTAATGTTAAGGCTTAGAGAAGAGGTTAAGAGAAATAGTTTTCAATACCACGAAGATTGACCACATATGACCCTTAATAAATTGATTATTCAATCAAATTATTATTCGTTCGCATATCATTTATACCCAGTAGATAATTTCTTCTTCTTTTTTGTAATGATTTTGATTTCTTATATATTTTGAACGGCTGAATGTCTCATTTTCAATTTTTAATTGCTCTTTTTCATCGACGAGATTATCAACGGTCAGATCATGGTTTGCTGCATTTTCGTTTATATCTTGAGTTTTGGTCTTTAAAACTTCCACATCTTTCTGCAAAGTCTTTATTGCAGCGCTTGTGTTGTACTTATTCTTTTGTAAATCGCTTACACAATCCCAAAGTGGATCAAGTTTTCTGTTAATCATATTCCAGATTTCCTGCTCTGATATGCCTAGAAATCAAAAGTTTTGATTTGAACATTAAACAATATTTAACCAGAAGTTTCGGTGGTGTTTTCAAAGCCAGGTGGAGTGGTATCTGTTATTAGAGATTCTGAATAATCGCTGGAATCTTTAATTGAATTTTCTCTGATGAAGCATATCAAAAATATTATCAGAAAAAATGATTTTTATTATTTTATGCGATCCTTTCATTTTCTTTGGGTTTTTCAAATTGAAAATTATTTGGATGAATCTTTGCTTCCAGTTGTGAGATAAAATTTGAAATAAGAGGATTCTTAGCTAAGGAACAACAATCTTCGACACGATTTGCAGGATCTTTTTGAAGACAATACTTGATAAGAGAATCGCAATTAGGGAAGTTTCGAGCAGGTGTCTCATATTGTCCTTATAAAGCTCAAATTTATTGATACTCATAACATTATTTGGAAGCTGTGAACTTTCCTTCGCGAATTTTCTTAACCATTTGAAAATCACTATCGTCCTCAAAAGGATTCTTTAAATAACTGATCATATAAATAACAACACCAACTGCCCAAACATCTGTTCTGAAATTGTAAACTTGCATTGAACCAAAACACACAGGTGGAATAAATCTTGAATTCCCTTTCTTTATAATATTTGAAGTTTTTCCACTTTCAACTTTCGTAAATTTTCATCAGATAGCATTATTAAGAAGAAAGTTTTTGATTAATGCTTATTTTTTTATTAATAAAAATTGAACGCGAATCGGGCCCATATCATTGAATTATCATCATATTTATCATCATTATTATCATATTATTTTGCGCAGTTTTACTATTTGAGCTTGATTAATAATCATCAATAACGCAGATTATGTTTCAACTTTGTAGAATTACAAATAATTGTTATCGTCAAGTGTATAAGCCTTCGTTTTTAAAATTAAGCAAATCTCAGAAATTTGTGTGATATGCGTTCAGCCTAACTAAATAAACGTACGTTCAAGCGTTAAAATGTTTAAAATTTTTCCTGAAAGTTTAAAATCTCCAATCAAAAGTTGATTGCCAATTCCACTAATGAAAATATTTTTCGGTCGAATATCGTTGTGAATAAGTTTTTGCTGATGAATAAAAGACATTCCATAGACGAGTTGAGAAATTAATTTGAACGCATCTCTTTCGATCCATAACCAAACTGATGTTGCCTGTAATCTTATAAAATCTGCCAATGTTCCTTGATCGCCCCATTGCATCGTAAATCCGTAATAGAAGTATGAATTAAATGGAAACTGAACCATTTCGTAGACTTTTACAATATTTTGATGTTCTAATTTCTTCATCAATAAGAACTCGTTCATTTTAGATATATTTTCTATACCAGCCTTCATTACGACGAAGTTTTTGCCTGAGAAAAAGTATAATTTATCAATTTTTGAGGAAAAAATCTTAAGAGGGGGGTCGTCAATATTCGGGCTACGGAAAAACAAAAAAGCGGGAAACCCTGATGGAATTGAAAAAATAAATCTTCTGATTAAAAAGAAAAGGGTTGGAAGAAGTCATCGGCAAAAAGAAACAAAAAATTTATTTGTAAAATTTCTCAAAAATTAGAGTTGAAGAAGGGGTGTCTTGCAAACACAAATTTCGAAAACCAAATTTTTTTTCGATTACCAAATGATATCAATTGACAGATTGGACCCCTGAAAAATCGGCGACAAAAAATAAAATGTCACTTTTTCAAAAACAAAAGTTCCTTGTTCATTTGCGATTTCTGCAAAAAATCAAAATTCTACTCATTTTTGACCGAAATTTCCTAAAAACTCGAAAAGACTAGAAGTTTTTGAATTAATATGATTCAGAAACCATCAAAGAACAATGATTTGTAGGCAAAAATTAGTTATGAGAGTTATTTGGGGAAATATCAGCCTTTTCAAAAAATTCCCCCGTTGGCTCTATTCAAAAGTTTAACTTGATTTTTGTCGTGTTTTAAGTGAACCAATAAAAAAAACACGAGACCAAAAATTCTAAGTTTTTCACGAGGAGTTCAAAAATGTAGTCATAATTTTCAATTTTGAGAATTTTCCATATTGACGAATCCCCCCGTTAAAGGTAACTCGTACCCTTAGTATTCTCCTTCATTAACCAGAGCACTTGATGAGGATCATCCTCATCGCTACCTTTGAGAGCTTGTATGTAGCTGTAATGTGCAAGATCTTTACCCATTCTCTCGTATTTCAAAATAAAGAAGATTATAATACGAGTCTACATAATATTTACATGATCTTTATGCAAATACAGAAAGAGGCGTTGGCTTGAAAACAGGGAGTCCTTCAAACATTATTAAAGTAATTCTGATCGTTTGTTACAAATGCGCCAAGTGTAAAAAAGGTCGACGTTTTACTCTTAAAACAAGGCGAAAACGAGGATGCGATTCGCGCTTTGATCAAAGGAAACTCCTCCTCGCGGCTGAAACGGCACTCTGTTTTTTATTTCTTTCCTTATTTCTTATTTTATGATTAATTTTTATCAAAAAAATTTGCTGCTCATTCGATGATTCATCGCCTAAAGTACTTTTCATTTCGTGAAGTGTCCTTCCGCGCAACTGGTGCTTCAAATTCAATGCGCTTGTTTACGAAATTGCTTACGGGCGAATTCTAGAGCCAGCGCGTCCCCGTGCACTCTGACTTGTTCAACTACCGATCTCTGAGTTTCGATCCATTCTGCCCAAGGGCCTTGCACTCGTGAGGCGAAAGAGGTGCCACAATGGTGCCCCGCCTGGTTTCTTGGTGCTCAGCGCCCGCGAGGTGGCGCGCTAGTGGCCGCGCAACCTTCCTCGGCTAGAACTACCGTGGGGCTCCAATTTTGGTACTCAATCGCTCAATCTTTGTAAAGCCGTTTTTACGTTTTTGCGCGACTCAGAGAAACTCGCTCTGAAGACTTCACTCATCAAAGGGTCAAAGAAGACTGTATCGACCAATTCTAGAGACAGAAAGATCCGAAGAATCTTAAGAACAAAAGAATGAAGCTCTTCAAATATCTGACTGTCGCCTCAGTCGTCCAAGGTGGCGCGATGTAAGTACATTTTTAAGGGGACTTTTACTGGATCTGACTGTAATTTGGGCGAGAATAGAGAGTAGGGCGCTAATGTGAAATGTCACACAGGAGGTAAATGTCGAGTAGAATTGACATTTTGAGCGTGTTCTGGCCCAGAGAGAAGTAATTTTGAAGCTACGTTGAGGGAGAAATCTCGATTTTACCCAGCTTCTATTTGTTCGATTCGTATTTTTTCAAAGAAAAAATTTAATTTTTCATCATTCATTTTTGGAAATAAGGATATCCCCTCTCTATTTACGTGAATCAACCGGATCTCTGACCTTCAAAACCAGCGATTATTAGGTGTATTTGATCCCCTCTACTAATACGATCTGACGGATCGAAGGGCGGGTGTGACGTATCTGAGGATCAATTACTGTCAAAATCAACTTGCTATTTGCGCAAGTCGCGCTCTTTAGATCATACTGCTCTCAGAACTCTTGCAGGAACCTGCGGGTCCTTAAACAGCGAGAATTCCGGCCGGTGGGCACTTGAGAAACAAATGAATGAAGAAATGGCCAAGTTATTACCCAGGTTCATTGAAGAAATTTCTAAGCTGTTCTCTTTTTATTTTTCAGATTGATCAAAAACCAAAATATAGCCGCTTCCCAAAAATAATCATGTCATTCTTATTAAAATAATGGCGAAGCCGCTTCGCGGCTTCGAAATGAAAAAAGCCGTTCAGCGGCTTTTCTGTTTTTTTCTTTTGAGAAAGTTTGGGAAATATAAATTGAGAATTTTTTTTGAGCTTTTGTTTTGTCAAAAATAAGAGAAAGGAAGGGATAGAGGGCTGGGATTAGGAAGGTAGAAGTGGATTCTGTTGTGACGTTGGTCTTAGGGCAGAGTTTAGGCACAGACAGGACTTAAGCCGCGTTGTTTAAAATTTTTAAACTTGAACATCCAAACACTTTTTCGAATTTTTTTCTTCGGTCGAACGAAAATTGTTGCTCAGTTTCAGAGAATTCTGTATTTTAAGAGCTAAAATTTGAATTCTCGAGGTTTGAGTAGAAGTAAAATTCCAAGACACGTGTTCTTTAAAAAAGGGTTGAATTTTTCGAAAAGTGAAAAATTCTTTCTTTGACAAGTAAAAGAATTTCGTGCACTGTCTTGTTTCTTGACAGAAGTTTTATTATTCGAACAAGGATGAAAAGAAAGCTTTTCGGAAAGAGAGTCAAGTGGCGACACTTGCAGGTGGCGGCGATTTACGGAGCTAACGTGCTACCAAAGACGCCCTGCAAAGATCCAGGTTACACCCTGCTCATCGTTTTAGGATCAGAGGCAACACGTTTGGATCAGTTTCGTGGACTTGTTTTTTCGAAGAGGCGGTAATTGATTTTCAGCGAATTTTGACAGCTATCGTTTTTTCAAGCAAAACTGGATTATTTTTCAAAAATAAAAAGATGTCAAAAAAAAACACAAAGTAAAAGCCGCTCTCGGCTTTTCGATTACGAGTCATTCCAAGAACCAAAAGCCGCTTGCGGCTTTTTTTGCATCTTAGACAAAGTTTTTGGTAAAAAATTGGGAAAATGGCCGAAAAAAAATGACTTTCGAGTAAAAGCCGCTTGCTTATGGAATTTTCGAAATCTTTTTTTATTTAAAAAAAGCCGCAAGCGGCTTTCGTGCCCTGAAAAATCGATATTTTTCTTCGATTCTCAATTTTTTTGAGAAAAAAATCCAAAAATTCTTCTTCGAAAATAAAACTCATTGTGACTCAATTTGACAGGGCGCAGCGGATTGATCTGTCATTTAGAAGGCTTTGGCCCCTTACTTACGCCAAAAAAGCGGGACAACGGGGCTCAACAAAATTTCTCGGCTTGAATAATTATTTTTTCTTTTTTTTTCATTTCAAAGTCGTGTACTTTGGAAGTAAAAATCCGCAGCTTTTTTGGGATGAAATATTTATAAATTTACCAAGTGCTCCTCAAACCTGGAATTTCACCGCGGAATTAGGTTTTGGATTTTGGTTTCTCTTCTTCTGCTTCTATTTCTTCATCCGGAAATTCGAAAATATGATGAGTAATCCAATCTTACGACGCTTGAGATTCGAGGGAGGAAAATCAAATTTCAAATAATTATTTTCTTTATGATCTTTTGAGAAATTATCGAGCGGGGCCGCGGTTAAATAAACCGACCGAATATTATGTTAATGTATTGTCTTTTTGTTAAATGCGATATTTCCAGATAAGAACTTGGACGAGACATAGCAAAAGAGGTTGAATTGAGAAGTATGCATTAGAGTTTAATGGCTGTTATGTTGTTTTTGCTTGAACCTTTAACCTTTTCCTTCCAAGAGGGCTAAAAAGGGCCATATCTTTTGAAAATCATGTAAAAAAAAAAAGGATTGAAACGCAACTTTCTGCGTATTTTTCGAGTTCTCGTATTTTTACGTTCACGTGAAAATGATAATGACTGGCAAATCTGTTTCGCCCAAAACAGGGTCGTCTCAGCGCGGAAATATCTAAAGCCGATATTTGAGGCAGATATTCCGCCGCGGTTTTCGCGAGGTTGAAAATCGAAACGGCAGACGTGGAGAAAAAATACCGCGAATTCTTTATGAAAAAGTTTATCGGCGCTGAGCTGGTGTATAAGACGGGAATTTCAGGAGGAAAAAGGAGAATCTAAGAAAAATAACAGAGCAAAAAAAAATCAATCAAAAGCGGTTTCGAGAGGCAAAAATTGACAAAAATTGCGATAAAAACATTTAAAAATTTGGGGAAAATAAAGGCCAATCATATTTACGCTTCCGGTTGGTGCGCCAATGAAATTTCTGACAAAAAATGGCATTTTTTCTAGCTATTTTCCCATTTTTGTCGATAAATTACATCATCCCTTTTTAAATGGAAAATTCGGTGAATTTGAAGCTTTTTTTCGAGCCAAAAACAACTTCAAAAAGTAAAAACCGTAAACTTCTCTTCCCAGAGCGTTCATCCCTTCCCATAGGTTTTCTAGCTAATTGGCTCATCTAAACATTATGTTTTAACTCAATAAACATGCGCATGTTCATATCTCCCAGCTGCGCCTTCAAAACGGTAATTAAAGGCGTCACGTGCCGAGATTTCCGCGCTTTCGGACATTGATTCTGATGTCAGCGGCGTGTTAAAGTCCGACACGCTCCCGATTTTTTGCGCTTTTTGGCTGGATGATTCAACTAACGTGTTCATTCTCAACGGGGCGCGAATTTTTCGGGAAATTTCAAATTTGCAAATCCGAAACGGAAACATGCGGGAAACGCGACTCGGAGATGGAATAACTGGGACTTTGGAGAATAAGGACATGGACTCATAATTTGCTGTATTTGTTAGATTTAAAAAAAAAGACATTTTCGGGCAATTTTGGTAATTTTTAAAGAGTGAGATTTTTAATCAAAATTTTTCAAATTCTTTTTTTTTTTGCTTTTTGAGCTTTTCTGATGCCGAATTTTCGATCGAAAAAGAGCGTGAAAAACAAAGTTGACAGAAAAACTAACGTTTTAGACAGCATGCTACGGGATTTATTCAGCGGAGGAAATTAGAAAGGTTAAATTCAATAAGATTAGAGAGCGAGCACGGTGCTATCGGAGCTGCTATCTGACGACTCTTACTTATCGCTCGCGTTGGTTTTTTTGCGAGTGCTCTTTTTTATCATTTTCTCGGGACTTTTTCTTTGGGTTCATTGAAAAATCGAGTGTTCAGGGATTTCAAGATCGAAGTAAGTTAAATTGTTGAATAACATCCGAAAACTCCTCCTCGAAAAAACATGGTCTTCCATCTTAACTTCTTCGTCAACCTTATACGTGTTGGCTTTACTCGGCTTTCGCGCTGGATTTTCCGCGATTAGGAAGGAGCTGTTTTATTACACGCATAAAGGCTTAGGGTTCTTTCTCCTCGTTCGTCAGCGATGAGAGCGCTCTTCCCTGAAATTGTTATTTTTCCTTTTGGTAAATTTCGACCGCCGCTTTTGGTAATTTTGGTGCAATTTTCGTTTTCGCTGTTTTGACAACTTAGAATTACAACGATGTTCTTCCGGGAGGGCCAAAAAGAAGGGTTAAAATAAGGAGAAAGACCCTTAAAAATCCGATGAGGGGATAATCGAATTAGCATTTGAGACCTGTTTTGATTAGAAATGAGCTAATTGGGCTCTCTGAAATCAAGATTACTGTTTGTGGCGACAACAGTATGATCTATGGTCTTGCAACATTGGATTTTGCTCTCTTATTAAAAATAGTTGCTTCTCAAAAATCATGTTTCGTATAACAGAGACATGTTTTTGTTTATTTCGATTTCTAGTATCAAAATATTTTGGGCTTTTTACTGAACAAAACGATTATGTAAAGCACTTTTCTTTTGAATGAAATTGAGTCGGAAAAAGCTGACAAGCGCTTGAAATTTCTGAAAGGCGCGTCTCAATTATACGCCAATCAGATTACGGTTTTTTCGAATTTCCTTGTAGCCATTTCTTGTTGTAAGTTTTGGACGTGGCTGGCTCTAGAACTCTTGAAGTATGACGTAAAGGGCGGGTATTAATAGAACATTTGGGGTGTGTTTTGAAATGAAGAATCTAAGAGCGAGATAACACGTGACTTTTACTGGACTACCTCTCGAAGAGTGCTTGAATCGACGAGGTTATGGAGACTCTAACTCGAGATAATGCCCTAGTTGCGCCGCGTATCTCTGAAGTACGCGGTCCAAGACACTTCATCAAGGGTCCCTCACCCTAGAATAGGTGGTCTACGACTTGACTTTATTGTAATACAAGGCAAAGAAGTTCCATCCTCGATAAACAGCGAATAAATTTAGGGTGTATCTGAAGAAATTCGTCTTTTTCAAAGAGAATGCCCGTGAATCTGAGCCTCAAGATCGTTTTTTAAATGAACCTTGTTTTGATCATCCCAAGAATCAATTACCGTAGGTTGACGTGTAAAAACGAGCAGTCAAGAGGAGGAGCGTCAACAGGTCTAATCGGCCGGCTTCATCAGTCGAACCGCGAAAAGGTCATCTTCGGGAAACATAAAAGCCTTCCTCGCGCCGCAAAACATCCTTTTCCCAGCTAATCCGTAAATGTCGACATGAGGGATGTTAGATCAACCTGGCTTTTACGATTAGATCATTCTCGCAGATTTTGAACTAACCAAATCTTGATTTTTGGGTCGAGATTTTTCAACTTATTTGAAGCTGCTCTGCTACCTTATCTGCTTCTAAGAGGTGAAGAAGCTTATTAGATAATGCATACGATAATGCATGCGATAAAGTATTGCGGGCGACAGAAAGCTGGATTAAGAGTTTATTTTTAGAAGATTTTTGAATTAACTGAGAGGTGATAAAATGAACTTATCGGGTTTTCTTCCTTTGAACAGTTCAAAAATCAAGCCCCTTCCATGACTCATTTCATCAGCAGATCCAAAGAAAAATCTCATATTTTCCCAGCCAACCTAAAGCAAATATTCAAACATCGAATTTAGGTTCGCCGCCAACGAGGACGAGCGAAATTGCATGCGCGACTGCAAAAACGCCCGAGACTGCCGAGGAGAGTCCGCGACTGATGACAACGACAGTCCAGCCGAGTGCGTCATCCAGTGCCGAAAAGAATGTCTCCCAAGAAAGGACCTTCTCAGATCCCGTAAGTTGAAAATCCAAGCCTTTATTTTATCTTTGTTTGAGATAAGGGCACATTTTTTTCAGTGCGGTCACGGATTATAAATATTGAGAGAGATAAGGACCAAGAACATGTTTCTACAATTTTTTTTCTATCAAAAATAAAAGAAAATTTTCATTGAAATCTTTCAAGAAAATATTCGAAATTATACATTTTTCTTAAAAAAAAGATAAAATTTGCCGAAAATTTATTTGTAAACAAAATAAAGATTTTGTTTTACAAAGTAGCAAGCATCATTTTTGATAGAAATTGATTATTTTCAAAATAAACATTGCATAATCTACTTTTATTCGAAGTCGGAATATTTGTGCCCAGAAAAAATTCTCTTCCTTGATTTCACCATTTTTTTCTTCAGACTTTGCTCCCGACAAACGACAACATCACGCCGACAAAAAGCATCAGCGAAAAATCGAGCGAATTTCCGAACGAATTCTCAGAAAACAAGCCAATCCTCCTCCATTGATGAAAAGCATCAACCAAATGATCGAAGATGGCGAAATTCCCGCCCGATTTGGCGACTGTCTTGAGCGAGAAAAGGATGCTCTTGAATGCGCCGGACAAGGCAAAGAGTTCTGGCCATGCAAACGGGAGATGATCCAGAACTGCCTCGAGCAATACGGCTTCTTCGAGAACCTGAACAACGAGGAAGTCGCCGAGCTTTTGAAGGACATTGAGACCAATGCTGAGAATATGGTTGAAGCTCTTGCCGAAATCGAAGCCGAGGGTGCCATGCAAATGGACGCCGTCGAAGAAGATCCAGAAGAAAAACTCCAGATGCTCCACGACTCCATCAAGGAAAATGGCCGAGCTGAGGATAAGGTTGATCTTTCCGCGGCCCTGGAGAAGATCAAATACAGACCGAGCTTCGAAACCCGACCTGAGGAAGCAGAAGAGGAAGAGGAAGAGGAAGAGGAGGAACCAGAATATGAAGAAGAAGAAGAGGAGGAGGAAGAAGAAGAGGGAAATGGTAAGTGGCTTGTTTTTGTTTCAGATAATATAAATTTTGAATCAAGAATTTTTCAATGAATCAAAGTTAAAAAAATGATTTCAGTAATGCTTGGTGATATTGGATTCGACCAGCAGTTCTTCGGCCGAGAATATGAAGAGGAGGAGGAAGAAGAAGAAGCTGCTGAAATTCCTCGAGTTCTCAAAGAAGAGCCAGAGCAAAAAGTCGAGGCCGTCTTCTCCATCCGGTCAAAGAACAACAACGGTCGCCCAGACAACTCCCCCGTCATCAAGCACAAGCACCAATTCTACGCCGCCATCGCCGATAATCTCACTCAAGGTAACGAAACAGTATTTGCCCTTATCGCAGCGTAACCCGCTTTGCTTCTCGTTTCCAGCAAGCGGATTTCTCGTGAGCTTATCGGAGAGTTATCTTGTTTGACAAAAAAGAAAGCTATTTACAAAACTTAAACATTCTCTATTCAGACGAGCTTGTCAATGCCATGTGCTCGTGCAGAACTTCTATGGAGCCGTTCAGAATCAACAATTATTTGAAAAAACACGGAATGGCCATCGAATGGCACCATCATGAGGATACTTGCAAATGGTAAGAAAAAACAAGGAGGAAACTGTTGATTATCTCCTCTTAGGTGCGTCTTCTCCAAATCAAAGAAGTGCTCCAACTGCATCAAATACTGGGAAAACCAGGAAGGCACCGATGCCCAAGTTATTTCCAACAACTGTGAAACCTTCAAAGAAGCCCTCAGAAACCCCAAGATCGACGTAAGTTCTAACCAAAAAGCAGATCACTTACAAAATCCTAGTTCTCGATGCCAAAACCTGACCCTTGCCCAATGAAGAACCTCCACAATGGTAAGTTCAACGAGTACCAGAAGGAAGGCGAATTCGCTGCGAACTACGAGTCCTTCAAGCAGCTCTACAAAAATGGCGGAAACATGCCCAAGCCAGCGCATTAAGAGACCCCGACACTAAAATTTTTACAACATAGAAAAAAACTTCATTTTTTCTAGTTCAGTTTACACAACAAAATTCACATGCAAACTTGTATAAAACAACCCTTTTTTTCTCGCACAAAATAATACACAACCACACCCTTAAACCTCTCCATGTAAATTTTCGCCCGCGCTTTGAGACTCTCAATCACCTTATTGCCAAAAATGCAGCCAAGTTTACCAAAAACGAAAAGTGAAGACAACAAAGAGTATCGGATGATTTGAACATTTGAAGATGACTCTCGTGAGTTTTTCACGCTCTGTGCCGTATAAATATTTGTAATAAATATATCACCACTATCTTTTGTTTCTATTTTATAACGTGAGTTTTGACGGAAAAAAAAATTATTTCTTTTATTAACATATGAATGTCTGCTGTAATAATAACTCAACGATTTAGACGAGTAAATGAAGCTTGTTGCCATCAATGAATCCGATGTCATGTAATGGTTTTGCAACCTATGCAAATAAGTGAACACAAGAGAAATATACAGACAACTGAGCAAAGTTGGCTGTGTATAAAAAGAGTAAGGTTTTTGAGCTTTTTATTTGATCTATTCTCTGAGCGAGCAAAAGTGAGAATGACTGTGAGAGAGATGGTGAGCGGTTTTTATAGTTTTTCAAATTTTCGGGTTCCCAGTAGATTAATCGGCTGTTATTCGATCGTATCGTTTCCATCGGATAAATTGAACATTGAACGTAATAATTCGTTACCAACGGATTTTGTCACTGGAAAAGGAATAATTCCATTTTAGCGGATTTATCGGATTTCGAGCATCAGGACGTGAGAATAATTTGAAGAGCGGCGTTTTAAAACGGATTATTTGGTTTTTCAGGAAGGGCGCGCGTTTTAGAGTCGATTATTTCGCCAGCGCTAGTGCGCCATCATTTTCACTTACGCGCCGTGCTCGCGTGGCAAGCTTTGCTTTGCCCCGCGGCGTGATCGTAATTAGAGCAATTCTGTAAAACCACTACAGTCAGATTGCTCTTGATCTAAATTTTCGGATAAATCTTCGAATTTTTTGATGCATAACTCATCTGAAATCGTTCAATTTTAAGATGGGAAAAATCGAGTTACCAAGTCTGATAAGTGGTAATGTTGGTATTTCCAAGTGATCAGGATCATCAGGATCATAAATACCAGGAAAGCCGAGTGCACGTGTGATTTCATCAGCCCCGAGAAGAAGTTTCTTGATCTCGTCTATCGTAATCGTGAAGACCTTCGATTTGGTTTCCCTTTTATTTAAGACAAGATGCATAAATCCCTTGGTTCCGATTTTGAGGACTGATTCTTTCGTCAATTTCCCTCGTTCGAAGAAACAAATATACTCCAGACAATCAAGATATCCTCCGGAATCGTCAGAATCTTCATTTTTAAAATATCCAAAGATAAGAAATTTATCTCTGTCGTTTGGATCACAGTTCGAATGATATTGGTATTGGATGTCTGCTTCTCTAAGAAAGTAAAGAGAGGATTCGTTATAACCGTAGAATGCTGACTCTACAGAGAATTCCTGCGGTAATCTGTAGGACTTAACTTCATCTTTCTCAAGATTGATGAAGAGTATCTTTTCGATCTCCTCCTGATAGAATAATTCTATCAATAAAAGCCACAAGCCATCATCGATAAATCTTATTTCTGCAAAGTCGTAATCGTAATATGGAAGTCTGAGGACAAAATCATATGCCCAGATCAACTTGTTGTTGCCGTCAGCAAAATTGAAAAACTCAATTGTCATAGGCATTTCATACTTTTCTTTGTTCTCCAAATGTCGATTCTCTATAAGAACGGGGTGAATGTTTCTTTTGGGATTATCAATGAGATTTCGCCAAGCTCGTTGTCGAGAAATATTGTAGTCGAGTGAATGTGCAAAGTCATGCAACTGGGAGACCAGCAATATGCATTTGTCATTTTCATAGCTTTTAATTCCTATAAACAGTAAATAAGAATTATTTTGATACTACTGTACCTTTAAGATTTTCTAAATTAAGCCCCTTTGAGACCAATAACGATAAGTCTTTGTAATCATATTGAGTCAAAAACGACGGATCGACAAGTTGAAGCTTCGGATTGGAATTTTCCCGGTTTATTTTGAAAAGAAGGACATCATCTTTCGTCAGCGGAGAGTGCCTCGGCTTCGATTCGTTGATTTTGATAAGCTAAATATGATTAAGGACCCCCGTCAACAATTTTCGAAAAATCTATTTTCGGAATTTCAAAATTTTAACCCCGGAAATGGTTTCATTTTTTGGGGGGTTTATCTCGACTCTAACACCCTCAAAATCGCGTTTGAAAATTGGACTTTTTGACGAAAAATGACAAAAACGTCCCAATTTTGCCAATATTATAGATGTTTACTGGTCAAAAAGTGCTCATAATAAGTTTTTATGATGGATGAAATTTCCAGGGACACTCAGAAGCCAAGATATGGCTGTTTTGAAATTTTCAATTTTTTGAGGAAAATTGTTGACGGGGGGGGTCCTTAATTCTACTTAATTTCTTAAATTAGTGCTACTTACATATGATCGGGAAAATTCGACGCGCGATTTATCCGTGCTGAAGTCGATTGTTGTCTTTATCTTCAAATTTCTCCTGTTGTTTCTCAAATCGATTCTTTTTTGAATGATCTGGGCGACTTCTGACAGTGTTTCAGGTTTTCTATTATTTTCTCTTTGAAATTCTTCCCCAACAAGCGCCAGAATAGCATCACTTTTGTAATGACGATTGAGAGCGTAACTCGAGAATTCGGGGCTGAAGAGAGAATCGAAACTGCCGTATCCATCCTCAACTTTCTCCAAAACGATTGGCGCAATTAGAGCGAGATCTTCGAATTTCAATCGTTTAAAAATAAGTTCGAACAAAATCTGAGAATTAGGATGATCTCGGATTTTCTGGATAGTGGACCGACGAAACTCCTCTATCATTTTTATTCAAACCTCTAAAGAATCCATTTTTACGAAAATTCAATTTATATATTAAGTAAAATAAAAAAAAAATAAAAAACAGCTCTCTGAAGTTTAATTTGAAAGGTCTGATTCTCGGCTGAATGAGTCTTACTCCGGAGTCCGGATGAGTATCACTGAGACCGAATACGAGAGTTTCTTATCAATTTTTCGCTCCCACCATTGAAATAACGGTTTGCTCATCACTTTGAAGAGTTGGTTAATGGAAAAAATTTGAGGACCCCCCCCCCCGTAAACAATTTTCCTAAAGAAGTCGAAAATTTCAAAATAGCCATATTTTGGTTTCTTATTCTGCCTGGAAGTTTTATACCTAATAAAAACTTGTTCGGAGCCCTTTTTGACCAATGAAAATCAAAAATTTAAGCAAAATAAGGTCATTTTCGTCATTTTTCGGTGAAAAGTCCGATTTTCAATCGCGATTTTGAGGGTCTTAGAGTCGAGATAGAACCCCCAAAAAATGAAGCCTCGAAATCGTATTTTGACCCATAGAATCCATTTCCGGGGTCAAAATATTGAAAAACCGAAAATAGATTTTTCGAAAAGTGTTGACGGGGGGGGGGGTCCTTAAATAGACACATTACCAACTTGGTAATACTAAGTATCCAATTTTGATAGAAACAAATATAAGAAAAAAATCGACCAAGAGTTTTGTCAGAAAAGAGTTTATTTGGATTCGAATTGGAATTTAGAAGGGAAAGAATTTGGTCTCCTTTTCTTTTTCAAAAAAGGCAGCGATTCGGTCGTTCTTTCGAAGAGTCTCGGCAATCGCCATCACAGATTTTGGGACAGAGTCGCAAGTTCCCAAATCGTAGGAGAGAAGCCCGATGTTCACTGAACGGAAAAATCAAGATGCCGTGTCAAAAACTTGATCTTACGGAGGTAGAGGTCTCCAAGAGTGATTTTTCCAGCGGCAATTCCAGTTTCACCAGCTCCGACATGTTTGAGAATGGTTTCGAGTTTAGGGAGCTGCTCGAGAAGCTTAGCTTTCGCGGTGTCTCGGAAAGCGGCAGATCGTTCTTCCTTGATTTCAAAGATTGAAATGATGAGCGAACGGTTTCTCTTACCTTTTTGCTCTCATCAATAGCTCGCATGGCGGCAAAAGCTGGAATGCGGACTCCATCAAAGACTTCTCGGCAGGTTTCGGCGACCATGTCAGATTTGGAAGACTCCTCACAAGAGAGCTTTGGTAGATCGCCGGCTCGAACGGCCCAGTTGATGATGGCATTGGATTGGTTGATGGTCAGACCGTCGGTTTTTAGGATCGGAACTTGACCAAGTGGCATCGCTAGAATGGTTGTAAAGAAAAAAAAATTTATTAAAAACTTACTTTTCTTGAGCTCAGGCCACTGAGGGAAGGTAACACGAGTATCAGTAAACTCGACACCGCCAGCTGCCATCACAAGTCGTGGCATGACACCAAGGCCGTGGATATCAAAGTAGACGAATTCAGCAACCATCTTTTTTCTCCTTGAAAAAGTCGCTTTAGAGTTTTTTACTTCTCTTGAAATGCCCAATTGGCGCGTCGCTTTTATTCGCGCCGATGGAGCGGTAGAGCGCCTCGTAGAATTTTCCAGAAACGTAAATATACCCGACCTAGATCTCTCTGCGCCGGAATGACTACTGTTTACCTTCCGTGATAAGAATAAATATTTTTCTTGGCATTTTTGGATACAATTGTAATATGATTTTGTCAATCTACAATATTCAGATGAAGGTCCTGGGAGAATGAGGGTCTGGGCAGATGACGGTTCTGGGAGAATGAGGGTTACCCTATTCATCATATAATATGATTCATATTGAATAGGAAGATTTTTCTTATTTATACTCGTTGTTACTCAAAATTGATTTTTATCAAGGTAAAAGAAAGGAACGTTATCATTTTTTTTATCAAAAAGACAGCAAAGAGCATTTTCTGTGAATAAATTTAATTTTTCCAGATTAAAATTTTGGCAAAAACGCTTTCTTGATAACTATAATAAGAAGAAAACTCCAGATTAAAAAAAAATATTTTTTAAAGACTGAACTTTTGGCAGTTTTACTACCCTTAGTTTATGTCAAGTCGACATGACCTTTGAGAAGTAAGCTAAGCTTACAAAAGACTGCCTTTATACAATGAAAACCGCAACCATTTATTTCCGCCACCGTATTTAAGGGATCCCCCGATTTCGCCAACTTTGACCTCTATCTACTTTTTTTTGAGCTTACGTAGGAAGCTGGTTTTGGGCGCATTAGAATGCCCGCTTTGAAAGGAGCAAATTCTGGTAGAATCAGCTTGCCAGCAAAACATTTGCTTATGCATTACAGGCCGTCAAAGTGATTAACATTTTGAAAAATGGCCATTTTAGGCCATTTTCAAATCGTATCTACTTTTTTTTGGGCTTTAGGATTCAAAATCTTTTTAATTTATCTAAAAGTATAGGCGCTCATCTTTATTTTTTGGTAGAATCAGCATGATCGGATAAGTTAATAAAAAAATTCTTGTTGTAAAACTTTTTGATACCATTTTTGCCGTTTTTTGGGTGTTTAAATGCTCTCTAGCGCCAACAATTGGCCGAAAATTCAAGTGAGGTTATTATTTTCGTAATCTACACATTCTAAGCTTTCAATAGACCCCTTATTTGTCCTATTTCGATGACAATGAAAAATCGAAAAAAATTGCGATTTTCACGCTAAGAACAATTTACATGCATTTTCCCGAACTTTGGGAGCCAAAATTTCGGGGATGCATTTATGTAAAGGGGTACTATCATAGATCAAAATGATTCTCAGAACACGAGGAATCTTATCATAGGCAATAATGGCCGGTGCCAAAGTTTTGAAAAATCGGGGGGTGATCCCTTAACTACCAGAAGACCTCAAACCCAGATGTTTATTCATTCAAAAAATGAACTGAACTTTCTCGATGATAGTACACAACTGGAATGAATTTCTGTCGAATCTTCTAGATAAAACGCGCAGCAAAGATTCTGGAGCATCGAATCTTCTCAACATCCGGCAAGCTGTCATGCTCTTCCTTTTTCTCAAATTTTTCCATTTTAAAACATTATTTATATTTGCTCTTCTGTTTGAGCTATTTGACATACTGTATGTCACATACGTCTTATCAATAATAAGATAGAAAAAAGCAAGCTCGGCCCATATCGACAGTTTGAAAATATCTCATTTGTTCGCATTTAACGAAAATGATGGCTGCATGTTTCCCTATGCTGCAGATGTATAAGAAATACTATTGGAAAAGTCTTGACGTCAAGACTTGACCCAGTTCGGACATAATGGTACTACTATAGTCTATAGATTTAAAAAAGGTTGAATTGAAAACTAATTCTGACCCAATTTTTCGAAAAAAATTTCAGTCATTCTAAAATTTTAGAATAAAAAAAGTTTTCGGAACAAAGCTTTGTTTTTATTGTTTATTCGTTTTGAAAAGCAAAAATAATCAGAAGAAGAAATATTGAAAATATCGCTGAAATTCCGGAGGAGGTCATTTGGTTGATTGACACTTCCTTGATTGCAATGTCTTTTGGGTGGTAATCGTGGCAGCGAGGCATGTTCTTCGGCAGATAGGAAAAAGGTTTGTTTTCTTCTTCGTCTTTGACAAAAAATGCGACCGCCATTCCTTCGTAGTTGTGGAAAAGCTGGTGGCAGTGAAATGGCCAGACTCCAGGATTGTCAGCTCGCAGACTTAAAAAATTAGTTTTGATGATTTTTATTTATTTAATAAACAGTAATTAGTAAAATCTAACGACTTCTTACCGAAAAACCACATATCCCATCGATGGAACCACCACTGTGTTCTTAGCAATATGGTCATCGCGAGTGGATCTCAGCTTCTTGAAAAGCTTTTCGTCAAAATGCGCCCGATTGCATTTTAAATGATCGTCCTTGCAATGGATGGCTGGATGAAGGTCATCAATAAAGCCAGTTGTTTTGTTGGTGCTTCCGAAGCCAATGTCGGTGACGATAAACTCGTATCCGTGGAGATGGATCGCGTGATAGGTCCTTTGCCATCGCTTGATTTTGTTTTCTGGATGTTCAGCTGCAGTTACTCTTGAGATAAATATGAGATTAAGCCAAAAACCGAGCAAAATAATGCTCACCTAAATTCGATCAGCTCTCCTTTCTTAACTTCAAGAATATTCGTACAGTGCCCTCCATCAGACGTCAGGGCTTGTTCAGAGCATTTGGTCAATTTTGAGTCGATAACTCCATCGAAAAACGGCGTCTCTGGATACTTGAACTCGATTCCATTTATAGCCGCGCCGATTGCGAAATTCATGTTGAGCTCGATGACGCGGTCAGGCTGTTCAGAAATGGATGGAGGCGGATGAGCAAAGCGAGACTCAAACTTGAGATCGCGTCTGAAGTCGACCACTGTTTTGCATTTTATGTCGCCGATTTTTTCGGATGGGCAGTTCAGGAAAAGCTTCTCAACCGTCTCGTTCTCAGAGTCGACATCGCTCTCTGTGATATCGACGGCATCTGGGTAGCTTGGGACTAATTGCTTCTCAACTTGGAATTCCTTGACGAGACCATCTCGAAGGATGCTGATCTTGACAAATGGCTGTTTTGTTGGTGTAGAGCTTTTGCCGATTCCCTCAAACATGATTTCAGCGATCAGCTCAAGTCGATCTTCTTCAAGCGGAAATTCCACTTCGATGTTGACAGTCTCTCCCACTCCCATGAAAATCCCGTCGCCCTCTTCAGGAAGGACTCTTCGACCATCAAGAGCAGTTAAAATCAATCTTCGGGCACCTCTGGCTCGGATGAAAATAGGCTGCTCAAAGCCAGCGTGAATTGTTTTTAGTTGAATTTTCTTTGTTGTTTTCGAAACACGGTGTTCTTCAAGCACGCTGAATTGAAATTTGTTCTTGTTGAACTGATCATCAGAATCGACGACTCGAAATTGTCCTCGTCCGTTAGCGACGATTGAGTCAACGCAAAGAGAACTCATCTTAACGCCTTTAACAAGATTCTCAAAATAAAAATCTATTTTTTTTAGTATCAAACTATTATTGAGTCTTTACTATCCCTAGAAACTCGATATAGAACCCTGTTCCTGTCATAAACGGTTTATCATCAGTTCGGCAGTGTTTCGTCCCAGCGCCAGTAAATCGCTTACCATTGGTGTTTCCATATCTATAAGGGTCGCTCGCAGCGAGATGAGTCGAGTCAGTGTTCCACCAATCTGTCAGAACAAGAGGCATCCAGCTTACTTCTTCGGCCTTTTCATCCTCGTCTAAAATGATGAATGCGCCGTGAAGCCCATCCGCGCGCTGAATTCCGTAGTGAGAGTGGTACCAATGAGTTCCCGAGTTCTCTGCTCGCATCACATAGGTAAATGAATTGTGCGCGTGGACAGGGCATTGAGAAAACATGGCCGCACCGTCATTCCAGTAGTTGTCGACCTGGTGCAATCCGTGCCAGTGGAGAGAAACTTAAGGGTATCTTGATAAAAAAAAAAACGACAAAATCGAAAGTGTGGAGGGGGGTCCTTAATATTTCTTGATCGACTTAAACACTTACATGACTCTTCATGCATAGTACTCTTGACCAGGGCTCTAAATCTGAGGCAAAAATCAAAAGTCCGGTCTGTCCAGGTCCGGGCACTTGGCCGAAATTTACAAGTCTGGTCTGGTCTGGTCCGAATTGGAAAACTCGGACTTTAAGTCTGGTCTAGTCCGGGAAAAGTCCGAAAAAGTCCGAAAAAGTCTGGTCCGAGAAAAAAGCCAAAAAATCCGGTCTAGTCCGGTCTAGTCCGAAAAAGTCCGAAAATTATTCGAAAAATTTTCGATAAAAAATTCGAATAAATTTCGAAATATTGTCGCTTAAGGCTACGGGTATCGATCAGGCTACGTTTGAGGCCGTATTCCTGAAAACCTGTAAATGGTGGAAGGTTTCTAATCATTTCCAGATAAAGAACTATCCTAGATCTTAATTTTGTCAGAAGGAAATTTTCTTCCTCTTAGGTTTTTTTAAGAAAATTTCGCGTCAAAGTTTTGATCTCGGTCGAAATTCGCCCGAAAACTGGCCGTATTCCGAGTAAAGTAGCCTGTAAACATGCATATTTTATATTTTTGTATGAAAGTTCGGACCTTTATCTTAATTTTGTCAGTAGCTTATTACGAGTGAATAAACTTTTATATCGAAAATAATTTTTGAAAATTTGATCTCGGCGATTTTTGCATTTTTTGAAAGTTAGATTCACGTTTTTGGCTCTAGAATCCAAAGTATCATGTTTCAAGTAAATCCAAGACCACCATGATATTTCTCGTGCTCTGAGCTTTCAAAAAAGGTCTCATTGATAAAAATTGAAGCCAAAAAATTTTTTTCGATCAAATTTCTAGCGCTCATATCTCGAAAACGACGAATGATCGCAGGTTACAATCTATTACAAAAATGCCTCAAATTTTGCCTAGAATTCAATGAAAGACAAAATAAATGTCTTACAGGCAATATAAACCCCTTTTCAAAATCGATACCCGTACCCTTAAGGACCCTTCCGTCAATTGATAATGACTTGTTCAAAAACGGATATCGGGTTGATCCCCTTTTTTTGAGATATTTTTTGATTCTTTCGTAGCTCGACAGTTGCTAGGGCACTAGAAGGAAAACAAACTCACAGGCCTCTTAAGGGTGTCACAACGATAAGTGAAAGTGAAAATATTTTTCAAGCATTTATATCATTATGATCACCTTAACTGATCAATTTTTTTATGATGAAAATTAAGCTTAAACCCTTTTCAAGGGCACCGCATCAAGTGTATGATGTTATCTTAAGGGTTTCACTTAGAAAAATGAAGACTTTTCGGACTTTTTCGGACTTAATTGGTCTGAAAATAAGTCTGTAAGTAGTCTGGAAGTGGTCAAGTCTTCTCGGACTTTCTCGGACTTCTCGGACTTTTCGGACTAAAACATAAGTCTGAAAGTGGTCCAGCTTTTTCGGACTTTTCGGACTTTTTCGGACTAAGTCCGGCGAAAAAGGCAAGTCTGGTCTGGTCTAGTCCGAAAATTTTCTCAGCCAAAAATCAGAAGTCTGGTCCGTCCGGCCGGGCTAGACCGGACAGACTTCGGACTACGTCCGAGCCTGGACTAGTCTATTTAGAGCCCTGCTCTTGACATGAATTTTCACAAGCGCTCCTTTGTTGACGATGATATTTGGACCGGGCATTTGGCCATTGATAGTAATAATTTTGCGCATCTGCTGCCCGTCGACGAGTAGGAGGTTTTCGAGCTCATCAAGTGGATTCCTCACTTTTCCGTTTTCGTCGATCACTTCTTCGACTCCTTTGTTGATTCCTTCTTGGACGATGTCGAAATTGTTACGCGTCTTGTTCCATCGAATCGGAAAATCTCGCAGCGCCCCTTTCGCATAATTCCTTTTCGAACCGTAGTCCGTCGTCCTCCAAGTCCCCGTCAGTCGATGCTCGATGTTCCAAAAGAACTCGCAGACAGAATCGCTGCATGGCCTTGTACAGGGCTCATCATAGTCGCAAATTACTTCCGCCGCAGAGAACGACAACAAGAGAAACAAAAACATTATTTTCAAAGTTGAACTGAATCTCTTTCCGAATTCGCCTTGGGAATGCTATTTATACTTTTCGTGAGTCGTAAATCAATAAACGGAACAGCATTTGACGTACTATCGTGATCATTTTTGATCTGGTTCATTAAATCGACTGTACATTGGACGCACAATCAAATCGATGTTATCAAGAACCGCGATTGCTATCGAGCGGTATTCTTGAAGTTCGCAAGGTACGAGTTTTTGATTAGTCAGTACTGCGAGTTTGAGCTGTCGATATGATCCGAACTGTAGCTGTTTTCCGTTTTATTGTAGACTCTTCAATGTAGAGTCTTGAAAAGTGTGGAGTTTAAGGGGGTAGAACTAGATTTATCGAAAATAAGTGATTTTCGGGAGAAAAACCTGTTTTTACAGATGATAAGGAAATTTCCTCAAAAATGTTGCTAGAAAAAGGGTTTAACTGTGTAATGAGATTTAAAAAATTTGGCTAGTCACGTGAATCGAGACATTTTAGGACGCAAAAAGGCTAAAATTTCGAATTTCGAAGAGATGGGTTGATATTCCGCCCTCTACCGCCAAAATGTGTTGACGAAAAAAAAAATTAAGAATATTGTTGTTAGATCTAAGTTTGCTCTATCTAAGGCCGAAGAGAGAATTTGAATATCTAAGCCTGCCTGGCTTTGAGCGCCGGTCTAGAATCGGCTATTTTCGAAAAAACCTAGTTCTACCCCCTTGAGAAGCAAAACAGAATAGAATCGGGACACCGAAAAAATGAAGCTTAATTGCCTTACAGTGGGTTGCGCCGGTAGTTGCCCCCTAAAGAGCGGGTGAAGGGGCAACCAAAGCTGCAATTGCAAAGGGGCAACCAACTGCGCAACCCACTGTAAGAGTTATGATAAAGTCAACTAACACCCATCTGACGAATAACAACATTTTGAAACCCGCCCTTATCCGCTTTGCCTAATTTTCATTCGCCGCAACATCTACCTTCGGCGTTAAAGATTACCCAATTCCACGCGGGAAAAATGGTGTTCACGGAAGTCTACGCTTAGCTGAGTTTTATCACAGCGTTGGGCGCTTATCTCCCCAGCAAGAGTTATTAATCCCTTTTCTTGATTAGTCTCGACGTTGGAGGCTATGTCCTGAGTCAGGAATTATTTTTGCAGCTTGAACTTGGCGTTTTGGAGAAGCTGCGAGATGGGCTCGCCCAAATCCGCCGCAAGTCGTTTGAGGTCAATCAAATCTTTGGCTAAACGAGATCTCCGAGATCGCTAGATTCATTCAAAGAATTTGAATTTAATTCTAGCGATCTCGAAAGAACAAAAAGAGTGTTTATACTGAATTTGCGAATTTTCAAATAAAGAAGTTTCATTAGGGGAAATTCTTTGTTCAGTAAAAATGGAGAAAGGGCTCTTGAATTTGAAGTCATTTGCGTTCCAAAATCGACCACGTCATTTCAAAATGCAGAATTTTGAGATCGATTAATAACCAATCTGTTCAAGAAGCCGCGCAAATTAGAAATACGTATTCCTCGGCTCTGGAATTCGCAACTAACCAAGTAGAACTGAAGTGGTTCCAGCAATGCTTTGCAGAACGAGTCATTTTCCCGCTATTTTTCGGCTCTTTCAGGCCCAAAAAATTATCGGCTTTTCGAAAAAAGCCGCCAATAAAAGACTTTTTTGCGTCATCTTTTTTTTTCTTTTAATTCAATAACGAGATTAGCCCTTCAAAATTACGAGAGAGGAAGCGCTCGTGAAAATACGCCCTCGTCAGAAAATCATGGTTGATCTGGTGTTTGGGCAAGAGTGGCTAAGGAGCGGGAAATTGCGACCAAGCCGCCGGATTTTTTTTCTTGAGCCGCTCGACCGGCTCGCCCGTAATTGCCAGATTTACATAATCAAAAGGACGCGTGGTTACCTGTTTTGGAAAGTTGGGTCTTTCCAGCTCTCGAAGAAATAGAAGCATAGGGCGTTTACGCTGAGTCATAGCAACTACCGGAGCCACCTGGGCTGAGCATCCTGTGTAGAAAACCTGAGTCAGGGTCTAAAATATTTCAATTGAAAAGACAAGTAGCGGCTTTTTTAAAAGCGTAGCCGCGATGAAGGCTTTTCAAAAGGGATCTTTGAGACCCTGACTCTGGTTTTCTACGCATGTTTGCAAAAAAATCAAGAAAACGAAAACTTCCTTGAAAAGATTTGGACAGGTGCCTTTTCGATGAACCACAAATTGTTGGGATTTTACAAGACGTGAGGATAATTTACAAAAAAATTATATATCAACTGGGAAATTGAGCGAAAGCCGCAGAACACATATTCCGGGAAAAATGAAACGAACTGGTTGAATTATTTTGAAAAAAAAATTTATAAAAGAAATTAAGTCATTCTAAAATTTTAGAGAAAAAAGTTTGCTAAGGACAAAATTGCTTTGCCGGCAGTTCAGACGTGTCCCTAGGAAATGTTCTTTACGAGTCGGCCGGAGACTTTTCTTGTTCTCAAAATCTTTAGTTTCTTTAATTTATCTTTTTTAACTAGCAGTAGATCGGGTCTTGATTGAACGATCCCTATCTTTTTGCGGCTTTTTTCATTAAATCAGAAGCTCTACTCAGGAATCCTGAGTCAGGATTCTAAAAAGTCAGGTTTTAAACAGGCTATTCTTGAGAGATCTCAAAAAATAAATGAGTAGTTCTGAGATAATTTGAGAGTTGAAAACTAAACTTGGAGAAAATAATAGAACTGTCGTTCGGGAAAAGATCCGGAAAAAGCGCTTCCTGATTGATTCCAGAAAATAAAATAATCATTTTTTTCGAAAAGTCATGTTTTAAAGTCGTCTACAGAACAAACCAGGAAGGCGCAAATGTTCTTGAGGGTTCAAATTGAATTCAAACGGAAGGTTTTTTTTATGTTTTGTATTGCATTATTGTTTTATTGAAAAAGTGCCGTAACTAAGATTAGCAGGGACTTAATGAGTTTTATCGTTCTTTCCAAGTCATCACGGAGGAAGTTTTTGATCGAGCTAAGCTTGTTTTCTAGCGCTCTAAACACTCCAGTGACGAAATCAACGCTGGGCTAGGCTTTAAATTTTTGATATAATTCTAAAATATTTTTTAAAAAAGCGATATGAAAAGCTCTAGAAATCACGTTTGAAAATAGCCGTTATGAGTTGTCACGAGAAAAGAATGGGTTGAGCCTGGGCTAAGCAAGCGCATTCTCACGTGTCTAGCCGCTATTTTTTAGAAGAAGAGTATGCATTCTGCGTGATTTTAGTCGAATTACTTTATGCTTCGATTTGAAGGATTTAGCGTTTAGCATAATTTAGGTGGCCACTTGTTCAGGCATTTCAAAAATGCCTAAGAGGACGATTCGATTTTTTCTGCGAGTTCGACAAAATATTATTTTTAGAAAGAAGGCTTTGAAAACTGCTTTTTTGTCTTCAAAAGAGCGGCTTAAATTATTTGGCTTTAATTAATGTCTAATTCGCCATTGCATCTTTCTTCAAAGAATAATTTTTAGCGCGGCTTTTTTTTTGAAATTTTTAAAAAAATTTCTTATGAAAAAAGAGAAGTGGATTGTGGTCTTGCTTTTCTTGTTTATTACGCGCCGGTAATCTTAAAAATATGCAATTTTAGTCGAGATTAGTTAGCGCTCAAAAGAACGACGCATAATTAGAGAAACAAAACGAATCTTTTTTTCTAAGTCGGAATCAAGCCCGTTTCCGCTTGTAACATTACTTCAGTAAAACACCGCGAAGGAACAAGAGGCAGCTAAAAGGGCTGGATGCTCCAAGAGTTGTTTAGCGTTTTGAAAAAAAAAAGAGTTGTCCGCGGCGGCCAAAAATAAATAAAATTGACTTTGGAAGGAAAGAGCCACGCAGCGAACGCGTCTAGGCAGGGTTTCGTAAATCGGATAGTCACCCGAGCAATTACGAAATCCGCCAAAATGCCGTCTCGCCTGAAGAAGAAAGGACGGCTTCGTACTGTTTTGATCATATAATAGAAAGTACTATGCAGCATAGTCTATGCTAAAAAGTGCTATATTTTTATAACATTCTGAGCTGTAGAAGCTTTAAAAGCAAATGTCTCAGTATGTCAAGTACGAGAGGGCTCCCCTTAAATTATTGTTAAATCGTGGCCAATTCGCCCTTTTAACTTTTGATAGAGCGTACCCCTGTATTCTTAGAATCTTGAAAATGACGACGTGACATCGCAAATGAGTCATCTCTGCTTCATCTATACATTATCACGTCGTCATTTTTAACTCTTGAATAATACAGGGGTACGTTATATCAGAAGTTAAGGGGGCAATGGGGCACGATTTAAAGACAATTTAAGGGGGGGGGCGTTCGTTTTCCGACATTGTCAATGTGAACCTGGTGGTTAAACTCACCAGTGGTAAACCGAAATTATCTGGTGAAAAGCATAAATAAACGCTCGGGCATCTGAAATGCTTAGATCGGCTTTTGCTTAGGAAGTTAATTTACGGTAAATGAATTTAAACAACGTTGTTTGGTATCGAAGCAGACATGTTCCGTAATACCGAGACCGCAAAAGACGCTTTGACAATCGAATAGATGAAAGAGAAAAGTGTTTTGATAATCTTGTCAATTTGAGCAGAGTTCATTTCGACAATAAATTAAGACTTGGAATTTGGCATTTTTTGATGAGCTTATCTTTTTGGGAAAAACAATTTTTGTATTTTTGAAGCGCGAAAGAAATTGAATTAGAAAAGGGTGGCTGAAAATTGCGACATTAGCTCGTCATAAAAAGTACATGCTCGCATATCAAAAGTTTTAATTTCTTCCCAGAGCTTGCGTAAGATAACGATTTTCTCACATTCCAAAAATCACGAGAAGTTTCTAAAAATGATTTTCGAGAAATTCATTTTCATATTCCTCCCGATATTTATATGTCTTATATATTACAAGTAAGGGAGGATAGAAATATTATGACTTATAATTTATAAGTCATAAGCCCCTGGGCTTGGCAGGCAAGCCTCGGCTGCAGACTGCAAATGTATTGAGATTATGTGGAATTTTCGCGCAAAATGCGCTTTTGCGCGCAATTTTGCGGAAAAATTGCGGAAATTTTTGGGGCTGATTTTGCGCTGTTTTGCGCTGCAGAATGAAAAATCCCGCATTTTGCGCTATTTTGCGGATTTTGCGCTGCGGATCCACATCCCTGGCTGCAGTGTTTGAAAAAATGGCGAGCGCTCATGCTCACTCACTCACCTTAATTTCGAGAACCTCTGCTCGCGCTCACTCACTCCCCATAATAAATTTATCTCAAGGTCCCTGCTTGCGCTCACTCGCGCTCGCTCACAGTTATTTTTAGTAAATTCACCCTCAAGACAAATTTATTTAATAATCATGAAATCTATTTTAATAGTATCTTTTTATTTGGTAAGAATAATAATTATAAATTTTTTATAGGTTTAAGTCCTTCAAACTTAAAAGCATTCGATTTTTTTTTAAAAACTCAATGAAAACGTTGCTGAAAAACAGCGAGTGAGCGCGAGCGAGCGCTCATGCTCGCTAACTCAGAGAAAAATCCCGGTATCTGCGCTCGCGCTCGCTCGCTCACGAAAAAAATCAAAAGGGTCTGCTCGCGCTTGCTCAATCATGTGAAAATTCTGGGGGCTTCTGCTCACGCTCACTTGCTCGCGAGAGTTTTGACCACTAGTTCAATTACTGCTTGGCTGTATGGGGGGGTCCCGGGGCGTAGCCCCTGGGTTTAGGTCAGGCTTAGGGGCTGCCTGACCGATAACCCCCTTCTATGAACCCTATATCGAGGACTTTTAATTTGAAAGTTTCAAATGATCATTTTTGCTTTGATTCTTTTATGATAAAAAATTTATTCCTCCCTGAGAGGGCAGTTGTCAATTGGTCTATAAGAAATATCTTATCAAGTAATCTCAAAAAAGCCTTCTCTCATGGATTGACTCAACATGATAAAATTATGATCCGAAAATGTTATTCCTTGAAATCGAACGTTACCCCAATTGTCCAATTCACGCTTTTCACCGATCGGGTTCGATAAAATACAGAAGCAAGTCGCGGGGTGGTAAAACTGAATTCTGGCTAAGTAATGATTTTATGAAAATTACGCGGCGGGGAGCACAAAAACGACCGCGTAAATCCGCGGCGCACCTCGCGCGCGCCACCATTTTTCCATCACTTTTCCCCATAAAAAGCTGGTTCTAGCGTCGATTCCCCATCAAAAACTAAAAACTTCGATAAGAAGCTAAAGAACCAAAAGAGAAACTTTTCCCTTCCACTCGAAAAAAAGACTTTCAAAATGAAACTTTTTTCTCTTTTTGCATTTTCCGCCGCCGCCGTCGCCCAAGACGTAGTCGTCGCTGATGACGGAATCGCCGCTGACGACGTCTGCTATTCCAACGGCGAAGAAGTCGCCTGCTCTGGTCTGGCCAGAGGTGGAAGAAACAACGCCGATGATTCGGAAGAACGAGGAATCGACCAAGTTCGAAGATATGCCGATTTGAAGGCGATCACCGCAAAGCTGTGGAAACTCAACGGCCACACTGGAAAGAACCGATTCGACGAGCGAAAATACTGGGCTTACGGGTGCCACTGCTATTTGCTCGGGGATCGACCTCTCTCTGAAATGGGAACTGGAGCGCCAAAGGTAAGAATCGAAAGAAATAGCTTCATTTTCATTTTCCTCTTTTATAATTCGAAATCAAAAAAAGGCAAAAAATTCTAGAGCCAAGATCTTCTTCTTTTCAACTCTAACTCTATTTTCCTCTAGGACGGTCTCGACAACAAATGCAAAGCCTACAAAGACTGCCAAAAGTGCGTCCGGGAAAAGCACGGCGACACCTGCATCGGCGAGTTCGTCAAGTACGTCTGGAAATACGCCGGGAAACGAGGCCGCTTCGAGTCCACCAACGCCGAGGGCTCCTGCGAACGAGAACTTTTCCAGTGTGATCTTCAGTTTGCCAAGGATACGCTCGCCGTCAAGGACGTCTTCGACGAGTCTTACCACGCTTTCTGGGGCGGATTCGACAACCGGGACCCAGACAACTGCCCTTCCAACGGAGGAGTTCCAGTTGAGCACGAGTGCTGTGGCGGATATGATCGCGAATAGTAAGTCTTAAGGAAATCGACCACTTTTTTTTAATTTTTGGGATCATCCCCTTTTTCTTACAAAAAATGCTCATTCTCACCAAAAATTCTAGCCACTGGATCGGTCTCAACAAAAAGCAGTGCTGCCCGACCTCCGATGGCTACAGTGGCGTCCCCAAAAGCATCAACGAGTCCTGCTAAAACTTGAAAATCTAGCAAACAAAAAACCAAGACACAGATGCAAATCTGAACATTTCCGCCTGTCCAAACTTGTCCATCAATAACACTTGTAAATACGTATCGATGAATAAATTCAACCATTTTTTTATTTCAGCGCGAAAAGACCTGAATCGCTCTCCGCCATTCTTTTGAAATCGGCAAAGGAAATTTCGTCTTTTTTGATTCCGGCGAAGAGTTTTTGAACATTTCGTAGCATTTGTTCTTCTGACACTTTTTTATTGATTTTTGAAAGGGCCAAAAAGACGCCTTGGACTTCTGATTTGTCGACTTTTCCGTTGCCATCTGCGTCGAAGAGGTTGAAAATCCATTTCAGCTTTCTCTTTTTAAGAATTTTCAAAATATAAATGAAGAAAAAACAAAAAAGAGAAAATCCCTTTCCTCAAAACTGCAGCGACTGAGAGACATGGCAGAAATAAACTCTTCGAAATCGATGCTTCCATTTCCATCCCTATCATAAGCATTGAAGACGATCAGCGCAAAGTCTTCTGGATCCCCGGTCGGAAAAATTTTCGAAAAAATTTTGAGAAATTCTGCTTTTTTAAGAGCGCCTCGAGGACAATCTCGGCGAAATCCGCGGTAGAGATGGTCGATTTCCGCGAAGGAATCTCAAATTTATATTGCTTTTCGGAGGATTCGGTTAACTTACAGTCAGTCTTATTTTTAGCTCTAGAAATGAGTTAGTAAACCCTATTTTAGGAAAATTAAAGCTTCAAAAAAGTCTGAGCTTGAAATTTTTTTCTTAAAATTCGACGCCAAAAATGTATTTTAAAAAATTCTAGAGCCAAAATCTTGAGGCTTATTCTTTTCAATTTTCTTGCGCTCAGCTTCGATTCTTTCCCTCCCATCTTCTTCCTTTCTTTTCAATGCTCTTTTTATAAATTCTTGATGCTTTTTCAGGCATTTCTCTGAAGAAGAGGAAGAATAATAATGCTAATTTATCGCCTCAGATTTTCAGGTTCCCGATGAAACGACCTAGTTAATCTCTCTCTTAACCTTCACGTCGTCAGGCCATTTTTGGAAGTTTTTGTTTAACTAAAAAGCTGGCAACTTTGGCAACGTTATTTTATTAATCACAATGATAAGAAGGAAAAGTAGAGTCACAGTGGAATTGTACAGAAATCTTGGAATTGAAATTATTCTAGAGCGGCTTAATTATTTTTCGTTTCGATGAAGGCGACTTCTTCTCGGCTTGAAAAGTCTGGGTCGGGAATTTTCGGAAATTTTGAAGAAAGCGATTTGGGTGTAAAAGCGACGATGGCGAATGTCATCAGCGCTAGGAAAAAAATGAGAAGGGTAAGTATGATTTGATCTAACCAGAGACGACGACCATGATTGCGGCAATCCATAATGAAAGAGTCATGTTTCCGACTGCATCGTTAATTGACCCAAATGTTACGGGGGCGATGACACCGAGAATTCCATTGAATCCAGTTGATAACCCAAGGGCGATCATAAACGCACCTGGCTTCCTGAAAATAAAACTTCATTAAAACCCATTATTTTTTTATCCCTCACCCGATCGCGACCATAATATCATCAAGAACAACAAAGCTCAATCCTCCAAATCCGCCCTGGAAGATGCCCGAAAGTGCCGAAAGAACAAGCAAAAACGTAAAATTGGAGCACATCGGGAAGCCTAAGAAAATCACCCCAAGCGCCAGGAAAGTTCCTCCAAGAAGATGAGTTCTGTTGATTTTCTCCCAGTCGCCAAGCCAGCCGAAAGGAATACGGAAGAGAAGTTCAGCAACGCCCATCGCCATCACAATCATGGCTGAGGTACTAGAGGTAACTCCTAGCTCAGATTCGGCGAAGGGAACAACGAGGAGCAGACAGCCCATGTATCTGAAAAAGAATTAAATGCTGCTTTTCTTTGAAACTCACCCTGCAAAGAAAATTCCTTGGGAGAAAAAGAAGAGCAAAAAAGCCGGATGGCTGAAAAAGCTGAAATCGACGGCAGGGGCAGATTCATTCTCCTCGTTGTTTTCGAGTTTCTGATTTTCCTCTTCGATCTTTTTGTCTTCTTCGCTGCTGATGATTGTTGGTCGGTAGAGAGCACTGGCGGCGACGATGTTGAAGATGATTCCAGCGATTACGACGAAGCAGCCGCGGATGGAGTATTCCTTGACGAGAATCGGTAGAAGAGCGCCAAGGGCAAATTGCATGACAGAGACTCCGCAGGCCCTTAACTTTTTTCAAGGGGGCGTTTTGAAAACCATAAAAGATTTTCCCGTTCAAAAATATCGCAAAAATTTTTGTCAAATCTATGATCTAAATATTTAAATTTCTATAAAATTGGAATTTTTCCCTGAAAAGTTTATGCATCTCTCCATTTCACTTGTTGGAATAAAAACTTACGAAAGCTGATTAGCAAAAGTCTTCTTCTCCAAAAAATATCTTCCAATGATACCCGGCGCGGCAAGATACACCACTCCGAGCGCAAAAAGAGCGACGAAGATGCATGCCAAGACGATCGTGATACTATTCACCAGTCCACAGATAAAGAAAGCAAGAGTACAGACGACGCCAAAGATCATCGATCCTTCGCGATAGCCAATAATTCCTAAGACAGCTCCTCCAGCAAGACCGCCAATGGAATATCCTAGCATTCCCAGTCCAGGTGCCAGCATCGCGACTTTGATTTTATGATTATTTTTAGGGTTAGGGTTAGGGGTTTTTCGGGGCAAAATTTGCGCGTAAATAAATTTTACCTGTGCTAGAAACGCCATAATACGCTCGAATCGGATTTAGTAGCAGACTGAAAACCCTCAACAATCCAAAAGCCAGTCCATAAGCAATGAAAACGCCGCCAACAACTATCCAAGCTTGCGACCCACTAGAATTTTTTTCCCCTCAAAAAGTTTCAAAAGTCTTTTGACTCACCCATCCGGATGCGTTTTGTACTGTTTCGGCGGTCCAAAGAGGCCCATCTTTGTTCTTTTGAAGAAATCTCTGAGGTGCTCGTGGCGCTTCTATTGAAGGAAAAAATTAGCGAGAAAAATTCAAAAGTTTGATGATCCAAAGGTCGCAGTAGAAAGAGCAGCGCTGGTTAGAGTTGACTGTTGATATTTGTAAATATTTGCTCTTGCTAATACGCTCTTTCGAATACGGGCGGGCTGACTTTATAGCAAGTCCGGAAATGAGTTTCTTTTTGAAAAAATATGATTCAGAAAAAAAGGTGAATTCGATTTATGAAAAAGTCAATCGTGTCTGAAAAAAATTTCAAGAAAACCGAAATTAACGATGATTATTTAAAAAATTGATAAAATTTGATTTTTTTCTGCAATTTTATTAATTCAAATTCGATTTTGAAAGAAAAATGTCAAAAAAAAAATTCATTAAAAAACCCCTAAAAATTGATTAATTCAAAAATTTTTGTATTAAAAATTCACAGTAATAATTTTTATACTGAAAGACGGGAGATATCTTGATTATTTTTTTTTAAATTATCTCTTTATTTTCTCATTCGAAAAATAGATTGTTCCCCCTGTACCCGCCGCTGAAAAACGTCAGAACCGAGCGATATCAAATTTATCACTCGTTCCCACTGGGCCAGCCTCATTCCTCGACCTCCAGACACGGCTTAGTCAATTGGATTTACCGGTTCATTCGTTGCGCAATCGTCACTTTTGTACACATCTGGAACTACTTTATTTTTGCGCTTGAAAAGGGTCGAATCGCCCGGAAGATAAAAAATGGCTTTTTCAAGTTCATTTTTGAGATGAGAAAATTTCAATTTTGAAAAAGTTTGAACTCTAAATTTGGGAAGTGATGTCATCCTCCTGCTCTCTATCTGTCTGGACTTTGAGCCCGTATCGACGAAAAGGGATCATCCCTCAGATTCAAGCTTGAGAAATACAATAAGCGCATAGCGTGTTTGTTTTCTGATTTCCGTCCATTTTTCACTCGAAAAGGCCTGAGTCAAAATTTTGCTTTTACTAAAAATATCAAAAAAAGCAAAAAAAAAAGGGTCAAAAAAGCCGCAAAAAAGAAATTTTGTCAAAAGTATCAATAAAAAATAATTGAAAACTTACTTCTTTGATAATTTGTTCTTCATAAGACGACTTCCTCTTGAACGACATTCTTCGATTCCTCTTAGAATCTGCTTCTTCTTATTCTCATCGAAAATAGAAAAAAATGGGAAAAATGTCAGTTGTTTTTTCTTTGGGAAAAATCCGGGCGAAAAATGGGGCCACCTCCAGCTGAGAAATTGCGCCCTGAAGCGTGACCTATTAAGGGACTCCATGTCCGCCTTTTTTTCTCAGAAAAGGGGATAAAAATGAGTCATCTGATCTATTTCAGAAAATTTTCTGCAGGCAGTTATCAAAAATTGCTGATCTTATCATAGAAAAATCGTTAAATAAAGCGCTCAAGTTTATAATTACAAGCTATAAATTTGTCTTGTTGCATGTTGAGCAACGGATTTTATTGCAGAGAAAGAGGAGCGGAAGATGAAGTGTATTTTTATCTTATTTGTAAGTTTTCGAATTGAGATTTGAGTTTAATTTCCAGGTCTTTTTCATGAAAGACACGGTAGCTGCCGGAGGCTGTTCTCTTTTCGAAGTTTCTTGTGGAGGAACTGCTGCTGAAATCTCCCTGTTACGGCTTATTTGAGATAAAAGAATCAAATTTTTCTAAAAAATAAGCCCAAAAAAAGAATGAATCATGTTACGATGAAGAAGTTAGGGCCTTCTCAAAATCACTGGAAAATATTTTTGTTGGTAAAATCAACTTATTCTTTGCCATGTTCCCAAGTTTCGAGTTTTCAGCGAATTCCGCCGAAGGAAATCTTACAAACGAATGCGATCTTGCTGTTTCGACTACTGCTTCTTACGCGGACTGTTTTCTTGAGGAGCAGATCAATAATGACAGTTAAATGCTAGAATTTACATAGAAGCGAAAATTTTTAGAAAACTATTCGGCGATGATAATGCACAGAGACCAAATCAACGGAATCGACGTTTTTATGTTGGTTCAAGACATTTTGTGCAGCAAAACATGGCTTGAAGAAAATTCTAGTATTAACAATACAAGATCAGGTATTGCAGTCTTTTTTTTTCTTTCGCCGATTATTTTTTAGCTTTCTTGAGCTCTGGTCAGCAATCAGTCGGACAAATACCAGGCAGTGCTCCAAATATAACGCTTCTGATTGAAGGTTTTTATTGAAAAAAAGAAGAAAAAATTGACGATTTCTAGGGGGCGATAAAATTGGAGAAAATATGATCATTTCTGTCGCAAATATTTCTGAAACTCTTTCAGCTGAATTTGTCGACTGTGACCTCCATGCGAAAAGCATAACTTGTAAGCAGAGGCGTTCTTCAGCTTCAAATCTTCTTTTCAGTACCAATCATCAAAAACAAAACGACAACGAGCGTCGGAGAATATCTAAAAACGACGGTTTCGACGAGCTCTTCTTTCAATATGCTTCGATTTTCTATGGACATCGACGAGCTCACTGCTTTTGAAGTCAAATGTGAAGTTCTTTTGAATGAAAATGAAGGCTCTGTCGAATCTTCTGGTTCCGGTGAAGGTTCTGGTTGGCAACTGGCATGTTCATTTGGATGAGTCGTTTATAGGCAAGTCTAGCAGGGCAGTTCTTTCCGAAGCCAAGTGGAGGCTCCATCTTGCGCAGCATCTCAAACATGTCAGTATATTTTATGAAGCCAGTCGCTTTCAGGTCGTTGTCAGCCAAGACCCTGATGAACTCGTCCAACTAATGCGGGCCGAGTTCAACATCATGAAACTCATAAGAAAGACGAAAGAAGTGAAGTAGAAGTATGCAAACTTCGACCCACATCTCGGATCGGGAAGTATACAATTAGCCCGGGTCTCAGACCTGGGATTCGTTTAAAAGTGACGCCCGGGTCTCAGACCCGGGATACCCCCTCAGAAGTGACGCCCGGGTCCAATACCTAGGATTCCGGTATTGGATACCCGGGCGTCACTTTTGAAACGAGTCTCGGGTCTGAGACCCGGGTTAATTGCATCCTTCCCTCGGATCGGGCTCATCTTGAGGTCGGAAAATGAGTTGAATGCTTTTACAAATAAGTGATTCCGATCGACTCAGTGATTGAGAACTCTCAGGAAGGTTATTGTTAAAATCGGTAAAAAATATTATTTTTATAGTCATAGACTATGACTCGATTTACTGCGTGAATAGGCCGCTCTCGCACTCTCTTTCTTTGACCCCATGAAATTCAAACTAGCGTTTCTTTTCCGGTCCTTTTCCTGTCTTTTCCGAGACTTTTCTCCTGTTTTTTTTCAACGCAAAACTCTGGAAGTACATGTAGAGACTGTTTTTCTTCAGAATGCCGACGATAAAATGCGTCGTAGTTGGCGACGGAGCCGTTGGTAAAACTTGCCTTCTCACTACGTATAAAACGAATAAATTTCCAAGCGAATACGTGCCAACATGTAGAACAGACTTTTTTCTTTGCTTATGAATTGAATTTGGTTAGTTTTCGACAATTACGCTGTGACAGTCATGATCGGTGGAGAACCTTACACGCTGGGGCTTTTCGATACGGATTCCCAGGAAATTTGCGACAAGTGAGTAGTCTGGCTGGGCCGAGCGCTGCCGACAAAAGGCCAAACATAAAACTATGACTCGCCCAGCGTGATATGGGCTGATTCTTCGGCTAGACCAAAGAATCGATGCTTACAATAACACTGATTCTTCGGCTAATTGAGAATTGCCTAAAAGGATTAACCGAAGGATAAATGATAAAATTGACAGTGATTCTTCGGCAAATTTTTTAGAATCCATTATCAAAATTCTTTTGATAAATCTTTGATTGTAACGTATGAGTCATAACTTAAGAACAAGACATTTTCTAGGGAAAAAACTTATTTTAACAATAAGCATTTGCTATAATTTGAGGCTAGTGTTAGGGGGCACTGGGCAAAGTGACATAATAAACTCACCCGAGGGGGATAGGCTAGGGTTAGTTAGGGTAACTGAAGGTAACCCTAAGTAACCCAAGACTAGGCCCCGGCATTTTAGGACCTAAGGGGCGGAGCCCCGTGGTAAGGGGCACAGGAATCTGTGAATAAACTCATCTTAGCCGAAGAATCAGTGTTCTTACACGCATGAATCCTTCGGCCTCCAAGCCGAAGAATAAGGCCGTATCACTTCGCTAAGGGGTTTGGATTCGCTTAGCGAATTCGCTTTCGCTCTTTGTAATTTCAATTTGCTTCGCTCCGCTCTCGCTTTCGAACTTTTGGTTCGCTTCGCTTTCGCTTAAAATTTTTGAAAAATTTTCGCTTTCGCTTTTCATTTTCGGCCAAAATCCAGACCCCTGACTCGCCGTGATAATCCACTGACACTGTACCGGTACATTAAGATTGCGACCACTAATCTACTCCGATACAGGTGTCTTCCTCGTCTGTTTCTCAGTGGTGGCGCCGAGTTCCTTCGAAAAAATAAAAGAAAAATGGGTTCCTGAAATCGCTCACCATTGTCCAAAGACGCCCTTTTTACTCGTAGGAGGCCACATTTCTTCCCTCTTTTAACACTAAAATTAAAGGTTGGCACTCAAGCGGATCTGAGAGAAGACGGTGGAACTATCGAGAAGCTGGCGAAACAGAAGCAGGAGCCGATCAAGTTTGAATAAGGAGAAAAACTAGCCAAAGAGCTGAAAGCAGCCAGATACGTCGAGTGTTCCGCCCTAACTCAAACAGGTGAGCGTCTTTTCGGAAAAGCTCTTTGTAAAATTGTTCAGGTCTTAAAAACGTGTTCGATGAAGCGGTATTAGCGGCACTGGAGCCTCCCCAACAAAAACCGAGCAAGAAATCTAAGTGTAGTATTGTATAGTTATTTTCATCCTTTCTTCATTTTCTTTATTCTGTTACAGAAATCCAGCATCCCGGCCAGGGAGATGAAATGAAATCAGAAGCAATGATCGTGTCTTCGGATTTTATCTTTGGCTGAAATTTGAAATTTCGTAGAAGCGTCGCTAGAACCAGTTTCAGTTCGATCATCGCAAATTTTTGACCGATGCAATTTCTGGGGCCCGCGGAAAAGGGAATGAAAGCGTAAGGATGGCGTCTTTCTTCAGATGACCAGCGGGAAGGATTGAAAGTAAATGCATTTGGAAAATGTTTTTCGCTGAAAAAATTACAATTATAATTCTTTTTGATGCCAACCTGTGATGGATGAAATCTGCGTTAATGGAAATAGAAGCTGTTTCGGAAATATGAATGTCTCCTTCTGATGACTTCAGTGGCGACTCGTTTACTTTTCTGAAATACTCTCGCACTGGGGCTCGAAGTCGTAGTGTTTCTTTGATGCATTGCTCCAGATACGTCATGCTTTTCAGATCTTCCATTTCGATAGCGCGATCTTAGAATTGAAGATTTTCAAATTTCCCTCAATTCATAAAAATTCAATACCTGAGTCGCCATAAATACTATCTTGTTCCTTCAAAACCTTCGCCAGAACTTCCTTGTTTTCCGTGATGAATTGAAGCGCAAAAACAGACGTAGCAGTTGTTGTATCGTGACCGGCGAACATAAACACTTCCATTTCTTCCTTGACGCCTTCCCAGTCGATTTCGTTCTGCTCAAAGTGCGAGTAAAGAAGATTGTCAAGAAACGGGAGGGCTCGCTTGATTTTTCCAGCTTTTTCGACGGTTCAAGAGGGCTTAACTCTAGAAATTTCAAGAAATTTGAGCCGCTCCTTCAAATGATTCTTTGATTTCCTGAATTTCCTCTTTATTCAAAGATTTGAACATCTTGACTCGTTTCTCCAAAATATCATCCGTAAAATCATGAAGTCTTTTGATGATTCCTCTTTGCTTGACCCCCTCAGAAGTCAGGTAAAAGAAAAATTTCTCAAACCAGTAGACTGGGTTATTCGATCGAACTCGGAGGGATCGTTTGATTTTGTCAACGTCTTTTCGGTATCGCTCTGCGAGAGGGTCGTTGTAGTTGAGTTTGAAGCCCATCGCGGTGTAGTTGATGATTTGAAGAGAAAGCTGGAAAATAAGAGGTGAGATAATTTCTTATTCAAGCTTACCTTGTTGAATTCATCATGAAACTCGAACTCCTTGATCCCTTCTTTAACCCTCTTTGTCAGCGATTCTTTGTACTCATCGACGATTTCTCGCATCACTAGAATCTTTTTACCGCCTTCAATAAACTAATCCTCTTACTAAGAAAATAGCTGGACAAAATGTTGAAATGAAAAGCCGAATTGAGATTTCGTCTTCTATGTTGCCACTTTTTCCCGGCCGAAATCAGCACGCCATCACCAAGCCACGGTTTCAGAAAATCGTATCCAAAGTTTTTCTCTCGATTCACTTGAGATCTCAACAGAGCTTCGAGACAGGGAGCTTCGTGGACGAAAACGAAGGGAGTCAGCCCGAGAAAAATGTAAATGGGCCCTTTTTCGCCGTATCTGTCTTGCATCAGCCTCATGTTTCGCATTTCCCATGTTCGGAAGAGGCCGATTTGGTTCGGATCTGGAGCGTCAAAGATTCCACCGAGAAGCCAGTGGTTTGGGAAGATGTCTGAATCGACAATCCTGGCGCCTCGCATCCCCTTAGTGAAAAAGAATACGTCACTGTCTGGTAGACAATTCTTGTTAATGATTTTTAAAGTGTTCCTTACCCACATTCTCCTGCATTTTTCCAAGAAGAAAAGCAGAATTACGATTGTAGTCGAAATCACTCCACAAAACACTCCAAAAGAAATTTCATCTCTCAGCAAAAAAGTGCAAAAAAGCACCTGACCGATGACAAATATCGGCGTTAAAATTTCAATCATTAGCTACAGAGTTTGGATGAACGGAGAAAATAAGTTTTATGGGAGTTTCCATTTTGTGATGGGCGTGATTTAGCACAAATAGTAGAGCCTCCAGTTTGTAGATACTTGGGCAAATAAAACAGTTCTATTTCGGTCTACAGGTAAATATACGAATTAAGATTTTTTTGTGTGAAAAATGTGAATTTCGGCAAGTGTAATCCGCTTTATCGGGCTTTTCCTCCGCCGAGTCACGTCGCTAATCGCCTTTTCTCCCTGCAGGAGAGCACCTGATAAGCCTGTTTAACATAAATCAGTTATGTTTTGCTCCGATTCCAACTTCTTTTTCCATTTTTTTTCCCATTTCAAACAAATGCTTTATTCGCAAAAAGCCACTTAAAAAATCACTTTCTGGTGAATAAATTGTGTTTGAGCGTATTCGTAAAGCTGCCGTCCGTACCCGGATTATACGTTGATCTCGCTTCCGGATTCGTTCTTCCCAGATCATTCTTTCGAGCGCGAAGGAATAAATACAAAAAAGGTTGGGATTTTTCATTCTGTTGAAATGGCTACCTGCTTGTTTTTAAGAATAAGGGTGTCGCTACGAAAAAATAATTGTAAGCGAAAAACGAAATTTGACCAAGAAAAAGTCAAGAATTTGCACTAGAAAAATAATTTTTCTGTAAAATGGACCGGGCGAGTGCCGGAAAGAAAATATTTAAGAGAGAGGAAGTCCGGTGCCAAATCGCCGAAAATCGCATCGGATCAACTCCGAGAAACCAAAAAGCCCTTTAGCCTGCCCTAGAATGGCCAAATCCAATAAGCCCGTAACACGCTACCCTTAATCGAATAGCCATCCAGCAAAAGCAACAATTCATCAAATAAAATCTTAATTTTAAAAAACCCTTATTTTTTTTATTTTTTGCTAAAATATTTTTTTGAGAAACTATTTTTTTAAAAAATTAAAATTTTATAAATAAACCTGTCTTTTTTTCATGTAAAATGTGATTTTTCATGTTCAGAAGCTTATTTTGGTGTATTTATTTTTACTCTCAAGATGATGGTATTCGAAAATAAGGGTGGTGTAGCAGAACTTAGTCAAAACAACTTGAACGGACCCTCGTGACCTGTCAGATCAGTTCTAATCGCCGTCAAAGTCGGGTGCCGGCTCCTTTTTCAGTCTCAGCGCCGAGATTTTCTAAAATCTTACAAAGAGGATGAGCTTTAAGGGTACTACCGTCGGTGTCCCAAATGACTGTGAATGTTAATTTTTAATCGAATATGGATTCTTCATAAAATTTTGATCTAAAAAGGTCCGAAAATTTCATTCATAACGTTTACCGTTTTCATGAAAATACGATTTTTTAACGATTTTAGTACTCAAAGGTATTTTTTCCGAAAAAATTCTTCGTGTCTGATTCTTTCAAATAAGTGCTTGTTTTGAAGCTCAGAGCAAGGCGACTTTCATTATGACTTACTCAATTCTTACAGTTCGCTATTTTAGCTTCTAGAGCCAAAAATGTGTCGCAAAATTTTAAAAAATGCTCAATTTTCGCAAAATCTGCGAGACACAATTTTCAAAAAATTATTTTTGGTATTTTTAGTTTTTCAATGAAAAATTCCTTCTGTAATTTTAAAGATTAAGGTTCAAATTTTATATAAAAAATATAAAAAGGCCAAGTTTTCAGACTAGTTTTTGAGTTATTCAACCGTTTATATAGGCCATTTTGGCGAAGATGACCACTTCAAGCCAAAATTTAGCCACTTTTCGGGCAAGCAATTAATAAACCCCTCTGTAATAGTTAAGATCTAAGACAGGTCTATTCAATGAGCCCATATGGACTCAGGTATTATTGTCAAGTTCCTAGTTATTCAAGGCCCAAGTTGGGGAAATCGAAGATAGTACCCTTAAGACTTCAAAATTCGCTTATTTCAAAAGTTGCCAGGCCGAGGAAAACTTCAACTCAAGTTTTGTAAATTGCAAAAAAGCGGAACTTAAAATTTCTCCGCCTCTTTTTTCAGGCTGCTTAAATTATTCAAATAGCCTTTGCATTTTTATATTTGCAAAACATAGTGACGCCCTTCCGCTTTTTCGAAAAAAACATTGCTTTACGCCTTTCCCGCTCTTTTCTCGATAAAAAAATTAAGGCTCCAAGGATCATTTTTAAAAAATCGAGAAGCCGCTTGCGGCTTCGAGTAAAAAAACATAAAACACCGCGTCAAGCGCGGCTTTTTGAATAGTTTTCTCGAAGCCGCAAACGGCTTTTCTCGACCTGGAAAAATCGAAAATCATGAAAAATGAAGCTTTTGATTGAGCAATTTCAGACTGGAGCGCCAAAATCAAAGATCAAAAAAGTGGTTTAAAAGTATTTCGCCGCCTAAGAATCTTGTAGTGGCATATTTACATTTCGAAAACGAGCGGGTTCGGACATCCTCAGCGAACCTGGGAAGATCGGGCGAAATTGGCTTTTCGCTGTTTCTGAAACCTTAAAAAACGCGCAGCGGCCGAGCGCTGCGCCGCCGCGCCATGTTTGAGCGCCTCCACCACCAAACAGCTAGATTTTTTAAACGTTCTTGAATTTTTTGAACAAAATTACTTGCAATTATTTGTGCTCGAAAATGAATCCGATGGAAGAAAATATTAACTAAAGACAAAAAAAAAGAGAAAGCAAAAAATAAAAAAGAGAGGATAGTTGAAGATGATCGGAAGATGGGGATTGTGGATTAAGGTGCTCCATGCGCAAATTGTTATCAAAGGAAATAAGGGTCTTCTATTCGTGAAGATTATTTTTTCATGTTATGAAATCATTCATTCTCGAATAATTTCGTCTAAAAAGGCACAAAAATAAACGATTGTGAAAAAAAATTTCCTGTCCCTGATTGGTTGGTCAGCCCTAAAAAGGTTTTTTATAGGTCAAAAATTTAGAAATTGATTTTTTTCTTGGCATTTTCCGTTTTCATCCGATTTTTTAAAAAGGCGTTTATTTTGCTAATGACATCCTTAATTTATCATTTTTAATGCTCACGGATATTTCCCTGGTAGAAAGACCCTGAATCAGAAAAGCTTGTTCAAGAATGTGGCATGTTTGCATTTCACGAAAGGAGCTACGTCCCAGGTGTGAGGGATTACGATTTCGACCCTCGTTATCCCGTTGACAGTGTTTTGGTAAGTCACTCTCATCAGGGCCGAAAAGCGGGTTCAATCCACTCAGAGCTCCACGATCATTAGCGCCCGCCTGAGAAAGGGCTGGCTCGCGCGCTTTCTAGCATTTTTGGGAGGCCTGTATAAGTTTGCATAAATTTGGGGATGATCTGCGCCGCGATCTGCCGCTCGCTCCTGCTGCTCGAATGCGATTCCGGGCTCTTTTCTGAAATTATGTTTAAATTCAATTTTAGGATTGCATGGAACTCTGTTGCAACGAAAAGAGCTTCAGGTGCCAGAGTTTTAGCTATTGGAGACAGAATAGAATTTGCAATCTTATCAAGGAAAGGGTTGATTTTTTATTAATTTGATAATAAGGGGCCTAAAATAGGGGGCGAACCAGAAAATGGAAATGATCTTCTTGATTAGGGCTTTGATTGGCAGGTAGGCTCAATACAGCGATCTTATTGGCTATCCAAAAATGTACTTCCATTTTTCGGTTAAGTCCTAAAATAAGGGGAAGGGACAAGTCGGAAAATACTCGCGGCGATTTTCAACATAATTGTTCAAACCAATCAGATTTTTGCATTTGGCCAGTTGGCTAATCAGAACCCTGAATTTCTGAAATTCAACCCGGAAAAGTTCGAAGCAACGATCGGAAAATCCATCAAATCGGACATTCAGCAAAGCCAAAATTACGATTTCTACGCTCGCATTCCTTTCTTTAATGAAACCACTGAAACAGCTGTCTTTAACGATGGAAAATGCTACCAGAAAAGGTACAAAAGGGGAAAGCTCTTGAACACTTCAAGAAGTCGATCATTTGCTGCTTCAGATAAAATCTAAGGAACGTAGTTGTAGAAGAAGCCCTCTCAACGGTCGCATTTCTTTTGAGGGGCTTCGATCTCAGATAAGACATAATTATTATGTATCTCGCCAGGTTCAAAATGGTCTTATCTCTATCCTCTCTCTTTTCAAGCCGGTTTCGAATGTGTTGGACATTGATTTCATGACGTATTCTTTATTTTAAGACTCGAAGCCTTTCGCTGGCGCTGGGAAAACCCTCGTGTTCCGATGGAAATGGGCCCGTATGTTCCCGTCTGCGAGGAGGAAGGAGCCAAGTTCAAGACAAAACAGTGCGACACGCAGAAATATACTCAAGCTGCATTTCAAAATCAGTGGTCCGATTCGCCGAATTTCTCTTGTTTCTGCGTCGATCAGGAGGGAAATGAACTGGCGCTGACGAAATCGGGCCCGTCTGAGGCGGAGAATTTGGATTGCAGAGATGGGGAATTTTTTAGTCAGTATATTCAGGAAAACGCTTTGAAATTACCAAAATAGAAAATCAAAATGGCAAGGAACTTTCGAGAACGTAGAAAATCTCTGTTTCCGAAAAGCTTAAGGGTGTCCCCTTCAGTTTTCAAAATAACATGAATCGCCGATTTCGAGCGTTTCGAAGTGGCGGAAACAACATTTCGACGAGTGGCTGCCGAGTTTTGACCTTTATCTCAAGAAAAAACAGATTCCCGTCGACTTATCCGAAAGAGGTGAGTAAACAGTTTTTTTCTTTTCTGAACCGTTGAGAAATGCACCTTTTTGGTTGAATTTTGGCAACGCGCGCATACGCACAGATGAGGCCCGAAAATGAATATTTTTGGCCAATTAACGTACAAATCGCGATGAAAAATATGTTTCAGTTTGTCCGAACTCGGTTGCGCAGAGTGCTTGTCAAAATAGCGAGCGAGTTTGTTTCTCCGATTATTTTGGCTGCCGATTTTGTCACTGTCGGATTCCTTACTCAGGTAAAAATTTAACAAAAAACAGCCAATTTTCTCGATTCTTCTGTCAACTCTTAAATTCAGCTCTTATCGACGGAACTTGCGATATTCCCCGCGAACTACGCGAAAGTTGCCAGCAGCGTGACTTGATCGGCGGTGGCGAAATCACTTCCGTTTCTCGCTGCGCCTCGGCCGAGTGCTGCTTCGAAACGTCGGAAAGGACGCAGCGAGTCGAGTGCTTTAAAAAACGAGCGAAGGTGTCCGACGAAAGCCTGGTTCTCAACTGGGACGCGGACCGAATTTACATTAGCTATCTGTACAATCACTGGGTCAAAACTGTGCAACAATTCACTGCCGAGGCGAACAGTACTGGCCCGCCGCTGTTTCCCGGTGTTCAACATATGTATTTTTAGAAAATATAAAATAACAAATATCCTTATCAATTTGATGTCACCATATCCGCAACAAGAATAAAATGAGCAGTGAGAAGCTGCATTGGCAGATATTTATTTGAAAAAAACTGATCAATGATTTTCAAAAAGAAAATTCATGATTCTGAATTTTCCAGCGGTTGGGTTCCATTTATCAGAAATCCATACTTCAAGAGGTCCAGTAAAAAATTTTTCGCGGAGGTATTCTTTTTCCAGAAGAATGTCGCCGTCGTGATTGATCTGATGAAGGAGATTGCCAGTTTGATTGTTGTGGCTTTGAATGACCTACGGAAAAGGTAATGAAGAAGATCATTTAAATTTGACCTCGATAGATTTGAAGTTTTCAACTGGTCTAGTAACAGGTACTCTTATTTCATTTCTGTTTTTTATTTGAAGTTGTGACGATGATAGAGTCATCTTTTTTCCCCTCTGAGTTCCAAATTGAAAAAAATCCATCGCCAAAATGAGTGAAATTTCCGGAACCAGGAGTGTGTATCTTTTTTTTGAAATACAAATACCGTTTTGAATGGGGTTAATAAAAATGTTTTCGTTCCTGAAGGACATTATTCAGCGTGTTTCTGATATTTTCTGGAATCAGAAGATCAAGCTTCAGTCGAAATTCTTCAGTCGCAACAATCGTGCCCATGGTCGTATTCTCCCTCGGTTGAAATGGCTCTTCGCAAACGATAATTGTGCATTTTGCCGGGTCGATGCAGTATTTCAGACAAGGACTTGGCGGTTCAGCGCTCTCCCGATTTTTCTTCAAGACAAGAGGAACTGTGATGACAGTAATGACGATGGCGACCACAAGGGTAATGGAAAAAAATAAAATCAATTTTTTTCTTTTCATTTTTCCCTCTGACATATTTCGTCTAACTAAGACGGTCGAAGTACGATGATATTTAATGTATCGGGTGTTTGCTATTAGTCTTAAAGACCAGCAGTTGGCGATACCGATTCTCGCAGCAGGGTTTTTATCATTTTTTTTCTGCAGATAATTTGAAACTATCAAATGATATCAGGACAGATTTGTCGGTGTCCGAATTATTAAAGTTTGCTTCGTGGAGAAGTTCATGCCAGTAATTTGTTTTCAAATTTTTCCACCGTATTAACGCCAATGTCTAGTCGACAATCAAAGACAAAAATTATGATGGAGAATAAAATCTCCTTGTTTTGGATTCGGCTTGTGGCTTCAATAAACGTCTTAAAAGTCAAGCAACCACAACGGTTGGCCGCGCGGATCTCTCCCTCTTTCGCTATCTCAAAAGCAAAAAACAAGACTGTTAGGTTCACGCTTGAGCGATTTGATCATTTCAGATTCGCTCCGTATTCGCCAAGAGCAAAACCGACTTTTTCAAAAATAGGAAAAATTGCGGCGGAGGAGAAAATAAATTTTTTTGAAGATTTGGAGAGCTAATAATAGCGTCTGAAATTTGAAAAGCGTGAGAAAATTGAGAAGAAGAGAGAGTTTTAGAGAGTAATTTGGGCAATTTCGAGAAGTTGAAAAAAGGAGAAAATAGAAAAAAAGAGAAAATCAAATTCAGGTAAAAAAATTTTTGTTGTTGAAAAATTTTAAGTCAAAAATTTTCAAAATTTATATTATTTTTTCGTTTTATTTCCCTTTTTTGGGCTTTTTGTTTTCAGCTAACGGCGATTTCTCAAATTCCTCTTAAATCTCCGAAGATTATTAAATATGTGGGAATTTATTTATGGTAAATGTTCGGTTATTATAGATGCTAAGGTCAATTTGGCGAAAGTAATTCTCAAATTGGCTCATTGTGAATGGGAAAGAAGTCATCCCCCGCGGCGTGAGCTAAACGACTAGCCGCGCCTCGGGCGAGTTCGGAGTCGAAAACAAGATTTTTAACAGATTTCCCAACAAGAGAAAATAAAGACGCTAAAGAAAAGGTATCCCCTAAAATTTCTATTTTGGAGTGATTATTAGATGACTAGTTTGAAGAATGAGTGGGAGCTTAGGAGCATAAAAGAAGAAAAATGACGGCACTATAATTTTACGTGAATAGGGAAGCTTAGACAGCGCGAGACCAGAAGCTAAATAATAAAGTTTCTTAACAAAGGCCTTTTCTCATATTTGAACGATACACAGACGAAAATCGAGAAAGAAAGAATAGATTGAGAGAATATTTTTTTTTCAAATTCCAGAGTCAGAGAACTCGACAAAAAGAGATTTATCTTCCTTAAAAATTTTACTGATTCAAGAAATTTTCTCATTCTTTTTTTGTTTAATAAATTAAAAAAAGTATGAGCAATTTAATTTAATTCTTCGTAGATGCCGATCGCCTAAGATAAGAAAATCTGGATGATCTGTTAGACACAGATCGATTGAATCGCGCATCCCCTACTCGTAGTATTTTAGAGCTTTTTGTAGGCGGCAAATAATAGAGAGAGAAAAAAGAGAGAGTAGTTTAAAAGTGACCATTTACAGAAGCGTGTAAGTCGAACAATTAGCACACTCGTCTTCGGGCTCAAGAGCTCTGTCCAAACAATACTACTCTCAGAACTTGACTGAACTCTGCCGCTTCTCCTAATTGTACAAAAAGGGCCTCATCATTCATTTTGAAAGAAAAAATATAGAGAAAAACACGCATTTTTAAGACCCTTATTAATCATTTTTCCCCTTCAGATCGCGAAAAAAATGCTTGAGTAAAAAAGAAAAAAAATTCTCAAAAATGAAAATCCTCGTTGTTTCCTTCCTGATCGCCGTGATTTCTGGACAACAAACTTGCGGTCTGCCGGACACTTATCCATGCCCTTTGGAGAAAACATTCCCGAGGGATAATATTTACAGAACTTATATTGTCAAAGGTATGAAAAAATCCTTCCACCGAATGAAAATAGCATCTTGTTTTCTAGTGACAATTCAAGGAGACAGTAATTTGCCGCTAGAAGATGACCGAAACTGGCAAGTCTTCAATGATATGAATGGATACAATGACAGTAGTGACATGAGAGACTACACGATGAGATATGACAGTAACGGTGCCGGAGTTATCATCACTTTTGACTTGCCATTCGCTGCGAATACTTTTATGAGCAGAAGCTCCAACCATGTAAGTTCCCCATTCAGCAGGCAGAGAAACGACAGCTTTCAGGCCTCACTGATGCAAAACCTTGAAACACCGGTGCTGGTAGAATGGCTTGGTCTTGACCAATCCTTCATCACTTCCGCGCTTGATGTCCAAATCACGACTCCGAACAATTGCGACAATGTGGAGCAACCCTGCGCGAGTTTGAATCTCAGCTGCGAAGAAATTTCTTCAAGTGGCCGAATGGAATGCAGTTCGCCTTGTGATTCAACAATGCTTATTGAAACATGTGGAACTCATGCGGTGAGCGAAGCTTTACAAAAGGCAGAGAAATATTTTTTATCTAGACTTGTTCGCAAAAAGCGGATCCTATAAATACCGGTCAATACGCTGCCCCTGTCTGTGAATGCGAAGGCGATTATTGGTGGCGATCCAATGAAGAGCCAAATTCTTGCCGACCGGTGATGCAGAATTGGCTGATAATCGTCATCGCTGTTGTTGGATTCCTTGTCATTATGCTTATCATCTTCTGTAAGGAAAACGGTCTTGCCCCGCTAAAACAATTCAGTAATCGTCTACTGCTGCGTCAGAAAATGCCAGTGTCCAGTTTGGTGTGGTCCTTGTTGCTGCTGCTGCAAACGGGAAGATGACAGAGATTTGGTCTACAAAGTTACTGGGGAACAAATCAACCATAGTTTCCAATCAGACGTGAGCTTCTTTCAATAGATTCTGAGCTAATTCATTCCAAGGAGGGGGAGAAAAAGCTGCCACTACCTGATGCATATTCGAGTCAAACGAATACAGTGAGAAATCCAGCGATCTGGTACGATATGCCGACTGATGATTTTGGATTGGTTCGATCTGGACAACCACATGGCACAATTCTGACTACAGGAAAGGCTTTTATCAAAGAAAAAGGGTCGAAATTCTGATCAAATGAAAAGCCAACCAAAAGCATCAGCGAATGAGTACGGAGCAACTCTGAGATCTGTGAGCGAGTATCAGTCAAAAACAGAAGAGCGCAGGCCTAGACATCGACCAAAGCATCGTCACAGGAGCGATAAGTCGTCCCGCAGTCGTCATCAATCCAAAGAGTCAAATCCGTATCTTGACGAGCTGCATAAAGAAGTGGGCAAATTGACTCGAGAAGTTGAAGATCTCAGGCACTTCGTTTTTCAAAATCTTTTTTTCTTTGTAAAATTTTTGGCTTTTTTTTCTTTGCTTTTTTTCTGTTCATGACAATTTTGAAAAACGAAAATTCAGAAAATCTCAAAGATCCGGAAATAATCCCCAAAAATCACCAAACCGCAAAGTCGAAGTCGAAGACGAAGAAAGCGAGACGTCGACATTGTCGTCGACAATCCAAGCTCCCATTCCCGACAATTCTCCACTAGGTGAAGTGATTTCTGAGCTCAAGACTCACCACACAATCAAAAAAGGACACAAATATCGTCCAGGTAGAACCAGATGCATGTCTTAGACTTTTTTGCATGTTTTCGCCATTGATTCATCTTTTTCCATCATCTTTTTTTGAAACCTTTCTAGCGCGATTTGCTCAAATATTAAATATAGGTTTGTCACCATCATCTCACCCGCATTTTCAAACTCACAAAACTCGGTGTTTTCTTTTTCGATTTTCTTCCTTGATTCCAAACTTTGATTTCAGACGCACTAGAACTATCCGACGAGCCCGTCGATGGTTCCTCCGATCAGCTACAGCGCCATCAGTCGAAAGAAATTCTAGTTGCCACGCCTGACTGTACAAATAATCAACCCGGCACCCTGTCAAATACCCTCAAAGGTAATGATTTTGAAGACAGCATTGATTACGACCCATCAATCCGACACATTGAAAATTTCGAAGCGGAAAAGGAACCAACTGTCATTTGGAATTTTGACGGGCCGAATGAAAATTTATCCGACGCTGATTTGACAGAAGTGGAAGATGAATTGACTGTCATTGAAAATGAAAGCTATGAAATTGAAGTGTCGGAAATCATGGTCACGAGACCGAGCATTAATCTGACTGTCGATTGGATGTAGATTTAAAAGAAGGGGTAACGAATGATTTGAGGGGGTTCTTGATTGAGGAAAATTTGTTGAAATTTTCGATTGAAAAAGATACCTATGCAGATCGAAGGTATCCATTTTTCATGGCGATGGTAATGATCATGATAGAATTTGAATTTTCTTTTCAGAACGATGGCGAGTTCCTGCCTTACGAGTGCTTCCAGTTCACGACAAATACCCGATCCGGTCAATTGACTCAAGCGTCATTTGATTTCACAAATTCTTTCATGAAAATTTTTTGCCTGTACAGCGCTATCTGAGATAAATTATTGCATTTTTTCATTCCAAGACTTTTGGCCAAATAAACTTAAAACAAAGCAAATTTTTTCTAAAAAGCAATATTTGGGTGTGTCTTATGGAAGTCAGCTTCCTCTGGCGGTGGCAGATTTATGTCAGAAATTCGAACCAGGAAAGAAACTAGGACAACTGCTTATCAATCGATTATGCAGGACAGCTGAAGTGATTATGGCTGTGATAGTCTCTATTGACACGCATAATTCTTGTAAACACAACATATAAGACAGAGCGAAAATGAGTAGAGTTCTCATTTAATGTTCGACCAATAGAGCTGTCCCGAAGGAGTAGAATTTCGAAAATTCCAAGAATGAAAAGAAGGAATGTCGTCACAGTAGTGATCACTTTTACGTTTTTCTCCATTGTTTCCATATCTTTGTCGTCCCCAGCAATGTTTCCAAAAAAGAAGCCGAGAACGACAACTACAGACCCGACAACATCCACGATAGAAGTCGAGACTTCCCCATCTTCAACGATTCCAGCGCAGACAATGGAACCAACTTCATCGACAAGCACTTCATCAGTATTCTCTTCACCAATAACCTCTTCGACAATCACTTTTTCATCAACAACACTCCCCACCATCTCATCACCGACTCTCCACGAAGATCCGAGCCTATTTGACTTTGTTTTGCAGAGGTCGTTCGGAGATAACAACCCTTTTTGTTCGGAATTCGGCGACACTTGGATTCTCGACAAACAGCACTGCGAGCAAGAAACCTGTCCCTATCTTATTCGTGCTGGAGAACGACCGAATAAAGGTGACAATTCGTTTGACAAATGAAAATTTTTAGCGAATTAAGGATGGAAACGAAACCCAAGCCACAGCCAGGAGACGTCAATGGATTCGTGGCTCTTATTCGAAGACATCGAGGAAAACAACGAGGACTTTTTGTGGTTTATCGACGCTCAAATTAAATAAGCTTGTGTTTTTTGGTGTTTATTTCATGATAAGCAAATTTTGATCAGTTTTTTCGCAAATGAAAGTGGTGCACCTTTTTCTCTCGCAAATCTTCGACGGGTTCGGTCTTCGGTTGCTTCTGTGAATAAAGTTACAGTAATACCCCGCTCTTCCAACTGATCTGGTTTCCGCTGCGTAGCAATAAGGGTGTCGTTCGCAGAGAAGTCTGCAGAAATCGCCGTAAGGGACGGTGATTCTTGAATCTTCTTCTACATTCGCGGATTTCCTGATCGCCTTGGTCAGCTTCGGGAGATTCAGCAATCGGCACTGTTTGATTTTGCTGTCAAAAGCTCGGTGGCAGTCTTCGGGGAACTGAAGGCGGAGGATGTAGGAGACATCCTGGCAGAGGGTCACGCAGGTTTTCCGCGTCGTGTGGTTGATAGGCTTCAAGAGGCCGAAATTTTCGCCTGCAGCGATGTGCCGGAAGCTGTTGTATTCTTCACATGTCTTGTATTTTTCAGCAAGAGTGAGCAACGGAAAATGCAAAAAGAAGAAAGCTAACAAAAATGCGCCCATTTCTATTAGTTTCTATTCTTTTTATCAAAGATTGAATGTATTCAATTTATGATGAAGGAGGATTCTCCAGGGCGTTTAAATAGGCGAGAATGTGCGATTATTCAAGTATGAGTGCTTTGATGTGCGTTTACAATTGTGGAAGCACGCTCTAGGAATCGAGGTAGCACACGGATAATTGAGGAGAGGTGGCAGGAAGTCGATTCTATCGCCCGTGAAAGGGAGAAATCATTACTTGGTATGCCAGAAATGCTTTTGATCAGCAGATGCACATGTGCTCGCTTCAAAAGAAATAGTTAACTTAAATTATGTACAATCTCTGAGAATAATGATGGATATTATAGAAATTGGCCACCGGTATTTCTGTTCTTATTCGTATATTTGTCAATCAGCCATCAGAGTTCTGGTCGCTTCCGTACCCCAAAGTTTATTCTCGATTGAATAAACTATACACTGTCGATTCTTCATTATTTGGGCAAAAGTAGGTCTCCTGGATAGGATTAAGCAAAAATCTTCAGGGTTAGGGTTTTGAGTTCACCCGAAAGTATCATTCGAACTGCCCCTAACCTCAAACCTAACCCAGGGGGGTACGCCCGCCAGGACGCCCCACCTAAGGCCTAAGCTAGGGGGCTTCGCCCCCGGAACCCCCCTTGAGAGTTCCTAGTCCCTAACCCTAATCACTAGCCCAGATTCTAGAGATATTGGCTTGAATCATGGGCTCGAAGGATTACCCTTCTCTACGGAAGGGTCTTTAGCCAAGATTTAAAAAAAAATTTTTAAAGAATTTTCAATCCTTTCTTTTTGGGTTACAAATGAACATTCATTATTTGAACGAAAAAGAATTTATTTATTTATTGTCGAAACAGATTCTTGTGCTCGGAGAACAATAAAATCTTTCCCTGAACTCACACAAAAAGGAAATATTAATCAATCAACTGTCAAATTTACGAATGGTATAAGACTATTCGTCTTCTTCTTCCCCAATCTGCGAGACTTTATTATTTGATTATATGCAATGAAAAATCTTCGAAATAGTAAAATCGAGTTCTTATTCAAAATATACCGATCTGGGATTCTTGAAGGAATATGTAATGAATGTATGGATAATATAGCAGGTGCATTAGAAAGAATATGCAGTAACTGCCACGAATCGTGACTGACGAATTCGTCATTAGACAAATTCAGAACCAAAAATATGGTGTTTTCTAAAATTTCAATTTCTCGATGGAAAAAGCTGACGGGGGGGCGGTCTTTAAATCAATATCTGTATTTTTCTTCAGCTAAAAATGCAATAATGCCAAAAACTTTGATGATTTCACAATACCAAATTCCTGGAGAATTTGACTATCGCGACGTCTAACACAAAAAATGACTCACAAAAGCAATAACCGTTAATATTTGCGAATACTCTTCCTTCCCCCGTGCATGCGGAAAACTGGCTACCTTTATCTACAATCAAGATTGCATCGAAAATCGCAAAAATGCATTTGTTTCCTAGAAGAGATCAATCATTCTGAGAAAAAAAAGCAACTATAGAAATTAAGAAATCGAGAAACGCCAGAGACAGAAAATGCCTATTGGTATCATCATTATTGCTGTGATCGGAGTTGCCTGTTTTATTGCCGCAAAATGCTGTGGGGTTCATATTGATCCACTAGGTAAAATATCTAAAAACAAGTCTTTTCCCGATTTTTAAAGCCTTTTATTTATAATAAAATCATATAAAAGAAAAAGGGAGCCTTAAGAATTAAAAAGATACCTGACCTCAATGTTGAGTTCACGAAAAGATAAGATCAGAAAGGAAACTCGATAAAAAAAACTCGATTTTCGGCCTCGTTGAACCCTGAGAAGCTCAAGGTCAAACGAATTTATGGAAGTGATTTTATGGATCAGGGTTTTTATTGGCAGGTAAGCCAAATAGAGCAATCTTATTGGTAATCTAAAAATGCAGTCCCATAAAAAGATATACTCCGAAGCTAAGGATCATATTCAATATTGATAGGAGGGGATGATTAATATACTGAGAGATTTAATGGTATTTGAGGTCGATTGCCATTCAGGTGCATTGTTTTCTTCTCATACTTAGTTAAAACTTAGTTTAAAAAGAGCTCATTTTATAAAGTTTACCCTACTTTTAGCTTCTTAGAAATATTTGTACTTCATCAAAAAAGTTGCTTCATCATAGATACCCCTTGTTTTCATCCTTCTACGGAACCGAGCAGAGCAACACTGGGGGAGACTTTCTCTCAATCCTTTGATCATCTGGAAATTTTAATAAATAAATTAGCCCTTTGATGCTCCAAGCTCAAGATATCGTTAAGGATGGATGGCGGACAAGTGGAACGAGCTGCGGAACCGCTGGGTCTGGCTCGACACGCAGCTGAACAAATTCGACAAGTTCAAACGCGAGAAAAATTATAGAAACTACGAAGTGCTTTATGTTGAGACTGACGGGATGGAGCCTTATTATCAGCCGAAAAGCTACGCGCCAAGCTATGGATCGGTCAGTTTGATTTCCAGCTTGCGGGAAGATCGGAGAAACAGTAACACAGGTACAGGTGCAAGAAAAACAAGCCAATCAAATGTCGCTTCAGATACGGTTTCAATCTTGACTTCTGAGCTGCCACCACCGACCTCTGTGCCAAAACGACTTCGGCCTACAGTAAGTTCTGCCTCTCCTTAACGGTATTCACCTCCCGTATTTGCTCAAAAATCGTTGTAGTCCCTGAACTTCAGCCGCCAAGTGCCTCTTATTACACAAACCACCCTAACGCCCATCACCCCAAATTACAATCCGCCTAGTGGATTTGTCTTTCCCGAAGCAAGCCATTCCGCCATCCGTAAGTCGTCACACAATGATCGTTTCTGAAAACCTTCAGGTCGACCAAAAACGCCATCAGTAAGAACAGTGGACAATGAAAGCCTTAATTTTGAGTACACTGAATTTTAAGCTGTAAAAAGTTCCAAGTTTTAAGATGTATGAAGTTTAAATAACTGACATCCGTTAATTTATAAATTTATCTGACTGTATTTTCATTTTGCTTTGACTTTGTATTATTGCCTACGTGAAACAATAAATTTGAACGCTAAAAAAACAAGGTAAATTTCAATAATTGACTTTTCTTTATTTCTAATTCAGGGCACATGTGAATTTTGTTTTTAAGGAATATGATCTTTTAAAACTCTTGAAGAAGGAAATGAAAATTTCTGTAATTTTTCGACTTTTCGACCCCAGAAACGCTTCTAGCTTGACCCTCAAAAGGGGTAATCCCTTTTTGGGCAAGCTACTGTATGAATTCCGACGGATGTTTCTGGAGGTGAAAGTTGTAAGCACTAACACAAGTTGAACTTGTTTCTTTTTTGAAAAGAAAATGAAATCTACATAAATTATTTATAAGATGGAAAAAATAAGCAAAAAAGAGTTTGAACAAAAGAATTTAAACATAACGCTAGGAAAATCAATTGGTGTCCATTGCGGGCTGAGGGTGAGGAAACCAGTCTTCGCTGTCGCGGACGTAGACTAAAACGTAAGCTGCAGAAGTGACTCCTTGATCTGCGGTTGCTGGTCCGACCTGAATCAGTTTAGGGACGGAGCAGGGTGGCACAATTGGATTGGAATCCAATTTGGAACCTTGTCCAATTGGAATTGGATTGGAAATTGGTTGGACAGGGGCATGAAATTTCGGGTCTTTCCAATTGGAAAATCAAATCCAATTGGAAAATTGGAATCCAGTTGGAGGATTGGATTTTTACTCTCTCCGGCCCCAAAAAGCGCTAAAAACGGGGTATATTGGGAGAAAGAAATATTTTAAGGGCTTCAATAGTCTAAGAACACTTTTCATCGATCAAAATTGAGGGAAATAGAGTTCAGTTTTAAAAACTTTCACTTCTAAAAAATCGCATTGACTCTAGCGGGAAGAGCTTTGGATTCTATTTTTTTCCGCTTGTTTTACAGTCCGCCGGATTTTACAGTCGGAAAGGGGATGCAGATGGGCAATTGGATGTCTAATTGGTCAAAAAAGGTTTCGATTTGATCGCAATTCCAATTGGAAACCTATTTTCCAATTGGAAAGTCAATTTCCAATTGGAATTGGAATTGGATTGGAAATTGGCTGGATTGGACAAAAAGCGATTGGATTGGATTGGCAATTGGTTGGATTGACCAAGAATTTTTTTCCAATTGTGCCACCCTGGACGGAGAAGAGAGAGAGAGACTTACGAAACTGTCGTTAAAATTAAGCCACTGGTTGGTAGGCGTGTGCAGTACATTTGCAGTGTAATGACCTCCTCCCAATCGGCCCATGTGGTTTGAAACTGCTAGCAGATTGTATCTGAAATAAAACAAGTAAGGGGTTTTCTTGCTTCTATTATTTTATTTCATAACCAATGGAAAGTATAAATCAATTTTTGAGCTTTGAGCTTGGTGACTACAGATCGAGTTATAAAGAATTTCGTTTGATTAAAAAAGTAATAATGAATAAAAGAAAATTCTGCCATTTTTTGAAGGAAGTCTAGATTTTCATTTTATGAGCAATTTTTTATTTCTTCCCCGTTTTATCCTACAAAGCAGCTGATATGCAGCTGCAACCACCTTGAACGCAGAAAATTCAAACATTTTATGCATTCTGATGTTTATCAAACAAAATTATCAACCCTGTAAAAAGACCGACTTCTCAAAGGTTATTCTTTTCATACCTGGCAGTTCCTGCTCCTGGACCAAGAACATAAGGACTCATATCAAGGCCTTGTGTCGGAAAATGCACCATATCGCAGACTAAACAACTAAAAATGGAAGATGAAATGGATCTACCTTTGTCCCTGAACATAGTATTATAATGAAATCGTTTGAGGTGAAGAATAAGCACTGGGGGCAGTTTCCAGATTTGCATGTGTTTGTACGCCTGCTGATGCTCCTTGCAAGTCGGGCAATACCACTCTTCGCCTTCTCTTAATTTTTCTTCGATTGTGAACAAATTGAGGCACTGGTTGATGTCGATTCCTTTGTCTGAAAAACCGGTGATTGAAATCAAGAAAGAGGGAGGAGGGACTTACCATGGAGTTCTTTATCATCAGTTGGAACATCTTTTGGCGAAGGCAAGTTCATCACTTCATCGTTTTTCCAAGAAGCGGCGAGGTAAATCAAATTCGCTTTGGACCTGTACTCGTCAATTTTCAGCACAGTGTCGTCTTTTACTTTTCCAACGCCCATGTTTCCAGAGTAGGAGTTGATCTGAAGAATTAAAAAGAGGTCAGGGGGTTGAAAAGGGAACCTGTCGCATGCTGAATGGTTCCATAGGGTCGATAAGGCTATCTGCTAGAGTTTGACGGATGTGGGTTTCCATGTCTGTTTTGTTGAGAGTGGAGCCTTTGGAATTTTCATCGCAGGGGACGTTGATCATGAATGGATGTCCGAATGGCTCGCGCTTCATCGACTCGAACTGATGCTTGACTTGAATTCAAATTAGCAAAAAAGGATAGAGAAAAGCCTTACTTTCATATTCAAGATAAATAGCTAGAGGATTGTGATTAGGCTTCAGCTCAAACATGACGATCAGATCTTTATCCTGAAGAACACTTGGCTTCTCGTTGTCCATGAAGATTTTGTGGAATCGTCTGTTGTAGATTTCGGCGGTCAACCAGGTCGAATCGGGGTCGGTTTTGAACTCGTCGAGCTGTGCTTTCAAATCTTCGAAGGTCATTTTTGGTTTGATTGCCTTTGAAATAAGTTTAATTGGTTGAAGTTGCTCAGAGATGATTCACTTTTTCGATTCTGAGGGGTTGAGTAATGTTGTTGGCCTGAACAAGGACGAAGGAAAGGAGCTTTACGGCGGCTTCTGGAAGCGGAACGGATAATGTACAGAAGGGGTCAAATGTGACGGACACTCGGCCACATTTGGGACAGCGCACGGTGCTCTGAACGAAAGTAAGAGATGATTCGGGGCGGAAGAAACCTTGAATTGACCATGGAAGTTGTCAACAATGACCGAGGCATTTCTACTTGTGTGGTTGTCCCAAGATTCAGCAGCGACTTCCTCGTCTTAATTTTTTGGATCAATATTTAGCAGATACAGATAAGATGGTTAGTATAAACAGGGGGCGCTTATCCGCGCTCGTCAGAAGCGACAAGTAGCGGTTGAGAAACGCGCTGGTATTGAAACGATAAAGTAGTGAAAGCAGCTTACCGGGGCGTCCATTTGCTTCGGCCTTCTCTATGTACGGCTTTTTGATCACTCGATTCTGATCCTCGTGAAGGGAGTCTAGAATCGTCGACATCAGCTCCTGCGAGTCGTTTTGGCCGTAGCCAGAGAATTGTGAGTTGATCTGAAAACAGGTGATAAATTATCAATGATAGAACTATCAGAAGAGCATTTTTTTCTCATTTTTCATTGAATATCTTCATAACAAGAAGTTTCAGGTTTAAAATTCACATGCCCATCTAAACTCTTATCTAATTTCAAGAATTTCTTGAGATTGAAATAAAATACCCAGTGTCTAGATAAAATTCGTCGCTCCAGGTTTCTCCCTTCTATCTTTATCGAAATATGACCTCATCCATACGTTCGACTACGTGATTCGAACCCTCTTTCGAAAAAATGAACGTATGAACAAGAAGATACAGTCGTAGTGTCAGGAGATATTAATTATTCCGATTCTGCTCTTGACGAAAATCCAGCTTATCCTGGATTTGACAAAAGGAAGAAGAAAGCAATATTCGATCATTCATTTTTCTATTCAGAACGAAGAGGAGTTATGAAATGAACAGCATTCCTGTCAAATTTTTACTTGGTAAGATTTTCCATTTTTCAAATCATAGAAAACAGATTTTCAGGAAAAACTTTTGGTAAAAATCCGGCAGATGTGGCTGAAAACGCCATTCAAGGATCGCCAAAACTCGGGGCAAATTCTCAGACTGCAAAAGGTAGCGAAAAGAGTCAAAAGAGGCTTTTGAAAAATTCAAAATTCTAGAGGAACAAGAAGAGCTTCTTCGACAACGAGAGCTAGAAGAAAAGCAACTCGCCGAAAAACAAGCAGTTCGACGATACGAACGCGCAAATGTCCGACAAAATATTCGGGACAAATACAAACTCACGAAGGGATCGTAAGAATAGTCCCTTTAGCTTCATTCTTCAGTAAAATTCTAGGGCGACGGATAAAATGATAATAAAAAACAACCACGAGCGGGCGAATAAAGCTCCTTCTATCAAGGTATGAAAAAGCCAATACTGTTTGTGTTAATAACTGTAACCGACGGTTCAAATGAAACTTGGCCTTTGAACTTGCATTTAGGATACGTCGGTGACAGGGCTCGTCGATTATGTCAAAGATACAGCAGCGTTTTCTGTTCGAAGTATCAAGAAATCAATAAATTCCGAATAACTCGAATTCGAAAAGGACTTGGCGAACCATAATCTTTAAAGTCTCTGGTTGATTGTTGATTTTAAATAATGCTTTACAAATTGATTTCTTGTAAACTAAGCATCAAACAGCTAGTAGAGTCGATAGATTCTCGGCTATAAATTTTATAGTATAAAACAATGAGTAAAAGCACAAGTGATTCATAATAAAATCAAAACTCTTGGGTAAAATAATAAGTACCTGTCCACATTCTCGTTTCACTTCACTTGGAGCAACTGACGATTCGGCCCCTCCCCACATATTTTTGATCAGTCTCGCGAAAGCGCTGGAAAGTTTGCCATTTGTTCCCAGCGGATTGACCGTGTTGATTTCATCTTTCCAGACATCGCCGAGGAAATAATTCGCCAACGGAACTACTGCAGCTAGACACTAGAAAAGAGCTAAAAATCAGCCTTCTCGATCCCTTTTCGTTACCTGAATTCCCGAATTCATAAAACAAGTGTTTCCCAAATTGACTAAACCACATTTTCCTCCCCTTGGCGAAACCATCGAAGCCAGCGTCTTCTTTTCTTCGTGCTCCGAGTCTTGAGGCCAGCTTCCATCGTCATTTTGAAACTCGCAGAGAATATGGCCGCTAGAATTGATTCCAAGCTCGTAGAGCGACTGCGAGAGAGCCTCTTCATTCAGATGTCGCCACTTGTCTTTGTGATGTTCGCGGCTCCAAACTCTAAAAAAGGAAATAAAACAAAAAGCCACAGAAAGTTTTACCTGGTTTTTTGTCCTTCTCTAGGATAAATGTCGTTATTCATCGCGAGAATGTCCCTGATCATGTCTGCCTTCGACTGGAAGCGAGTGAAATCCTTGAGAGTGTATTTCTTTCCTTTGGACTCGGAGCAGGTGTCGTTGCCGCAGAATTTGAGGATGATTTGAATCTTGACTTTGTAAACTTCGACCATCAGCCGCACCGTGAATTTGCCCACTTTGATCACTTTTCGCGCGTTTTCGAAGGAACGATTCGACGGAAGCCCTGGAAATAAAAATTGACGAAAAAGTCATTATTTTACGTTTCCTACCGTGCCATTCATCGAGTTTCTCGTAGACATTTTCGGGCACGATCGCGTAGTCAACCTGCTCCATCAAATTTTCTTTCAATTTTCCATTTTCGAACAAAATCGAAATATCCAGCGGTGGACATTTTCGCGAGTTTTCGTCCTTTTCGGCGATCGTTTTCCAGAGATCAAACCATTTGAAGGGAATCAGTCGCCAAACAGCACCTTCAGCAAGGGATTCCCGAAGAGCGGGAAGAACGATTTGACGCTGCTTGTAGTAGTCGGGCACGATCGACGGCAACGATTTCTGCTCAGTTATGATCATTCATAAAATCTGAACAAATTGAAGTCAACTTTTCAAATATCAACTTATTGAATCTAGAACAGCACCTTTGTCCCTTCAAGAGGTTCGAAGGGCGCAAGTTTGGCTTTCTAAATTGGAGAAAATCAAGCAAATGGGATTAATTTCTTATTGTATTATTAAGAGAACTGTGAAAAATCTTCAGCCAATGTACGGAAAGCGAAGTGATTTCAGAATCATTTCGGATATAAAGGCGTCATTTTAGAACGAATCAAATTAAAATTCGCTTGAATAGACTTCAAATTAGTGATCAGTTTTAAATGAATTTTGCAGATTTATTGCAGCATCCTGTTGTCTTGATGATGATATCATTTTATAAAACAATAGCTCTTTCAGTAAGAAATAAAAACAGCGAAGGATAAATGTCTCACAAGTTAGGAATAAATTCTAGAAACAGATCGTTATAAAACCAATTTTCTTTCTCTCATTTTTTTCGAATTCTCAATCGTTCTTCTCTCAACACTTCATTTTTCCTTTATTCTCGCTGAAATATAATTGTGAAAAAACAGGCAGCGTGGGCGATTTTGAATTCCCAGGCGGGGGCGATTGGTCGAAAAATTGAAGAAAGACTTGATTTTTTTCGATTTCCGAAAAAAAAGAACTGGAAAATAGAGAGAAAACGAGTTGAAAGAATCTCGAGAAAATGTCTTCCGAAATCGGTAAAAGAAACGAAGATAGGGTTAATTGTTTTTGACAATGTTTCTAGAGACGTCCCAGAATGCACTGCCGTCTGAGTCCACATCGTTGAATACTTCGCAATGCTCGACGACATCAAATGGATCCGAATCGTCGACCGCGTCGAGTTCAACCAAAAAGATCAAATTCGGAAAAGATGTCGAGGAACTTATGGAGGTACCACTTTCTTCTACTATTACCTGTATACAAAACCTGAGTTAGGCTTCTCGGACTTGCTACAGGAGCCTGACTAAGGTTTTTAACACAGGTTGCACAGGTTTTCAGGAGAAGTAGGTTGAGGCTTCAACCGTTGAGCTAAAGTCTTGTTAGCCTAGATTTCGTTTTGTTTTGTCTCGAAAATGAAGATTATTTTCCCCCTCTTTCATCTCGTTTTCAGGCACTGTCGATTCTGAATTCCCCGGAAGAGCGAATAGCCGCGCTCTGCAAAAATACTCCGACTTGGTCGACGAACACAATCTTCTCAAACAATCTCTTCAGTCCGCCACCGCCAAATACAAAAAGGTTTCTTTCCAACTCTCCTCTCAACTCATCTCATACTTTTAGCTTCAACGAGACAATTACGCGCTGGTCCAGACTTCGACCGATTTCATGAAGAAAAAAGAAAAGGACACAGCGACAATCAACGCATTACAGAACCTCTCACGCGAGCTGCAGGATCAAAATCGCAAAATCAAAGCAGAAGTCATCAAAAAGACAAAAGAAGACGACGCCCAGAGAAAGCATCTAATCGAGAAGTTTCAGAACTCGCTAGAATCAATTTCAAAACAATTAGGTAACAATTTTTTCTTTTATTTAAAATGAGAAATATAGAATTTGGCTATGGGATACCTTTGTTTGGTTGAGAATTTCATTTTATTCCTCAATATTTCTGTTTGAATTGTATTGCAAAGCTGCGTTCTCCGCGATTTTCATTAGTTTTCATCGTCGTTTTTTCCTTGAGCGGGTCTATGAAAAACCAATATCAGTTCAAGTTTTCATTTTCTCGGAATAAAGTAGACGATGCTCGCTTCCTTTTTAGTATTTTCAATCAGCTGGCGCTCTGAAAATCAGTTGCTATATGGAATCAGCTGATGTTTGAGTTTAAAATCAGCTTTGGCTGGGAAAAGAGCATGGAAAAATGAAACTAAAGTAGAAATGCGTTTACGAAGTATCTTTTTTTTTGGTGAAACCAGAAAATCTATGAAGATAAGCAACAAATTATTGAGTCGAATAAAATGATATCATCATTCAAACGTATGTTTGTTATCTCGGATGGAAAGAATTAAATAAAAAATAATTAAAAAAAATCTTTTACTTTGATTGTAGACGAAAACGCAAATGTGAACGAAACTCTTCGGCAGCGCAACTCAGATTTATCCGATTCTTTGGAGCAAGTAATCGCGAAATCGGAGGAGCGAGAAAGCGCTCTGATGAAAACTATCGACGCCCTCAAGCAGCAAGATGTGCTTCTCAGACAAAAGGTCCGTCTTACAGATTCTCTTCCCTTTATAATAAACAATTTTAGATTAAAACGCTTATGGATGCTCGAGAAATGGAACATGAGAAGGTCAAAGAGTATCTATCGGAAAAGGTAATTTCTAGTCATTTTTTCAAAAGCTTCAGTAGTATGGCCGGGAACTTGGCTCGGCAACCTGTGTGGAAACCTGAGTCAGGTGAAAGGCTATTTCCGCATCCTGACTCAGCCTTTTACGCAGGTTTCTGAGACAGGTTCTGAAGCAGCATTCTCTAAAAGGAGGTTTTTGATTAATTGGGGCATCTTATCGGCTCTTAATCGTTTCTGATTGGTAAACAAACTCCAATATTGCCTAATATAGAGCAATATTTATCTAGTCAATCCTCCTTTTCAGACAGAAACGATGGATAAAGTGAACCAAGAGCGCATAAATCTGCAAGAACAAGTAAAATACTACGCTGCTCGATTCGAAGAATTCACCGACTCGCTTGCCAAATCCAACACTGCCATCAACGGCTTCAGGTTCCTCCCTTTTCCCATTCCAATCTCAAATCTTCTTCTAGTACGGAGATGTCGAAAATGAAGAAGATCAACGAGCGGCTGGAAAAAGCTGTGGTCGATTGGAAATCAAAGCATCAATCGGCGCAGAATCAACTCATCATCGCCACTGAGAAAACGCTGACGCAAGGAGAGTCGCTCAAAAAGAAAGAAGACGAGCTCAAGAAGAAAACTAACCAAGTCGAGAAGCTCGAAAAGTTATGCCGAGCACTACAGGTATCTTTGTTTTTGCCCAATCGGTTCGATCCTCAAAGAACCCATATCATCAAGTACAATTCGAACACAAGGCCTAACCAGCTGTTCGCAAATAAAAACCCATATATAAATCGAGCAACGTTCTCAAATACTCAAATTTGAACCATTCTTTTTTGCAAAATGAATCATTATCCGCTAGAAGTACTTCGAAAATTTACTTAAAAATACACCTCTATCTATACGTTAACGAGTTTATTTTTCAACTGGATCTGTCGTTTTTTGGGGGTAGTCCAGACACAAAAGCATATTTTTGCCCGGATTGATTTCTTCCTGCCGAAATTCCGTCCACAAATGTTTCAATCCCTTTTCTTTCAGGCCCGTCACTTCCAACAAATCGAAGCAGCTACCGGAAAGTCTCCAAAATCACCAGAAAAACCTCCTGCCACTACTTCTGATCCCACTTCTTCCCAAGAATCACCTGCTCAATCTTCCGAATCACCGCCGAAAAACGACGATCAAGCTCAATCCTCCACTTAGCTCAATTTTCAATAACTCGTGAAATTCAGAAATTTGAAATTTCCTTCACCATCACTCTTTCAATTTTATTTTTTCTCGACTTCCAATTATTCAAAAAAAAAAGAAATGCTAAAATTCTAGCCTCACGCTTCATTCTTTATTTCGCTCACTGTTATTTCTTTAGAACAATTCATTCCTTCAAAAAAGAACAAGATTTTGAAATAAAAATATATATTGTTAAAAAATTCTAGCTTCGGTTTCCTGAGTGAGAAACCTGTGTCAGGGACCTTTGTTTTAAAAAAAGCCGCTACGCGACTTATGATAGAAACTCTTTCAGGACCCTGACTCAGGTTTTCGATACAGTTTGCCGAGCCGGCAAATTATTTTTTTTTTGCAATTCTGCATGTTATAAATGAGCATATACCTGAGCATAGGTATTTTGAACGATGTAACTAGTCATTTATTGAATTTCCGCAGATCTAAGAGAACATGTTTATTTTGACATCTGTACCAAAACGCAAATCAGCTCATGAAAAAATCTCACTCTTTGCGGTACTTATTTTCTGATTGCGTTTTTGCATAGCGAGTCAGTTTTTCGTTCAGAAACTCTTTTTGAGTAAAATCAGTAGAAATCAAAATGGTTCCATTTTTGAACAAATGGTTTGCTTTGACATAAGCTCCTCTGTACTCCAGTTCCCGGAGTATACGGCCTTTATGATTCAGCGAAAGCAGGTGGTTACTATCAGCCGAAAACTAGGTATAAAAAGAGACCCGTGAGGAAGACGTATCATTCAATAAAATGTTGCAAAAATATCAATATTTGTTCTGAAGTAACAAAATTCTTAATAAAAATAATTATTATCCATGAATTACGAGTCATAAGTATTGAATATTAAAGACGAGCACGAAAAGCACCGAAACTTCGCCGAAATCGCATCGTCGGCGGTTTTTTGAAGAGAGCATGAGTGCGGCACTTTGCTTATTAATTTTATCTCTATCGGATCATACGGGAGAATTACGTTATCATTCAGCTTCTACGTTGCCCAATTCTACGAGCTTTGGAAAATTTCCAAAAACACGCTCTCCAACTCTTTTCGACTCTTTCGACTCATAAATTAAGTATTTCGAAATTGAACATGCGTATTCATTAAAAAACGTAGTCAAATTAAGCCGAAAAATTGGATTTTTGATCTTGAAAAAAAGCTCGTTGGTTATTTTTGAGGTTTCACCGAACCCCAAAATTGGAAATCCAAAAAGCCTCTCGCTCACAAAATCTCTCGTGTCCACCAAGCCAGTGCTGAGCCTTGAGGATCAGATCGACATTAAATTGGAAATCGGCACGCACGTTGATAAGTACCATAATACCGAATGAACTCAGCGCTAAAATCCACCTCGACCACGAAATTACCACCTCGGTTGAATGAAACAGTTTATTATCAAAACCGAAAATGGCGATTATTAAAACTCTTGTTTACACAATCAAAAGTTTGTTTCATTGAAAAACTACCAGTTCATCAGATTTTTTATCAATATGGACAATCTTTTGGCCCGGCGGGCCGACTAATAAGACCCGTGAGAGCCATTTTCGGCCCCTTTGGCGCGAACAAGTTAAAGTTAATTTTAAGAAAAATGCTCTATTTTGAATTTCAAGCTCAAGGTGCCAAAAATCTATCGAAAAGAAAAGACGAGCCAAAGTGTTTGAAATACTTTTTTGATCCTTTTTTCGTGACATCACAATCTGGTCGCGCTGCCTTTAAATTCCTGCTGGCTAAGCCCAAGCAAAAAGGTTAAGCATGCACCGGAGCTGCTGGCCGCGAAAGATGTTCTCGCGGAATTACGATTGCTTGATCCGCTTTTGGGACTGATTATCTGCTGTTGGTGTTGTGTGTTAAACAGTCATTGCTTGTTTTTGGATGGAGAGATTACTCTTTTTTTGAATAAGGAGTTTTGAAAGAAGCGTTTTTTCTGAAGAGTTTTTTAATAAAAAATTCTAAAAAAAATCAGAAATTTTTTTTTTCAAAAATTGATTTTTTTTTTCTAAGATTGAAATTTTTGAATTTCAAAAATATTCGCTCGCTGTTTGGAAGACGATAAGTAAAGTGGGCCTAAGATGAAAAATCAGAATCCAAGTCGCTAATTTAGAGATTCCTCAAGTGCCCCATTTTAGCTTAATTTTTGTGGCAAGTCAAGTGGGCCCGCGCGAGGAGGGGCAAAAAGCCGAGACCCGGATTCGGCGATTATTGGAAACAATTATCATCACATGACCTGAAATACTGTTGGTCTTTTCGCGAAAATCGATTCCCCGGTCGCGCATATTATCAGCTGGTCTCGGCAGGAGGCCGTAAAAATCATGGAGAATTTCGGTCCCAGAATTTAACCTATTAATCAAATATTAACCTGTTGCCGAGTGCGTACCAATTTTGCTGGTACGGCACGCCCCGAGGCTTGAAATACGGCATTTTTATTGGGCGGAAGGCAAATTTACGCCTACTTCTCCGCAACAGGTTAACCTATCTTGATGAATAGAAATGAATTTCAGCTCCTTAGGGTCGATATTTTACAGAATGATCTTCGGCCCTCCGGGCCGTAAGGCCTTTTTTCGGTCCGATTTACCTAGACCAAGAGTAAGAAGGCCTTCTTCTAGCTGTGGGTAAAAAAGTGAAATACTGTCGCTAATTGAATTCGAACTCTGCTGCCCAAGGTTAAAAATCTCGTTTATCATGGTTTGAGTACCAAAATAGCAGCTTCCTCTTTAGATAATCGGAAGAGTGACATAATTAAAAGTGCCTGAGCGAGCGGCCGTTCGGCGGATAATGGAAGATTTCGAGGGTGCGGGAGACTGTTTGTTGCCAAACACGGCGATAAATGCGTTTTAAATGGCATCTCGAAAATGTCGCTTCCGGACGTGCCGAGTACAATTTAGACGTAACTTCTCCTATTTGCGCCACTTTGTTCTGCAGCTAAACGACTTTGTTCCCCTTTTGTAATCTGAAGAGTTCAGGCTGCAGTCCTCTTTTACTGTAATTCTTTCCGTTTTCGACCCTACAATTCACAAAGTAATCCAAAATCATGAGTTTTAATTGCCACTTTGCTATTATAGCGAACTTAAAATCATGTTTCCAGTGAATTTACAATATGATGATTCCAAATTGACTGGTCAATTCGTCAAAACTAACACTTGATCTATTTCATGTATCGTGATTTTCATTGAAAATAGAAATGAAAAAAATAATTATCAGAAATTATATGTCAAGAATATAGTCGAAAAAGACAGTTGAAAAAGAAATTCTCGACAAAAAATCTGATTGGCCTACCGCCCCGAATGCGGAAATCTGATTGGCCGAAATTCTTTGAAAATTTTACTCAAAATTGTCGGCCGAAAATTCAACGATTTATCGGGAAGAACCAATTTTTGGAACAAATTCTTATGGAAAGGGTTTTGATTGGCCGATAGGCTAAATACAGCAATCTTATTGGTAATCCAAAAACTCACTTCCAAAAATTGGTTTAGTCCGATTTATCCGAAAAATTTGATTCTCTACTTTTTGACTAAAACGAAAAAATCGTCGACATCTTTGACAAAATTTTCAAAACTAACTGAATCTTTCTCCGGGTCTTCATGAAATCTTGCAGTCGAGGTTCAAGAATGAAATTAATGATTTTTCGCTCGTCAGAAAACGAAACAGCTTTTAGATAGCGGAGCTATTTGCTGCAAAAATAAGCAAAAGTTTAATTAACACGAAACCGTCAATCAGTGATTGTTTTTCAATTTATCCTTTTTTCGTTGTCCGAATGAAACTCTTCTCATCTGTTAAATTCTTCATTAAAAATGCTCCTTCCGAGCGGTAATACATTTATCAAAGTGTCAACAAAACTTCCTGGAGGAAAAATAATAGCCTTGTTGGGCCATTTCAACAAAGGGAATTTTTTCTTCGAGTGATTAACTTTTTTCGACTTCAAAAGACGCGAAACTGGTCTCACGCCAAATTATTTGGCACCTTGGCTAATTAAAAAATTTCTCAAAAAAGCCAGCTTGAATTTTTCTTCAAAACAGAAAATAAGACTGTTAAAATTCTAAATTCTCTTGAAACTTTAAGATTTTCTGGCTTCGAAATTTTCGAATCGAAAATAAAAATTCTGAAATTCGAGATTTGAATTCGAAGATCGCTCGAACCACTTGATTTTGTGAATAGGGTTCGCCTTATTCGGTCACATGGCTTGTTTTGAGTCGATTTGATCTCAAGAGTCAAAACAGGAAATGCTCGCTGACTCGAGAGTTCTTTGAAGAAACAGGAAGGAAGAGGCCTGTATTGATCCTCCAGTATGCCGCCGAGACTTATTCCAGGAGAAACTCTACTGGAAGACCCAGAAGCGTGCAAGTTCAAATATGTGGTTTAAAAAATTATATCTCGCCTGAAAATTAGAATGACAAGTGGCGAGTCGGTGACACGCTTGTTCTGGCGCTGCTTCTCTCAACTCATCCCATCTGCATAATCGAGCGTTTCTTATTCGCATCAGAGAGTCGCCTTCGCATAATCTCATTGAATCAACCTCCATCTTTTCACATTTCAACTTGATTTCAAGCTTGTACCTTGCCAAAGATACGACAAAACATGAATAAGGACATGATCTTTATCATAAGTGAATCCATTTATCAGAAATCAAACCTAAGACTATCGTCTTTTTGGAGTTAACTAATTTATGAAAGTGTATTTTCGGATAACCAATAAGATTGCTGTATTTTGCCAGCCGGCCAATCAGACGTTGATCCATAAAATTAATTCCATAGATTAGTTTAACCCTCTTTTTTCGGGTAGAACGAGTTTTTTGGAACAGATTTTTATGGAAAAGGTTGTGATTGGCCGGTAGGCCAAATACAGCAATCTTATTGGTAATCCGAAAATTCCCTTCCATAAATTGGTTTAGCCCTCTTTTTTTGTGACGGAATGACCAAAAAAGTCATCCTCTCCAGAAAACTCGCGCTAGCGCCCATTTCCGATGCGTTCTTCATTCTACGCGCGCATTGAAAAACAGGGGTCCGCCGATCGCGAAACCCCCTAGCGGCCGCGCTCTCCGTCCCTTTCGCGCATCGCCCGAGCGCGCGCTCAAAAGTTTTTTTGAAAACACGAAAATCCCGGAATTTCAAATTTCTAAAAGCAAATTTTTCCAACCCCAAGAAAGAGATGGAGAAAGTAAAGAAGACGCGAGAAAAGCTGAAAGACCATGATCCAGAACCGAGAGATTTCATGAAAACGACTGGAAGCAGAAGACCTCGGCCTGGAAAAACGACTCGTCGGAAACCAGAAGTGGTGAGTTAAAAGAGAGAGACCCTTATTTCAAATTTTCGGGTTTGTTTGTTTTGGACGATTTTCACACCTTGTTTTATATGTTTGAGTTTTTTGAAATTTTTCATTTCCGAAATAGAGAAAAGCTTGTTTGTAAAAGTCGAATAAATATTTTTGAAAGGATATTTATGTTCAAGAAAACCAGATTTTGACAAGGTAAAATGGAAATGAGAAAAGTCCCTAAATATTTCATAAGACGAAATTTGCGAATTTAAGGGTATCAAACACTTTAATTGGGAATTTTCAGAGCAAAACAGAAGGTCTTGAAAAAGGCTTTTGATACCCTTAATTTTTCAATTTGGAAAGCTCTTCAAAAGACATCTTTTTGATCTTTATTTTTATCAAGATTCAAGATTACATAATCGCCTCGAAAAGTAAAAGAAGCGAAGGTTCTAAAAAGCAGGATTCGAAGCCCCTAAATTTCGCGCGCCATTGATTTTCAAATTGCGCGCAGCGCGATGATTGGGCGTTCAAGGGCCCTTGGGTTTTCTTTTCAAATGATGCAATATTTAGGCAAGGCGGGTGATATAGGCCAGGCGAAATGGCGAACTTTAGGGGAGCTTTTTGATGCGCTAATTTGCGGAAAATTGAAAATTAGAATAAGCGGAAGGGTTTTTAAGGGCTTCCCAGGTGATATTTTTGAGTAAAATTTTTGTAGCTTGAATTCTTATTTGAAAAATTTGATATTGCCTTTAAAAATAAACAATTTTTAAGAAGATTTCAATTTTAAGTTTTCATTGTTGATACCCTTAAAATCCTGTGCAAAATAAACTGTCTAAAATTTCTGCGTAATCTCCTTCTTTGAAAATAATAAGGTTTCCTTCTAAGGATTTATCCCCAGCCCTCGAATTCTTCGAGAATTTCGCATAGAAGCGTTGAATTGGAAAATGCCGAGTAAAAAATGAAGGGATAGAGTTTACACAGGGGCTTAGCGTAAGCCCTGTTGGGTTAGCTTTCGTAGCTGCCGCCAAGACTTTCGTAAAATTTTGACAAGGCTGGGTCGAGCCACTTCAATGTGGTTTGACGCTGTTTTTTGAGGGCTTACTTTATTTAACTGTATTTCGCGGGAAGAAAAAAAAGGGGAATATTCACGATTTCGAATGAAAAATGCGGAATTCCGACTTTATTTGTTTATCAATTTTTAGGCCATCGAGGTTCTTGATTCAAGAGCGAATTAAAAATTAATTTGGTGAACGGAAGGCAGATGGACATGGCGATATCGCGATTTGCGGCGCCGTGAACATTGATTTGTTTATCCAAATAGGAGAGCTGGAGGTCTAAACTTTGCGAAGGGATTAGCGTCCTTTGCTTGGGAATGAAAAAAACGGGCCTGGAATGTTGTTTTATGCCTGTTGTTTACTCAGCCCCGCTATTTTAAGGGACCTTCCAAATCATCCCGAAGCAAGTTAATGTTTTCGTTTCTGGGCTTACTCAGCTTTATTATCAAATAATACTTAAGGGACCCCCACACGATTTTTTTTCCCTCAAAAATTTCCGTAAAAGCCGGATTTTACTCGTAAGGGTATATAAGCCCATAAAACTCAGAATTTTCGCGACAAAGAAAAATCCTTCTCGATACCCTTAAATTCGACCGTCAAATCCTAACTTCAATTTTCACCGTAATCCATCACGTTTTGCAAATCGCGACTTGTATTACCGACTTTCCCACCTTTCTCGTTTACTTTACAAAAAGTGACCTCAATCCCGTCATAATCTCCCGCACAATTTTAAAATTCGCCGCCCGCTGCCTCAAAGTCTTACACCGCCGGTTTTACGCGCTTGTTTCCAAAATGTGTTCCCACGGCTTTTTAGAGTCGAAAAATGACAATGTTCAAATTCAGACCTCTTCTGCAAAGATTTTGAATTTGGTTAAGGGTGTCATCAGGTTAGGGTTAAGGGTGGCTTGAGAAAAAAAAGAAATAAGGGTGTCACTCTGTTAAAAATCGAGTTTTATCAGAAAAACTAGGATTAAGGGTATCTTCAGCGAAATTGGCTTAATCGACTACTACACCCTTAAAGCTTGTTTCTTCATTTTATTTTTTTATATTTTTTTTCCAATTTGAAATTAAAACTGATTTTTATGATCATGTTTTTCTAGCTTTAAGGGGGTAGATACAGCTTTCTCTATCTTGGACTGCAGCAACATAAAAGAAAACATAAGATTTATTTATGTTCACGAAATTTCCTCATAAATGTTCCTAGAAAAAGGGTTAAGCTTCACAAAAATGTGAATGAAATTTGTTTAATTATCAGGGGACTCGAGATAAACGTGTTTAAAAATTTGCGAATATCGAGAATTTCGGAGAGATGAGCTGCTTCTGAGCCCGCTTACTCAAAAATTTGATGACTAAAACAAATTTCGAGAGAGATGTTCTTAGATCTAAGATGTATCTATCTAAACCTAAAGAGAAAATTTGAAAATGTAAGATTCTCTTGTCTGTAGCGCCGGTCAAAAATCGCCGTTTTCGGAAAAAAGCTGTTTCTACCCCCTTAAAATCAAGACGAAGCTCTTGAAATTTTCTTGATGCTTGAAGTGAACTAAACGCTAACCGCCTTAATTAAGCTGGGAGACGTAACCGTGTGGTTCGGGAAAGAAGAAAAGCAGATCCGGAATTTGACGATGCGAACAACGGTAAACGAAGTTATCGGCGCGCTGGCGATGGACAGCTGCGAGTATAACGCGTCGGGAGCAACTCTCGATAACAGAAATTATGTCATCGTCGAGTCCTGGCGCGGCATCGAACGCCCCCTCCCGCCGAGGACAAAACTGCTCAAAGGTTTGTTCAAAAATGCATATCGCCGCTTTCCACGAAAGATTCACGGTGTTGGATTCGTGTTGCGCGGCGTTAAAACCGATAAATCCAAAATGCACCGCCGCGTATTTTTATTCACGAAAAAAATTATGATGAGCCACGACGAAAATGCTGAGAATTGAACGTTGACAAGCTAGCCACTCGAGCTCCTACTCAGCAGGACTTGAAAAAACGAGCCTTATCGATTTTTCAGTTGTCTTTTCTCAAAATAAAAATTTGAGTGTCTCTCTTTTATTAAAAATTCGTAAATACGAAAAATGGATAGTGTCTTCTCGAAAGTCAAACTTGTTGTATCATGATAAAAAAAACGGATCTGCCCATACAGAGATTAGTTATCGTTACATATTTTTTCCAGTAATTGAAATTTTTTTTAAAATGTATAAAAATCCATTTTTTCGACTTTTTATGGTATGTGCTAATGAAGGATATTTTTTGATATTTTTCGTTAAGTCTGGAAATCGTGGAAAGCCGAGCAGCCGTTCGTCAAGTTTTATCTCAAGAAGAACTCTTCAATCTCTTTCCGCCACAATCAGCCGAGCAAGAGTCTTCGGAAGAATACCCGTCGAAAGCGCCCAAATTTCATCGGAGCCAAGGTGAGAACCATTTTTTTCACTGGATCAAGGGCTTTCATTAAAAAACTGAAAAGGCCCTTTGAAGGCACCCCTTCTTCATGAAATTTTCTATTTTGAAATGACGGTGTACAAATCCGATGAACACTAATGATCTCCTGTTAACACCGAATTCACGTGTTCTCTTTCACATTTGACATGTTTTGCCGAACACAAAATAACTCTCGTTTTTTTCGATTATTTATTGATGCCAAATTTAAACAGAAAAACACTCTTTTTATTAATTATTTTCAATTCCGCTCTTTTTTTCGGTACTCGAGCGTCTCTTGGTCCGCTCTTCTATTTTTATCGCCATCAATTTATTTGAAATGTCGCAACGCAAGAAGCGACTATTCTATAATTCGTCAAACGGCGAGATACTCGAAACGTGGCACAACGTTATCTTGACAATATTGAAACATCGGCAAGGCTTAGATAATGCAATTCTAGGGCAATTAAGGCGCGCAACAGCGGGTCATTTTATTCACAATTTGCGATTATTTTGGATAAATAAAAGCTCAATCAGCTCGAAATTGACTGAATTTAGTTGTGATACACCCTTATTTGGCTTCGGTTACCTGCGTAGAAACCTGACTCAGGGTCCTTAAAAATCTTCAGTCGAAAAGCTGCGCATTTCTCTAAAAATGGCCTTTTGAAATTTTCAAGCAGCTTTTAACTAAAGGTTTTTCAGAACCCTGAGTCAGGTTTCCACACAGGTTATCGACCCTGACCTTTAGGGGATATTCAAATTTAAGGGTATCCCTTTGAAAGTGTCAATTTTTTTGAGAAATCTACGAAATTTAACCTCGTTGGTAATTGATCATCATTTTACAGATAAAATCTTAATAAGCAGAAATAACCATTTCCACAAATTTCAATTTCAACTGAGAATGAATTAAAATTCAGCATTAGAGCCTCAGCTTGCCGATAATTGCACGCGAAGCCACGTTACGATGACCGATGTCTAGGGGTTAAAACCGCACGATTTTTAAAATTTGATCTCGACTCGCGTAATATCCAGCCAAATTCGACTGATAAGATTTTAGAGTACTTTATAAAAAATTGAAGGATTAACCTTCTTTTCAATTTCTAAAAGAGAGCTTTTCCGTTAAATTATCAGGAAAGTCCACGGGAAGACAAAGTGAGCGCATCATTTCAAACAAGAAGAATATTCAGTACAGCGCCTTAGCTTCCCTCACGCATTTCCAGATGCGACAACTGAAATGTCGTTTAGAAACTGCGATTCTTTCAAAATGTTAAACCGAAACATTTGCCAAAAAATCAGCTTCAAAAAGCAAAGATTATTTCAAAAAATAGCCTGAATATCTGAATTTTCTCTGTTTATTTTCCCCCAATAAAAATGCCCGAGAGAGGCACTTATCCAATAAGAAACTCGGATTTTCTCAATGTTTTTTTTAAATTAAAAATTTTTAAATCGAGCTTTCTTATTCGCCAAAGGCATTTTAAAAGTTATTTGATTGGTCAAAAAAAAAAGATTTTTTTTGAGAAAAATTGATTTTCATGAAAGTTATTCTTCAAATTCTTCTAGGAAACCTTTATCGACGGCCCTGTTATCGCCCTCCTGGAATCCTCCGCCGCCACATCTGGTTCAACAACAACAACGACAACTTCTTCCGACACTTTTGGCTCCAGCGCCGATTTTTCCGGAGCATCAAATTCGACAACTGGTTCGTCTGGCTCGTCCTCAAGCTCGTCGAACTCGGATGAAGAAGAAGCGAATCAAGAAGGTAATCTTACAGTATTTTTCTTTCTTGCGAAGCCACGTCCCGACAGGCACTTGTATATTGTGGTGACCAGGGATAAGCGCAAGTCTCTGGGCAGGATTGACAAATTCAAAGTGGATTGGGAAATGCGCAATATTTTGGACTAAAATAGTCTTTCCATTTTCGACTTATAAAGATTCGATTAATTCAGGCCCTGACTCAGGCTTTTTTCCCATTGTTTGATTTTATACAAGCGGCGATTCTAGGTTTTCTATTGCTATCGGTATCAAAATGACGATAATAGGGACTAAACCAATTTTTGGAAGTGTATTTTTGGATTCCCAATAAGATTGCTGTATTTGGCCTACCGGCCAATAAAAACCCTTTCCATAAAAATTAGTTCCAAAAATTGGTTTTACCCGATAATAGTAAGTGTCTTTCACGATCGCTGGCTGCTTTCTAATCAGAAAAGTAAAGACCGCAAAATTATTTTCCCAAAAGCAATTTGATAACAAGAGCGACTTTCTGGCGACTCAATGGAGCGCCGCCACATCAATCCATCCGCATTGCTCTAGAAAAGAAGGCCAAAGAAAGTCCTCAGTTCCTTGGCCCTTTCCTTTTGTGGTGGCGACTGTTGTTAATTGCATTTGTTAGCAAATAGCAAGAAAAAATCATATTCTAGCGCTTTTCGAAGTCGAAAATTTGGAAACTAGAATTTTCTAAAAAAAATGTCAAAAATTTCGGGTGATGTCACGAATGGACAAAAATCTCGAAAAATCTTTGCGTGGACGGCTTCTCGACTGCTGATTGGCCGGTTGGCCGAATCAAGGCTTCTGATTGGTCAAAAATTTCCGCGTAAAATTTGTCGGGGTTTTTTGTGGGCTCCTGACAAGTCCCCAAAATTTGAGTCAAAAAAAATTTGAAAATCAAGAAAATGCCCAAAAAACTTGTGCCCAATAAAACGCCCAAAACTGTTATTTATCTTCTCTTTCAGAAATCGCCCGTCGCGGAGTCCTCGGAGAGTGCGTCGCCTTCCAAGAAAAACTCGACAAACTCACCTCTCTCGAGTCCTCCGTTTCCTCCGAAATCGCCGCCATCGAACACGCCCTTCAAATCATTTCGATGCAAGACGAGCTCGACGATCTAACAGAACAAGTTGGCCTGATTGACGAGCGAATTTCCAGCGTAAAACATGTCGAAGCAGGTCTCAATTCGAGCATTTCCTCGGAGAAGAGAAAGGGGCTGCCGAAGGAAATTGAGCTGACTCAGGAGCAAATCGAGCGGTCGAGGATTATTCAGACGAAAATTGAGGCTCATTTATTTGTCAATCTCAGGTAATTTTCAAAAATTTTGGAAGGATTAGTTTTTGAAAAGTCGGATTAAATTTCAAAAGCTTCGAAATTTTTTCATCATTTTCATTTTAAAATCGAAAATTGACTGTTAAATTTCAGGCTGGCGGCGGAATCCGACATGCTGTCGCTGGAAGTGGAGCAACTGGACTCTTGCATTTTGACTCGAAAACTTATGCTTGAGAAGCTAGCGATACAAAGCGCGAGCGGAAGCGTCGAGGAGCTCGAGGAACAGATCCTTGCTTACGCGCATAACTCCAAACACGCTTCCCAGAAAATGGAGCACTTGGAAGTCCAATCGACAAAATCCCAGTCAAGCGATGGCGGCAATTTCAGTGAATCAGGAATCAGCTCGAAATTTTTCTTTTTTCAAAATTTAAGATTTAAAGCCGCTCCCGGCTTTTCCATAAATTTTTTAACGAAAACATTTTTGAGCTTCGAAAAGTCGACCTTTCCTTATCCAATCCTCAAAAACTCGCCAAATACGAATCGAGCCAATTCGACTCGGATTCCAGTCTACCAGACTCCGATTCAGCCGTCAGCTCCATGGGCGCTTCCGAGTCGAGTTTGAAGCCGCTCAAAAAGCCGCAGAAACCGATAACAAAGATGGACTCAAAAGTAGAACTGAAGCAAATTCGCGAAACACTCGTTTGAAATCTGCCAGAATTCGCGAATCGGATCTCTTTTCTTTCTTCAAGCTTAAATATTGTGAAACATCCTTTCTTTTTCAAAACCTCATGTACATTTTTAAGTTTTTTTATAATGCTTGTCAATAATAAAATAAAATGCGACTCACCAAACCAAAAATTCAAAAATGAAAAATAAGCAAATCGCGTTTCTTCTTGTTTTTTCCCTTTTCGTAAAAATGAATTTGTTTTTTGAAAAACGAAATTTCCGATAAACTTGCGTTTTTTATTATTTTCGTGAACACGGCACGAACAACAACAAGCAAGAAAAAACAAAAACTTGAAATTCTGAATTAATGAAATTTCCGTCGCCGCCGACCGCAGTGTTTTCCTCCTTGCGCCACCAAGTTAAACCGCGATAGCACAGTTGTCTCCTCAACGTTGTCGCTTTTCTTGGAGCTTGAAAAATTTGAGAAGCTAGAAGATGATACCACTTTGTCTCCTGGTTATTCCGAGTTGTTTTTCGGATATATTTTATTCAAATTTCTTTCGTATATTTTATAAACATGGAAGATTTTCTTAAAAGTGATTTTCTTTTGTTTTTCTTCAAGAAAATTGGTCAGTTTGAGCAGCTAAACTTCGGCGTAATAAATAATTCTCACAGAAAGGAGCTTACCTATGATAAGAATTATCTGTCCCATCATAATCGACCATCAGCATTGTTTTCGTGTTTCTTTTTCTCGAAGCACCAGGTGAGTTTGGCGCTGGGGTCGCATAAGTTGTCCATTTGAGCTGCTCTTTTGAGCATAAATGCTTGTAGTTCGCGGGAATGCAGTATTTCACAAAGCAATCCGAAATAAACGTGCGTTTTAGATGCAGTTTTGGAGCCCTAGAAATGATGAATTTTTCGTCTTAGAATTTGTCTAACTTCATATCATTCATTCCAGTATGGAAGAAATTTGTAATTATGTTAACCACACCACCAATCCAAGAAAGCCCGATCAAAATCCAGAGAAAAACTGCGACTCGGTAAATATTATACGATTTTTGAAGGGAATCGCTCCATTTGTCCTTGTCACAGCTTGTCGTCAGCCCTGTTTCTACATTCACATTTCGAGAGGGAATCGGATTGATCAGCTCGAAAAGGCAGGCGGTTTCGTTGTGTTTCGAATACGCTGAAGAGGGGTTAGTCTTCCTTGATTTCAACCACCTTTCTCACCTTGTTCCTTTGGCGGGTCCATTCGCGGCGAATAATCGCCAAAACCAATCGTTGTCAGCGAAACAATGATAAAATAAACCGCTTCAAGAGCAGACCATCCCTCGATTTTCATAAAAATTCTGGCAGGTATGAAAATCAAAGCGACGAAACCGACCCCGATGTAAGTCAAATGAAGGACGAATTTGCCAAAGTTCAATGTTCGTTTCAGAAATTTTAAGCTTTCCATGATCAAGTCGGATATTCGATTAACCATGAAGGCGAAAAAGGGGATGCCGATCATGGTGAAGACGATGCAAAATGCTTTTCCTTCTTTTTCGAGGCTTAAAAATTGCGAAAATTATTCCTCTTTCTTAGAAATGAAAGCCGTTCCCTTCAGTTTTTGGCGTGATGCTTCCATAACCAATCGTAGTTGCAACTGTACCAGCGAAGAAAAATGAGTTGTGGAAATTCCAGTTATCAGTACAATCCGTCTTCAGAGCGAGAAAATTATTGATCCCGAATTGGGCAGTTCTTTGAATCACTCTTCGCATAGTTCTTCCAGAAACAATCAGAATTTCGTGGTCGAAATTTTCAGCGAGCTTCAGTTGGGAAATGTTTCTCCAAGTCGTGACGTACTGTTTGATGAGTTTTTATTTGCTCAAGACTTGAGCCTCAAGTTTAAATCGCCTTTATCTGAAAATTTGGTTTTTTAGACGATTTTCGACTCAATTCCTGATCAATAAGCTCTTTTGGTTCCGCCTGGACCGCCTCCCAAATCGGCTTTTCCATTTCCCTTGAGCAATCTAGAATCAATCAATGGTCCTTTATAGAATCAAATCGACCCCTACTTGACGCTCTCCAAGTAAAGAAAAAGCTCATCATCTTCTGATTCGCGTCCAAATATTCGTCGCTGCGGCCTTCGACAAACTCGTCGATGGCTCGGCAGAATTTTAAATTCAGCCCAAATATGTAGAAATACTAAAATCAGTCATCATGAAGACTTGTTAATTTTTTCCGTTTACCTTTGTAGTGAAGTCGTTTTTACTGCTGGCTACGTTTGTCACTGCCTTATTGCACCTTATTTTCGTGTTATTTAGGTTATTGTGTCGCAGTTACTGTCATGTCTGTAATTACCGTTTAGTTTCTGCGTCAGACTCCATGTGACTAAAAGCAAGAGCGCCAATGCATAAATATACAAGATAAAATATTAACATCTTTGTCAGAACTTAACTCAGTTACTTAATTAAGCATATGTTTAGCTAACACAACGGAATCGGGTTATAAAACCGTATGTTTGAATATTAGTAACCTGACCTACAAGCTGTTTGCCAATGGGTTTTCTTTTGCATTTGGAGTGATCCTTGAAATCGCAGTTAGATTCTGCTTCTGTTTCCGCGGTGCCAGATCGTTTGATAGCTGCAGGTTTTCGAAGCCGAAGGTTGGGAGATTCCAGAAGCTCATGGTTGTCAAAACTGTCGGTGGTTAGGGTCGGAGGAAATCTGATTGGTTCATTGACCCATTTTGGTACATCGTCTTCATCTTGTCTGCAAGCTGATCCCTCGATTTTCGTTTCATCATTTTCATCGAGTTTCGAGAATCTCTGGGATCTTTCTTTTTCCTCAGCTTCTTGAATACACTTGTCTGCGAGTGAAAGATCCGAGTTTGAGTTTGAATTTGAGGATCGGTTTTTGACGACCATTTTTTTGTTAAAGCAGTTGATCTTGAAGATCGCCATGTAGTTGTACCGTCGCAATGGATCATTGTTTCTGTTTCTGAATCAGTTTATTTGTTTACGTTTTCCTTTCAAATTGTCCGTATCCATGATAAACTGTATCTAACAACTGATAAGTCTCCCCATTTACAGACTGAGAAAATCGTTTCTTAGACCATCTAATATTCCTCTTTTCTCGACACAGTAAATCATTATCCGCGTTATGTTTTATTCCAAACCGGCGTACACGAAGAAAAATGCCTATTCGGATACTTACTTTTTCTTAGCGCTTCTGTTCAGCTCCAAATTTCTCATTCATTCGTGTTCCTTTCTCTTGCGGATCAACAGGCTTTTCTCGGATATTTTTGCGGTGGCACGATCGACGCAATATTTATTGATGCTCCAATAGCGTATGCTAAGTACCTCTCGAAAAAAGGACGGGGTTTTCGCGTCTTTCCTTGGCTTTATTTACTGTTGTCGATCGCTCGTAGAGTTTTTGTTCTGAAATTGATATGGAAAGAAAGAGAGGGTTTGAGTAAAGGTTAGGGTTTCGGCTAGAAAATGGGTAAGGGCTAGATTAAGGTAGAAAAATTACCTTGAAACCTAGATTTCGGTTTATAAAGTCGTTATTTTCGTATTTTCAGCAGCTTTTTATTCTTCGCTCTTTTTCTCGAAATCATCCCTTTTTCTTCTGCGACAATGATATTTTATGCAAAGTCATCATATGACGCCATCGGCTCTAAGCAAACTTTTTTCTTAGTATTCTCTTATTTTTGTGACACGGAATCATAGAAGAGAGTACCACGAAAGGTATTTCGTAATTTGATTTTCTTTTGTTAAAAAAAAGAAGCGTTAATTTTTAATTTAAGTGTTCTCTCACGCCAAAGCTTGTAAGATATACACTTAGCTGGGTAGACTTGAACTCAAACACATCCGAATTTGATGAATTCTTAATTTTTTTCCATCGATAGTTGATATCTGCATATCAATTTTCGATAGTTCGAATGTCCAGAATAGCCAAGAATTTGAATGACAAAATTGAACTTGTGGACTCCTGACAGATTCAATTATTCGGGGTGGCGTCAGGAACCGACAAAAATATCGACAAATTTTGCGTGGGCGGCTTCTCGGCTACTGATTGGCCGGTCAGCCGAATCCAGGTTCCTTATTGGTTGAAAATTTCCACGCAAAATTTGTCGGAATTTTTTGTCGGTTTCTGACAACTTCCCAATTTTTTTGAGCTTTGCAAAATCCTAACCTTAACCCCAAACCTAGGTTTAAAATATTTAAGAGATAGAATCTTTGCATTAGCATCAGATGCCTCAAACTCAAAGGCAAATGCTCAACTTCTAAATTCAATTGAATTAATTTGAAGTATTAATTCTTGCATCATCGAAAATGCCATTTGCACCAACTTGATTCACTTCAAAGTAATCATGTCACCTCGGCGGTGAGGGCCTACTGCAGTGGAGACGTGCATCTTGCTTAGAAATAATTTCCCGCGGTCGCGCCAAATTACCAAAACTGCTTCATCCGACGACCGCCACCCATGAAAATCCAGCCGCTGTGGAGAATTGACCCTTTTTAACCAAGACCATCAAGGCTGGATGCAGTTTATTGTTGCGAAAGAGATCATACCAAAGCAGTTTCGAAGAATATTTTTTACAAGAATTTTTCGAAGATGAAAATTGCAGCTTTAGGGTTGGCACTCGTTGAGGCCGTGGATCTGGACTATTTCGAGAATACAGGGGAGTCCCTTCCCGGCTACAACATGGGAAATATCCTGAGAGGTGGTGGTAGAAACAAAAAGAAGAAGAACAAAAACAACAAAAAGGAAAATTTCTTAAAAACATCATTTTTTTTATCCATTTTTTGCGGAAAACAATTTTGAAATCAAAAAAGCCGTCGAATTTACCAGCCGGAGCAAAGCTTCTCCCAACCCAGCGAGCATTGAAAATCGGCGACAATCGAGACAAAGTTGCAGACATTCTCTACTGGCTTCTTCAGAACTCACCTGATTCTGCAAATTTGCCGACTTATGACCAAATTCTAAATGGCTACGGCTGCTGGTGCCAGTTTTATAGTCCGGAAAATTGGGCGAACTCGAATAAGGGAACGCCAACGGATAACTTGGACACTGCTTGTCGAAGTTGGAATAAGTGCTATGATTGTATCAATCAAGACGATTCTAACTGTAATGGGATAAGCTCAACCTACAGGTAAATATTTTGATTTTTTGATTCAAAGTTTTTATGTCTACCGGACGATCGAGATTTTTTGAACTTTAAACAGCTTGTTCTAAGGCATTGATTGTTTGTAGGAAAGACCATAATTCAATTTAAAATTAAGTTATAAGGCCAAATCTGACTGAAGTGATCGTCACAATTACTCTTAAATGAAATCAATGATTCTATTCACAGTTTGTTTCTCCCTTGAACAATAAAATATTGATTGATGACCAAAACCTTTAAGTGATGTCCTGTATTTTGCCGAGAGCTCAGAAATCTCATGCGAGCTTGCCGGGGCCGAGGGAACCTGCGAGCGAAATGCCTGCGAATGCGATGTCAAACTCGCGGTCTCTCTTTTCCAATCTGCGATCGAATTCAACGATGAGTTTTCCACAGGTCTCTCAACACTTACGGCCCACTTTTCAACCCGTTTTTCTAGAAAATGGCTTCGACACTGCAACCTGCATCGCAACCGGCGGTGGACCTGGCTTTCCACCAGATCAATGCTGCGGAGCTTATCCCGATAGATTCCCTTATTACTCCTACGATAACACAAGAGGCTGCTGCGGAGGAAAAACCTTCGATAAGGATACACTCCAATGCTGCGAAGGTGGACAAGTTGCTGTTGTTTGCGATGGAATGAATTATGGCAATCCTTATGGATAGTCTTCGATTTTGAAAGAGTTCTTTTTGTATAGATTTTTCTGTTTTTTTGAGGAAAAATAAACAATTTTCTAAAAAAATTTTTATTTTATTTCATAAATAGAATATAGTTTTACAGTTTTAAATAAATATTCTGTTTTCTTTCTCTTTTATGTCTTCATTTACTGAGCCAGGGACATCGGAAGCGGGAAGAGAATTGTTGATGGATTTTCAGTGGAGATTTGAGCCAAAGTCTGAAGATATCGAAGCTGCAGAGCGGCGGGAGCTTCGTTCATGATTGCAGCTGCTTCGGAGAGAGCCTCTGACGCGTGTTTTTCTCCTTCAGCGGCGAGGATCTATGATTTTTTGAGAATGATATTTATATTGAGGGTTTACCTTAGCTTTTGCTTCCCGAGAAGACTCGGCTTCGGCGGCCATAGATCGCTGAATCTGGGGAGGAAGTCGGACGTCTTTAATCTCGACTTTGGTGACTTGGATTCCCCAGGGATCCGTTGCCTTATCAACTTGCTGGAGGAGCTGGTTTGTAATAGCTGGCATGTTGTCTAGAATCTGACGAAGATCGTAGTTTGCTTAAAAATTGAAAAATGAGAAATGAGAATGAAGAATTTGACTTACAAAGACAGCTTCTGAGATTGGTCGCGCATGTTTGAATGGTCGAGGCATTGGCGTCAGTGACTCGAAGGACCATTTTTGTTGGATCGAAAATTTTGTAGTAGACAACAGCATCGACTCTGAGTGGGACGGAGTCTTTCGTCAAAACTTGCTAAGAAGGGATAGCTTTCGTCAAGGTTGATTTCCCTACCTGAGGCATAATGTCAACAGCTCTCTCTCGAAGATCAATTCGCTTGAATTCATCTGGTCCTGGAATGATGCAGAAGAGTCCTGGGCCAGACGCTTTTCCTTGGATGATACCGTTTCGCAAGATAACGGCGCGCTCGTATTCTAGATCGATCCTATTTTTCTGTGATTATTGATAAGTTTACCTTGGACAACATTGACGACGTTCCAGATTGTGAAGGGGCAGCAAATTGCGTTGAAAATTGTTGCACAGCAAATTGTCAAATTTCCAACCAAGCTTTGTTCTTGTGTAGGCATTTCAAGAGGTCTAGAAATCGTTTTATACACTTAAAGACTGATTGTGATTGTACTCGTCTTTTGGCATAGGCTGATTCGTTATCGGCTGCATGTTGTTGAAGTTGTTCTGGTGAGGTGGTGGTGGTGGCGGTGCCTGCTGCATGGGCGGTGCTTGCTGGGGCATTCCGTATCCACCGTGCATTTTTTCTCTGTTTTACTGCGTGAATAGCAAAAAATGAAAATAAATCGATGGTTGCTTACTGTTTCTAGAGAAAATATGTATTTTCAATACTTTGTTACTAACGAAAACAGTAAGTGCCAAACTTTTAACTTGATTTTTTCTTTGCATTCTGACTGCGAAAAATCAAGTAATTTATGAGTTTATTTTTTATATTTTAACATTAAATAAATAATGTGCACATGCAAAACGCGTTATTTTTGTTTTAAATTTGTTTTTCATTTTTTACTGAAATCTTGTGTTTGGCGCCCGAGTCTTCCAAAATCTTCTCAGCGAGTTGTCTTGGAAGAGTTTTCCTCAAGTACTTCCTCGTTCGGCGAATACTGTGACTCGTGTAGTACCAAACGTAGCCGATAGCGGTGATTATCGACATTGGGAGCCATTGGAAGATGCATTTGATATTTCGTTCCGGGTAGTTTTTGGCAGTTTCTGAAGAGTTGAAATCAACAAGGAGAATCTTTAGAAATTGGGGCACCTTTGATTAGTTTTCTATTTTGGTTCTCCAATTGGTCGAGAATGTTTATGTATCCTTTCATCGAGTGCGTGAGAGTTAGACTCACGCCCATTCCAAAGATCGTCATGAAAAACATCAACAATCCAGATTTGAAGACAAACGAGCAGGCGGCGACCCAAATAGCGTAACCGGTCCAAACTGCATTTGGCTCATCGATAATTATTTCTTCGCCATATGCCTGTATTTTTGCTGAAAAACAAGACTTTCGGTGTTTACGATACCTCGACTCGGAACGGTCCATGCGCAGAAAGCTTTGGCATTGGATCATTAATCCTGTTTATTCTGACTGTTGGCGGGTTAATCCTCTCCGCAAGAGAATTAAAGCTGGCATCGCCAATCTTGGGCCCCGCGAGAGTCACACAGAACACATCGTATCCTTGAAAAATGTCAATGACTCGAAAATTAATTTCGAAAGAATCAACACACCCTTGTTTTTCAACTCCAGACTGGCGAAGGTCGCCACTGCCGCGCCAAGACTGTGTCCAACAACAACGAAGCGCTTGTCTTTTCCGAACTCGCTGACGATTTCTAGAAGCCGCCGTCGGTAGCTCAAGTATCGCCGTAAAAAGCCTCGATGGGTTTTGAAGGTTTCTCCGAGAAAAGTCGTCTCTAAAGCGAAACTGCTCGATTCAATGGTCAAAAAGGGCCAAACCTTTGAGTGGAATATCAAAATCAGCATGAGCATCGACACAAAAACCCAGCAGTTCCTGTCTTGTCCCCGGAAAGATAATGAGTATCTCTTCCGGAAGCTCCTAAAAATCAATCAAAAAGGCGACTAATGAAATGATTAAGTACCTGAATCATAAATCGAGTCTCTCCACAAGGAATATTTTTCGGCAAAGTTTGAGCTTTTTCGAAATACTTGCTCAGGATCGTATCTTTCTTGGCGAGATATGATTGGTAAAATTCCTGCACTTCGCAATCGTGTTTGTAACCCATCAATGCTGCTCGAGCTGAATGAAAAAAATGCAGAGGAACCAGAAAATATATATTTACCATAAAAACTGAGTTGACCTTCCATCTCCATATTTTTTTGTTTCTCTTTTTTCCTTCCAAATTTTCAAGTCATAGTGTTTCGCGCCCTTCAATCAGCTTCTGCGAAACGAGTGAAAGAATCATTTTCGTCTGAAACAGCGTAAGTTAGCATTGAAATTTCAATATTGACTTATAGATTCACCCTTGAGGGCGATCAGAGGTCGCTCAGGCAGTGGACGGCTGCTTTTGTCCTTTTCTCTCTGATTGTGACGTAAAATGTTATGGCGGAGGAAGCGAGTTACCTTAGAAACAAAATTCAGATTCTAGCGCCAAAAAAACTCTATTTTTATAGGAAGGTTTTCTATTTTTCCCTCATTATAATTTGAAGTTGAATCACGAACAATCATCAGCTCGTTAAATTTGTCAAATCAAAAAGCTAGAATTTCCACAGAGTAAGCGTTTTTCTCCAGGGAAGAATATATCTTTTAAATACTCACTTTTTCTCTGGCGTTTATATTCTGTTTCTGAGCTAAGACTTGAGAAGCGGCGTCGAAATCTCATTTTCGTCGATGCTGAGAAAAATCTCTTGGGATCCGATCGCGCGATTTGGACTCGACTCCCAAGGGATGATCAGAATTTATTGTTTCGTCACTGTTGCATCTACCCGTATATTTTTCTTTATTTCGAATTTCGAGGTTGATAAAGTTCAAATTTTTGATAGTCAAACATCAAAAAGGTCAAAACCATGATTTGGAATTGGAAATTTCATTATTTTTGCCAACCTCGCAGACCAGCTCGAAGAGATGTGGCATATTTTTCGGATACACGACGTTTTCAGCATACCGACGTTTTCAGCAACCGACGTTTTCAGCGTACCGACGTTTTCAGCGCTGCTGAATTCGTCGGTTTGCTGAAAACATCGGTTTGCTGAAAACGTCGTTTTTCACCTGAAAATGCGTGGGTGTTTAGAGAGGCCACCATTTAATCAAATTCCATCTGAAAACGATATAATATCGTATATATAACATTTCGGTAAATCGTAAAATAATTTAAAATCGATGTAATACTAATGAATCAGTTACAAAAGATTATATTTAATAGAACTTTTATTTTTATCTAAAGATGAAAAAGTTTTTCAATATTGATTTATCATTATTTTCAATGTTTTAAAAGCATATTCACTAAACTGAATAATACGTTAATACTGTTAACTTACTGGTGACTATGATTATTATGATAATTATGTGTTAAAAAAGATATTTAGCTAATTCTTATTACTTTTCTAAATAATGCATTCTTAATGACTCATTTAGAAATGCATTTAAACTTTTAATAGGCCAATTAAATTGCGACAACGTCGCTTTTAGATCCATTTGGTTTGAAAATATCGTCTCGGCAAACACCCACGCATTTTCAGGTGAAAAACGACGTTTTCAGCAAACCGATGTTTTCAGCAAACTGACGAATTCAGCAGCGCTGAAAACGTCGGTACGCTGAAAACGTCGGTTGCTGAAAACGTCGGTATGCTGAAAACGTCGTGTATCCATATTTTTCTCCTTTATGCCTCTGTTTTTGGTCAGAACTGCTTGTAAGTCCAAGGAAATTCAATTATAAAAATAAGAAAAAATATATTCAGCGATCCAAAGAGAGAGTGTCTTGATGTTTGTCGGATTGATTTTGCTCAATGTCGACTTTTATGCGAGACTGAATATTGTCAATCAGTTTGTGATTCGCAATACAAAGGTAAGTTTGTAAAAATAAAGTTTATAAAACTTGCTTTTTATATCTAATCTTGAGATTGCAATGACTCTTGTGATGATCTTCGAATTACAAAAGATGGGCGAAGACAAGGAATTGTTACCATATGGGATGGTTATGCAACAGTTGTGAATGCAACTAAGGATGAGGGCTATCCTTTACGGTGGATTGAACTTGAGAGCTTGCCTAACTGCCATCGTAGAGGTAGAATTGAGTTTGTTCACAATGAATTGCAGTGGACATGGGGAGATGGCGAATTTATCCACCTTTCTAACAATGGAACCAGGGTGGAACGTTGGGGCAAAAAATTTGAATTTGGCCGCCCGATTGCCCGCCCGATTAAAATTTTTTTTGTCGGCGCCGCCCGATGGCCGCCCGACTTTTTGCCCGCCCGATTTGCCCAGGCGCCGACTTTTGCCCGGAAATTTCGGCAACCCCAAAACCAAAAAATATGTAAATTTATTGAAGAAGAAGGATTATTTTGTATCCCGAAAGAAAAAGGGCACTCATGGAGAACCGAAACCGGTCGTTCTTAAAGAAAATTTCAGTATTAATGTCCCATAAGATGCCATTTTTTCTTCCGGGCGCCGACTATTTTCCCGGGCGCCGATTTTGCCCGATTGCCCGACTTTGCCCGATTTTTACCTCATAAAATCGAGCCCTACGCCGCCCGATTAGCCCGCCCGCCCGATTTTTTGCCCGGTTTGCCCGAGTTGCCCGGTCCCAACGTTCCACCCTGAATGGAACTATTTGGAGAATGACGCCCAATCCGACAAATGTGGAAAAGATTACATAGTTCAGATAACAAAATGTTCAGTTGTCTGTTTTCCAACTTCATTTGGACGACAACAATCATTATGATAAAAATCAACATTCAAGAAAGGCAATGTTTATCAAATTTCAAACACATGAAGCTTATGATCTTATTATAGGAAACGGTTCTTTCTTTGTTTATTTATTTTTTATGTATTTATCTGTATTCTAGGAAATCATAAAGTGAATCCAAAAAAGCATCACAGATATCTTTTCATGACAGTGAGAACTTCAACAACGAAAAATTTTTATGGACTTTTGAATAAACCATATAAATATATAAGAAGCAAACCTTTTCTTTTCAAGATCAATCATCTCTTATTCGTTTAAATTTAGAAGGCTGTGCAGGGGCAAGTCACCAGATCAGAGACTAATCCCTCGGCTAAGCCTTTATGTGATTTTTCTTAAAGAAGAAGTTAACTCTTTTCTACTTTTAATTCTCGGCAGCTTAGAAAGAGGACACCGGCAACTGCTAGAGCGGTGTAGAAAACGACCTCGATTCTCAGAACGCAGAGACTAAAACTTGTGATCAGCCGGGGCTTTTCACTGAATTAAGATCTAACGAAAGATTTAAGCTTTTTTTTTTGGTACTGTCAATTTTTAGTAAAAATACATCTTAATGACAAATTTTCTGCATTTTGATTAATGAATACAATCTAGAAAAAGGAAGGTTTTAAATTATCGCTGTTGATAATTTTTCGACTCGAAAGTTGCTTTTTTCATGTTCAAAAACTTAAGGTGCGCAAAAGAAGGCAAGATTGGTGCAGTAAAAATCCGCAGCTCAGAAGGGAAAACTTAAGTTTTATCACTACTTCGTGATAAGGCGGGCTTATTGATAAGTAAGCCGTTGGAAAGAGCTCTGGAAGAAGATAAGGGTGTTCTAAATTGAAGGCGAAAGTTCGTCAAAAATTTTAATTTTCAATTTCTTCGTTGTTTTCACCCTAGCCCCTTATTTTAAGTTAAAAAAAATTCAGAAAAAATTGAAAATATTTAGAATAAAAAGGAATAAAACGGTATTTTAAGTTTGAAATAATTAAGGGTCTCTTATAATCATTTAAACTGTGGTTGGCTATTTACCACACCAGTTTCAATTTCGGGGCGCTGCGCCGCCACCACCGCCAAAAGTCTTAAATGATACCACACAACACTGAGTAGGAAAAAAGTGAAAGTGGCGTACGACTAATAACCACACATAGTTTTAGTCTAAATAATTCTAATACCTGTTTTCGACAAGCGCGCTTTCCGAGAAGCGACCAAAGTAAAAATAGCTCCGCCGAATAGTAAGGGAGCATTTTTTGTGTATGGGTGCGCCTTAAATATTATTACAAAGGATAGTTGCGGTTTTTTTATTCGAAATTGTACTTTGTGTTTCTGGAAATAAATTTACGTACAATAAAATACAGATTTTTTTTAAGTTTTTTTATATCGAAACTGATCCCCTTAATTGCTATGATTTTCTTTGAAGATAATTAAGGGTGGAAGCTCCGTTAAATAAAATTTTCTTTTTTTTAATTTGATTATAAATTCGATCAAGAATAATTTTTATGATTAATATTTCATTTTAAAAATCTTTATTAGAAAATTTTTTTAATAAAAATTCTCATTTAAGTAAAAAATTATGACTCAGTGTTGAATCTGCCGATCTATGATTAGATACGCAGCAATTCTATTACTCTACTAGACTTGACTAGATTTTCTCGGTGGTGCTAGTTACTCGTTAAAATGAGTTTGGAGTTGCGCCAGCTTTAGTAATTGGTTGCGAACGCTTAAATTTAGGCATCGGGGGCTAGGGTTGTCGCGCAATTTTTGGTGGCGCGGCGCATTTATTCTAAGAATTCAGGTTTTTCCTTGCATGAAACAGTTTCGATCTCAATTTTTGTGACAATTGCAAAATTTTCAATCTTAAATCTCTGAAAAACAAGATTTATGCGGCCGTTATTAATATAAAAATATATTAAAAAAGACTTATGTAAGAGCAACTAATTTTTTTTAAAGAATATCAGATAAATATTTGATTTTTCAAAAAAATATGGAATTTTTAAACTGAAACAGAAATCTCAGTTCAAATTTTGTGCGACAGGCGCGGCCACCCTATTAATTTTGGTGGTGTAGGGCTTGGCTAGTGGAGCGGGTGCGGCGTTGCGCGGTTCCAAGCGCTTATAAACTTTTCTTTATGTTAGATCGGTTGCCCCTTCAGCACCACCACCACCATTACCAGTAGTAACTAGAGTCGCTGCGCCACCAAAAAAAGAAACCCTTTTATTATCTTAACGCGCGGCCAGAATTAAAGAAATCATCATTTAATCAAAATCTTTATCAATTTCTTTTTTCAAAACAAAAATAAGAAACAAAAAAACAAATATTTTTCAAACAAAAATAAGAGATTAGAAGAAAAAGAGATGTGGTGACGATTTCGGATGCATTTTTCATTACAGGTAAAAATTGAAAAAACAAAAATAAATTCGAAGTTATTATCAAAAGGTCATAAGAGGTCATTAAAGGTCATTTAAGGTCACGAATGGTCATTTATAGTGATTTTTGAATAAAGTTTTTTTTTGATCTTACTTTTAATTTTTCTTTTATTTTTGTTATCAAAATTATACGTCACTATTTTGGCCATTTTTGCTGGAAAATTTGGCAATTATGGTGTTTCCGTTTTTCAATTTTCTCCTTATTGACCTTTCAAATCCAAGCGTTTATGTATAATTGTTGGGAATAGAGGCGAATGGAGTACTCATAGGCATTCTTATGTTATTGAGTCGACTTTTGTTTTGGTAATTATTTCGCGATTGGCATAATTCCCGTGGAAAAATCTTTCCTTCTTACTTTTTTTTATGACGACTACTAGAATACAAGTGAGCTCACGAGATTTGCGCTGTGTCTCTTTGACCCGGCTCGATTAGTCACATGAGTCATGTATTAGTCACATGAGTCATGTGACATGACCGAACACATGTTCTAGAAATTTAATTACTAGAAAAAACATCTAGTTTTTGAGTCATCAAAGCTGTTTTCTACAAAGAAATCCGCGGCATATGAAGTGTTTCAAGTTGAGTCGGATAGAAAAAAACAATTCTAGAGTCAAAATATCCCCATATGCGGTTAATGGACTCTACACCCTTAATTTTAGCGGAAGTCCTGAAATTCTAAAACACCCAAAACATGTTCTTTTCATCTTAAAAAAGAGCAACAAGAATTAAAAATTGTAATTCTAGCGGGCTTAAATACCGCCCTAGGGGCGATATTGATAAGTATTTGAATAAAAGCCAAAGTAATTTTATTCATTGGCCTTTGAAATGGCGGGGCGCATGTCAACTCGTGTAATCCTTGTTTGGTTCCGGTCGATTTAATTTTTTGCAGATTGGATTCGAGTTTTTGGAATTTCAAATTTGTCAACTTGGGATTATCAAAAGCAGGAAAGAAATACAGTATTCTTCGCGAAATGAGGCTTTGATTAAAAGGCGGCCGCAATGGCTACCACAAGTTAACCCGTGTTCGCTTATTATACTGCTATAATTGGCACTTATTGAATTTGTCGAAGCTCTGAGCAAAAAGCTCAAGAGCAAATGAATTCGATTGCTTACCATTTTGGTCATCCTGAATTATTTTTAAACATTATCCATTTACGCATTCTATTTCTTTCTCAATCAGACATAATGAGATAAGTGAGGTAGTGATTCAGAAGTTTTCTTGAGTAAAGAATGCTGTTTTTTGGAAGAGATCTGACCAATCATCGAAGAACACTGAAAAATTATTCTCAAAAATGACTTAATGTTTGAGCCCTCGGATAGGGTTAGGGTTAGGAGACTTGAAGTAACTACTGTTGGGTACGGGGGAGAGGGGTGCCGGGGGCGTAGTCCCCTTAGTAAGGCTTTGCCTAAGCCGCTTAGGGTTAGAAGGCCCCTTACCCTAAGCGACCTCACTAAGGGGCTACCCGACTTATGAGTCATAACTTATGACCCCATCCACGAATTCTAACCCTAGCACTACATCTAACCCTAAGTTGCTTATTCAGTAAAAATCGCCTTAAGAACAACTCTTTTTCTTTACAAAAAAGGAAGAAATTCGAATAATTTCCTCAAATTTGCCGTCAAATTATAAACGAAGCAAGTTGGCCATCTCCTCACACTCGTAAATTTTTCCATTCAAAAGAAAAACTACATCGCGTCTTCTTGATTCCTCCATGATTCGAAAGTTTTCAATTTGTTTCAAATATTTGGCCGCTAACCATAAAAAGTTTGGGCGCGACTGGCGCTGTTTTCTCGCTGCCGCGTGAGGGCGCTCTGGCGCTTTTTTTTCGACTCTGATTTTCTTCTTCTTTTCGTCGAGAAATCTGCATGTAATTAGTTACTTAGACAGTTATTACCAAAAACGGAAAAATCGAAAAGGCGCTTAATTATTTGATGGCCGAAAAGAGAGAGTGATAAGAGATTCAGGAACAGGGTTTGTGACATAATTATTAAATGATAAGAAAATAGAATTGCGACTTTCGACTCATTAATCAGCAGCGAGAAACATGAATAAGTTAAAAACTAAATCTGAAAGTTCATCATGTGCATATTTAGCGGGCGCTTTTGTGTTTGTTATCAGCTAGTGATAAGGTCATTATGAGCAGCGGTAGAGGACTTAGCGGGCTAGCGATAAATAGAGAGAGAGAGAGACCTTTTATCGGTTGTACTTGATCTCGTGCGTAAGTACTAACCAACTAAGGTTCGTCGTATTTTTGGAAGCGTTGCATCTTTTTAAGGGTATAGTTAGGGTCTCCGGACAAAAGTTATCTTTCGATCCTCAGGGGTTTTTGGGATTTTTATGGGCTCTATCGATAGCTTAGAATATACTGAGGAAGAATATGACATAAAAAAATAGGTGTATAATTTCGGAAGTTGGTCAAAAATGGGATTGAAAATTTGTACTTTTTCACATTTCGGCATTTTCGACCAACTTCCGAAATTATACACCTACGTTTGTATTTCATATTCTTGCTTGAAATCATCTAAGCTATCCATAGAGCCCATAAAAATGTGAAAAACCCTTGAGGATCAAAAGTTAGCACTTTTTCTACCGGAAACCCTAGGTTAACTTCTACGTTTTTCTACCCTAGATCTTACTTTTTTACACGAGCTTTTTTCAAATAGCGAAGGCTATACCCTTAAATCTTTATTAAACAAAAAATAACAAATATTTTTTTTCAAAACATAATTCCCTCCTCTGTGAACAAAAGTACCAATTATCAGTTTTTTTGCTGAAGACATTGACCTTCAAATTGAATGAAACAAGTCTCGTCTGAGGGTGGTATAATCGCTGCTATTATAAATAAATTACGAAGCTCATTCACAATAATTGCACCGAAATTGTTTTTTATTATTCTTCCGGATTTTCTATCGGATTTCCTATTAAAAACAGCTCTCCGTCGCTTTATTTTTTCTCGCGTTAGCAAACCAATCAAAGTCAGAAAAAAAAGATTGAAAAGTAAAAAAAACGATGCTGCCAAATCCGAGTTTTTTGAGGACCTTAGAGATGCTCAACAGAACCAACTACTCACTGGTAAGAGAAACAGAATATTTTTCCGATTTTTTTTTAATAAAAATGGTCATTTGGGGTCTTTTTTGAAATACAAATGGGCTTAAAATTGAGTTAATACGGGCCATTATGTGTTTTGAGAAAACTTGGGCTTAAATGACTTCTGGATAAGTTTTGAACAAGGAGTTTTGTTTTCGCGAAAATATTTTGACAAAATCGGCGAAATACGTCATCGTTCGTAAAAAGCCCTTGTTCTTCTTATTTGTTGTTCTCAAGTGTTAGAGGTTCTATTAATTTTAAGTCTGATCATTCTTTTTTGACTCAAATTATGCAACTTATCCGAAAATGACTTGATGATAAGAAAGGAAAAAAAATTGCAAAAGAAATTTTTGCAAAAAAAATTCGATTTGTTTATTTCAAAAAATTTTTATTGGATTTCTGTAAGCGCTAATTAATCCGCCTCAAGTCCATCTTAGCTCGCCCTTGGGGCGCGAACAACTTGGGCTCAGCGGGATATTCGAATACTCAGCCTGTATAACAATTTGTTTATCAGTATTATTTGGTCCACCTGGCGCGGCATTACAAGCGGCTTAATTCCTCCAGTCCTAAAATTGCTGCCCCTGCTGCGTGGCAATATGCGGAGATATTAATTTATTAAATTGATCAAGTTTTCTGGGCCAGACTTAAATATGCTCAGGGCGCATTAATCTGAGTATAAACCTAATGCAACAGATAGCCTATTATATATCAATCGTATCAATTTAAGAGTAGCTAAACAGATTGAGGTAATCGCAATCATATCAACTGCTGCTGTGGCTGCTACTTAGATTAAGAATATAGAAAAAAAAAAGAATCTCAAGATCCGGAATTGAATATTTAACAACATGCCATTATAAACTTTTTTTCTGAGTCATAATTGACTTAATGGCCATTTCTCATAACAAATAAGGGGGTGGTATCAGGAACCGACAAAAAATCTCGAAAAATTTTGCGTGGGCGGCTACTCGGCTGCTGATTGGCCGGTGAGCAGAATCCGGGCTTCTGATTGGTTGAAAATTGTCGAATTTTTTTGTCAGTTCTAGACGCCTCCACAAGGTGAGTATATGATATACTGTGGATCTACTTTCAAATTTAAGTTTTCGAGCCGAAAGCGACTACTAAAGAAAGTAGACAGCTCGGGAAATAGACAATTAAATTCTCCATTCTTTAACCTAGACACGACTATTATTTGTTTTCATAGTTCTAGTTCCGCAAAAGAATCGTAAAACAACACTTTCCAACTTATTTTCCAATTATTTAATTGACAACTGACAATTGATCAATGTGGCTTGAAATTGTTATGCGTATAATCATGCGGGTCAGCAAAGACCGATTTACTTGATTCTTTTCGCAGTTATGCTCATCTGTTTTTAATTCTACTCAAATCGAGAGTGATTGGATCCGATTTTTCGATTCATCTACCAAAGCATAAATCACGTATCGATTTGTAAATAAACTTTGGCTAAGTCCATCCGGACTTGATAATTGAGGGATAAAATGAATATTGAGCGCAGGTGATTTTTTCTGCTAGAGATATTTTATTATCAATCGATTTCCTTCTCAATTATAGCTCTTTTTTGGTCCATTTTAGCTCGGCAACCCGTGATGAAAACCTGACTCAGGGCCTGAGTATACCTTACATTAAACCTGACTCAGGTTCAAACCTGTGAAGAAAACCTGATTCAGGGTCTGAGAATACAGTATTTTGAATACCTTACACTAACCCTGACTCAGGTTTTCTACACAGGTTCGAACCTGAGTCAGGATTAGTGTATGGTATTCTCAGACCCTGACTCAGGTTTTCTTCACAGGTTCCTGAGCCCAGTGGTTACTATCCTTTGACCTGCTCCTAACCCTAACCCTAAATCCAGGGGGCTTATAAACTTCGAAACTAAGCGAAAATAACTTTGGCTCGCCTCACTTTGCAGTGGCTTGTTGTTTAAAATTTATGTTTCAAATCTATTAGGCTCGGTAATTACACATTGTTTAACCATCAGTGCGGCTATTAATTCCGGATCTGTTTATTTCCGGCCTCTCCTCTCATCAAGGCTTCATTTTCACGCGGCCGCAATAATTTTCATTAAATAAATTAAGCCCATTATTTTAAACGCGGAGTAAACTGAACATTTCCGGTATTGAAAAAAAGGAACGAGGAAGTCAGCCAAGGAGACGCCAGGCGGAGTAGTTAACTGCTTCCGATTAGATTCACTAATATTGGTTATAAATCCACAATCGGGAAAAATTAACGGAAGTTGGGAATATTTTTATTGAAGGGTTTTATTATTAGGAAGCTCTCCTTTAAGGGTGTCCACATTGTAATGGTAAGGGTCAGTCAAAATGGCGAAATAGATGTTGACACCCTTAAGGAGGAAGATATCCAGAATCGGAATTTTCTTTCAGATTTTTCTCCCAAAGTTAAAACAGTAACACCCTTATTTTTTGGAAACAACAACTTTAGACCGTTCTCTATTCCATTAGGAAAAATAAGGGGGTCACTTTGTTAAAAAATAGAGAAAAAACTGACAGAAAATCCGATTCTTGATAACTACCCCCTTAAGGGTGTCAACATCGAATTCGCTGTTGACACCCTTAAAATCATGTAAAATAGTCGAAGAAAAATCCAGAATCATTTCTTTTCTTCATAATATAAATAAACCCAAATGACTCCATGGACCGTGGTGGATGCATTATTGAACTAGTCGTCTTAATAGGTGAAAGCTATCACTGTGTATTATTGTTAGTTACACTTTCCATGACAGGCGGGTGCCCGGTTCCATAATAGGCCTCCTGTCGCATGGTTTAATTAGTTTGAATTGATGATTCAGTGATAATTCCGAATGACATTTTACCTCGATCACCATAATGCCTCATTTTATATTTCAACCCAACAAGCGAGAATCAAATAGAAAAGCAACTTGAGTGACGCTGCAGCAGCCAGGATTATGTTCCTAATCGTAAGTCGATTGGAAAATTATGTATTTGAGATACATGTGACAAAATTTACAGATGAGCGCGTTTTCCTATAATAATATGGGTGCGATATAAGAAGTTATATAAGAAAATAACATGTTATGTAACTTGTTTTTTTTGGCAGGGATGGTAAAAATGGGGCTCTATGGTTTAAGTTGGTTATTATGGGAATATTGAGTAAAGTACAAAAATGGCCAAATTCGGGGTTGGGTCAGGATTCCTGACTCAGGAACCGACAAAATATTACGACAAATTTTGCGTGGAAACTTTCAACTAATCAGAAGCCTGGATTTGGTTTGCCAATCAGAAGGCCTCTGGCTTAGCCAATAGACAGCCGAGTAGCCGCCCACGCAAATTTTGTCGAATTTTTAGTCGGTTTCTGACGCGAACCCGAAATTTTATGCTTCTCTTGGTCTAAGGGAGTTTTTCATCCTTCTTTAGTTCCCTTTTTTAAAATGGGGATCCCATATTTTTAAAATTATTTGCACTGTAAAATATCGATTAGCAATTATACAATTATCGACTTTGGATAAGCATGGCTCTTAGGGGACTCAGCAGTACAAGCACCAGTATAGCACCTACAGTATTTAATTGATTAATCTTAAGATTTCTCGCGTTCTTGAGATGGAAATTGTTGAAAAAACAAAACCGCGCCCGCCACAAGCAAAACCAGAGCAGCTGGTTTTGATTATTGAGTGATCTGGCAATTGTCGGCGCCACTCGCCCCGGGGCGGGGCTCAAGAATTAATCGACAATTAAAAAATTAAAATAAGGGATCAAAACTCGATAGTTAGCGGTTGATGTTGGACAAGGACGCGGTACTTAATCGATGCCAATTAAGAATTTACTCTAATACTGCTCAGACTAAAGGTCTTCTTCTTGGTCGAAAATCACTTGAAGAGTTCTAAAGGAGATCATCTAGCACTAATGTCTCAAAGACAAGCTTCTTAACCCGCTGACGAGCGCGTAGCAGTTTCGCTGCTATGACCCGCCCAGAGGCTCAAAATATGGCAACCTAATTGGCGCAGAAGGCAACTTTTTGCCTACTGCTCGAAAACGGGTTAAAAATATGCTTTTGGTTGGCCAAATTTCGAAAACAAAGATTTTTTCTTATTTTTGACAAAAATTTTGCTGAAAAGGTTAAATTGATACTTGAAAATGAAAAAAGATCTGCCGCCAATTTCGATTGGACAATCAAGAACATACTTGCTTCTTATTGGCTTATAAGTTTTTTTAAGAAACTTTTAAGATTTTCGCCGTTCATTTTTCATGTTTATTGATGAAAGTTTCTGATTTGACATTTTGTGGCATTTTCGAAAGTCATCAAAATGTCTTGATTTGAATTTGGTCCCTCCAAGTGTTCGCTGAAACCATCTTCTTCTTTGAGGAGCCCCTTCGACTCTGATATACCTGGTTTATTAACGTAATACGTTGTGTACCTTCCCTCGCGCGGAGCTAGTAAAAGTACACTACGTTTTGTAAGAATTTCCATAGAGCATTTCTTATATAACAGCAATTAAGAAGCGAGTGTCTAACCAACCGTAACCCGACCAAGAAAATTATAAAACTCTACCATAACTTCCATTTTATCGCAGAAACACAATCATTGACTAACCTAAAAAGACATTTATGGTCACTTGAAAAAAATTTTTTTTTTAATTTTTAAATATGCCAATTAACAACGGAAATACGAAGATTATAAACGGCCAGAATTCTACTGAAGTGAACTGTATCGAGATGAATAATGAGAGTTGTGAAAATAATCAGGAAGAGTTATGTTAGTTTTGATCGTGAAATAAGGGTGTCGGAATGTTAAATTAAGATTTGATAGAGAAGTTTTTGGACGTTCTATTGGCTCTAGAATTTAATTGAGTCGGAGTAACAACGAAAAAAACTCAATTTATTTTTATTTGAAGGGAAGTTTTGCTGGATACACCCTTAAGAATCATAATTTTTGCGATAAATATGAGCATTTTCGGACATTTTTAATCTAAAAATTTCTGAAGAAAATCAGATTTATCAATCAAAAATTCGCGAAATCTATGAATTTTGTCCAAAAACTAATTTTTCGACAAAAAATCATCGATTCTTTAACCCAATGAAACGGATAAATCAGAGATTGCGATTGAAGTACATTCAACTTTTCATTTAAATCGGGTGTAGTTACATAACTCGTCGACCTAAGCGCACCACCGAGCCGGTTGAGAGGAGTACGAAAATGACAATAGGTTACGGTTCACAGCGCTTGCTAGGGTTCCTTCAAATTACCTAATAATTTCTGAGCTAGTTCTGAGCCGCGCCAAAGGGAGTTCTAATGGACATGAGCTGAATGAATTAGGAGCGTTTCGAATTGAGCGATTATCTAACTAAGGACAACATTGCCTTTCTGAGGGCTTCTGTATAGGTTGCTGTAAGCCAATCAGAGGCAGGCCATATCATTTTCAAAATCAGAAACCAGAAAATAAGGCTCCAGCCACCAATCAAATGGCATCTCCTTATCAAACGGGCCGAGTTCATCCGGGCCAAGCTCGAACAACTCCGGCGAGATCCAAAATGTCGATGATGGCCAAAGTTCGAAATTCATCTGAAAACAAATCAATTTTACCTGAGTCAACTTTTGAATATAAAAGTGAATTTCAAAGATTTTCTTATTTCCAGGAGGTGTAAGCATTTTCGATTCCAGCTGAAGAATGGGAGTCGAAAATGGAATGTTAAAATGGAAATATTCTTTAAAAATAATTTTTTTTGAAATTATTATTGAAAATTTTGACTCTTGGAGGCCCAGTACATGAATCAGTATGTGTCGAACTTTGCCTAAAGGGACAACGCGGGAGCGCCATTTTCTATCCGCCACCAGCTGGTCCAGAATTACTTGGACAATAATCTCAAGCCAGGCGATCAAGGATTATATGTCGACACAGGTTACAGGACTAATTTCACCTTGGCTCAGTACATGGGTCAAAATGGTGAGACTATTTGGACCAACGCTCACCCGGCCAAGTATTATCTCAATGTAAGTTCGGGTGGCAACATCACTTACAAATGCATGATTCAAATTAACCCTGAAGACCAATCTGGTCCCTTTTGGGTCTTCGAAAAAGATGACCTCAAGATGACCCCAAAACGCTTGCTTGTGACCTAAGTAAGCGCCCAAAAATGACCTCAAATGACCTTTTTTGACCTCAAATGACCTCAGAAATTTTTGTGTCGAAAAAATATGCGACTCTCTTTATCATTAATCATTTCTAGGGAGCATCAGCCATGCGGGACTTCAGATTCACAGTAGAGCAAATCTGGCTTCTCCAGCGATTGCGCGGCAGTGGCCTCAATCGCGAGCAAATCGTCGCCGGCTTGGAAGATCTTGACCGACTTGACGGTTCGTGTTTACTCAACGGTACTGACAGTAACATGTCGTAACAACTGTTGTTTCAAACTTCCATTTGAACGAGTCAAAACTAAACTGTATTTAAAGTTGGTTCAGTAACTGGCCGTCCGCACTCCGCAAACTCCGATATTGTCAAATCCAATGGCGACAATTCCGACTCGGAAAAAACTCCAAATTCGAACCCGAGTCAAAACCAAATTGGCGCTGTACCAAATTTCAATGCGAGCCAATCAGTTCTCCAGGTACACTCTTTTTCTGACCCATTTTTCGACCCCCCTTTTCAGAAGAATCTCAGTCAAGCTGCAGCTGCAATTTTGAGCACACAATCAAAGCTACCAGTGCAAAGCCCTTTCCCGAATCTTTGGTCAGGACAGCGGCCAAATCATTTGAATCCATATGCTGCTCTTGGTAACACCTTTTCCAGCGGAATTTCAAACGGGGAGGATCAAAAACGTAAGTCTTTTTCTTTATTTTTTCACATTTTATTCCATTTCTAGCGGTAGAAAACGGCTTTTCCCGGAAAAACGAGGAGCATGACGACCTTGCCGATGAGCTTGACCAAATCCAACGAGCAGTCGAGTTCTGCGAGCGCCGAAACCAGCACGAGGTTCGTTTTTCCATAGGAAGAGGGGGAAATTCCGAAAAAAGTCACGCCTGCCTGGCAACAGCAGCAATATTATGCTGCTGCTCGTAAAAGAATCGAAATCTCTCGCGTTCGCACGATTTTCGTCCGTTCTGGTGACGATTAGCGACTAGCCGGGAAGGGAGCACAATAGTTTATGGCAGTTGTTAACTTGAAAATGTGTAACTATGAAATGTTAAATCAAACCATTATGCGGGCCATAAGGGGTAAACACTAAGAAGACGTTTTATATCATTGAGGGCAAACTGTCGAAATACATACTGCGCCAATTGTAAAGACGATTATAAAATTGACGATTTTTTTGTAAAAGTCTGTCTCTGAAAAACCACCACGTGATCAAAAAATCAAGGAGGTGTCAGGAACCGACAAAAAATCGCGACAAATTTCGCGTGGCCAATCAGAAGCCCGGATTCGGCAAACCGGCCAATCAGCGGCCAAGTAACCGCCCACGCAAAATTTGTCGCGATTTTTGGTGGATTCGTGACACCACCCCGAAAAATCGTCATCGGTCGTCAAAAACCCCTACTTTTGTCTTACCCAGTTTTGATCACTTTTCTTTTTAGGTGAAAGAGGAAATCCGCATCTTTACCCAGCGTCATCACATTTCACAAACGGCGATTTCCAAGGCCACCCACCAGGCAATCTCGCAGTCTTACATTTCCCAATGGTTGACAAGCAACATCACCATGGGCGATGCAAAACGACGCATCATTTACGAATGGTTTGTTAGGCAAAAACGACGATTAGAGGGCGCCTACCCTTCCGCCACGACAATGCCACCAAAGGTATAAATCAATAACAATTTCCTTGTTATCTTATCAAATAAGTAGAGTTGAGAAAACAACAAATGAGAAATAAGCTATGACGTTTTATTGATTGCTCTTGAATGTAGAAAAGCTCCTTGATTTGGTAATATCATCTGTCTAGGACATTGTTTAACACTTGCTTATGCAACTTAAAGTACAAGTACAAGGTACTTGAAGTCGTAGAGTCTACGGTAGAGAGGGGTTATCATTCGAGCCTATGATTCGAGCTATCCACTATCTCTAGAATCTAGGCTAGTGGTTAGGGTTAGGGACTGGGAACTCTATACGGGGCTTCAGGGGGGCAAAGCCCCCAGGCTTTCGCTTGAGTTGGGGGGGGGGGTCCCGGGGAGCGTAGCCCCCTGAGTTAGGGTTAGGGGCAGCTCGAATGATTACCCCTACTACCATTGCAGTTGAATATTATTGAAATAATTTTTTCATATCATTTTTTACAACCCAATCTAGACATCAACAACAAGCAGTCTCCTCTCCCTCCCCGCATCGCTCCAATCTCGTCTCATCAACCACCTCCCATCCTCAAACGGCGTCGGCGCTCCTGCCCTCCCAGCTGCAGCTAGCAGCCTAGATCGAAGCTCTCCCACAACCTCGCTTGCAAACAGAAAACCAAGACAAAGGTTCGTGCAGATTTTTGCGTGCAGAAAATGAAATTAATCCGTTTTTCCAAAGTTTTCAAAACAAAAATACCAAAATTATTTTTTGCTTAAAAATAATTCGTAACAATAAACAAAGAACGCGCCTGATCCCTTGCCAGAATACTTTGTTTGATTTCTAAAGCGCATTAGTAAACCTAAGAATACGATGATCGCGATTCTTGGTATTCCAGGACAATGATATGACGGTAAATAAATTATAACAAAGAACGCAGTATTTGTGGTAAAAACACAAACCCGCCGGGCCCGATGAGGTGGATCCCGATTTTTCGCGCAAGTAAAAGAATAACACAGCAGGGAATTGGAAACATGAAATATAAAACTTGAAAGTTGCAAGTTAATCGGAATTAATAGACTTTACTTGACCTAGAGTTGGAAATTATGAAATCAAATAACTAAACGCGTCTTTTTAGAATCATGTGGCCAATGCGATGCTTGCAATATTTGGACAATGTTTACACTAGAAATCCGTACCCAGGCTCTCTTGAGCGATCGAAGATCGTCGAAGACTGCAACTCGATTCTCGGTAATACCTAGTTTTCCAATCAGCTCTAGAATGAATTTTAGGAGATGATCGAACAGTAGAAATCAGCGAAGCTCACGTCGCAAACTGGTTCAGAAATCGAAGAAAGATGAAGAAGAACATCGACTCTTGCACCGACAAAAACGGTAAGCCCCTCGTCGAGATTTGATTCGTCATCATTTTCTAGGAGTTGAGACGTACGAGCACCTGGTGGAAATGTCCATGGACGGCAGCGAAAACGGCGCGGAAAACGACGTCGAAATCTCCGTCGAAGAAATCGCCTCAAACGGCGCTTCCCTTGAGCAGAAAATCAAGATCGAGCAAAGTCCCGGATCAAGCCCGGCCCGAGAGGGCATTTCAACTCCCGATCACCAGGCTCAGGCGCCAGTGAATATTTCCCAGTTCAGTGCGAATCAGATGACTGCGCAGGTAAATTGAAAACAACTCGGTGAGCGGATGGTGAAAAGTAGAAGGAATAGACCATAATAGCTTTATATAGGCGTGACTACTATGAACCATGTGTAGGTTCATACTGCTGCGCGTAGATGGTGATACAGTAGCACAACTCTTCTTCTTGCACAAAAAATAACACCCACCAACAGGAGCAACCCCATTCTACGCTGCCGCAACTCAATGGTCCCCATTACTCTGCGCCCTCGTCCATTGCTGCTGAGCGAAACTCGATAATCCAGCGACTCATGTATCAAAATCATCAACCGCCAACACTGACCAGCGCAGCTCAAATGAGCCAGCCGACGCTCTCGGGTTAAGGCCTTTTTTGCCTCTTTTTCGAGTCAAAAATGAGCCAGGGAATCTTGTAATAAGGGTTAACTCATGAGGGTACTATTGACAAAAACTTGGTTAAATGATCAAATTTTGACCAAAAAATGACAATTCGCGCCCATGGGTTAAAAATTAAGAAAAATTTTTTTCATCCCTTTTTTCAAATTCTCGTCGAATTATCTATTCTGTCTCGTAATCTCAATTTTTTCTCACTGAAAACGATAAAAAGAGTCAACTTTGTTCAATAAGTCCGGAGAAAACGAATTCAATTCTCCACTCGTACACTTTTTTCATACTTGCTAATTTTTCTCGATGTCCTAAAACAGTAACTTTCATCCGTCTATCTCCAATACCGTATTTATTTTTTACAAGATTCAATTTTTTGAGGGATCGAAATCGCTCAATTCAAAATTTGTGTGCTAAACTTACTGATTCGAAATTTCAAAAATACTTCTCCATTCAATGGAGTCCATTGTGTATATTTTCCTTCATTTTGCTAAAAAGAAGTCATCATACTCTCTTCCCCCTCAATTCTCAATTCTTCTTTCGTACTGTAGAAAAATAATTATTGTTCAATCTAAACCCTACTGCGAAAAATAAGGCAGAAAATACTTGATACTTTATGATAGGTGGAAATAAAATCTTTCAAATTCTTTTTTAAAAAATACGTCTTGTCTCATGGTGGTAATTTAATTAAGTAATTAACCCGTGTTCCGGGGAAGGGAAGTAATAAAGGATTGCTCAAGCTTTCAACTTTATTTATAACACGTGTTAGAAAATGCAATTTGGTGATTCGAGTACCACGAAACGGAGCGCTATTTATAGCACGGCTCAAAATAACCAAACGGTCCTTTTCAACAACTTGCTTACAGTATTCTCCTTTTTCTAGAAAAAGATGAGGAAGTTTATTCACAGGTCTCGAAGAAATCAATGAAGAAGCTAGTTCTATGCTTGAATCTCTGACAATCCTTGAGTCCAATCATCCCTCGTCAACGAATCCAAAGTAAAGGTTCCTCCTGCTCCTCGAGCAAAAGCTAAAGAAAGTCTTCAAAAAAATTCTTCAAAAGAAATTCCTACCTTGAGTTGGATCAAAGCAGGTCTCCCCGTTGCCACAAGCTTTCAAGCAGCCATTGCAAATTGATTGACCAAATCGACCAGATTGAAGCTGTGGTTCCGGTCGGCACGATGCTCGCCATGGTGAACCAAGGAAATTTTGGCTTAAATGCGATTCTATCTCCGTCATCTTATCCCCCTACCTCATGTTTTTCAAACATTGGAGTTCTTCCATGCATCTGATACTCATCTGAGTGACTTGGCCTCCTCTCATTCTTACTTCGACTCCGCAAATTTCACCATCTAGAAAGAGCTCTATTTCAAAACAACGCATGTTTTTCTTACCTCGACAGGTTGTTACATCTCCATTTGCCCTCGAACTCATGCAAGAACTGTAAGTCGCTGCGCTTGAAGAGCCAGAACCAGAGCAAACATTACATTGTGGAAGATTTGTGGGTCCTCCCCCTCCACGGAGTCCTCCTTGATTCCCAAGAGAAGCGACTTCTCGACTGGAGAATTCCCGGGAAGCTTCAGTATTTGATGATTCGAGGAAGGATTCTCTCATTGGTTGGAAGGAAGATGTTGTCGATGTGGTCGATGTGGTCGATGTTGATGCTGTCGTTGTCGTTGTTGTCGCCGTCGTTGTTGTTGATGTTTTTGATGCAGAAGTCGAAGTGGTTGTTGAAGTCGAAGTTGATGACGGTGACGCACTTGTTGTCGTCGTAGTTGTTGTTGTTGATGAAGTTGTGGATGTAGTTGTTGTCGTTGTCGATGTTGTGGACGTTGATGTTGTTGTAGAAGTTGTTGTAGAAGATGTTGAAGAAGCCGCACTTTTTGTTGTTGTCAAATCAAAATCGACAGGCTTTTTTCCGTGATACAAATCTTGTTAAAATCTGACGAATTTAATCAACAAGATAATAATGTTGACAACGTACACCCGGGCGCCGCTAAGCACCCAAGTAATTACATCTGATTAGCATCAAATTTATCATAATTGACCAAAAATATACTTTCTCTTTTTATCACTCTCCTGAAACATTTCTGCGAGAGTGGTGGTAATTTCTAGCGCTGGGAGGGTTCGAGGCTCGCTTGTTGTCGTCAGGAGGTTGTTGACTGTAAATGGCGCGGTGGAGAAAATACTTGCGTTTTCATCGAAGTCGACTTCTTCGTTGATCGCGTAGTCGAGGTCTGATACGAGGTCGGAAAAGCCGCCAGAGGTGAATTGGGGGCTTTCGAATTCATTGGTGAAGACTGATTGCGCGTCGTACTGTACAAAAGGCTCTGTAAAATAAACACTTACTGTATTCGTCTTTTGGTTCTAGAGCCGTTCCTGATAGTCGTCAAAACTAAGCCCCGTCGGCCTCCTTTCTTCCTGTGAAATCGCAATCTTTACAAAACCCGTCAGAATAACTGTAGAAATTTTCATTTTTTCTTTACTCTGTTCTGAATACTAAAAAGACAAAATTCTTGTTCAACCAAGTTTTTGTGTTTTTTCGAATGAGAGGAGCAAAAATGTTTTGGGACGGGTTAAAAAGGAAAGCGATTTCACGCTGAAGCTCGACGAAAGAGGAAAACCTCAAGCTGATTTTTGGGTTTTTCCTGTGACACTGTGGAGGGTTTCCTTAATCGCGTTTGGGAGTTCAGCGGAAATCTTTTGATGCAATACTTATTCACTTCTTCACGTCTTGATTGCGTTGAAAACGGCTCATTTTTCACTAGCGCATTCTGGAAGATCATTTCCTGGTCAACTTAAAAGTCAGCGGAAATCCTGCTGGACATGGCATACTCAAAATGACATCTTATCATTAAAATGGCTGTAAAACAGTGGGCAAAAAGGTTATTTTCAGGGACTTTTGGCATTCATTTTCCTCTTTTCCGGGGCTCGAAAATTGATAAAATGGATGATGAAAAAGAGAAAAATGACAACTGGTTTTTTGAGACGAAAATTCAGGTTTTCAGCATATTAAAAAAGTAAAACAATCGGGATTCTAGTGCATGGATTGTCACTGCTTCGGTGTTCTGACTCAAAAAGACGGGAAGGTCTTTTTGAAGACCGAGGAAGTACTATCTTCAAGAAGCATCAATACACTCAAAGAAGACTTAGAGAAGAAAACGTACAAGGAAATAGTTCGTAAGGGTCTGACTCTCACGAGTCATGGATTTTCCACCGACCCGCAGAAGTACACCTACCTCGGTCTCAGCTCGCTTTTTTGGGTCACCATCATCTTGATAAGTAGAGAGCCTTAATCGATCTTTTGTTCAATATCTTTTTCTAGCAAACTTCCAGTCGTTGGAAAAATCACGAGGCGTAACGACTTTTCTGACTTCGACTTGCAACCGAAACTACAAAAAATGCCTTCAAATAGCGTCGATGGACTACTGCGGTCATCTGATGAAGCAATGCTTTGAAACTAAGGAATTCATTCTTCCTGAACCAATTCAGAAAATCGATCGAAAAGAAACAGACCTGAAAGTGTTCAGCAAAGAAGAAAATGAAAAAAATCTTCGCAGATGCCAAAAGAAAAAGTTTTATGATACCAAGATTTGCCGCCATCTTTGCTCAAAAACGCTTATTTTGGAATCTACGAGAGCGAAATCATCTTCGCCCTGTGAGTTTATTTGCTTCGAGCTGACACGATCTTTTGATGCTGCTGGGGAAATCTGTCCTGGCGAAAAATATTGCAAAGGAGGATGTCCTTGTCCTTATTACAATTGTGAGAAATTTCAATCTCCCCAGAAAAAGATCCCGGTTTTCGACCTTGAGAAAGCTGAGTCTGTTGAGCTTGATTCTATTCCAGGAAAATTTCGAATTTTTTTGTGGCGCATTCTTTTAGCAATATATTTTCGAAATTTCAAAGCAGATGAGAATGGTGCCTCATCAATAAAATGGATAACTGGTCGTTGGGCAAATCGGAAGTCCCATATTGAGACGACGAAAAGATTTCCTATCATCTTTACAGATTTCAGAACGGACAAAAATGACACTGATGTCGAGCTTGAGAGCAATTCATTGTTCACTTCTTATGAACGTTTTTCTTTCATTTTTCATTTCATAGTAAGAAAGTGTAAGTAAGACGCAAAAGTCGATCGGTGCCACTGTTCTTGATGGCGAGCATTATTTGGTCGATGCTGTCGGAAATCTGATGAGGGTTGATGAAAAGGGTGGGGTGCCCGTGATCGTTCAAAATAGAAAATCAAGCGAGTAAGATCATCAACTTTTTTAGGATTTCTACCATGGAGTTGAGCTCTAAGTGGAGATAGGAGAATCTTTGCGTTAGAAAGAGCGGCTTGGATTTTCTAACGCGAGCTCTGAGCGCGCGCATTTTCAGGGCAGGAGCGCCCCAGCCAATCAGAGCCCATTAATTCTCCGCGCTGCGCCGCAGACTCAATTCTCTGCGCTCGCCCAAAAAGTCCTCCAGATTTCTCTCTCGTGGAGACAACGATGAGTATCTTCATTAAAAATAAGCCTTTTTCAAGGCTAAAACTAAAAACAAAAAAGCCTTTTTCAAGGCTGGAAATGTTACGTCAGTCGACGCAATCACCGGTTCTCCAATTAGCTTCTTGATTTTCCCTGTTTTTTCCAGATTTCCTCCCCATCCTTCCGCTACCTATCCTCTTTTCTTCACTCATACTTTTTGAGTCTAGAAGGAACGGATAATATTTTAAATTTTATTAAGAGAGAATTCATTTAAGAGATAACTTAATAGAGACAGAGTTGCAAATTTACTGGCACTAAAAGAAATTTTCATACAGTTTAATTTTATATAGTTTTGGACATATTATTTTGGACTTATTATTATTGAATAAAATGCGAATAAAATTGAAATTTTGGATTGCTCTTTCAATTCATATACTGATGAAACTTTCATCATGAAAGTAGCTGTTTCTCCGGACTTAAGGGTACCTGGGTCGAGATGGCCATCTTTGAGGGTAAATTACTACCCTTAATTCTTAACGAAAAAAGCTCCTTAATAGCTCATTCAACAGATCTATCCTAGATCTCGGATCGTGACAGAGCAGTTTTTTCGATTTCAAAAATTTTTTTCAGAAAAAATGCCCTCAAAGTTGGCGTCTCGGCCTTAAATGGCCAACTTTGACGCTAAATTCAGGCGAAAATTTTCATACAAACATTTTTTTTCTTTTTGGATACATAAAGTCTAAAGCCTCCTCTACAATCATGACAGAGCAGATATTTGGATTTCAAAGATTTTTTTAAGAAAATTTTCAAAAGATTGGTCTAGTCTTCACAAATTCCGCATTTTTGCTTGGTAAGCTTCCATTTTCCCCGGTTTTGAACAGAGTTTAATTTTCTTGGGCAATTCTAAGCTTCACTACGATGTTAACCAGGCCATAAGCTTTCATTTAAGCCCTTAATCAGCAAAATTGGAGATGGAAAATTTTTCGTCAAAATTTGAGGCTCTAGCATTTCCTATAGATTTTATACTTTACAGTGGTTTTTGACCGTGAAAACGTTTAGATAGCCATAGGGTCATTGTAGAGTTTTTTGTTCCTTAGAACTTGAAGAATTCGATTCTTTGGTCAGAAAATGGTTTAAGGGGGTACCCAAACTCGACCTAGGTACCCTTAAGGGTGTCAACAACGACTTTGGGCATATTTTCATTCACTTTTTCGGCACCATTCCTTAAGATTTTTGGTCCTTTTTTATGCTCATATATTGAATTCAACAATTTTATAGGCCGTGATTTTAACGAATTTTTGAAATACTAACCCATTAATCCCCACCGCCGCTTCAAAGACTCCTTTAAAAATCTGATGTTACTATACTTTTATTCAATTTTTTGGTATGTTCCCGAAATTCAATTGCCCAATTTTTCAAGAGAGGCAAGCTTGAACACTATTGTATGCCCAAAATTTGGCAGATTTTCAAAATTCGATCTGCATGCACCACTTTTTGAAAAATGAAAAATCGAAAAATGACCTTTCTAACAGTGCATTTCTACTTGACACTAGTGCATTAGTGCGCCTATTGAATGTTGCGTATCTCGTTACCTAGATGGTGCAATACGGGTTAGTTGCAATTTAGGTTCGGTGTAATTTGGGTTTGGCGCAATTTGGGTTTGGTGCCTTAAGGATTTGGTGCAATATGGGTTTGGTGCAATATGGGTTTGGTGCAATACGGGTTTGGCGCAATATTGGTTTGGTGCAATTTGGGTTTGGTGCAATATGGGTTTGTTGCAATATGGGGTTGGTGCAATATGGGTTTGGTGCAATATGGGTTTGGTGCAATATTGGTTTGGTGCAATTTGGGTTTGGTGCAATATGGGTTTGTTGCAATATGGGGTTGGTGCAATATGGGTTTGGTGCAATTTGGGTTTGGTGCAATATGGGTTTGGTGCAATATGGGTTTGGTGCAATATGGGTTTGGTGCAATATGGGTTTGGTGCAATAGGGTTTATAATATTATCCCTATAAGCATAAAATGTCGACAAGTGCGCGTCAAAGACAATCAGGAAGAAAACGAAGTGCGAGAATTTTCAAAAGAACTCAAATTGTCCGCAAAATCCACGAATTACTTGAACTTTATGATGACGGAGACGCATACGTAAAACTCGAGATTCATGTCCCGTCCGCTCTTAAAGATTCTGATAAGTGCCTCACCCAGATTATAAAGAAGCCTCGGGAAAATGAATCGCTTGTTCCATCGAAACGTTCTCATAAGGGCTGTATGATCACTCATTTGGATCCAATCGTTCAATCAGTAGGCCGAAAGTCAAGACCAGCAGGCGAATGGCGAAGTAGGCTATTGATAAAAAACTCAAACCCAGACATCAAAATTAACATTTCCTCAAGTTCCAAATTTGTTGTCTCGGATGATGTTCTCGTCCCTCCTAAAGCTAGTAGTAAAAACTATACTACCTATCGCTTTGAGGAGACGCCAAATATTGATTCTCTGGCTTTATCTTCTCAGCAGTCGGCTGAGGAGATGATTGTTGAGCAAGACTTCGACTCAGTGCAGCCTGAGATACAATATGTTGAGGTTGGTCTCGATGATGTTCCGCCAGTAATCGATCAGGTTCCTGATGTCGTTCTACCTGAGCTCGAGTACGATGACGTTGTCTTTGAGGATGCGCTTAATATCCTCTACGCATCAGAAGACGAAGACAACGAGATCGAACTGATAGAACGCCCCATTCAAGCGGTCTTCGATGCTGAGTGCATCCGGCGGCATGAAGACGTGAAGAATGCTCTTCAGGATAAAGTCATCATTGTCGGACAGCCCGTTCGAAAAGCAGTCAAGGAGCTTCCAGACGAGGATTTCGCTCTTCTCCCGACAATCGGACCTCCAAAAACATGGAAAAAACTTGCCAAGCACGCGCTTGGTAGACTTTTCTTGCAAGTTTTGTGCTCAAACTCTTGCAAATACTTTGAGCTCGGTCCGAAGCGATTCGTTAAAGAAATGAATTCGGCATTTCTTTCGCTGCTCAGTGATAAGCCTGAGCGTTTGGATCAAGCAGTACGAGCTGATCATCGTGTCCTCAAACTTAGTCCAAACGGTCAGATCAAATATTTTGAGAAAGAGATATTCATCTCGAAATATTTTCAACCACGTGAGATCGTTGAGCGCGACTTAACCGAGGAAGACAAGCGGATCGTTCAAACTGTTCTTGCTCAGATCCATAAAGACGGTGACAGTCATTTCGCAAAGTCTCACTGTCTTAAAGAGGCATGCGCTAATGTCGGAATGGCTTCTTATGCGGAATATCAAAGAGTGAAGACTCTATTCCATAAAATGGGGTACGAATTCAGAAATAAGGAAAAGCCAAAACCAGCGCTTCCTGCTGAAGTAAAGGATACGAGATTGCGATTCTGTAAGTGGCTGGAGGAAACGAATGACGAGCATCCAAATTTCCTCGGAATGCTCATCCATACAGATGAGTGTTCGTTACAATTTCGCGACGAAACACTCGGTCCTAATTTCGGCTACTGGATTCGCAAAGGCGAAGAAAATCCGTGGGCAGACAACCTAAACTTCAGCAAAAAATTTCCGAAAAGAATAATGTTTGCAGCTGCAATCGGAATCGATTTGAAGTTGTCGCTTCGATTTTTCGTCAGAGAGGACAACCGGGGAAAGCTTTCCTCTGTATCTGGAACCCAGAAGAGCTATCAGGAGCTTGTCTTGGTTCCATGGTTTGAAGAGCTCAAAGAAATGGGCTTCGTCAAGGAGGTTGAAAATGGTGAGGGCGTTAAGCACGTTCTTGACGGAAAGATTTTCGTTCAAGATGGTGCGACATGCCACACAGCAACCTCATCGCTCAAGCTCATTGACGAAAGTTTTGGCATCCACAATGTCATCACTGGTGTCCTGGCGAAAACAGGGGAGGGAGAAAGGTTTCGCAGAGCGCGCTTGGCTGAATGGCCAGCGCACTCTCCTGACCTCAATCCTTTGGACTTTTGCATTTGGCACAAGTTCAAAATGGATACAAAGAAGGAGCTGGGTCGAATGAACAAGCTTTACTTCGATTCATTCGAGGAAGCGAGAGAGATTCTAACTCGTGTATGGGCGAACATCTCCCAAGACGCGATCAATAACGCTTGCAGAGGAATCCTCAGGCGTGCAAAGGAAACGATCGCTAGAGACGGATCGAATCCTGAACGAGGATACAAAGCAAATAAGGGATCTTTCAAGGTGAAAAATCCACGTCATTAAATCTCTCGCTCTCCCTTCTTTCTCCATTCTCTTTCATCCTCGTTGTGTCTGTCCTTTGTCCTCGAGACAAGAAGCCGCTTGCGGCTTCGAGTCTAATTTGTGAAGGCTTGTTCGGTCTTTACTGAGAGCGAAGAAAGGGGTGGCTCATCCCTTACGGAGAGCGAAGAAAACTCGTCATCTGGCTTTTTCCCTGTAAAAACAGCAAAGTTCAGCCGTCATTTGGTGACTGATTTTAGAGAAAGGCCGTTGTGGCTTTAAAGAAGAAAGAGAGCGAAGAAGTTCGTCATCTGTTTTTTTCTGTAAAAAGCAAAGTTCAGCTACTTATTTTGGTGACTGATTTAAGAGAAAGGCCCATGTGGCTTCAAAGAAGAGAGAAGATACCTCTTTCTCAGCGAAGAAAGGGGTGGCTCATCCCTTACGGAGAGCGAAGAAAGTTCGTCTTCTGGTTTCCCGCTAAGTTAGGACTAAGGAAAATAATTAGGCTTCCATAAGTGTAGGTTGAAAGCGCACTATCGTGGTTCTGCGCTTAATACGTTCACACATTAATATAAAAAAAACCGCAAATTGATGAAAGGCAACACGAGCCCTAAGGTTTCTCTGGCACCTACATCGTGAACGGTCAGAGTTTTTATAGGTCTTTTTAAATGTATGGATTCGTATTGCTATTTTTGTTTTCATATGTTAGGATGGTTATAACTTGACGGATTGACAGTGCATTATCGTGGTTCTGCTCTGAATACGTTCACTAGTATAGGACAAAAAAACCGCAAAATGACGAAAGGCAACACGAGCCCTGAGGTTTCTCTGGCATCCTTATTGTGAACGGTCGGAGTTTCATAGATAAATTGAAAACAATAATAACAATGCGAATACATACCTGTGCATGAGAAAATAAAATATGAAAAAATTTTTCTGTCTGCGAATTTATTTTAATTCTGACTTTACACAGAGTTTTCTCAGTCCATGAGAATTCTAAAGTCAGTACTTTTCTCCTGTACACGGTCAATTGCGATTGACCCACCCCTTTCTGTGGGGGTGGAGCTCGTTGTGGAAAGATGAAGGCGATGAAGAATGTCTAGTCTTTCCAAGCGGGCTCACTTCCACAGAAACAATCGACGAATACATAGACTGCAAAAATAATAAGAGAAAATATAACATTGATATGACGCTTAAGAATGCTTTATTGTATGATAGAGATTGCAGAAGAAAAGAAGTCAATGGATGCTTGAGTTGTAAGGTGGATTCCGTCATTGTCGAATCTTCCTTGAGGAAGGGGATAGTCTCTCATTTCGAGTGGGTTGTCAGTTCCAGTCAAAAGCTGAAAAGAATAATCCAATTAAGCTTTAAAAAATAAATACCGCTTCAGTGAGCTCTTTATGCTGCTCTTTAAAATCGTCATCGGATTGATATTTGACTGGGAGAATCGGCAGCATGATATGGGGAGTACATTTCGGGAAGTTATCGCGAAGACATTTTTTCAAATTCTTGGCAAGGCCCGAGAAGCTTTGATGCCGGAACTGTCGCACGTCCGATTTGAGCAAGTTGTTCAAGCCCACTAAATATTCTGTGCTTGGAAGATTATAATTTAGTACCATTGACAACAAGAGTCCCCTCAAAATGACGGTCACATTTTGTTTGACATTCCGCACACTTGAATTCACGGTATTTCTTGAACATATTGGGGCTCCCGTCCATGTAATGGTCTCGGCAAGTATTGAGGTCAGATAGTATCTTGTTGCACCTAAGAACACTCAAAAACTCGAGAATGTCCATTCCGCCGTTGATTTGAACGTTCACTGTCGAGAAATTCTTCATAGCACCTGCATGGGCCTTCTGACGATCGGATTGAGAACACTTGAAATAACAAATTTTCAAAATTCATTAGAAAATTACCCGGTTGAAGCCTCTTGCAATTGAATCTGACCAAATGACAAGGTCATAATTTCGAAAACATGGACTTGAGAGTTCTATCACATATTTTTCTTGATGGTTTATCAGAGCTTGCTCCCTTAAACTCGTTAACCCGTTGCCGAGCACGTTGCATTCAGGATGCTACAACCTGCCTCGAGGCTCGAAATCCAGCCTTACTATTTGCGTTGACGGCCTTTATACAGTTAGCGCTCGGCAACGGGTTAATATTCTGTGATTGAGTGAAATTATTGATCCGGGCATGCGACTGGCTACTCATGGCCACGTCAAGGAGGCATGAATCGACGAATTTTGCGTGGGCAGCTACTAGGCTGCTGATTGGCTGGTTGGCCGAATCCAGGCTTCTGATTGGTTAAAAAATTCAATGCATACCTTTTTTGGGTTTATCCCGACTCTTTCAGACTAAACCAATTCGTGGTGCATTTTTACATTACCAATAAGATTGCTGTATTTTGTCTACCGGCCAATAAAAATCCTGATCCATAAAATCACTTCCATAAATTGGTTTAACTAACTCTTCCTTACTTCCTCGAAATCGCGTTTGGAAACTGAGTTTTTAGACCGAAAATCGCGATGAAAATTTCATCCCTGAATTTGTGAACACTGTTGCCTGTGAGCAGTGCTCGTTACAGTATCATGTATTCAAAAGAGGAATACTTGTAAGACAGTAAGAAGTCCGGGCGTGCGCCTTATTTCATCGAAATATTCATTTTTGAAGTTGTAAGCTTTCTCTACAACCGCACCTTCAGTCAGTTTTTCGACCGAAATTGTGAACCAACCGATTGTGAATTTATGCGCTCGCATAAATCAAAAATAAAGATGAAAATAAAAATGAAGAAAAATCAAACAGAAGAATCTTAATAATAGAACTCTGAAGGCGTTTCCATTCTTGTCGCTGAGCTCCGGATTTATAGTTGACGTGAAAAGCCATATCTCTTTATTCAATTTTTTTTGAAAATTTGAAATTTTTGATTTTGAGAAAAATTTTCTCCGATTCGGAGTTTTATACTCCGAAAAAATTATCATGAAAAGAAGAGAAAAGTACTCTTTTTACATTTTCTTTCACGAGAGAGATTCGCGCAGCTGGTCGAAATCGAAATTTCTCGAGCTCAGTCATGACTCGTTGATTTTTGTCACGATGTCAACGATGGATGAGCGGGAATTTGATCTGTTCCATGAGTTCTCCTGCGCGGGAGAGTCGATTTTCTTGCGGTAGGCCTCCTTTTTGCCAAACCCTGGCGTAATGAGTCCCTGGAGATCGTTCGAACTCAGGAGGAACTTAAACCTTTCGAACTGGATCTTGCAAAAGTCGGGGATAGATGTAAAGTTTTGAAGAAGAAAACGATTGATGAAGTCGTCGACTTCGGACAATTTGAGCTGCGAGGCAATGTTGCCGATTTCGAGGCAATTGTTCATCGTTAGTTGCTCGACAAGGAACTCTGTAGAAAGGTCTTATTGAGGATATTGAGCTCAATTTTTTGTGAAAGACGAGGACAAGCGTTTGAATGCTTTCGGAAAAGATATGGCGTTTCATGATAGAAGGGATTGTCGAAAAAATATCATTTTGTTTTTTTTTTATTGATTTTGAGAAATTATATTGAGTATATTTTATCAATTACCATCAATTAATATAAAAAAACTAGTCATTACAATAGAAGAATGATAATTTAAAGGATTTTTCTTCCAAAGAGAGAAAGTCTTCCTCCTGGACTCAGCGCGTGAGAATTCCCACGGGTAGCGCTTACTCACCACCACACTCTGACCACACCGCACCACACTAAGCGGGCGCGCTTTACTGGCTTTCGAGAATCTCGAATCTCCACTTAGAGCTCAACTCTATGGTAATTTTGTCGTAGCGGTTTTTTTGTCTTTCATTTTGGATCTTCAATCGGAACTCACGAAATCGAAATAAGAAGAAAAGAGAATGAAAAGCAAATCTTCCCTGTTGTTGTTATTTGCGCTCCAACGGGAAGATCGGACAAATGCTACTTTTATGCGCCAGAATATAATCTGAATCGCTTTGAAGAGGCCCAAGGCTTTATCGCGAGTAATCACTTCAATGCGAAATTGTCTTCTGTCAGCTTCCAAGGAGCATTCATTCTTATGAGTGTCAGGCTTGGTGAGCGATTTATCAAGCTTTCTACGACAAGGGCTTTGAATAAAATCCGGAAGAGCGAAGAGATGGAGAAAGGGTGGAAAAAGAACGAGATCGGACTGCTCCCTGAATTTCGAGATATGGATCCGGTGCATATAATTCCATTGAAAAGGGTTGAAATTCGTAGATAAGAATACCGGGGAGGTGTCAGGACAAAATATCCCGACAAATTTCGCGTGGAAATTTTCAACCAATCGGAAGCCTCGATTCGGCTCAACGGTCAATCAGCAGCCGAGTAGGCGCCAACGCAATTTTTTGAGATGTTTTGTCCATTTTTGACACCCCCAGAATACAACTAAAGAGAGATTTTGACCCTCATCTAGATAGATGTAGGGCGATTGATGCTCATTTTGGTGACCAGAAGCATCGCGCTCTCGAATACTCAGTACTCATTATTGCTGGAGGTAGAGGGAAAGTTTCTTACACTCGGAAGCGAGTGGATCGGTTCATCGATCGAGTATGAAGATGATTTTGTGTGCGTTTCTGAATTGTTTGCTCAAAATGATCCTAATTACACCGATCGGGTTGGAATCAACAAGGACGAATGCGAGTACTTTCCAAACGGGTTCATCAGCAACGAAGCTATTTATTTGCAAAGTTATGTTTTTGACGCGGCTTTTGAGATCGAATTCAACTTCGGGAGAGATTCGAAATTATAAAGTATGATTTATAACTAAGTGTTTGTTTTTTCATTATTTATCCGAATGTCAGAAAGAATCGAGCTCGATTTTCTTCAACGGAAATCGTCGAAGAAAATGCATGTAACCAGCAATCCATCATTTGCTTTCCACGATGACGTTTTCCCTTCATTCGCTAAAAATGCTGTTTCGCAACCAAAGTTCCCCAAAGTAGCGACGGCTCTTTTCCGGCCATATCCAAAAACGATTGTGCCTGATATTTTCTTCTCAAACCTCGAAGAATTCGACCATATATCTTCGCTCAAATTAAACTTGAATGAAACAGGGAGCTTCAAATTTTCTATTGACTTTCAGGTAGAACAAGGCCATTAACCAAGCCATGAAAATAACGTCTCTAGAAACTCGGAAAAATCAAAGAATCGCTGAAAATCTTGGAGTTTGAATTTTATGATAAAAAGACATTTTTGAGCTTTGGAATTTTCGCAAATGGCTCGCATTGGATAGATTCTTATTTTTTCAAAGAAACTCAAATTTTTGATAAGAATTTGTTGGGCGAAGTGGAATTCAATTTTGTCTTCAATTCAAATAATCAAAATGAACTTATTTCTTTGAAAGTCCTTGAGGAACAGTTCAAGCTTTCTTAATCATCGAAATTTCGGATAAATAAATCGAACTCCTATAGAATAAGAAAGAAAAGCTGCCGGCGGTAAGCATGGCCGGACTTGGGAACAAAGATGACAGAAGAGTAAGAATTTTCAAGTTCGATGAAAGCACCAAAATCAAAAACTTCATCTACTCTCTCGAACAAACTGACCAAATCGCAGTTATCCAGCCTCAAGCACGCAAGCCGTATCCACACCCTTACGCATTTCTTGGCGACGGGTCAAACAAACGACTTTCAGTTTCACTTCCGTCAGTTTTTGAGTACTCAAACCCACCTTATCAAAAGAGCCTCTCGACTTATACAGACGATTCAAGGTCCGCCCTCATCAAAAATCAACTCCACATCTTTGGCGGCCCATTTGAATACGCTCACCGGGTAGGCTAAACAGCAATGCTTATAACAAAATTTCTCCGTAGATTGCGCGTTTGGATGGTTGTTCATTTACGGAATTACCGATGAAGTTAATTAATGATTATCGTAATGGACATATGGTTGTAGCATTTGAGGGAGGCAAAAAAGGTTAAAAAGCAATTTTTTAAAGAAAATTTTCTTCTTTTTTTAGCTCTTATTTGCGTCGACTGGAGAACAATGAAGGGTTGTGAAGAGTTCAATGGGCAAAACTCAACAAAAACCTTCGAAACGAACAAAAAACATTGGTATGGTGAGCTTGGCCTTTATTCTGGTCAACCAACTGCTGTTGGCGGAGATACAGAACTAATCGATGGAAAAACGGACGGTTCAGTTGAAATGCTGACGAAAAATGGATGGGAAAACCTTCCCAGTCATCCAAGGTTAGGTATTTGAGTTTTTTTTATCTGATTAAATTTTTCAGATCAATAAAAAGTTTCGCACTCCTCAGCTTACCTTCTGGAGCTAGGGTCGGCACCGACCCGACCAAAAAACCCGACCTGGTCGGAAATGGTCGGGTTTTTATGGGCACCAACCAGCCCGACCTCAGATTTTGCACCTCGATTTTGGATGGTCGGCTTTTGGTCGGTTTTGGTCGGTTTTTTTGTGTCTTTTGGTCGGGTAGGTCGGTTTTTGGTCGATTTTAACCTACGCATTTGAGCGATTTTTTTATTTCTCTCCGGCGACAAGAGAAAAATCGACGGCGAGTCCGGGCTAAAGCTCTTGAAAATTTAACTTTTCATGGCGAATCGACTGCCACAGTAAAATGCTTCGATCCGAGGCCCTCGAGGGCTGTGTGCGATAGAAGAATGTTGACAAATGTAAATTTTGCTCTTTAAAAAAACCGACCAAAAAAACCGACCAAAAAAGCCGACCCGACCGACCAAAACGACCACTGATTTGGCCTCTTTTCACGAGGACCGACCAAACCGACCACGAAAAATGCTGGTCGGTGCCGACCCTAGTTCTGGAGCTCTTCTGACAATCGGAGGACTAAATCAAAGAAATTATAAAAATTTGAATGAAATCTGGCGACTCAAAAAGGATAAATGGTCGTTAATTGGATCTCTTGAGAAGGTACCAATATTTCAGAAATGGAAAAGAATAGTTTTAAGACTGTTACTTCTGCAACAGCAATTTTGAAGGATGGTTCAATTTTCGTTTTCCCGGGATTCCTCTATGGAAAATTTTCGTCAATTCAGCGAATTAATCTTGATGCGAATGAAAATTTTCTGTCTGCTGATATTGTCGCGAGTCAAGAAGCAGCAGTTCGGTATCCGATTGTTTTTCTCACGCCTGTTGATTTTTGCTACTAATAAACTTTTGCTTGAAAACTTTGAAAATTGCCGGCTTCATAAAATTGATCTTGAAAAAAGCTCATCAAGTCGAGTTATTGTGGTCGTTAAACCCAACCTGCTTTACAAAACAAAACACGGATAAAGTATTATTTTTAAAGGAATTTGAAAGAAAAATGTTTGCAAAGCAGCTTTATTTTTTTATTCTCTTATTGACGAATACATTTTCTTTTTACTTTGGCTTGAGCATTTCGTCGGATGAATTCGAGACGGCAAAAGAGAGATTGCTAAAGAGATATGAGTTGTTGCTTCAAGAAATTGAGAAAAAACCTGAAAAAGAAAATATGCCAAAGGCAAAAATTAAGTCTGTTTTCAACGATTTTGAGAGTCTAAAGATTGAGAAAAATTTCAATCGGAAGCTTCAACCATGGGTAAGAAAACAGCCAAAAAAAATTTCAAATCAGTCATTTCTTTCAAGCTCCCTAGTACGGAAAAATCGTATGGAAGAAAAAATCAAACTGCCCGGTGCTTTTGCGAGGAAGAAAAATATTACAAGATTAATTATTACACGAAAAACAACGTTAAAAACTTGGACAAAATAAAGCGCCTGCGAGATGAAGACTTCGAAAAATACAAATTGGCGAATTATTTTCAATTAAACGACGCGCCACTTTTACTTTCAAACGCCAACAGTCGGATTCAGTGCGTTTCGTCTGGATATGAAATCGAGCCGTTTGAAAGCCTTGTTCCTTTCATTCGCGTTTTTGGCGGGGAGGAAGAGGAGTATCAGTTCAAAATCAGCTCAATTTATGGTTCCTTTACTAGCTCGGCTCCGTCGGAGAGGATCGGCTCGCCACTTGCGTCTCTTGAACTCGAGGAAAATATTTCGGAAAAAGATCTCAATAATATTTTGAAGGGCATTCGATACTATCCAGGTTATTTTTCTTTTATATTTTCATCGACAATTTTTTTAAGAGTATTATGACGCGCGACCAATCACTGACATCATCACTTTTTCTCTTACTTCGAAAACAAAAATTGAAGAGGTTAAAATCCCGATTCGAATACGAAGAAAACCACTGCCAGTTCTTCAATACAGGGAATCGGATCAGCTTAATCAAATGATCACGATTGTCACGAAGACGATTTTCAGATACAACTGCTTGCACTCGTTACTTTTATCAATTAAGGTAATCATAAAAATTTAAATTAATAATTAAGCATTTTATTTGAGGAGTTCTTTCCGAAAATGGCTGTCATCGTCGCAGACGACAATCCCTCCGACGTCTACCAGACGATCGACACCAACGAATTCCCCACTGTCAAACAATACAAAATGCCAGCTGAAGAGGGCTGGTTCGCTGGCCGAGCACTGGCGATTTCCCAAGTCCGGACACCTTACTTCGTCTGGGTCGATGATGACACTCAATTCAACAGTGAAACGAAATTGGGTGAAATGATGAAGATCGCGGAGAAGACTGGTTATGATGTCATTGGCGGCGGGCTTGGCACGAAAATAAGAAGAAGCTGGCAGAAGTTTGATCGGTTCAATGTTCCTTACAGCGAGAATGGCTACTGTTATAATCGGATAAGACCTAAATACGACATTCCTCTTACTGGATACGAGGGAAAGTGTTTTGTTGTTGATGTCACAGCAAATTTTTATCTTGCAAGGAAAGGGATCGAAATTTCAAGAAGAACTTGCATTATGGTTTCCTTTTTGATCCCTAAAAAGAACTTCAACAGCTGGGGCGATAAGAATGGATCCTCAGTTTGAGCAAAAAGCTCATCGTGAGTTTTTCATCGATTCAATCGGAAGACTTCGAATCGCTTATTGTAACACTTTTGTTGTCGGCCACAGGGGCGCGGAATACTCGTCCAAGTGCGTGGACAATGACAAAACCGAGTACAACAGTCGACGCTTTCCATCAGGAAGAAGCAAAACAGGTTTTAATTTTTCGGAAAACCGCGTGTCAGATTTTTTCTAGATCTTCTCAATAGAATTGATGCGCTTTGGTTTTACAGAAATAACTTCAAATGCTACAAAGACCTGGATTACGATTTTACTAACCACGTCAAACATGCTTCAAATAATCAAAAACTCCTCTAATCTTCTCAATTTCGTAATGAAGGAGGGACAATATGCTCTCTAGAAAATGAAATGCATTATGATTACTGCCAAAATAAATTGAAATGATAAAAAAGGGCAGATTTCAATTATAATCTTCAAAATTTCCTCATTTCTTATCTCAAGTCCAAAGACCAGCCGCTAAAAAACCCGGCTTAGAAAAAAATTTAAGCGCTCATCCAGCCTGGAGAGTCTGCTGCGGTCGTAAAATCTTATCTTCTCAAAACAAAGCGCATTATTTTTTGGATTTATAGCGCGGCAAAAATGAAAATTTCGCCTTTTTGAATGAGAGCTATTTTTGTGAAACAGATTCTTTTTCTGTTGGTGACGAATATCGGATCTTTCTTTTTTGGGCTGAACATTTCAAGAGAAGAATTTGAAAGAGCGAAGCTAAGATTGCTGAAAAGCTATGAATTGCGATTTGCTCAAGAAACGAAAGAGACTGAATTCGCTGAGGAATTTCAAGAAATTCAGGAAGAAAAAGAACCTCTTGAAATTGAGAGAAATGCGCCGAAAATGAAGACGGTCGTCAAATCTGTTCTGCGAAATTTACACGATCTAAAGATTGAAAAAGATTTCAACAGAAAACTCCAACCTTGGCTTCCAAGCACAAGAAAATCCTACACCCGAAAAAGCGAAGCCGCCCAGTGTTTCTGCGAAAAGGAGAAAGATCGTCTCACATCATACTACACAAAAAGCACCGTCAAGAAGCTCGACGAAATCAAGCCACTTCGAGATGAAGATTTTAAAAAGTACAAAGCTGCCAACTACTTTCAATTTTATGATGCGCCACTGTTGCTTTCTAATGCAAATAGTAACATACAGTACGTTTCATCTGGCTATGAAATTGAACCGTTTGAGAATTTTATTCCATACATTCGCGTTTTTGGAGAAAAAGAGGAACGATATCAATTCAAAATCAGCTCAATTTACGGTTCTTTTACAAGTTCTGCTCCTTTGAAAACGATTGCGTACCCGGAAAACATGCTGATTCTTGAGCAAGATGTTTCAGAAAAAAACGCGAATGAAATTCTCAAAGGAATTCGATACTTTCCTGGTATGATATCCGCAGATATACTCGATTTCATAACGGTTCAGAGTATTATGATGCCCGACCAATAACTGATCTGATAACTTTCACCTTGACATCGAGCACAAAAAATGAAGAGATCAAAATACCAGTTCGGATCCGAAGAAAACCACTGCCAATTCTACAATACCGCGATTCAAATGAGCTAAATAGGATGATAACGATTGTCACCAAGACGATTTTTCGATACAACTGCTTGCATTCACTTCTTCTCTCAATCAAGGTACTTTTTATTCATTCATTTTTGAAAAAATGGCGAATCGTCCTGCAATCTCATTTTTAACCATTTTTAAGAAATATTTTCCAAAAATGATCGTCATCGTCGCAGACGACAATCCCACCGAAGTCTACAAGACAATAGACACCAATGAATTCCCAACAGTCAAGCAATACAAAATGCCAGCTGAAGAGGGCTGGTTCGCTGGCCGAGCACTGGCGATCTCTCAAGTCCGGACACCTTATTTTGTTTGGGTCGATGATGACACTCAATTCAACAGTGAAACAAAACTAGCCGAAATGATGAAGATCGCGGAGAAGACTGGTTATGATATCATTGGTGGTGGACTTGGGAGCAAGACGAGAAGAGATTGGCAGCGATTTGATAGATTCAATGTCCCATACAGCGAAAAAGGATATTGTTACAATCGAATTCGCCCTACTTATGAGATTCCACTTACAGGTTACGAAGGAAAATGCTTTGTTGTTGATGTTACGGCGAATTTTTATCTTGCAAGGAAAGGGTCTTTCACTTTTTCTATCAATTTTGAAAAACGTTCTTTCAATAATTCTAGAATAAAATTTTTACGACCCCCAACAAAGAACCTCGACAGCCGGAGCGATAAGAATGGATCCACAATTTGAACAGAAAGCACATCGAGAATTCTTTATAGATGCAATTGGAAAGCTGAGGATAGCCTACTGCAATACCTTCGTAGTTGGCCACAGAAGTGAAGCCTACCCATCAAAATGCGTCGATAACGACAAAACTGAATATACAAGTCGACGATTTCCGATGGGGAAAAGCAAAATTGGTTTCTAGAGATGAGTTTATTCCCGAATAATTTTCTGATTTAGATCTTCACAACCGGATTGACGAGCTTTGGTTCTATCGCAACAATTTAAAGTGCTATAAAGACGCTCTTTTCTGAAAAATAAAGTGAGTCCTTTTTGATCGTCAAGAATTTATTGGCGACTAAGATCAGTCAGCATAAACGGTCCCGTCTTTTCGATCAAACTCGACAAATCTGACGCAAACCGCAGGCCAGCACGTTCCCCGTTTGTTTTGAAACAGTAGATACTAAATTTTTGCTTACGTTTTTTTCAGCGATCTTTACCTTTTCATCAGCTAGTTTGACCCTTGTTGACGGAGAATCTGCAAAACCACTTCCTTGCTTAGCATTGAAAAGCTCGATGATATCGGTTTGTTTCTTCACTTCAGTTTCCAGCCTCAACCGTACTGCTTTGAAGATGAGTCGATCGGTAAAATCGTAAGAAAATTGGATGATGTCATTGTCAATGTCGACAGGAGTCGCCAGTTTTGTAAAATTTCCGCGATTCACATTGAGTCCGTGTTTCAACTTTGCGAACTTAACAAAGCCTTCATCTCTTACTAGCATTCGTAAATTAATTCGCTTATGAGATTTCTTTAAATTGTCAAATACTGGTCCTATAATCACATCTGTTTGGTCCATCTCTTCTGCAATTTTTACCGATCTGAATTCTGAGCTCACCAATTTCACTTGCTGCTTGACTTAGATTTGCCAGTTGAAATTCTAGAACAGCTCCTCGTTCTCCCGCAAAGCTAAGGGAGAATAAAAATATCTCTAGAAAAATCATCTCCAAATTGACTTGAGCAAATACGCTTCTGCCCTCGTCTTTTTCATGAAGAGCAAACTGATTTGGCTATCATTGATATCCACCCGTCAAATTTGACAGATTCTGCGGACGATTTTGAAAAGAAACAACAAAGTACTATTTATATTTAGAATAAGTTTATTACTGCACATGAGATGTTAAGTACACGAAGTAACGACAAAGTAACAAGCGAAAAAGATGGTAATTCGTGGACATGGCCGGACACGACTCTTTTTCTCAGTTTTTGGGCACACACGATACTTTGGGCCATTAATTTTTCAGCCCTCGTTATTTTGAACGAGGCGCAGATTAGTTGTGTTGTACAGTGGAAATAAACAAAGAAGATGCGTTAACGGGTATTTCGGTGTATTTCTGAAGGGTGCTAAGAAGTGTCTTTTTTAACATATTTATAACTTAAAATGGGGAAAGTTGAAAGGAAGATTTTACTCGATGCAGATGTTATCGACGCAAATCTGGCCAGCGGGGCAGTTGACGCTGGTTCTGCATTCTTGCTCGATGCACTTGGTGCCGACGCAGATGGCGCTGTCGTTCAAGCAATCGGTGTTTCGGTTACATTCGACCTAAACATCGGTAAAAGGGAAATGAGTATTTCCATCTCTTACCGAATCGCACTTCTTGGTAGTAGAGTTGCAGACGTATGGCTCGTCAGCTGGGCAGTCAGAAGTGACGAGACACTCGGAGCCGTGGACGCACTCGTTACCCTGGCAATAAGAGGTTGGTCCTCCGCCAGCGGCGTTCTTGCAGTGGTCGTGGGTGGTACATCCGACATCGACGCACTCGAGGTTTCGGCAAAGTCGGGCCTGGTTGGGCCAGCCGCAGTGGTCGTTGGTTCGGCACTGGTTGGCAATGCAATTGTTTCCGATGCAAGTGCAGTGGCCGTTTTCACAACCAGGAACCTAGAAAATCGAGTAAATCGTAAATCAATAATAGCGAGTTCTGTGGGAAAACAGCTTTTTTACTTACACCCTTGGATTGGCAGGATTGATGTCCGATACATTGTGGTTCGTAGCAAGTGTTGGTGGCCTTGTCGCAAAGCTTATCGTCTCCGCACATGTCGTTGTTGGTACATTCGACGTTGACGCATTGCTAAAACTTTTTTTACGACTTTGATTGATAAATCAAATCTTGCCTGTTTGACACATTTGTATCCATCAAGACCAGTGTCCTGGAAGAAACCTTCGCAGTGGGCGTGGCTTCGGCACTCGACTTCTTCGCATTTGGACTTTCTGGAAAAAATTTTAAAGGGATGAAAAATTGCTATTCATACCGGCAAAGTTCCTTGGGGCCGCAGTGGGACTCGTCGGTGCACTGAACTGAGACACATTTGAAGTCAATGCAGTTGTTCTGTGGGCCACAAGCTGTGTGGGATTTGCATTCGACGTCGATGCAAACGTTTGGCTCGCCTTCTTCTGGGTTTTCGCCAGAGCAGATCTGGGTATCAGCATCGCAATGGTTGGCAGTTCGGCAGGCAACGGCAACGCACTCGTTGGCTTCACATCGGCACTTGCCATCGGCGCAACCAGGAATCACAGAGTTGAGGCAGTGATCGTGAGAGGTGCAGGCGACTGGCACGCATCGGTTTTCTTGACATCGTTCCTAAGAAAAATGTCATAATGCTTGTTTGTTTCTTTTCAATTTTTTTTTCATGAAATTTTTTTGTCTTACTTGAACACCACAGTGAGCATTAGTTCGGCATTCCTGGACCTCGCATTCGTTAGATTTGCATAGACAGTGTCCATCTTCACAGCCAACGACGCCGTTGTCTTGGCACATTTGATGGCCTCGGCATTCGACCTTCTTGCAAGTGAGCGACTGTCGGTCGCAAAGCTCATCAACGTTGCAGTGAGAATTGTTTCGGCACTCTTCTTGGACGCAGGTGTTCTTGTAGCATCGGTAGGTATCGTCGTATTTCGACTCGCAGACGGCGTGGGAGTCGCAGTCGACGCTCTTGCAGAGGTTGTCCTGGCAGAGAGAGTTGCTTCCGCAATCTTCGTTAGTTCGGCACTCGACTGGTACGCAGCTGTTCTTGGAGCAGATGTAGGACTCGTCCTCAGAACCAAAGTTCTCGCAGTCAGCATGGCCAATGCAATCAACATTCTTGCACTTGTTGCCGTTATCTTCGCCGCCGCAAACTTGCTTGTCTCCGCAATGTTCTCGGGTTCGGCACTCAACATCAATACAGACATTCTCTTTGCAAACTTCCTGGGCACCACAGTGAGCGTGATCAGTACAATCGACAGCCTGGCAAACATTGGCTTGGCATCGCTCTCTCGAGCCACAGTGGGCGTTGACTCGGCACTGCTTCTTGACGCACTCGTTCTTGACGCAGAGGCATTTGCCATCAGTGCAGTCTTCACCAAGGCCAGTTTCGCTGAGTCGGTTGCAAGAAGTGTGACCAATGCATTCGACTGGTTCGCAAACACCGGCGATCTTGTCGCACTTGGCAAAGACACCAGTACCCTTGCAGTGGCTGTTGTCGGTACATTCTCGGGGAACACAAGTGTGGTTGATGCATCGTTCTTTGTATCCACAAGCGGCGTGACCAATGCAGCCAACCTTTTCGCACTTGTTGTCCTTGCAGACCTCGCTGTTGCTGGCATCGCAGTGGGCGTTGGTGGTGCACTCCTGCAAGACACACTCGTTGTTTTGGCAAAGTTCTTGGTCTTGGCAGAAGGAGTGTCCTCGGCATCCAACCTTCTTGCAAGTATTGGTTTTCTTATCGCAAATTTCTGGGACACTTGGGTCGCAATCAGCTTCGACTCGGCATTCAACTGCTCGGCACTCTGGAAGACAGTACTTTCGGCCCTTGATGGTTTCACAGTTGGGGAAGCACTTGGCTGGCTTGAATCCACCATTTCCGTCGGGGATAGCCTCAGCACAGTGACCATGACCGGAGCATTGAGCTTCAACGCACTGGTTGTTGTGGCATCGCTCTTTGGCGCCACAGTGGGCAGAGGTAACACAAGTCTGTGGCTTGCACTGGTTCTGGAGGCAGAGACATTTACCGGCCTGGCAATCAGCATTGCTGTGCGTCAAACAGGCCTTGTGGCCAACACAATCGACAGGCTTGCAAGAGTTCTTGGTTGGATCAGCTTTGTCTGGTCGATCGCAAAGAGCGTTTCCATCGCAATCAGCGTTAGTTCGGCATTCAGTTGGAACACATTCGTTATCGATGCAGACAGATTTGGAACCGCACTGGTCGTGCTTGTTACATCCGACGGCGTAGCACTTGTTCTGTTCTTCCTCAGGGAAAGATTCGTCAGCACATCGCCAGGCGTTGGCTCCAGTTTTGCCCAAGCAATCACCGTTGGTTCGGCACTCGACAGCGACACACTTTTTGTTCTCGCATTTGGCCTTGGCACCACACTGAGCGTGCGATCGGCAAGTCTTGGCTCCATCAGGGTGTTCGTTGTAGCACTCGAAGGTTGGGTTGTTGTTAGGGTTGTTGTCGCAAAGACCGCCATCGGGGCAGTGAGCGTGCTTGGTGCACTCCTTAACAATACACTTGCGTCCCTCGCACTTGCAGATACCATCAGCACATTTGCCTGGGAAGTCGTCCTCGCAGGAAGCGTGACCGAGGCATTCGTGGTTGGTGCATACGTTTGCGTCACAGATGCCAGTGTCGCCGCAATCGCTCTTGCCAAGGCACTCAACAGGCTCGCACTTGGTGGCGTTACATCGCTGAGGTCGGCCATCAGCATGTCGTGGGCAGTGAGAGTGGCTTCGGCATTCGACATCAACGCAAGCAGTGTTCTCACAGACCTGTTGATCTCCACAATGGTCTCGGGAAGTACATTCAACAATACCGCACTTGTTGTCTCGGCAAGTCTCGACGATACCGTCTGGGCCGGAACCGTCCTTGCAGTGTCGGTGGTTGGTGCAGTCGACTTCAGTGCAGACCTTCTCCTTGGTGAGTTCGTTGAAGTCGCAAATGTGCTTCTCGTCTCCGACGTGGATGCAATCGGCTCGAGTTCGGCATGGGTTCTCTCGTTTCACCTCGTTGACCTTGAGGGTGAAGCTACCGCCGTTACCAGCGTCATCAGAGACGAAAGTGACGATAGCTCGGGCACCGTAGGTGTCCCACTGGAAGTTCCATCCCTTTTGTCCACGTCCCTTCTGGTATGGGAAGATGGGGTCTTCCATGACCATAAATGGGGTTTCCTGGCCGTTGGGGCCGCAGAAGATAGCTGGAGTCAACTCTTCGCCCAATTCAGAGTATGGCTGAATTTTGACGTAGTCGTCACAACCGTCTTTTCGCCAGTCAATGTTCATCTCGGTGAACTGGAAGGTGAGCGAGTTAAAATCAGCGTCGTTTGCAAGAACGGTCCACTCGAGTTCTTCGTTGTCACCGTAGGCATCGACCTGGATGATACCACCGGGGTAGATGTGGTCATCCTCGGGCTCGAAAGCAAGTCGCTCGGCTTCAGCAGCAGCAGCCGCGGCGGCAGCAGCAGCGGCTTCGGCAGCTTCGGCGGCAGCCTTGGCAGCGGCCTTGGCGGCTTCACGCTCTTAAAAATGATGTTCATTTGGCACGAAAACTAGATGATATTTTTACTGAACGTAAATTTATTTTGTCTAAAAATATTTTTTCTAGAAATATAAATAATCATCTTTTTAAACAAAAATTATAATCGAATCGCCCAATAAAAATATTTCTTCGTTCGTTTTTTCAATTTCTCTTTTTCTCTGTTTCTGTACTTACCAGCCTTCTTCTTGCCTCCCTTCCCCGCGAGGGTGGCTACGATAAGTGCATTAAAAAGCTTCATCGTGCTTTAGATCTTTCCGTGAGGACGACCTAAAAGCAATGATGCCTCGAATCAGACGGATGCAGAGTTTTATTCGATCGGCGTTTGCGGCCGCGAGTGGCGCTGTGGCAAGGCCGCTCCCCCATTCCAGAGCCAATTTTTGATAAGATCCAAACTCTGATCTCACGAGACGAAGGAAAGTTCAAATGAAAGGATCATGGATTAATTTGATCAAAAACAAATCTTGTGACAATCTTTGGTAAGATGAAAAGAAGGTCAACCAATCATTCAACTCAGAACTGCAAATTTTCGAAAAATTTTCTGACCTGAGCTGAGGTCAAAATTGAGCTGAGCTGGCTTCTTTTAAAGAAACATCGAGCTGAGCTGACCTTAAAATTGCTGAGTTGAGCTGAGCGGTAGCATTTTCGCAGCGAAATTTCTATTTCTGGATTTTTATTGAACTACTGGAAAAGTCACGAGTTGAGCAGATGTTTCTTTTACCCGGAAAGGAATGAAAAAACGAAGGAAGATTTGTAGCCAAAAATATGGAAAAGTGTTTTGTAAAAACACGATAAACTGCATCGCATAGGGCTCATTGGGCGGATTTATGCTTATCGAAAAACTGCTCTTTCAGCGGTATCTAATTTTGGGAACATTGGAATTCTCGTTGTATCAGATGCTCGAATCTTGTGAACACAAAAGAGAGAGTTACTTCGGTTTCAAAGCGCTGAGGTTCACGAAAATAAAGTCAACTTGAAGTTTGCCGGGTCTCGGCATTTAAAAAGAACATTTTCAGCGCTTCCCGACCGTTTTAGCCATCCCGGGCCTGTTTGAGGGATAAATACTCGACTTGAATCCGCAAAGAGTTAATCGCTTTAAATTTTGCTTTTCAACCGCGTTTGAGTATTTTATTATTTATAAAACGAAGGCGGGGCTAAACTTGAAAATTGGGCATCAACAGGAGGTGAGAACTGGAAAATGACGACTTTGGTAAATGATAATTTATTGGCAAGACGATGAATCAGGGCTTCTCCAAATTCCCCGAAGGCTAACATAGTGACACCCTTATTTTAAAAGGCCAGATATCTTCGGAAACAGCGATTTCGGGCGGCACTGGACGGCGGAAAGCGGCGCTATTCAATCATTTTTGTCACGAAAAATACCCGCCTTGTCCAATCAGTGACCATAAAATCAAACTTTTGTTGATAAAACAGAAATTTAGCCGAAACTAAGGAGAGATGTTAGGAACCGACAAAAATCCCGACAAATTTTGCGTTAAAATTTTTACCCAATCAAAACCCTAGATACGGCTCACCAGCGAATCAGCAGCAGATTAGTCGCCCAGGAAAATTTGTCAAGATTTTTGTTGATTCGTGACACCATCTCAAAACTCAGCTTGTTTGCCGAATCATCCTCATAGAAGGTCATTAAAAGAAATCTGTAATTAACTGTGACACAACCAAAATTTGATGTCATATCCTTCTTTCTCATCCTGGTAATGAGGCTAAAAAGGGTTCATCTAAGTGGAAGGAGCAAACATGGCAGTTTTCTGGTGGAAACAAGCGGCAACACCCGGTCGCGTGTTTTCTGGCAAAACAAATCGTCTCGTTTTCCTTATTGAAAGCCATTCGAATCGGCATAATACGAGACTACACGAGAATTCAGCAATCTAAAAACGTTTTAATCTAATCGAGGCGCCACGTTGATCAGGCGGATACTTGCTTCTTGTTTTCTTGTCAGCCAGATCGGGCAAAAATAGAACAGCGTTTGCAAGACCTATTATAAACATCATACCAAAAATCAAATCGGAAAGGGGACAAATCCAACATCTTGTCAAAAAGTAGAAAACAAGAAATTATCCAAACACAAAATTTTCCTAAGAAAAAATTTTTTTTTGAAGAATTTTTTTCAAAATTGCCATTTTCAGTCAATCAAATTTGAAGCAATTAACCGAGGTTTGTCCTAATGGAAGTATTCAATAAGAGTTGGTCAAGGACCAATTATTCTATAATTAGGCTAAAATTAGTATGACCCCCTAACCCTAAAGCCTAGCCTAGGGGACTAAGCCCCCGGGACCCCCCCCCAAAAACCCTAACAGTAGGCACTCCCAGCCCCAGGGTTTGAAAAGTCTGAGCATGAGCATGCTCAGAGCACTGAGCATGAGCACTGAGCATGCTCAGCGTGCTCAAGCTCAACGGAAATTCCAGCATGTCGTGCTCAGCCGTGCTCAAGCTCAATAAAATCTGAGCATTCGCGTGCTCAGCCGCGCTCAAGCTCAATAAAATCTGAGCATTCGCGTGCTCAACCGTGCTCATGCTCACGAGTCTCTGAAATCCGTGCTCAAATGCTCTGAGCACGTTTGAGCAAAATTTTTCTTCTTTTCTTTATTTTTAAACTTCGGGCCGTCTCAGCGCCGTTCCTTGATTTTTGAATTTAAGGGGCTTGACGGCCCTTCGGGCCGTCTCAGCCCCGTTCCTTGGTTTTTGAATTTAAGGGGCTTGACGGCCCTTCGGGCCGTCTCAGCCGGTTGACGGCGGAAACCATTCTTTATGAAGAATGGTTCTTTGCAAAAGAACTATTCTTTGAAAATCAAAGAATGGTTCTTTTTCTTTCGAAAAATAAAGAATGGTTCTTTTCGGGAATCAGAATTGGGCTAAGCAGCCGATGTGAAATTCAGTCAACGAGCGGGTGTGCGCTCCGCGCCTGTCTTTGAGGAAACTCTGTGACTAAACCAGTTCATAAAAAACCAATATTTAAATAAAAAAATAATTTTTTTACAATAAATTTCAATAAAAAATTCATTTTCGGTAAACAAATTGTTTCTAGAACAAAGAATGGTTTCCGCCGTCACCGCGCTAATTACGGCGGATACCATTCTTTGCGAAAAGAACCATTCTTTATAAAGAATGGTTTCAGCCGTCACCCTCTCAGCCCCGTTCCTTGATTTTTGAATTTAAGGGGCTTGACAGCCCCGTTCCTTGATTTTTGAGTTTAAGGGGCTTGACAGCCCCGTTCCTTGATTTTTGAATTTAAGGGGCTTGACAGCCCCGTTCCTTGATTTTTGAATTTAAGGGGCTTGACAGCCCCGTTCCTTGATTTTTGAATTTAAGGGGCTTGACAGCCCCGTTCCTTGATTTTTTGTGTTCTTTTATGAAGCAAGATTGCTTGAGCATGCTGTGAGCACTGAGCATGAGCATTGAGCATGCTCAATCATGCTCAGGCTCAGCTTAATTTGAGCACGCAAATGCTCAATCATGCTCAGGCTCAGCTTAATTTGAGCACGCAAATGCTCAATCGTGCTCAGGCTCAGCCAAAATTTGAGCTCTTCGTGCTCAGCCGTGCTCATGCTCAGTCAAGATTTGAGCTCTCCGTGCTCAGCCGTGCTCATGCTCAGTCAAAATTTGTGACTTTTCAAACCCTGCCCAGCCCCTAACCCTAATCCCAAATCGATAAAAAAGGGTGGGACCAATTCAAGCTTTATATTTTAGAAGAATTGGTCTGTTCCAATGCAACCTTCAGTCATAATATCGTCTGTGAGTCGAACTTTTTTTTGATGAAAACTTTCATCATGCTGTAAAAAAAGTTCGATCATCATGACAAAATCATGCTCCTAAACTTCGAGAATGGGGTTATTCAGGAAGATTTCACCAGAAAATCTAGCTTTTATGAGAGCAAAAAAAAAATCTTTATCAGCAAGAGAGAATTTAATTAGAGAGAAAAATGCTCACCGAAGTGAATTCGAAAAGCGGCATAAACAAATTCGACCTTCGTAAAGTTAACATGACTCAATTTGATATTCGATTTTCCTCTGACGGCGTATTGCGAGTCACAACAAACGAGTATTCGGAAAATACCATTTTCCGATAATTGCATCGCAACAATTTTACGGAAAATGCAAACCCAACCCATTTCGCGAGGCCAAACTTGCGCTGATATTTACTCAAAATAGACTACAAAAATATCCGATGAAAATCAATTGATTTTGCCGAAAAAAGGGTTGATACCGGAAGTTTAACTCAAAATAAAGAGATTCTTTTTTTTCATCCATCTGTTTGTATTAATGTCAAGATTGTTCAACGAAATCATTTTCATTGCTCCCCGGCTGATGAAAATATACAACGCGACGTAGAATTAACCCCTTTTTTGACGGCCCAGCTGGTTTATATTTGGATCAGCTTTTTCATGAACATAAGAGTTTCAAGCGCTTTAAAAGGAATGAGGATATCATGCTTTTATTTTTCAGTTTGAATGGAGCAAGAGAATCAGATTAAGAGACAATCAAAGTTTATTATTTTTATTCAAAGAGTTAGAGAGGGATTATCCTTCTTACCATCCGATCTCTCTAGAATTTGGGCTTGTGTTTATGGTGACAGAATGGGAACTCTTAACGGGGGGGAGGGGAGGGAGTGAAAGGTCAGGGGGACGAGGGCGACTGGTTTTGGTAAGAGTTCAGGGTAGTAGGGGGTTATCATTCGAGCTGAACCTAACCCTAACCCAACCTAAGGCCTAAAAAAGGGGGCTTCGCCCCCTTGACCCCTAACTAAGACTTTCTAGTCCCTAACCCTTACCACTTGCCAAGATTCTAGAGACATTTGATGGCTCGAATGATAACCCCTCTTCCCAAATGAGTTTCTCTATAAACTCAGACGCGGAGCGCATTCTGAGCCCTATTCCAGTCGGATACCGAAATAAGGGACACCAAGATAAGGGACTTTTTGGCTCAAAATGCCGAAAATCAGCGGCAGAAAAAAACCCTAACCCTAACCCTAACCCTTCCCTCTACGGGGTTCAGGGGATAACCCTAACCCTAACCGTCATGGATAGCTCGAAGAATAACCCCCCTACTATGTTCACAAAGTTCGGCGGAATGTTCGGATTTGTTATGATGGTCATTGAAGTAAGTCGTCACGTGACAAATGGTTTATTATTCCAACGCCGATGGAGTCGCCTAAAACGTTCACAACGGTACGGCATCGGTCGAGCACCCATTCTACGCTGAACAGGATTCCAATGTCTAAAGATAATTTGAAATTTGAACTTGTCGATTTCAAATCCAAACTTTTGCAGTTTCGACAAAGTTGTTTCCAAAGAAAATTAAATTAACCTGTTGTGGGCAAGCCAAGCGCGGAAACGACGAGAACGAGCGTCACCAAGCCCGCGGACGGAATCGAAGCCGCTCCGACCGAGGCCAGTGTTGCTAGCCAAAGCAAAATAAGCCAAATGATATTAACATGCGATTCTTACCAGTCAGCGAAATTGTAAAGTAATCGGAAAACTGCAAATTTGAGGAGTAAATTTGAGAGATTGTGATGGCCGCGACGCCTTCTAGAAGAGCAGTTCCGTCCATGTTCATTGTTGCGCCAAGAGGGAGCATAAATCGGGTCACTCGGATGTCCATTTTCAGGTTTTCTAGGAGAAATATCACGAAATTGAAAAATGCGATGATCTTACCTTCAAGACAAGACATAGTCTGAGGCAAAGTAGCCGCCGAACTTGACGTGCCAAAAGCAGTAACAACAGCTGAAGCGAGGCCACTGTAGATTCTGAAAGGATTGTTCCGTGTAAAGAAAAAATAAGCCAAAGGCAAGATGACCAGAGCATGGAAAGCGAGGCCGCCGAGAATTGTCACAGTGTAGATTCCGATCATCGTGGAAATCGTCGAAGCACCAGCGTATTTGACGATAGAGCCGCAAATCAACGAGCCGATTCCGATTGGAGTGGTCTTTAAAAAGGTTGAAACTAAATTTTAAGCGATAGAAGTCCTAGGCTGGCAATTAAATAATTTCAATGATAGCTTTGGCAACCCATCCCCAAATAATCATTTTCACGGCCTTCATTAGCAACTTGTTCATACCGTCCACAAGTTTGATGACCAAAACAACGTTTTCGTCCGTTTGTTGCAACTGCATACAAATCCCGATCAGCAGCGCGCAGGAAATTAAGCCAAGAACGTTGGGAGAAGCCGTCTTGATCCGTTTCTTCTGAACTGCTCCTTCTTTAGTTTCTTCAATTACCGTCTTGTCGAGTTGAAAAGTAGCGGCGAAGACGTTGTCGGGGCAGAGATTTCGGCCGATGTCCAGGAAAGTATCGACGGTTGACACGTGACTGGGCTCGTAAACGACACAATTGGCCGTGATGTTTTCCGAGCAAAGTTGTTTTTCCGCGTATGATCCAGGTTTACTGATGCTGACGAGGATCATACCCAAAATAGTCGCACACATCGTCGTCGACAAATAATACGTCATCGCCCTAATTCCGAGCTTTCCCGACGTTTTTGGGTCCATGCTCGCCAAGCCCGAAATCAAGGAGGTTATTATCAACGGCATGACTACGCATTTCAGCGCTCTTTAATCAGGGCTTCTTTTTTTAAATTTTGATCGAGAGGGCAATTAAACTTGGACTCGAGCTGCTCTCAGACTAAGGAATTCGGAGAAAACGGCCTACTAAATGTCAAATTCTTCAATAAAAGACACCTTTTGTTGTCAAAAAATCTAAAGAAAAAAAACATATTTTTCTTATAAATTCTAGAGCCCCGTTCCTCATCATTATCTCCCCCGGATATTCAATGTATCCGATGACATCTTCCGACAAATCAGCAACACTAATCAGCAGTATTCCAAGACTCACTCCAAAAATCACACCGGCAAGAGTGAAAACAATCAGCCGATTAGCTTCTTGAGCCCAAAATCGTTGAAAACCAGAGGCTCCATTTTCATTGATTGATTTGATTGATTTTGACGGCTTGTTCGTTTCGATCAACTTATTTTATTAAAATACTTTCATCAAAAGAATCTACCTCGTCGCTTTCCATGATCATTTTTTCTCGTTTTCTCTGATTTTTTATCTTTCAGGAATCTGAGTCTCCGCGAGCGCCGCCGGAGCTCTGGCTTGGCGCGTGATCGGTATCAAATTAACAAACAATCCCTTACAAAATTTATTCTTTTAAAATCTTCTTTTATTTCATTTCTAACAGGAGTTAGACACTTGAACGGCGATTTGCTCGGATGTAGTTTTGAAGTCGTCTTCTCAGGGTGGCTTTTCTTCGGCCAAACACTGGCTGAAAGTAAGAAAAATGAATTTTGAAAGATCAAAGGGGCATTGTTACCTCCATTACAGACATTTCTGGAAGCATGTTGTTGAAGTACTGGCGCTTTTCCATCAGATCATCGTAGACGTAGCTGGCTTTTCTGAAAGTTTTGTAAGCTCTTTTATTTTATTGCTGTTGCTATTGAATAACTTGCATTATTCCTATGCAAATATATCCTATCCCATAAAGAAAAATCACAAAATATGCATGAAGCAATTATAGAATTTAAAAATTTTTATTCAACTGTAACTTCTTTCAAAAAATCATATTTTCCTTTTTATCAAGAATTTATGGTTTCCAAATCAAAAATTTTTTTTACCAATAATTCCCCCTTACGTAAAATTCTCGGATGTTAAACAATTGTTTCTTACTCACGTGACACTAAAAACAGCGACTGAGAAGAAATAAAATAATTTAAGCAACATCTTCTCTTTTTTGAAAAAAATATGAAGCGTCGATATGCGAAAGTGTCAATTTCGATCTGATGATGTCTTATTTCGAAGTTTCGCCTGATCCGTTTTTATATACGGCGACCAGCGCGTTTTGAAGAATAATGTGGTTAGTCAAATGAGATCAGTAGAGAGAGTGGCTGTTAATTATGAATTAGCTAAAATGTATTATACTAACGAAAACTCTCCGCAAAACCGGGAGTCACTTGATTAACATTGAGGGCCGTTTTAGTTAATTATGCACATCCTGAGTAGATGTTGATCTTAAAATGACGACATTTCAAAAAAGATGGACTTGTTGGAATAATATCCCTTTCGTTACTTGTAGTTTTTCGATAATGGAGTTTTTGACTCTATTATCGAATTATCTTGTTTTGAAAAAACACTCAATAAATATTGCAAATAGGAATTCTACCGAAAATACGCCGAACGAGAACTGGAGCGGCAGTTCTTATTGAAATTTGTAGCCCTGATAAGGGCTTTCTTCTTGGGACTTTTCTTGTGTCCCTGCGCTTTGAGGGGAAATTCGCTCTGCACCGACTTCACGGCGTGTTTCTGGGGAAATCCTCCTCCCGAAGAGGAAATCTTCAGTATGGTTGATTCCCACTTTACCTCCGTTTTTATACGCTTTGGTGAGAAGCTCGGGCATATCTAGAGAAAAAAGGCGATCTTTTGGAGAAGCGGCGCAGCAGTTTGCAGAAGCGAAGGTCTAGAAAGAAAATTTCGTTGTGCTTCTCACCTTGGCATATTTAAACGGCAGGAAGAGCGGGAGTGCTTCATATGCGATTTGTGAGTTTTTGGGGAAGCTCTTCCGATGTGGTAAGTACAGTTGGCTTTACCTTCTACTCTTATTAAAAAAATATTTTTAGATAAAAAAAGCAATCTGCTTTCGCACGAGTTATTATGAGGAAAGAGGTCGACGGATATTTTTCCTAAACCAAGGGATTAATAAAAAAAATTGAGAATTACTTAGCCCTTTTTAGGGCTTGACTTTTTACCATTTCACGGTGATAACGAGATTTTTGATATTTTTTATTCAATCAAAGTCTTTTTGAGAGAAGATAACGTCAAAACCATGACATTCCATTGTCATGGAGCTGCTTCTTTTGAAATTCGACGGCTTCATTCCGGTTGTTCAGGTAGTCTTGCATGAAGCTTCTCTTCCATTTTCGTGTCAAAAACATTTGAGCTGTTCCAAATTGAAGTAAAAAGAGAGTAAAAATTATTTGCATCTTTATTTTTGCGGTGCCAAAACTTAGGAGAACCTTCTTTTATACTAAAGATAATCAGACTTTCAGAATAATAAGTCCATATTTTTCAGGGAAAAAATTCATGAGAACTGGGTTAGATTATTCGAAAACCATATGTTTTGCGCAATCACATCATTGTAATGTCTCCATTCTGAGTTCACTTTCGGATGCAGTACTTTTTCTTTTGTTTCATCGAGAGTTTAGTTATCAGATAAAAATCATCCTTGCATAATCCTTTCTTTACGATTGAAAATACTGAATTATTAAATAATAATTTATCATTCAGCTCTAGCCTTTGAACTTTTGGCAAAGCTTTTTAACTTGACTCATCAACGATATCAGTCATCTGCTCTCTCCCCCGCAGCGGTACCCATTTATAGTGTCAAAAAGAGTCAACTGCGCTGCCTCTTGCACAGTTGTCTCCCTCTTTGCTAAATCGAGCCCTCCCGTCCCTTGCCAGCGGTTTCAATAGACTCCAAGGTCCTATTCCAGCCACACAGATTTTCAAAATGGTAAGTTCGAGAAAAAACGAGATCCAAAGAGAAAAAGAACTCACAGAATCATTTATCGAGGAAATTTTTTTCTTGAGAATCAAAAATTTTTCACTAGGTCGACTTTACTGAGGATCAGCTCGAAGATATCAAGGACGGTTTCGAACTCTACGACCGAACTGGAGAGGGCAAGCTCTTTTACAACCAGGTTGGCGATCTCATCCGAGGTCTCGGCTTCAAGCCCACCAATGCCAATGTCGCTGAAGCTCTCGGCAACCCCAAGAAGGAAGAAATGAACACCAAGGTAAGCGAATCTCCCTCCGCTTCTTTTTTCATTCATTTCTAGACCTGCAACTTCGACGAATTCGTCAACCACGTCAAATTCTGCGCCGAGAAGCAGCAGGACGGTACCTTCGAGGATTTCGTCGAGGGTCTCCGAGTCTTCGACAAGGAAGGCAACGGCACCGTTATGGGCGCTGAAGTCCGACACATTCTCGCCACCCTTGGTGAGAAGCTCACCGTCGAGGAAGTCGAAATCATCTTCGAAGGTAAGTTTTTCCTTCGAAAATTGAAAAAAACTTGTCGATTTTCGAAAAAAACAAAAAACTTTTTTCTATAAAAATTTACTTACAAACAATTCAGGTGCTGAGGATGCCGACGGTCAGATCCACTACGAGAACTTCATCAAGGAGCTCATGAAGGAGAAGGAATAAATGCCTAGCTTCCTTTCAACCCCTTTAGCCTCTTTCGGGCTGATTCAACAGAGAACTGCGCTAGAGAAGCTCTAGTTGCACTCCCTGCTGAGTCGAACCCTCTTTTGTACTATCTATCTCTTTATCTATCTTACGCTGATAAATATTTATGATTCGTTTCGTAACACTTTTCTTACTGTAGTAGATATCTACCAACTCGAGCTCCCAACCAACTTTTTACAGGTACCGGTACCTCATTCTGTATGTACCAACTCTTTCACAAACACTACCCACCACTCAAACATACAATAAATACAAACACACACTTTTTACTTTTCAAAATAAAATCAAATTTCAGCTGACTTGGTTTTTTTTATTTTTTTCAAAATATGCAGAATTCGTTTAATTTTTTCCAGAAGAAAATTTCAGAAATCATATTTTGACGTAAAAATAAAATATAAGAATGCTTCTTTTCGAATAACATCTGAGTCGTTCTGACCCTTAGCAGTGTAAATGACGGTTGCACCGTATCTCCACATATTCTGAACAAAATTGAAGTCTTTGATAAGAGAACTGCTTACGCTGTCTGATTCAGGAATTGTCCCATTGAAATAAAGCTCGGCAAAAGTGTCGTTCCGGCGATGGATAAAGAAATTGTCGATGTTTTCCAAATATTCAGCTGGTGCGTCCTTGTTCTTATAAATGTCGAAGCTGTGTTCAAGAGAATCACCCTCACTCGCTAGAGGAGCAATTTCACCCACAAATTGCTCATGCGGCGACGTGAAATTCAGAAGTTCTTTAGTGAAATATGAAGCGCGACTAAACATGTTATTAATTCAAAACAATGATATGGTTCTTACTCTGGGCAATCTGGAAGATCAGTTGGGCACTCGTCAGTCAGCAAATCACACGAAAAATCGGCTTAAATTATACTCGGTTGAAAATTCTTGATCGAGAACCTTACAAGAATCAAATTGCCTATAATTAGATAGTCTATAATCAGGAAGGCATAAGCTGTTTTCTTCATCAAACATTATGAAAAGTTGATATGAACCATGAAGATTGACACATATTTCTCCGGGATCGCGGTCAAGGAATTCATAATCGCATTCGTTAATATCTTCACAAGTTCCGTTGACTTCGGTGTATCCATGGGGACACAGACATTTGGATCCATTTAGATTATCATCGACGCATTTGTATTGACACTCTAAAAATATAAGCCTAGTGCATGATTTGTTATGTTTACTGACCTCGTCCATCACTATCGCAAATCTTCGGCAGTGTTTCATCAATCCTGCACCAATGAAAATCGTAATTTTCTGATGTTTTCTCCATAAGGTAGCCAGGCAAACACGAACACTCGTAAAAAGGCCAAATGTCGGAATCAGTATTTGTGCAAACTTGATCGCATGGCGAACTCGCGCAGTCATCGTATTTCTGACAAGTTCGTGTTGTCTCATTGTACGAATTTGGGCGTAAATATTTCCACTTAAAGATTGTTTTGAAAAAAATTAAAGCGTAATGATTCATAATGAAGAATACCTCGTTATCATAGTTGCAGTCGCATTCGTAGCTTCCATCAGTGTCCACACATCTTGAGCTTCCTCCACAGTCATCTAAGCCATACTCGCATTCATCGATGTTTCTGCACTCTTTTTTCACAATCGTAGATCCTTGTTCACCAGAAATCCATCCATCATTCACGTGAACAGTAGGGAGAAAACCTTATACGAAATTTTGATTTTTATCACAAGCAATGATATAATTACAGTTCTTTTCCTCTTTTGTGGACATTTTTTGTCCCAAAATTTTCGAAAAATGTCCACAAACTTGGGCAACGTCTTCCGAAAAAATGTCCCATCGAAATCGCTTAAATTTTTTTTCGAGATTTGAGTACGCCGAATAGTTTTCTAGACTTTGCATGTATGCTCCTGAAAGACTGACAAAGGCCCCTGTGTCTCTAGTTCAACCTTCAATTTTGTCTTTTTTTCGTAAAAAATGAACAACGCGATCTTGATAAGCAAGAATAGATCTCAATACAAAAAAAAATTGTCTATTTTTTTTTCTTTCCGCGAAAAAATGTCAACAAACTTGGAACAGCATCTTTTATAAAGTTTACACGAGCAATCGTAAGAACCAATTGTATTTGTGCAGATTTGATGAAACGTACAATAGATTTTAAGACTGCTACATTCGTCATAATCCACACATGTGCTTTTTCCTTCATCATAGATGTAACCCAATGGGCAATCGCATTCAAATCCACCATCAAAATTACGACAGGTTGAATTCCCAGTGCAAGGATTTGATAGACACTCATCTATGTCCTCACATTCTCGGAAGGTATTAAATGAATCATCGCCAATTAGCCAACTTGTTTTTCTTCCTTAAAAAATCGTCACTTTCATGCAAGTTGTAAGGATTAAATACCTTTAGCACAAATAGGAAAATATTTGAAAAAATAATCGGTTGTAAAGAGGACTAAATCGGAATGATAATAACACATCAATTCGCCGTAGTAACTGACACAAATCGCATTTTCCAAAGGATCTTCTCCGTGATCGCACAGTCCTTGATCAATACAAACTTGCAGATCTTCACAAGTTCCCTCGAAAAGTTCGCCTTCTCTACATTCGATTCTACTGCTCCTACTGGTGTCCCTAGCTACTTTTGACCGATTGATCTGACTGGTATCTGTTGTCGTTTCTTGATTTTTCTCTGTTGTTGTCGTGGCCGTCGTCTCTGGAATGGATTTACTTTCGATTGTGGAAATCAACACTCTTTCGGAAACTTCAGGGAAATTTTGCGGATTTTCGGAAGGGCTTTTAGGCTTTATCCAACCAAATACCAAAGCGGTGCATGCAAAAAGGGTAATAAATAATAAAAGGATCACTCTCAACAAATATTTTTTTTCCATCGTCTAGTTTTTTGAGGAAGAAAGGGTGAAAACGCTCAGTTTATATGTTCTAAGATACGACTAAAGGGAAAGCTAAATGGCTGACGGTTCAACTGATAAGAAGAGAAAGACTGAGAGTCATTGCATGTTTTCGTATGCGAGCTCATTCTTCAATAATTTCTTGACTCACTTATCATTTATTGACATTCAGAAATCTTATAAAATTACTCATTGAAACATTTTTAGGACTCAGCTCAGAGTTAAAAAAAGAAGGGGCTAGAAAAAACTCTGACCAAAACATAAATGTCTTCACTTTTGATTCTTCCTCTTTTGGCTCCGGCTTGAAAAAAGTCTTCTCGAATGCTCAATTCTGCGGCAGACCCGCACCCCAAAATGAAAATATCACCTGCGCGGGACTCTGGGCAATCGCAAAACTTCTTCCTCCAAGATATTTATCCGGCTTCCTTATGAAATAAATCGCCATGATTCTTCTTTTTCTTTTTATCAACCTTTCTCTCGCCCTAAATCGTAAATATCCCGACAAGAAAGATGCCCGAGGTTCGACAATAGAGAGTTTTTACCAAGACCCGCGATATGGCCTGGCCGGAAATGGAAGCTGCAATGAGAAGTTTGACCTGCAATATTTTGACTCCAAGGGATTAATTATTTCGCGCAATTATGAGAATGGAGCTTATCCGAATAACTCAGACTGTGAGTGGGAAATAAGCATAGGAAACAGTCTCCTAGACATTTTTAAAAAAATTTTCTTATATTTTTCATTTCTTACCAAAAATGTTTGAGACCCCGAAAAGCCGCTGGAATGATCATCCAATTCCAAGTGATCGCCATCGACATCGAGCCAGGCCCACCCTCCTGCCCCTTCGACTACTTGGAACTCTTCGTCAAACCCCCAACTGGACCAAAAGCCGGCCAATGGGTACCATGGAAAGGTCCAGAAAAAGAACAGACGCGCTACTGCGGCACCTATTTTCCCAAAGGTCTTCAAGCAATTTCACAAAAGGGCTCTCACCTAAAGTTTCATTTCGTTTCCGATGATTCGGACAACCGGCGCGGCTTCATGATACGATTTGGAGCGTTTCAGCCGAAACAATTGTCGTTTATAAATCGAGAAGATCAAAAGGATGATTTCGCTTACATTATGAGGACTGAGAGGACCAAGAAATTATCGGCAAACTTTGATCTTGGAATGCCGACTTGGTTCGACCAAACCTGGCCAAGAGGAAAACAAGGAGCGCAACCGATTCAGCTTGGTCGGCCTGAAACGATGGGTTCTTTTGAATACGTCTCTGGAGACTCGTACGACCCTGGCATTCCGAGAAACGATTCCGAGGGACTGAGCAATGGCGGATTCCTCAGATTTCCAAGTAACAAATTGAAAACAGGAGTGATTGCTACGAAATACATGAAGATCAATACAGAGCAGCCAGAGCCATACTGCTTCGAGATGAAAATGGCGCGAAACAATCCTGAAAATCTGACGCGGGAGGACTTCGGCGAAGTGAAAATTTACACGGCCTTTACTCGATTCGACAGAAATTCGCGATCTTTCCAAGGCGGTCAGCTAAAAGAAGTCCTGAGCATTCCTGTCAATGAAACATTCGACGTCGACGGTATCTTCCGCCCCGTCCAAACTGAAGTCAACCACCGAGAAGGCGAATGGCTCCAAATTTTCGTCGTCGCAGAAAGAGGCACACAAGATCAGACAGATGTTCTCATTGATGAAGTTAATTTTTACAACTCACGGTGTCATCCGATGGATTTCTCGATGTGCGATGGGACAGAATTGGTAACGCCAAAGTGGGGGCGATTAACGACCGGGAGGTGGTTGTGCAAAAATGGGTATCTTGTCGGGTCTGATTGTAGGTTATTCTGCCGACCGGGATTTATGCCTGAACCTCATGAATGTTTTCAAAGATGATTCCCTTATTTTGGTGAGAAATCAAACTTGAAAACAGTGAAAAGAGAAACTACGAAAATAGATGTGAACGAGGAGGCTGGAAAGAACCTACTGATCCTCTTCAATGTATTCCTGAATACTGTATCTATCCTACAAAATTTCGAGCATCAGAGTCCAAGGCTGTGAATATCACAACTTCGGAAGGAGTTGAATCATTCGAGTGCACCCGGAGTTTCAGTCCAGCCGACGATCCTGATTTGGCGACACTCGGGAGAGGAGAAATTTGTGATCTTCAGGTACTATGAAAATAAAATGACATAATCTTCATCTCCAGTGCTTGCCTGGTTATCGAAGCAAATTGCCAAATCAATCGTCGGAAATCTTTTGCTCAGGAGTTGCTCCGCGCGATGGAAGTCCTCTTTTTTGGCTGGCAGGAGTGAAACGAACGAATGAGACGATTCATTACAGACAATCTGTCCCAAAAGTTGAAGATCTTTACGTCAATGACGTTGTCAGGTAAGAATTTTTTCCTGCCCGAAAAGTATGAAATTTTAAGACCGGACATGGTTGGCTGTGAAAAAGTAACAGTAGAATTGATAGAAGACAAGAAAGAATTTGAGATCGAGCTGGAAAAGACCATCGATAAAATGTAAGTTTTCCAAAGTGAAACATGATTTCAATCGATTTTTCAGCGTCCAAGAGACGGAAGAAGCAAAAGAAGTCAAAGAAGAAGTTCTCAAAGCTTTCGTCTCCGAAGACTCTCGATTTACTACTCGAACAACGACAACTACAACGACAACGACCACAACTACCGTTTCTGTTTACCAAGGGCCAAAGTTCAATGTTGCAGCTGCAGACGCTGGAAGTTCTGTTTCATCGACATCAACTTCATCTGATGGATTGACAAGGACGGATACGACAAAGTCAACCACGACTGAGGCAAATCCTTTCGCGCAATGGGAAAAAGAAGGTGAATTCTCGCGGTAAATATCTCTTCGTGACCCATTCTTTAGTAACCGAGGCTGATATCGATGGCTTACTAGTGACACCAAATCCAAGCGAAGAATTCGAGACGACTCCGGAGCCAGAACCAGAGCCAGACATTGAAGATAGCGAAGAAGAGAAAAAGAAGAAGAAAGATAAAAAGAAGGATTCCCCCTCTTCTGCAGCTCGAATTTTCATTTCTTTGATTGCCATCTTAATATTTTTTGTATAGAAACATTCCAATAAAGCGCTAGAATAGATCGAATCTGAAATTTATCCCTGGCCATCGTATTTCGAAAATTTGCCAAGTCCGCCAAATGTAAATCGGGAATTTCCTCTCGGATTTGAGCAAACATGGTTATCACAACTAGCGCGCCCGGTCGCCCAGAACTCTCAAGAGTCCAAAATTTATGAAAACTTTTTCGGGCAGGAGCAATTGAAAAGAAAAGAGAAGGATAGTCGTTTTCCCGACCGCTTTCCGAAAGAAATAATGACATTTCTACAGAGTAAACCCTTCGAAGATATAATTTACAACAAAGAAGGATGCAAGGCGTTTCATAACTTATCCGGTGAGTTTCACAAAAAAAAAACTGAAAAAAATTTCTTCAATTCGGTCTCATTTGCAAATATCAAGAAGCGTTATAAAATTTTTCGGTGTTCCTAGATAGCAAGTAGTTAGTTAAATATGTCAAAATCAGCGTTATTTTGCTGTCGATGCTGTCAAGCTCTCAATCTTTAGCAAACTAAGTCTGGCAGGATCGACCTTGATTTATCAATTTTCGCGAAAATGCTGTGTCAACATGATAGTCAAGATGCTTTTCCTGGCAATGACAGTACCCCTCCCAAAAATTATCGACCGGAAATAAGATCTGTGGGTCAATAAAGGGCGTATTTTCCAAAGATTTCAAAAGACAACTTCAGATCCATCTAAGCACTGTGCATTTTCATTGGATGAGACAAATGGCTGTGGAGCGGTCGGTTGCTTCATCGAGTACACTCAAAAAGCACTGTGTCATGAAAGCTGGACGAATCCGGAAACCTTCGATGGGTCGTTTATTTTCTTCAATGTTATGTATACAATCTGGTGCCTCTATCTCTGCTTCTGCCTTGGTCTCGCTGCAGATGCATTCTTTGTTCCGACACTGACGAAGATTGCCACTCAGCTTCGTCTATCAGACAGCGTTGCCGGCGTCACTTTGGTTGCCTTCGGTGGTGGAGCTGCTGATATCTTCGCATCAATCGTCGCTTTTACCAATCCAGATCCTGAAGTAGCAAAGCTGGCGATTGGATCCCTCCTCGGAGCCGGCATGTTTGTGATCATGATCGTTGCCGGTGCCTGCATGATTGCCGTTGACTTTACCCCCGCTGCAAGGAAACAGGCTTGATTCTTCAGTCTTATCTCTTCAATCTGGGGAAATAAAGACACCAAGTCATTCTTTATTTCCCTGAGCAAATACTAAAGCCCGACTAAGACCTCTTTTACGAGACATGATATTTTACCTCTGGTCGCTTTACTGGCTGCTTCACTGTCTTTGGGCTCAGAAGATTACACTCTTTGGTAATTTTTCTCTAAAATCATGTTTATCAAATCTCAGATTCCATCGGATTTCTGGTTTTCTACGCGTTTTACGTAACCATGGTTGCTTTGGGAAGCAGATACGGCAGTAAAATCGGCCTCGTTATGAAGCCGGAAAAGATGTACCCACCGGTAGAGCCAGCCAGGTACGCTTTTTCATCGATTTCTTCCTCTATTCTTCCCTAGAAATACCGTCATGAGTACTCGTGCTCGAGCAATCTCCAGCCTGAGCACAACAAACAAACGAAACACCGTCCAATCTACAGCCGAAGTTGGCCTGAATCCAGTTTCCGGTCAGCGTGCCCGTGCATTTTCAAATCTCAGCACCGTAGAAAACAAACTCGAAGTCCAGGCAAAGGAAGAACACTTCGTCAAAGACCTAAAATGGTACTTGAAACAAGCTTGCATACCATGGGATCCAGTTGAGTTCGAAGAATTTGGACTCGGAGGAAAGATCTTCTCTATTTGCTTCTGTAAGTCGTCACTGAAAAGAAAAAGCGTGACAACATTTAGCTCCACTGTATCTTCTGTGCAAATGGTCGATTCCAATCGTTGCTCCAAACGAGAAAGATAGCTGGAACAAGCCTTTGATGCTCATTCAAGCAGTCATGTTTCCCTGGTCTTTCTACTTGCTTCTGAAGCAATACGCTGAAGATGATTTTGGCCCACTCAACCGAGCGGTTATTCCTGCTATTATAAGTGTTGTCCTATTTGCCTGTAAGTTGATTAGTAGAAATGCCAATTTCAAATTTCATTTCAGTCGTTTTCCTCACGACAATGAAGCTGCCCCTAAACAAGCCGCCAAAATGGTACTTCCTCTCGACAATCATGGGCTTTCTCGGATGCATCGTGTGGATTTACGTTATCGCTACAGGAAGAGTTAGCCGAAATCACAAATCTATTGACAATATTGACATCGGAAGGGCTATTTCGACAACTTATTGACCAAAGAGCTTGTCGGCGTTCTGACATGCTTGGGGTACTTTTGGAACATCAATAACGTCGTGATGGGCTTGTCACTGCTGTCATGGGCAAACTCGATCGGTGATTTTGTGGCGGATTATTCGTTGGCCAAGGCTGGTCGAGCTAGAACTGCGGTAAGACAGATTATCAATATTACATGATGACGGTTGGTTTCAGATCGCTGCCTGCTTTGGGGCTCCACTTTTGAACCTCCTTGTCGGTGTTGGATTCGGTTGCACCGTCACCATTGCTACTTCTTCTTCAAAAGAATTCATCCCTCTTGACGTAATATGAAAAATTCAGGAGACGAAAATGATGTTTTTAGTTTGGGCCAACCGAAGTTTCCCTCGTCGCCGGTGGAACTGCCATTCTTCTCGCTCTTCTGCTGATTTTACCGGTACTTTCTTCCCTAACGCCACCTATAATAGGGATATTTAGATGACAAATTATCGAACAAACAAAATGCTAGGTATCTTCAATATGTGTGTTTATGCTGTGTTCATCTCCCTCTGTCTTTACTACGGGTTCCAGCTCTAGAAAAAAATTCTGCCAAAAAAGAAGAGCTCAAAAAAGCTCGAGACTTCTGCAATTTTCACCTTCATTCCCTGATTATCTAAATAAATCTTCTTTTCGAAACATGTTTTTATTTAAAAAAGACACAGGAAATACATTAATAAATAATATTTGTTCTTTGAACTCATCATAAGCAAATAGTTTACACCTTGTTTCTCGATCTATCGATCAAAGTGGAGAGTCTCCCCGGGAGACACCTTCTCCGAGAGGGCAAATCTTGAGATAAACAGAAATACGCGTAGAAAAGAGAAGCTTCAGTTTTCAAAGAGTTGCATGTGATGTGCTTGTTCATGGTAGAATCGGTGATTGAGGGCGAGCTGTTGGAGCTGCTCGGGAGAGATTTCGCATTGGTTTGACATTGATTTGATGAGCGCACCGAGGAGGCCTTGACTGACCTGTTGATGCTAGAATTTGCGTTAGATAAGGTAAATCAAGGGGATACAGAAGTAGGGGTTGAGATTTGGCATCTTTTTACCTTGTATTCGATGCTGAGTTCTCGCAGAGTCGTGAACATAAGAAGAACCTAGAATAAGCAATTAGAATCAATCACACTCTGGATAATTGTTACCTCTGTAAGAAGCGTCTTGTTGAAGCTTCTGTATCGCTCAATGTAAGATCGAAGAGTCGAAATATATTTTTCGTGAATTTTGGACAATTCTGCGAGGTTTTCTTCGTCGACCAGGGACGATCCTCGATCTGGCTTGAAGAAAATGGAACCGGCAATTAGGCCGATGATGGAGATATCGAAATTAGTATCTGAAAGAAAAAAGTTACAGTAAGAAGCGCTAAAAACGATGACTTACCGATGATTTGCTGGAATTTTTCCATGAAGTGAAAGAGTCGTCGAACAATGCCGAGATTGACGGTGAATTTGTTGAGCAAATCGTCGGCAGTGAAAATGAGCTCGTCCGTGAATCGAATCGCTTTTGAAACTGGGTCGTAAGAATTTGCGATGTGGAGGAATATCTGAAAATTATTTTGAAATCTTTAATCGAACGTTGACAGCTAAAGGAACTCAAAGATACAGTATAATCTCGGGCACTTGGGCATTATCAGCCGGCTAAGAGTTTGCTGCAATTCGAAACGAAACGTCCAAGAGTCAATTCAGGAGAGATTGGCTGCCAGACTGACCTGTTTCCAGTTGCTGATAAGCGCCACTGGCATTGAGACATATTTTGATTGGAAGTTAATTCGATTGGTATCATTTAATTGTAAGTGGAAAAATGGCTCAACGACAGGGGACTTATAAGGGTCCCGGCAACCATTTAAGATCTTTCTGGCCCTGACTCAGGTTTTCAAGACAGCATGCCGAGCCTAGCCGCTGTCAGTAAAGTGGTCAGGCTTTCCAAACCCTGGTAAGAAGTTTCTTCCTCATCCCAAACAGTTAGATATCCGCTATCGTTGCTGCTTCATTTTTTATCAAAATTTTAAAGTATGGCCACATTATTTATTATGATATGCTTCCGAAACGGGCGTCTGCGCGCCACTGCTGTTGGGCAGACGACTCGTAGAATGTTGTCTGCTAGCTTTGTGATCACGAGCTTTATTAAGGGTAATGGTATACATCGGCGCGGCGCCGCTCGATCTATCCGCGCTCCGCAAGAACCTATTTCTCACGAGGCCGTAAAATCTGAACGGATCGAGATTTTTTCGAGATTTAAACAGATTTGGAATCCTCAAAGTCTCTTCTATAAACTGATCGAAAATTAAAACAATTTTCAAGAGGAACAATGTGAAAAGTGCCAGTTTGCTTCAAATGACATTTTCTCCATAATTTCTCATCCAAATTTTTGAAAATTAGACTGTCTTGTAGAGAATCGTCAGCTCTACAATTCCTGTGTTTCAGATTTTTGTTTTAAGCTTTCATTAATTTTACATCGCAATTTGTAAAGAGCGCAGCGGGAGCGCGCCGCGAGAAATAGGAAGCGGAGAGGCGCGGGCGAGAATAACTCTCTTTTCAAAAGAGCGCACATAATTTTTGAAAGCCCAAATGAAAAATCTGAAACACAGGAATTGTAGAGCTGACGATTCTCTACAAGACAGTCTAATTTTCAAAAATTTGGATGAGAAATTATGGAGAAAATGTCATTTGAAGCAAACTGGCACTTTTCACATTGTTCCTCTTTGAAAATTGTTTTAATTTTCGATCAGTTTATAGAAGAGACTTTGAGGATTCCAAATCTGTTTAAATCTCGAAAATCTCGATCCGTTCAGATTTTACGGCCTCGTGAGAAATAGGTTCTTGCGGAGCGCGGATCGAGCGAGCGGCGCCGCGCCGATGTATACCATTACCCTTAAAGTGGTACTTCAAAGTTGATCTTATCACCTTCGAAACATAAATTGTTCTGATGCGCAGACGTCCTGCGGTTTTAAATAAAAAGTTTCTAACTTGCACTTTCGCGGTTTTATGATCTGGCTGACAGGATGAAGGGGTCTTACCAGTTCGTTTATTGCGCTTTCGCTGATGATGTCAAGTAGATCTTCGGAGAAACGATCGACCAAGGGGAGCTCGGCAATGAAGATCTTCTTGATATGTAGTTGAAGAGACGAGATGGCACCTTGAATAATTTCTTGTTAATTGATAGAAACTATTATGATGAGAAGGGCAACCCTTTCTAGGTTCTGAAAAGCGGTGTCCTTATGAAAATTAGAATACTTACGGTAAAAGAGATTTTGAGAAGAAGAAGAGGCGTCCAGAAAATCGACAGGAGTACAAAGGCTGATTCTCCAAGGCATCATCGTCGCCTGAATTAGATCCTCGTCGTCCTAAAAATAAAAATTAATATCGCTAATGGGTCCGAAAATAAATTGTACCTTTGGAAGCTTGTTCACAATCACGCTTGGCCGGCTCGCCGTAACATTTTCATATGGGCTGGAAACGGCGTCGTTTTTGCGCTTTCGGACAAAGGCTGGATTCATGCCCGCCTGAAAATAGATTGTTTGGAATACGGTCAACCAAAGTTTAGGACGTCCAAATTTGTAACTCAAAGTCTTTAATCTAGCGTTTCTCTAAAATCATTGCAAGTTGGGCTTCACAGCCTGAGTCAGGGTCCTGATTCTATTGCGGCTTTCTTTAAAACGAAGCCGCAAAGCTTAATATTGGCGTTCCTTATTATTTGTTTCTTCCCCAGTAACCTTGAGTTTGTCCTACTTTTAAGAACGGTTGTGCAACTCGATATATTTCGCTAATCTGTTTAATAGCTGCTGAAAAAATAAGACTCCAGACATGTCGAAATAAGAGAAAGAAGACCTAAACGTATAAAGGCGGATTAGCCCCTCTTATCCATTTTAAACAAGTACTTTTTTGCAACTGAACTCCCGCCCGGCAATCAGACGGACAAGTCGAAGAACGACTGTTGTTACGCCTTGGTGTTTGGTGATCTCGATTTACCTTCAAGCAGCGCATGATTCTGCATTTTTGGCAGCGTTGTCTCGCCATGGCAGTTTGTAGATCGCAGTTGTTGACGCCCGTGCGACAGGTGTACTTGATGCCGTTAATGATCGTTCGTCGGAAGAATCCTGAACCAGACATTTTTTAATACTGCAAGTGTCAAAAAAGGATTTGATGGAAATCCGTGACATTCTAGGAGGAGATGGTTGTTAACCTTTTCCAAGAAAAAAACGAATAGAAAGGAACCATTTCGAAACATCTAGGTAGGAGATTATATAATGAAAACTATGGAAATAGGTCTCGGCGACCTGTGTAGGAAACCTAAGGCAGTGTCTGGAAGACCTCTGATAAAGGAAGCGGCCTCGAAAGTTTTGGAAAATTGATTGGAATGATAAGCCCTAACTTATGTTTTCTACACAGGTTTCAGAGCCCAAGTGAAGCAGCTATTGATTATTTATAAATTTCGGGTAGCAAGTATCAGAAGAAAAACACCGTATTTGAGGTAAAAACTTGAAGTTCAAGCAATGAAAGAATATTTGATTATCCAAATAATTTAATACGAGCAGACTAGCCGCCAAATCAAGTTAAAGCGACGGTCGAGTTTTAATGATCAACATTTCATACAAAAACGAACCTTTGCAACCCTCGCACGATAGTACATTGTAGTGATAGCCATTCGCTGTTTGGCCACAAATCTCGCACTCTTCGTCGCCGAGAAGCTTTGGAGCAGGCCCTTTGCGGTGAATTTTGCGCTTTAGTCGCTCGTGGTTGTACAGGTCTTGCAGGTCTTGCTGAAATTTAAATGATGATAAGATATAAATTTAGTCAACTGAAGTCATTTTTGATCAACTTTGACAAAATTTCGCGAAAAGACTAAAGCAACGATGGTCTATCCTATCACTCCGGCAAAAGGAATAAGCGCCTCTGGCTAAACGAAACCTCTTTTTGAACAAGAGTACCATGCGCCACATGCACTAGAATAACTGTCTCCCACTAATTTACCTTTGAAGCATTTGGCATGGAAGGAATCATCTTTTTGATAAAATCGTCCATTTTCGTTGATTTTCAGGAAACGAAAAATTCTCTTTTTGCTCGTAAATACGAAAACGGCTGTTTCTGGTTGAGTTTCGGGTTGTTTGAGAAACCTGAAAGTTGAAAAAAGCTTGACTTTCTTTGGCTGACTTTAGTTGAAAAAAGTGGCGCTAAGGGACAAACTGCGAATTTGAACCCAAGAATATGACGGTTTGAAATTGTGGTGGTGCTACCGCCCTGCCACAGGATCAGGGCTCCACCACCAGGTCAGACTGTTCGCCAGTTAACAATGACTCACCAAAGTTTCTAGTGCCGACACCAAGCGCTTGCGAGGTAGAAAACAGGCGAATTCGCGGAAAATTTTAATCAAAATGAAATGAAAAAAAGAACAATTGATAAAAAATGAAAGTTAACATAGGAACTTGTTGTTAAATATACTTCAGTAATCTAATTTTAGAGCAGAAAACAATAGGATCGTCTAAATCATCCTTTATCAATTAAATTTTCTAAACGACAGAAATAAACTCCCGGTCTTCCTTTTTTGTCTCAAGATATCATCTTTTATGATTATAAATAAATTATTAATAACATTTTGCTTACCGGTATTTTCGTAAAAGCAAAGAGTCGTTTTCTTCTGTGAAAAAGTTAAACTTCAGCTGTATCTAAGGCGTTAAAAAGAAGAAGAAACCGTATCTGTTTTTCGAATTTTCCTCGTAAAAATGCCCAAAATATGTTTCTCAGAGGCTCAAGCGTTGTTCCGGGACGACCGAGAGTTTGCGCGACGTTTAAAGAAGCGTGTTTGCCGAGCAAGATCATTTTTGAACGCGCAAATTTGCCAGCTCTACAAATGGCCGGAAGATAAAGAATCAGCCAAAAAGAAGAACGAGAGGGCGTCATTTTATTTCAACGGCCTTGACGGCATATTCTTTCGAGTTCAACTGGAACGCATTCATTACTTTTCAAAATCAAAAGAAAGAAAGAAAGAATCTTGGAGGCGGAATATTCTGACGTCGACAGTCTGACGACTCTAGTCTAGTAACAATAGACAGCGAAAGAAAATTTGATCCTAGGCTCAGCAAAAGAGGTAGAAAAACTGAGTCAGGATTTTCTAGTTACAGCGAATAGATGGAAACGGTAATGACTCGAAGCTGTTTCGCAATTTGGTTTTCGAAAACGCGTGACACGGCTTTTGAATAAGGTTCTCACTCAGGTTTACACAAATGACTTCTACTCAAGACTCACAAAAAATGGCAAAGCAAATGAATTACGCTAAAGCGATGATGCAAATGCAGCATAGCCTTTGCAACAAGCTTCGAAAAAGAAGCACTTGCTTCTTCCTTGGAAGGAAAAGAGCTCGTCTTCTCAAAAGAATAATGTGCTTGAATGGCGAATAATATACCCCTAAACGTGGAGTACACCTGAGAATTGATGTCAGTTCAAATCCCACCCCACAAATCTTGACGACAAAAATTATTCAAATCTCACCCCCGCTAACAATTTGCACAAATCTACAATCTCTATTTATTCGTTCTCGTTTTTTACGCTTGTCGGAGTCAAAAAAGAACTCGACTTTGAATAATATCGAAGAATCTAAATACAAATTCAAGATATCAGGAAACAACGAATTTGAATTTATTTGGGTTGAAATTTGAAATGGAACAGTCAATTAAAATTTTTGAACTTGAAATCAAAAAAAATGAAGATACATGCTTTTCACGGTGGCTTGGCTCAGCAAACTGTTCAGAAACCTGAGACTGACTGAGGTTTTCAAACAGGTTGCCGAGCCAAGCACAGTAGAATCCAACAGATTCGTGAAATTCGGAAAAAAGAGGACAATAAAATAGAATATTTCTGAGATTGGGAGAAATCGGACAATGAAATTTCATAAAAAACAGTCAGCGGCGGGGAAAGATTCTTTTTCATCTTGTTTCTTCTCGTTGCGTTTTCTTACTCTTTAGTCTTTGAAAGACCGTGGGCTTCGTGAGTGCTCAGAGCGCGAACAGTAGACATGTTCTGAAGAATAATGTAAATCTGGGATTCTAGGGCTCTCTGTCCATACGACGGGAGGGGGGCTGGGAACCCCGAAGGGACTAGAGTAAGGGGACTGGGAGTACCTACTTGGGGTCCCGGAGGGGACGAAGCCCCTCGGTTAGGCTTCGGGTTAGAGCCTACCCCACCGATAACCCCAAATTGTACCTTATCTATCAGTTCGACATATCAAAACATACCACTGGCAAGACAGACTTTCGTCGAACATCTTTAGTCTTCTTCTGCTCCTCCTTTTTCTTCTCAGGCGCCGGCTTCTTTTCTTGGGCTAATAAATGGATGTTCAACAATCAAAAAAATCAAATCAGCGAATTCGAAATCCTTTTAGCGGTGGCGATGACAAGGTCTTTTATGACTAAAGCTTTTAGTGATGAAACTTTAAGCATATTTCAATACATTTGAAGCATGCAAGTGAAGCAAGAAATGACAAGCAAAGAAACACAAAAACATGGTGAAATTGACATTGAGATTAAAAATCAGGAATTTTTTCTTGTGAAAAAATTTTTGAACAGTCAAAACAGGCTAGGGTGGGCAAATGGTGGATGGGACAGGGCTCAGAATCAGTGAAGAAAAGCTGAGTCAGGGTCTGAAGGATCTCTACGCGACTTTCTTGTAGGGATCTTTAAAACCTTGACTCAGGTTCTATACACAGCTTCCCGAGCCCAGAGAGGGTTGTTTGAGAAGAGGGATCTGACTCACATCTAATTGGCTTATGGAAAAAATACTGGTTTCTGATCGGTCAAATCAGCATAAATTTTTGTTGAGATATAACTTTCGATTTTCTTTTTGGCAAAAATTGGTAATTTCCAGTTTTTGTGCTTCTGATTTTAGTAAAATAAATGGACTCTTTAATTAATAACTGTAAAGATAAATGACACCAGCGGTTTTTAATATACCTGTTGGGGTACCTTTCACTCACTTTAAAAATCATCTGAATTCGAAATATTTTTAGCAGGCTGCTTCATTATTAGGGCGAAAATTAAAGGTATTCGCTTTAATTTATCGCTTTTTTGGAATAAGAATTTTAAGGGACCTCCCTTGAGTTTTCACAAATAAAATAAAAAGCGTGCAAGAAGTGAAAAAGACGAAAAAATGCTCTTTTCAGCACAAAGAAACGAGCGAGATCACGTGACATCAAATATAATATGAAAGTTTGGTGGTTTTTGTGTGTGTTTTACCGAGTCACGTGCAAGATAGAATAGATAAATATATATTAATATTATCGAATAAATTAATATAAACATATTTATGAACAAAGATGCGGGCGATGCGATTCTTTTCTCGAAATTAGTGAATTTTAAATTTTCAAAATTTGGAATTTGAATGTGAATTGTGATGGATTTTTTTATAAATGCGTGAGATAAGGTATTTTCGTGGCTCAATCAAGGAGAGAGAGTTTGAGAAGATCAGTTCACATCCAAATCTGCTTCTTCTACGGACAGGTCGCGGAACTCGTGCTCAATCTGAAGGAATAAAGATACTCGAGAAAGCGCTTAAAATGAAGAAGCCGCGAAATTTCCGAAGCCGTAAGCGGCTTTTCGACTATTCTTGAATGATTTGATAGCGGCGCCTTTCGTAGCTTCTTCACTCGGAGCCGCGAGCGGCTTGTAGACCGTGATTGTCCTTTAATAGACCCATAACTTCGCCCGCAAACTTACGTCTCCCATAGAAATCTTGGCGGTAACATCGTAGCCCTCAATTTGATCCTTCATCGGATTCAAAGTAGCTTGCTGCTGAATACGTCGCCACGCTTCTTCGCGCTTTTGAATCGTCTGAAAAAGTCATCCTTGAAGACCGAAATGGAACAAAAGAGATCAATACCTGCTTTTCTTTGAGCCTGTCACTTTTGTACGCCGTCGTGCACTCGTCGAAGAGATGTTGGTCCATTTCCATAAATATCTTTGAAAGTGGTTCAGCCTTGCTCGATCAAACTGACGATAATAAACTCGAGAAGACGCTTGCGACTTTGAGCACTAGAAAAATATTGAAATATTGAAGCCGCAGACGGCTTTTCGAGTTTCTTTGGGAAAGAAGGAGGCTTGAACCCTGTCCTTGAGAGCGTTGTAGATGAGCCCGTGAATAGTCTTGTTCCAGTGAGACTTGGAGTTGCGGTAGAGAGGTGGGAACATTATCGGCAGGATGACCTTAAAATTCAAGATGAGTATCAGCTGCAATTAGGTCGAAGTAGATAACTATCAAAACGCCCAGATGTGAGAAGACCAGAAGAGGGCGCAAAATACGGATGTATGATATAAAGGGGATTTCTGCAAGAAATATTACAAAACACTCAAAATGAGACTGAATGGTTTTTACCGCAACTTAACCTAACTTTACTATACTTGTAATTCTTTCAAAATATCCTTAACAATACCGTATTGTCCAAACGAAAACTGACCTTTGTATGATCCTGTACCAAGTTAATAAAGTACTCATTGTTCCAGTAATACAGTGCTCGTTCAGCAACCTAAAACATCGTCTGAATGAGCTCTAGTTGTCTTCCTCGAACCTGGAAATGCGGCGAAGCAACGCAACGGGCAAGCTGAGTAAAGAGAGGTCGCATGATCTTCGCGAATTCTTCGTGTTCGATAACGTCCAAGATTTCTTCGAGCTCGTTGAGGAACATAACTTCTTTGGGCGAGTGCGTCTTTGGCCAGAATTTGAGCAGTCCGTCGATCACTGAAAGAGATGGTAAGAATCGTAGAAATCGTGAAGTCGCAAACGGCTTCTTGATTAATTTACCTGGAGATGTAAGAGACGGATCTTTTTCAAGGAACTGGACAACGCAGTAAGCCAACTGTGGATGATAAACCGAGAGCGATTTGAGCTTGTGAAGTGGGAGAAGCACCTTCAGCAAGAAAATCTAAAGCAAGGGTCAGAAAAGAGCTGCGTTTGAATAAGCTACCTTGTGTTCTTCCTTGAGTGGCAGAGCAAAGCCGTTGATGATCGATCCGAGAATTTCGAGGAGCTCGGCGACGCCATTGTGGCGCTCAGTTTCGTAGACAAAGCGGTAGAAAATGTTGTTGATCTGTTTTTAGGTTCTTTTGTATCTTTTTACAGCTTTTTTTCTGCAAAAATCACGTTTACTCTTTCTTTTTAATCCTTTTTGAAGGCTAAGAGGCTGTTCTTAAAGCTTCAAGATGTCTAAAATAAAATCCCTCGTCTAGCAGTACCCTTGAAACCCGAGACTAGGCAGATTAAACTCTAGTTGAATCGTTTAACTGCTCAGTCAAGAATTCGATGTCTAAATATACAGTCGAAAAGCCGCTCGCTGCGAAATTAAGACCCGCGAAGCGCGGCTTTTATCATTAATATCTCGAATTCTGCGATTAAATTCCAGAAGAACCGTTCCTGTCGTCTGATATAAGCTCTGAGATTGAGGAACTTGCCATAAATTCGATGAAGCGTCGTTTTCAAGAGATCTCGCTCGCGGGGATCCTCGGAGTCGAAGAGTTCGAGCAGCTGGACGACGAACCGCTGGTCGATGTATTTCTTAGCAACCGTCGGCTTGAAATCGGGCGACTCAAGGAAACGGAGGAAGAACTCGTAGACGAGCTGAAGATGCGGCCAGGAGGCTTCGAGGGTTGGCTCGTCTTCTTCTGGGTCAAATTCGGCGCCGTTTGGGCTGGTTGTTGGAGGCAGGGAGCGGAAGGTGTTGACTGCGAACATTTCAATGGCGACGGGGAAGATATTCTCTGAGATGACGCCCCTGTTGACGGCGACGTAGTCGACCATTTCGTTGAGCGCGCCTCGTTTCACCTCTTTCCATTTCAAGTCGGACAAGGGATCGGCGATGAAGTCGAACAGCGTGCAGCACTGCTTCAGCTTCTTGATGAACAGTTCTTCTGTTTCAGAAGGCTGAAAGGCAAAAGTAAGAAGAAAAAACAGGAATTCTTCTGTTTGACAACCGAGAAGCCGCTTAAACTTATACCAGGTAAGATATAACAGTGTGTTCTAGAGGCTGCTAGCGGCTTCTTGATTGATCATAATTACTCAGGAGGAAAAATGGAAGGGAGCTTACGATTGTGTCTTTGAGAGCTGGAAGTCTGGTGAGCTCGCGGTTTTTGGTGATGTTGAATCGAGACGAGCTCTGGCGTTTCGTGTTTTCTTTCTTCACCAGAGGTGCGTTGTCGTACATAGCCTTGGAGACCATGGATTTGGGGGGCTCGTCCTAAAAGAACTTAGGAACACATAATTTTAGCACAAGTTCAAATAGTAGATTCTGAATTATTTGGTTACATTTATGATGATTCTTATATATAGGCAATTTTAATTATTGAATAACACTAGTATTTTAAAATTGTTTATAAGATTTACCGTTCGTTTTCCCATTTTCAGCTCAAATTAATTTCTAAAAGTACAAATTTGTCGATTTCTCTTTCGGAGTAAAGAAGGAATGCAAATCAAACTGAAATAGTGAGGGCTCTAGAAAGAGACTAAGGAGATGGCAGATAAATTTGAGGAGCTTCGCCGTTCGTTCTCTTCTGCAGATCTTGGAGCAACTATTCGATAAAGCGCGCTGATTGGAGGAGAGCGCCCTACGCGACGCTCGATCCAGAAAAAAGAGCTAAAAAGGCCCAATTTTCCCGAAACCCCAATTTGCTGAAATTGCGCGAAAGAATCATTTTTGATTTATTACAAGTTGAAACTTAATAATGACTAATAACACTTGAACTCTCTTGAACATTTTCATGATTTTTTTCTAATAAGAGTTTATTTCAAAGCTTTTTTCTTTTCAATGATCTTCTTGGTTGTAAACTCCCCGGTGAGTGAACCGGAGAAATCTGACGACAGTGGTTGTGCGGCGATTTTGATCAGGCCCTAGAAAAACAGGCCAGCAATAGCGAGTGTGATCGGGACTTGGCTTCACTCGATGAAGGACGGCTGAAGTTTATATTGTCAGTTTCGACTTCGGGAAACAAAAGGTCACCTTTAACTTTTCCGTCCAAAAGATTTTCCATCATCTTTCCAATATTGACAGAAAGGCAGCCTTCAATTTCCTCTTCTACTGGATACCAGACGTCTTTGTACTAAATCAGAGTTGCAAATTTGCTTCAAGGTTTGAGTCAGAAAAAAAACTCGTAAAATTTGCAACCCTGAAATATATATCCAAATCCCCGCCAGCCCCCTTTAGAATCGTTATCATTGAGTTATCCCGGTGAGCATCAATGCCCAACTTGTCAACTGGAGTTTTCTCGTTGAAAAGAGCATCCATAATCGCCCTTTTCGGATCAATTTCATTCAACAAAGAACCGGTAGGTAGATCAAGAACCTCTTCGCATTTCTCAAGTAGAAAGAGACCCAAAGTGCAAATCTCATCGAAATAATCGTGGAAGACATTGTCGATTTCGCTACCGTTCAGTTCGATTGATCCATCGTTCCTGAAAAAGATGATGAATAAAAGTTTTCTGCAGTATATGATATACTGTAAATCTACTAATGGTGAATTCAGAAATGGTTTCTCATTGAAAACAGAGCCCTCGGTCTTCAACTTCCCGTCAAACTCCTTTACTTTGTTCCTTTCTTCCGATGTTGTGTTGTAAAAATTCTCAGAAAGATGCTCCAATCTATCGCTTAGATCTTTCGGGACGTCGTGATTTTTGACGAAGAAGAAGCCAACATCTGTGATAGCCGCTAGAAAAGCTTTGGTCGTCTCTTCATCTCTGTTTTTGAGGAGCTGAAAATCAATCCTTGGTATTGTAAAAGTGAGTTTTTCCGGCATTTTCGCTTTGAACAATATCTTTTCTGAGCTTGGTTAAATGGTGATATTTCACGAAATTAATTTCCTGTTTAATTCATTTCCGGTGTATTTATCAAGATTTGCAAAAATTTTGCGGCACAAACTCGGGGAAGGTTAAATCGCACTTTTTGATAAAAAAATTCCTAAAAAATGATGATTTCAAATGATGAATCTTCAATGAACAACGAATAATGATCAAGTACTCTCGTCCTCACTTAATTCTTGTAATACTTGAGCGTCAATAAGAGTTCCGGCTGATTAGAAATTCGGGAATTGGTCAAAAGTTCATTGCATAAGCTGTCGTTTCCTGATGGATATTTATTCATTGGCCACAGATTCGATGAGAGATTTCTTTTCAAGATGTTCAATTTATCTAATAATCTTTTCCCTTACGATTTTATTCATTTTTTGGAATCAACAGAAAGTGATTTTGGACAATTTTTCGTTCGATGAAAATGACCAATTTTGCGGAGAACCATCAAAGTTATCAATGCCTAAAGAAAACGACAAGATATTAATTCCTATTCTCGACTGGGGACCAAACAATCAACTGCAGGCTTTTCTTGAAGCAGTGTTCATCGCGAGTTCTTTGGGGAGAAAAATTGCTGAACCGGTTTTTCATCCTCACTTCACCCAAAAAGGAGCAAATGACCTGAGGCCTGATGCTCGTTTTGATGTTGAGTTCTTTCTGCAGAAATTTGAGATGATAGGGAAAGTTCTTCAAGATAAATTATCTTAGATCTTAGATAATGAAATGAGAAAGGAAACACTTATTTTTGAGAACAAAGTAAGAGGCATCAGTAGTTGGTGATTTCTGTGGCGGGTCTGTCCGGACGATGCTCTTCACGAAAAGCTACGGGTATGAGAAAAAGAAGAAAACGAAAATTCTAGAATGGGCAAATCTTGCATCCTACTATGGTGAGCGAGAAAGACCAGAAAACTGTATTTTCTTTGAGAAATTCAGTCTTTAATTTTCCGAACGAGACCGAGTAATTATTTAAAGATGCAAAAAACAACTGATCGAAGGGCTGGAAAATTTTTGACAATTATCAATGAACATGCCCTTATAAGTTTCAATGATAAAATCATGTTCAATTGAAGGCTATTGAAGATAAGCGTTGTAACGAGCCCTTCTTTTCAGGGCTGTTTATGAACCTAACGGACAATATTATCCCGAAACAACTTCCAGTTGTCGATGCGATCAATGAAACAATTATCCAAGAGCTTTACGACACGGATGAAAATTGCGTTTTGCTGGAAAATCCTTGGGGTTCAATCAGCCCCGTAAAAATTGTCAACTTCCTTAGTGGAAACAATAAGGACATGGGCTCACAAAAGATTTCTTTTACTTTGAGATTCATCAAAGAGCCCGAAAAGATCATTCATACGAAAAAATCGTCGAAATAATCTCCCAAACCCGCCGCCCAAAATTTATTCGGCAAATCGCTCAGGATTTCATGCGAAAAACCATGCCCGGAAAAACTCTTCTATTTCACTGGCGATATGACAAGTGGGACTATCTCAACAACCCTGGAGTCCACGATAAGAAGAATTCTTCGATGAAATTCATCGATCAGATTCGGAACGATCCGCGGCTTCTAGCGAAAAGACTGTCGATGATTTCTGAAGAAAATGCGATCGAATACATATATTTCGCTTCTCCTCGAAACGATTGGCCATTCATCAAGAAAATAACAGCTGGACTTCGTGGCGTTGAATTTGTTAAAGCATCTTCGCTCGAGACATTTGTCAAGAAAACGGTCTTTTCCTGTCCCGATTTTTGCGGGAATTTTGACGATTACTTCTCTCAAATCGAGCAGGAACTCGCCCGACTTTCTGACATCTTCATCTATTCTTGCTTCAGCTCATGGAGCTCAAATGTCTTGATCGATCGTCTGATCGACGGAAAGAATGAAAATTACAATAACATCCAAATCATCGCTGAAATCAACGAAGAAAACTACAGTTCGTCCTGCCTGCCCTTTTTTCACAGCTCAAAAAAGAAACTTCAAAACTAGAGTTTTTTTTATATAAAAAAGCAAACCACCAGTCGCATATATTTCAATCACACCAGATCTAGATACAGTAAGATAGTAAAACATAAAATAATTTTAAAAACTACATTTTGACTTTCAAATTTTGAAATTTTCGCAGGAAGCAAATTCATAAATAATTATTTCATGCAGCCATTTTCTTTTTAGTAGGAAAAGTAAACGGATGAGAATGAAGAGTCGAAGATAGAACCTGAAAATAAAATTAACCCTTTTGTCTTCTCTCAGACCTCGGCCACCTGAGAAGAAAACCTGAGTAAGGGCCTCAAAACGGCTTCCCATAGAGACTTGTCAGACCCTGACTCAGGTTTTCTTTTAAGGTTTCCGACCCTAGACTTGTTATCTCAAGGAATTACCGTCGTATAAAACCATTGGTTGACAAGTAAACGGCAAGTCTGGTCGAAAATCGTCTCCAGCACATTCCAACTCGTTCCCATCCCTATCTCTTCCGCATAAATCTACTCCAGCTTCGACTTCTTTCGAGCAAGTATCTCCTGTTTTGAGGAGACATACGTCCAAGCAGAAGAATACATCCTTTGTTAGCTCGTATCCGTCGCCGCAAATTCGCTCTGGCTCGCCAATTTCGTTGATTTTGAAGTTGCTCAAGGTCTAGCGCCAAATTTAAGAATCGAGTTGATTAAGGATACCCTACCTCTTTGTCTTTTCGCTTGATTCCTCTGATTATTTCTGATTTTTTTCTGTCACAAACAGTTCTCCCTCGAGAATGGGGAGAGCCAAGAATTCCGCTCAGAAGAGCAAGAATTATCGCTATTTTCGCCATTATTCCAATTTTTGTTTGATTCGATCTATTGTTGTTTTTGATCCTTTCGTGTTTGAATGTTGCTTTTTTCGTTGGTTCTTGTTGATTCTGTTTTGTTGGTCGTTTTTTCTGAGTTGAGTTGATGCTAGTCTATACGAATCCTCTTCTTTTTGAAACTAAAAAAATTGTTAGTAGTTTGTTTTTTCACAAGAAATAACCGTTTGGAGATGACTTTTTGGTTGATTTAAATAATATTTCTTTTAAATAAATATTTAAGTTATAATTTTTAGATCCGAAAACGAGCTTTTATAACCACCCGTTCCCGGAAAAAGAGCGTCGCTCGAGATCTGAGAACCGGTTTTTTCCAGAAAAACTCGCGGGCAATTTTCCGGGAGAGAGTGACTGTACAATCATACGGTAATATTACGCACTTTGGGTCAATTATGTAGATTTGCGCTCATCAGAAATAAACCTGAGGCAAAAAATGCTGAAGATATGATGATCTGCTGCAACTCTCTCACAGTGAGTTTTTAAACAGCGCGCGCAAAAAAGTTGGCGGTTAGATTTTGCTCTCTGGCGACATCGCCGTAGTGGAAATTTCCATTCAAAATCAACGATGTTCTAGAAAAAACCTATTTTAAACCGGATAAATAACTCGAAGCCGCTTGCGGCTTAAAAAATATGATCAATTTTTTGCTCAAGAAGCCGCATGCGGCTCAAAATTTCAGAAAATTTCTTGTTGTTTTTCTTACCTTATAGAATTAGATCTTATTCGTTGAAGTCTTTCTTCCAATGCAAAAGCAAACGCCATCTTGACCCTTTTTAAAAAAGCCCTTTTGAAATCTCTAGAATGCCTTCATTTTGAAAAATTCGAAAATTTTCCAAAAATAAGTTGACAAAACGAAATGCGCAGTCGTAAGCCTCTCGAGAAAAATTTCCACGTGACGCGAGGCCCAGAGGCGATAATGACTCAATAGAGTGGAAAAATTTCAACATCTGTCAGGGTGCCAAAACTGACAAAGAAGTTCAGACTCTGTTTAATTTGCCAAAAACGCAATGAAAAAATATCTTCTTGGGAAAATTCTGTCGATACAAAAATTGGAAGAATTAATCTTGAAGATGAAGTGCTCTTGAAATCTTCTCCGTTTATCTTTCTATTTGAATTTCCGCATTTTGAAAACTTTTTAAATTAAAAATCATGTCTTCAAAAATCTGGAAAAAGGTGAAAAATAGAGTTCGTCAGTGGTCGGCAAAAGTTGGCTTGAGAAAATTGACCACAGACTCAAATCAAGGAATAAGCAAGGTTCTCCATTTCACCACTGATTTCTCCATTTTTCCATTGAGAACTTTGTGAAAGAGATTATCCAGGAGCTCTATTCGCGACGGTTTCTCCGCTAAAATCAGAGGGTGTCGACGAGATGACGGACTTTTCAGAGCTCACGGAATTGATTCTCAGGGAATTTCACGGCCAAAAAGTAAGGTTTCATGAAAGGAATGGCGCGGGAGAGAATTTTTAGCTTGAAGATCTGAAAAACTCCTGGAAAGCTGCGGATAAAGACAACAAGGGAATTAGCTGCAGGACATTTCACAAGCTTTTAGCTAGGAACGGCTTCAATTTTTTTTCTTAAGGGTGTCAACATCGATTTTCAAGCCAAAGAGCCACGCAACTTTACCTCCAACAATCGGGGACCAACAAGTCAAGTCCTTCAGTTATCTCCTCACAAACGGTGTTCGCCAATTTCTTCATTTTTCCGACCTCGCCGGTTTCATAAAATCACGAACTGTCGAACTTGGAATGCCACGATGGCTGAAACGGGATCACACTTTTATCATTTCGGACGAAGATTCGTGGACGAAAGATCGAGCGCTTTCTTTTTTGAGCAGAAATTGGGGGAAATTCAGAGAGCTGCTCGAGAATGAATTTGTGGATGAAGTGATAGAGAAAAGTTCGCTGAGAAAGTTTTTGTTGGAGAAATTTGGGATCTATTTCGGTGACAAAGATTTCGATGAGCTTTGGGATTTCTTGAGCGATGGGCAGCGAATTTCGAGGTTTTCAGGTTTTTCAAATAAGGACTTCAAATTTTTCTAGGACAAATATCGTCTGGAAAAAGCTAAGCAACCATATCAACCCGGGCTCAACTTGTACCTCGATTGATCTTGAGACGAGGGGGCAGAGTTCTCCTGAAGAGGTTGCATCGAAAATCATCACAGAATTGGCTTTAGCAGATCAAATGCTTGTTCGAAGAATTTTTCACGGTTTTGACAAGTTGAAGCGAGGAAAACTTGATTCAAGAAGATTTCATCTGGCGCTTCAGAAACTTGGGATAAAATTGAAAATGAAGGAGCAGCGACTTTTATCACAGTCTGAGGTAATTCATCTTAAAAATTCAGTCGATAACAGCATTGAAGGTATTTGAAAAGGATGAAAAAACCGTCCTCATCGAAAAACTACTCGCTCGTGTTTCAGCTCTGAATCTTATCTCCTGCAAAAGATAGTCAAATAGACCTTCAAATCTTAAATGTTAATTTCTTTTTGACCAAAGATGAAAAATTTCTTTCGCACGCAGAACGTGCCCTTCGTCACGATGGACGACATTTGATATCGTAAGTCCGCGGAGACGCTTGAGCGTTCAGAACGGCCGCGTCCGATGATTGTCTCGGGCCACGTTTTCCGCACCACGCGTTTCGATGGGGGTCATACGCTTCTCGAAAATGATTATAATTATGTTATAAGAAATTATTGAAAATCCAATTTTTTCGTAAGAAAAATCTTTGAGCAAACACATCTTCTCGGAGAATTTGCATAGGAGGTCAAAGGTCGTATGAGAATGTGAACGCCTTTCGATTTTTTTACGATTTCGGCCAAAATCGTAAAGAAAAAATAAACGAGAAGGAAAGAATGCTGAGAAGATTACGCTCGAATATATTTCAAAGATGTCTAAGGGTAGACTCATTTTCTTCAAGTTCCGCAAATCTGGCGCTAGAAATTAATGGAAAAATCGAAAACTTTGACTTTTCGGCCATCTGGCTGCGGTAAAAAAAATCTCTCTCAAAAAGTTTCTAACATAAAATTTTAGTTTTAACTGCCATTGCCCGGATTGCAAACAAGAAGGATCGGGGCAGAAAACAATTTCTCCCTCAGACTGGCCCGAAGAAATAAAGCTAGAATACGCGGCGTTCGAAGGGGACTTTTTCAAATTTCGAATCGAAGGAGAAGATCACGAAGGGATGATTCCTGGTGAGATGCTAAGAAAATATCTCAGGAAAAGTTTTATTTGATCAAAAACTTTTTTGACAAAAACCATAAATGTTGCTAAAATTTTGGGAAAACGATTTTCAAAAATGACCTTAAATTGACTCCCTGAAGGGACCTGGGCGAGCAGCGCTGAGCGAAACTTCACCCGCTCGCCGTTTCTATTAGAAATAAGATTTTTTGAAATTTCTTTTTGTAAATTATATCTTCCAATATTCAGCTTTCTGTTCCGATTCTTAGTTTTTCTCTATCATTTTTGGTTGATGAGCTAGCGAGAAAAAGAGGAGCCCAACTTCAAAAGGCATCAAGTCTTGCAAATTTTATTTTTTCTTCATGAAACTAGCACCATTGATAAGCGCGTTAAATTCTGAATAGATTCCACCCAATCAGCTAAAGTAAATGGGTACTCATTGGCGTGTAAGGCCAGATAAAGAAAACTGCTTAGCGCGCGCAGCTGGTCGCGGCACGGCTGGACGCTCCGATTTAGCTATTTTGGGCTTCCTGGACATGATTCCCGCTGGGCGGGCGCTAAGTTATCTTGTTTATCTGACCTTAAACGTCAATGAGTACCGATTTACTTTAGCTGATTGGGTGGAATCTGTTCAGAATTTAACGCGCTTTTCAATGGTGCTAGTTTCATGAAGAAAAAATAAAGTTTGCAAGACTTGATGCCTTTTGAAGTTGGGCTTCTCTTTTTCTCGCTAGCTCATCAACCAAAAATGATAGAGAAAAACTAAGAATCGGAACAGAAAGCTGAAGATTTGGAGATAAAATTTACAAAAAGAAATTTCAAAAAATCTTATTTCTAACAGAAACGGCGAGCGGGTGAAGTTTCGCTCAGCGCTGCTCGCCCAGGTCTAGACTCTAGAATCTAGAGTATCGAGGTACAAATATCATTTGAGGATCAGGGGCCCTGATTCAGGGCGAAGGCATCCACTTACGGGATCAGATAGATTAGTCCATAAATTATTGGCTATATATATATATAAATATTGAAATTATGCATTCTCAAAAAACTGTCGAAAGAGACGAAAATCTCCGCTTAAATGGCTCGACAAACATGACCTACCACCGATTCCCAAACGACTGGGTGCCTGAAATCGACTTTTCAAAAACTCTCCACGAAGCTGGACAATACGAGTTGACCACAAAAATCGCCACCCATGGATATTGCATCGTCAAGAATTGCTCAACGATGAAAAATGGCGTCCTTGAAGTTGCTAGGAAGATTTCCGAGCCAATTCCTAGCGTTTATGGGCTGACCTTCGACGTCGTCAGCTTGCCGAATCCGAACAATATCGCCTATTCTAGCGCTGGCCTCGATCCGCACATGGATCTGGTTTACTTTGAAAGTCCTCCTGGGCTTCAGTACCTGCTCTGTAGGAGAAACGATCATGTTGTAAAAGGTAATCTGACGCAAAATCATTCAGAACAAATAATTTCTCAAGGCGGCGAGTCAACTTTGATCGACGCGTTCGAAGTCGCTGAGCATGTAAAACGAGCTTACCCGGATGATTTCGAAATTTTGTCGACAGTTCCCGTTCGATTCCAGAAAATTCACTGGGAGCGCGAAAACCCGGTTTACCTCGAGTGGGAGCAACCTCATATTGTGTTAGATTCCAGTGGCGATATTTCCAGGTAGAAAATTAATGAAAAAACAAGGAGGAGAAAGTTTTAAGGGTGAACTGGGCACCTAGTTTTGAGGGGGTTTCTGACAGTAACTCAATGACGGATCAGTATTTGAAGGCCTACAGAAGGTTTTTGAAGGAAATAGAAGGGTCAAAAACGAGTATGGTTCGAAGACTGGAGCCAGGAGAATGCCTTGGTAGGATGACAAGTTCTATCTCGTCAAAAGGGTCGTTGTTTTAGTTTTTAATAACCGACGGATGCTGCATGGAAGAAAGGAGTTTCAGCTCAATGGAGGAGTCCGCCATCTTGAAGGTTGATCGAAATTAATTGAAATGATAGCCAATGCTTTTTTAGGAACCTATACGAATATTTGCGAATTTCGTTCTAGAGCTCAAGTTCTAGAATGCCTTCAAGGCTGTGGAAAACTCATTCAAAAAGTCGGAAATTCAAACGCCATCTGAATTTATTTTTTTAAATGAAACAGAATACAATGATTTCTTGGCAAAAGTCTATTTTTTTTCTTGCTTTTCTTGAGAAAATTTGAATGTCAAGGATGCAGGACTAAATGAGTTCAGGGGAATTCAAAAACACTTCATTTATTTTTCCATGGAATGACGATAAGAGTGACTGTTTTTATCGCAGAAATAAAAGTTTCATAGTTTGTCAAATTGCAGGTTATAGAGTTTTAGTTCATATTTTACGTTTTTCTTGCGTAACTTTCGGAAAATGCAGTTTTGCAACAATTTCAAGGTGAATTCAAGGTGACCGAGCCGAAAATACAAATTTGGTAATTGAAATAAAAAAAATCTACAAACTCAAGGTTGAGGAGTTCGGGTCCGAACTTCGGGATGTTTAAATCCCTGTCGGGTCCCAGTTTGACGGAGCAGGAGAAGGGATTTTCGGGAGTGGGTCTATCAACTTCGCTATCGATTTAAAAAAAATTCAGAAGAAAAGATTCTGATTCTGACGATTTTTGAGTAAAACAATTTATGGAAGTGTATTCTTTGATTACCAATAAGATTGCTGTATTTGGTTTACCGACCAATCAAAATAATAAAAAGATAAAATCACTTCAATAACTTGATCCCCTTACCCTTACCTAATTTGTAATTGAAGTTGATGTTTTATAATATTGTTTTTCGCCATAGTTTATTGGCAAGCTTTCGGCATTTCGCCATCATCCCGTTTCTTCATCCCGTTTCTCGTCCCGTTTCACCTGGCCTGATGATGGCGAAATGCCGAAAGCTTGCCAATAACCTAACCTAATTGTTAGGTTAACAAGTTTCTTGATCAAACTTTTATCATTCTTCTTACGTTTTTCTTACGTTGGTCTTTTATATTGTTAACCCCTGCAATTTCTGCTAGATTGAACTCAACTGCGCTCTGATCGTTATGCTGTTGATACGCAAATGTCAAGACAAAATCGAAGTTATTTAAACCAGGTTAACCATGGACATTCTCAGTTGAAAATTTTCACTCACAAGAAAATGGTATCGTTTTTAAGAAAGGCCCTTCTGCTTGGCCTAGCATTTGCTGACGATCAAGCTTCTTATACTGAAGATGCTGGAGGTCTGTTTAGGACGATGCAGGAGCATCCTGAACGTGTAAAATTGGACAAAATTGATGGAGAGGTCCCGAGCTGGCTGAAAGGATCAATGTTCCGAAACGGACCCGGACAATACGAATACGGACAGGATCACTTCAAGCATATTTTCGATCCCTCGGCGATCATCCAAAAGATTGAGTTTGACAATGGAGATGTTCATTATCAGGTAATCTTCAAATAAAAAATTTCTACATTTGCCGATGATTTTTCGATTTGGCTTAAAACTTTCATTCAAGAGCAAATACATCGAGTCCACTCATCGCCTCGCCAATGTCGAAAAAGACGCCATCGTCTACACCGAAATGGGCACCTGGGCAGAGCCGGAAGGCTGTGAAGATCTCGCCGACGAAGAACTTTCAAAAGCCCGATGCTACCATCTCTACGAATCCTTCCCCTCAGATAACACGATCGTCTCGCTCTACCCGATCCACGGCTGGATGGTCGGCTTCACTGAGTCCCGAATGATCACTCTCAACGATCCTGTTACTTTGGAAACAAAACACATTTTGGACTTGGGCGATGTCAAACCAGAGGGCTACTTCATTGTCACTGTTCTTGCCCATGGTTCTCTCGATGCCAACGGAGATTTCTGGACGATGAGCGTAGGAGTCTACAACGAACCCTTTGCGTTTGTCCCAAAAAGTAAGAAAAAAAACATCAAAGAAGCTAGCATGAGTTTTTAGCCGCATATGGAACGCTGAAGATCAAAAACGCTGTTCGTGATGTTGAAAACCCCTTTGCCTACCAAGCAACTCCGGAAGAATTTCTCGCATCTGTCGAATTCGGCGACTTTTTGTACAATGAAGATGAGCGAGACAAGACCGTCAGATACTTCCACATGTTCGTCCAGACCACCGACTTCCTCGTCCTCCCAGTAACAAGGTAGATATTTGCCTAAAGAATAAAATAAAATACCCATTTTTCAGCATTGAACTCGACCCATTCAAAATGGCCGATGCGTGTAAAGCAGGAGAGCCACCGATGGACATGATGTTTTACAACGAAGAAAAGCCCGGATACTTCAAAATCTTCGACAAGAAAAACATGAGGTGGTTCCCTAAGACGTTTTCAACAGAGGCCTTCATGCAGATTCACATGATTCAAGCTTACCAAGATGGGGATAAAATCATCTTGGATACTTGCGAAACTCCCAAGGGGGATATCATGATGGGTAAGAGATAAATTTCAAAGCGAAACCTAACAATATTCAGCATATTACCTGGATACAGTCAACGCTACTGGCCAAGCGCTCCAAGAAGTCCATGAAAGCATGCTCCCAATTGGCATTCCCGTTAGATACGAATTTGGCATGGACGGTTTGATGGCCAAATCGGACGAATACGTCGAGCCAACTGTACGTCACGAAAAAATAGACAGTGATAAACCATTACTTTAGGTCCTATACGAGCCTGACATGGTCAATTGGCCAATGTACACCGCCGCTGGAACTGACTTCCCAATGATCAATTTCGATTACGTCGGGGTAAAGTACGATCACTTTTGGTCCGTTGGAATGGGCAATATCATGGCCGACAGGCTTTATCACTCGCAAATATCAACCAAGGAACGATTCGTTTGGAGAGAGGTCCGCTATTTTTCATCTTCTTTAACCCTCATTTATTAAATTTCAGGCTGGTTACTCCCCATCCGAGCCCTTCTTCGTCTCCCGCCCTGGTGCCGAATCCGAAACCGACGGTGTCCTACTCTCTCTTGTTTCGGCCTTCGAAGGACATTCTGATCTTCGACCGTTCATGCTGATTCTAGAGCCAGTTGAAATGACAGAGATCGCTAGAATTTGGCTTCCAGATGATTATGATATTTCTGTCTCTTTCCACGGCACTTTTGTTAAACACCAAGAAACTTTTTTATAAACAATAAAAAACGATCTTTTCTAGCCTCTTGAAACCTCGTTCCATTTTAACAAACGACTTCCTAGTACAAAACAATTCCCAATTTAGCATTTATCCGGCTTGACGCGCGCTCAATAAATAATGAATTCATGGTACGGATCCGTTAATCACGCACAAATAACAGGACCAAACGACGCTTTATAGACAGATTATAAATTTGTTTTTTGGAAATAAAAAGGCAAGTAAAGAGAGTCATAGGAAAAATAAGGAAAAAAAATGAAGTTGTTGAAAATTTTATTTGCAGCGGGAGTTTCGGCTCAGCATTGGAGCTTTGGTTTCAACCCAAGTAAGATTTCCAAGCCAGGCTTTTTTCCTGGTGAGAGAAACCTGTGCAAAAAATCTGAGTCAGGCTTTGAAGGATCGCAAAAGCGTAGTTCAACTTTGTTCAAAGCGATCATTTAGAGCCTGAGTCAGATTTATTCCACAGGTTGCCGAGCAAAGCCCCTTTTTATATCTCCTTTTAGGTGGCAAGAAAAGATCTCCTGAGATCGCTGAAATGGATCCCGAGTACGGCCCGATGTCAGACTACTTAACAAAACGCTACGCATCCCCAATGCCCCTCGACTACTCTAAATTCCTGAGCTCTCTTTTACGTAAGCCGATTTTTCGCGCAAAAGTTCAACTACTGGTAACTAGACTTTCTTTCAGCTCAACACCGACCATCTCAATTCGTTCGCCGAGACGATCTCGAGTAACAAGACATCAATACATCCGCGAATAAGAAAAATAAGATTCTCTCAGATTCTACCCTTGCATGGCTGTTTTTCTTATTTGTGTTCTGAAAAAAATAAAGAAACATCAAAAAAAAATCTCGCGAAAAAGTCTCTAGATTTATTTTCCCTCAGAAAGAAAAAGCTCATTTCGAGCACTTGGAGATACAAGCAGGAAAAGAGAGAAAATGCCAAGACAGAGAATGTGCAAATCAATCGCAGAGCAAGCGACTATCGAAGTGCAAAAAAATGAAACCTACCACAGATCAAGGTAGGCTCTTTCTAACTTTTTTACTTATTTTCGCGAAGATTAATTCGCTCAACACGAAAATTTCTCTTCTATCGCGCCGCATTGTCAACTTACTTCTTGATCTGGTTCATCACTCAGAACACAGCCGTGGAATTGCCCAAGCATTATATTTACTTGACCACGTGGGGCGAGACCCTGCTCAATATCTACTTTACATCCGCTTTCGGCTTGAGCATTTATTTCTATATCTTCCGAGAGGTACCTTCAATTTCTTCATTTTTCACGCAATAAACTTCGTATTCAAGGAAGTAGAGAGGCCCCAAAAAGGAATGGTAAAGATAACAATGTGGATTTGCGAGCTATTTCGGATTTTCAGCTGGGATGTTGGGATAATGCTCTCTCTTGCTTACTGGGTGAGTCTTTTTTCTTCTCAGAAAATCTAGAATTTTCTTATAGATTCTTCTTCGGACAGATCTGAACGCATATTCCTGGCATTGTCATCTCATCAACTCTGTTTCAATCATTGTTGACCTAGTCGTGACCGACACACAAGGTACTAACCTCATCAGAATTTTCCAAAATAACCGGCCTTTTTAGTGAAGCTTTATCAATTTATTTGGACGATCGGGATCGGCTGCTGCTTTTTGATCCACTCGTTGATGCTGTATTTCGTCTCTGATCGCGTTGATTATCAGATAATTTACGAAGAGACGTTGGATTGGGGGAACTATCCACAGCGATCGCTGCTGCTGGCAATCGTTGTTCTTCTTTTTGCTATTCCTCTAGGAAAGGTTTCAATTTTCAGACTTCTTATTCAAGTCGTTCTCGTTTCGAAACCTTTGAAAAGTCCATTTGATGGTCTACTACATTCAACGAAAGCGCGACAAGATGCTCGACCGAAGCGGTTTCAAACATCTGATCCCTCCACAAATCACGATTTCCAACCACACTCACGATGCCGATGGAGTTTCTTTTTCTGAAATATCCTTTTCCATGCCTCAATAGTCCTCACATCTTTTGCCACACATTTTTTCCATCAATAAATTCACCACTAAAAACACGCCAAATATTTTCGTCAAAATTTGTAGGAAGCAAGAGTTATGGATAATTTGAAATGAACCTTGACCAGCTTGATCATATAAAATATATTAGTCTCATTAATTTTAATCTCGTTTTGGCGGCCAGACTAAATGTTTATGGAGGCAACATGTTGAATATAAATCAAAATAATCTACTAGAACCCGACCCTATTTTCCCCCTGCGCTCTGTTTTCCTCCTGAAACTCTTATTCTCAGCCTTTTTTCTGAGCTAATAATTGGTCATTTAATTTTCTGGGAAAGTCGATAAATAATTTTGTCCCTGCGTCATGAATCTGCTAGCTTTGGAAAGGTCAGCAATTCTGAGTTGAAGCTGTTCTAGTTGAATTTAACGACTTGAGGTTTTGAGAATATAAAATTTCGTGTTATAATACTTTCCTCTACCGATCTTAAACTAGCCGCTTGCCAGATATTATATCTGAGATTTACCTATTAGAGAAAAAAAATTATCAAATATTTGTTTATGAGATTGCTCGTTTTAATACAAAAGATATGTTTTTCGGCGCTTGTGATGCAACTGACCCCGGAAGAAATTTGGGAAAGAATTCGATACGCTCCAAGCTAGGGTCGGTAAAATCAATTGTCGGGGTTAGGGTTAGCCTGGTTAGGATCAAGGGAAAATTTTGCCCACCCTAGGTTCTTAGAAATAATCTCGAGTTTTATTGCGACTATGAAGAAGCCACCATTTCGATTCTAGAGCAATTTGGAACTTTCAAAGGCGATTTTATTCTGTACTTTCCGAGCTATTCTGGTTCTCCCGAGCCGAACAGATGTTTGATTTCTCCTGAAAAAGAGCTGATCAGTAAATTTAACTGCCTGAACGAAAAGATAAAGAGTTTTTATGACAAAACACTGGTTAAATATGGCAAAAACTGCTTCTTTGGAACTCAAGCTTTGACAGATGCCGTGGCGAATATTGATGATAGGGGCAAAGATCTTATCACCAATTCAGCCGTTTCAAAACGGGGCTCAAATGACTTAATCAAATTAAAAAAAAAATATATTTTTTCTAATTTTGATTTTTGAGCCCCAATTCTGTCTGCTCTCGGCGTAGTCCTTGCCGATCAAAACATCAAAGACAACGACCTTTTCGACAAAAACAACGACGTCAACGACGAAACCGCTCAACAAGAACTTGTCAATATTTTCTCAACTTTGATTGAACAAAAACAGCAGCAGAAAATCTTCAATACGATTTCTTCCAGCGGCAATACAATCACCTTGGATTTGTGATTCAAAGAAAACGACAAAGTGCATACGAATATTCCGCTTCTTCTGACGAATATCAAGTCGACACCTGATGTTATTCAGGGACACGGGATGGAGAAGAGCATCAATATTATTGTAAATCCTGTAACGGACAACATGGAAATTACCCTTTCAAACGTAGACGAGGTCTGGATGAAGACTTATTTGAAATTCTTCTTCATTTACGTCGATGACATCCGACTCGAATCCGAGCTGGAGAAACTTGGAGAAGAGCGAGCAGAAAGCGTGACAGTCATTGCCGAGCTGACGAAAGAAGACTGTCTCGCAGCGGAAGAAAAGGCCAGCGAAAGTCTCGCGGATCGACAGGACTTGAGAAACGTCAACTTGCCAATTTTGCATTCGAAGATTTTCTACTACCCCGACGAGCTGGCGGCTTTTGATGATGATGAACGACAGGATCTTCTTGAACAAAATAAGAAATTGATGAAGTATTTTATTGAGCTTCTCACCAATGCTATAAAAGACGCCTTTAACGGGCTACAAATCAATAATATTGAATATACAGGGCTTCGACAATCCAAGCCGACTTTCTCTAATAAGGGATACTCGGAGAATTATGGTAAAGGTCAGGTTTCTGATATCGTCATAACACTCTACTCCGATACTGAAACTGCCGACTTCGAGGGACTCTTCAACAAAACCGTTAACTCCTTCGGACCCGTGATGGACAAGTTTATCGCTGAAAACAACATCACTTTTATCAAACAAGAAGACGAAATACAACATAAAATTCTACAAATAAACCAACCACAAAGAACAAGACGTAGCGCGCCAGCAATTGATCGGAAGTTTAAAGGTTAGAAATCAAGTCTATCGTTATTCTTTATTGTTATAGCAACTGCGATTAAATTTACGGAACCGCAAACGAAAAGAAAGTATGACGGGATCAAAAATGGATTGATAGCGGTGGTGACATTTATGACGTTCATGTCGGTTTTGACGCTCTACGCGCAGCAGACCTTTCAGCCGCATTGGTGGAAGCTTCTCAAGGTTCGATCATCCAAATTTCTTAATAAAAATTATTTCAGCTCGTCATTCTAATCGTTGGACTGTACACAAACTACAACAAGCTCAACGTCGCCATTTCCTACGGCACATCTGACGGCCTTCTCTACCAGCCCAACATCTTCGTTCAAGGGTATTTCTTCGCGAACCCTTTTCTCGGCCTCTTCGCCCTGGCAGTCAAGTGGGTGGTCGTTTTAACCTTCGAAAGCAAGGGAGCCCCGATTATGGTTCTTTTTCCGTTGACGATGTGTATTGTTGTTTTGCAAAGTTTGACGCTGGAGATTCCTCATTTATTCGTCACCTACTTCTATATGACGAGATTTAAGCCGCCAAACTTCGACATCCGTATTTCAGGAAAGAGCTTATCTAGAAAAATGCTTTAGAAATCGATAAAAAGAAGCTCTAAAAAGCTGTCATCGATGTTGTTCTTCAAGTAGTTCTTGCATTGTTCATCGCATTCTCGCAGATTTATGAGTTCCGTAAATTTGTGGGTACTATTGGTAAAGACAAAATAGGAATCGAAAGAAGAAGGTATAGAAGACGGCATTTCATCATCGGAGGTTGCGCTATTTTTCCATTTCTAGCGTTTATTCCTACGATGAAGTTTTTAGCAACTTTTCAAACTATGGTCGCAACAGGGAAGGGATCGAAATTAAGCCAGTTGTTGCGAAGTTTTTTCGGTAAGATCCTCAAAATTGAGTGATAAACGAGCTAGAATGGACCTCCTACGACCCAAAAGCCCTAAAAATCGACGGAATTCTCGACAATGGTGACATGGAATTCCTTGCACGAAACAACAGCTACGGTGAACAAAAACGAAACATCTCCGATTTGGGGAACTTTGTCAGAAAGACTTTCAATACGACTCTTTACCGACCGCGGGCGAACAAATGCGTCTTGACAGAAATTGGCGACGATTATAAAACATCTTCTTATCCAGATCCTTTTTCGGCAAATTGTTTGAATGATACGGAGAACTCTTTTATGACATTTTCGCTTATGGGAATTTGGACAATTTTGAGCTTTTTCGTTTTTCTTCGATACAGCTGGCCTTTTGTTTTGGAATGGCACGGGAAAGAGAACTTCTTGCCCTTCATTTGCGGCGATAGAAGAGGAAATAAACGAACAATCGGCACAAATGTGGCCGAAAGCGATATACAGAGGTCTTTCATCAGGATGGAAAACCTCGGAGTTTTGGAAAGAATTTGGTTCGAAGTGAAAAAAGTGACAGTCGAGGACTTGCCGGAAAATGAACGGCAAATTGGTAAAAGAATCGCCGAACGAGAAATCTACGAAAACAAAGCAAATATTTTTTGGGAAACTTTCGACAGTCTTCAGAAAAAAGAAAAGAAACCGAGTTATTTTTGGTCGTTTCTTGAGATTCTTAGGGAAAACATCGATGAAAATTTTTCTGGTACTTTTCGTCAAATACCGCTAAGACGAAAGTTCAAAAAGTACGAAGAGATTGAGGAAGAACAAGTCGATTCTTCGCACCTTATACCTCTCGAATATATCGCGAAAAGGTAAAAACCCTTACACTAACCCTAAGAGTCACGCTAACTTGCCCAAGACGCTAACTTCCCCAGACGCTAACTTCCCCAAAACACTTACTTGCCCAACCTTGTGGAAGTTAGCGTCTGGGCAAGTTAGCGTCTTGGCAAGTTAGCGTCAAAGTTGCCGGTTATAAAAAATAATTTTTTTTTCTCGAAATTTTTATATCGAACACTGAAAACAGTATTCAGAAAGTATAGGAGCCATTATTTTTAAGTTATTTAGACAGATGTTTGAGAATTCAGGCATTTTTTGGGATAAATGTTCTAATAATAACGCTTCGAAATAATCAAAAATATTTAATTTCAAATAATAAGAGCTTAGAAATTTTGAAATCGACTGTCGAAATGAGTGTACTCTCGGAGTACAAAAATATTATTTCAAAACGTTAAACTAAATTTGCTCAAAAGAAATGGAAAATATGACCGCTTTACACACGGAAAGGTCGAGGTTAGACTCTAAGAGGGGATTGACTGTCTACCAGACTAAGACATGCTGAAAGAGCCATTCAACGCTCTACGGATCGCCCACGCACTTTAGACGCTAACTTGCCCAAGACGCTAACTTGCCCAAAACGCTAATTTGCACAACCTTGGGGAAGTTAGCGTCTGGGGAAGTCAGCGTCTGGGGAAGTTAGCGTCTTGGGGAAGTTAGCGTGACTCTAACCCTAACCCTAGCCCTTAGCCATTTACATTAGCCCCTCTTTTAGACGATTTGATTCCGAAAATGCAATATTCTTCAAATCATCATCTCCAACAGAAATCATCGAAGTCGTTGGTCATTCAAAAGTTGGCGAAATTCAAAAAGCAATTGGCGCCGTTGACCAAAATGAGATTCTAGCGAAGATAACGATCGAAGCAGATCCATACTGCTCGATAAAAGAAGCTGGAACGATGACTCCAATTTTCATTGAAAAGAGACAAGTTCATCAGTCCTATATTATCAGCGCTATGCTAATTGAGCCGTGAATAAATTCTGTAAATTTCTGTAAAAGAGTCGAACAGGTGTTGATCCCTTTTTCCATGATTCAAGAGCAAGAGCAACGATTCAGAAGAGAATATCTCCATTTCAAAGAGAAATAAACATTTTTTTCATATCAGAAAAAAGAGAAACGTATTGGAAAAAAAGAAAGAGATGAGATCCCAGATCAATGAAAAAGCGAGTGACGCACAAATTGAAATAGCGGCTCAGAAGCCGCCTAAATCAGCAAGCATTTCGTCAACAAGAGCAAGAAAAGGGATTAAAAATCTTCCCTAGAGAAAACTCTAGAATAAGGAGAGAAAATTATTGATCCTCGAAAAAGCTCGATGAGAAGATCAAAGAAAAGCCGCAACCGGGGTCACAGAATGACTTCAAATGTCTTCAACATGTTTAACCAGCAACAGATTCAGGAATTCAATGAAGCCTTCAAGTTCATCGATCAGGTAGGCTATTCTATTCACGAAGAAAAAAAAATGAGTTTCGAAGGACAATGATGGAATAATCAGCTTCGAAGATGTGCGGGAAATCTTCCTCTCCCTTGGAAAAGAACTGAGCGAAGATGAAGTTCAGAAAATGGTCGAAGAAGCCCCCGGTCCCATCAATTTCACAATGTTCTTGACCCTTCTTGGCCAAAAGATGCGAGAGACCGATCCACTCGACACGCTTGAACAGGCGTTTTCTTGTCTTGGTAAGGCGAAATTTTGTCCCCAAGGTTTGAGATGACTTTGTTTAGATGAGAACGGAACTGGGAGACTTCATCGATCTGACTTTGAATTTATGATGATGAATATTGGAGATCGCTACAATCAGCAACAGTTTGATGATCTTCTCAGAGATGTTGAAGTTGCTGAAGATGGGACTTTTGGTAATGAATACGATAGTCAATCGAGTTTTGATGCGTTTCGAGTAGTTGGCTTTGCTAAATACTATGATGGTTATTCTTATAAATTCTAGTCAATATTAACCAAATCATAAAAATTAAATGATTTTGAGATTTCCTGATTTTATGGTTTCTTCAAACCCTCATAATTTCTTTCAGATTACAAGGAATTGGCCCGAGTCATGAAATATGGAAATGCCGAATTATGAGTTCTCTCTTCCTGCCTGATAAAACAGAAAAAGATGAAATAAAATAGTTTATTCCGAAAAGCAAAAACGGTTGATTAAAAATCGGCTGACACTGACTTTGTCGCCGAATGTCGCTGAATGTCGCCGAATGTCGCCGAATGTCGCCGAATTTCGCCAAAAAAAACAAAAACACCATGTTCTAGAAAACTTCGATTCCTTGTCATAAAATCGTTTTCTTATAGAAAATACTATTATGATCGTTAAAAATGTAATTTTAACAGAAATTAGCATAAAACTAGTCATAAGAAACCTAAACTAAACATCTCGTCAAGAAATCTTTGTGCGCTTCGCGCCTGGATAGAAGGAAACTCAAAGAGTGAGTCTGTCAATTTTTGCGCCTCCGTCATTTTCTACTAGTAGAACGAATTTATTTTGATACCGGGACGTTTTTTTTATTTTGAGGCTATTTTCAACAAAATGGCGACATTCGGGGACATTCGGCGACATAGTCAGTGCGTCCCTAAAAATCACGAGAAACTAATAGGAAAATGTGATAGAATGAAAATCAAAGTTATTTCTCAAGTTTTTCAGCTTCAGCTGCTTCTTTTTCTTTTCCAGCTTCTTTCGCTTTTGGAGTTTCATAAATGTTTTCTGCCACAGTTTGCCCGTTTTGCTCTAAAATTATTCTGCACTGCGAGATTTGCCAGAGAAAACTTACGATTTTCCGTGGCTAGAGTATCGATCCCAGGGTTTGTCGGTGAAGAGTTCATTTCCACATCCGGATTCGTTCTTCTTGGAGATGATCTGACTCGCATTTCATTGCCTGTATCTAGAGTGGCCGTGTTTGAGCCGGTCTTCCATTGGATAATTTGCCAGACTAGCATAATTATTCTCACGACGAGGAGGACGACAACAAGTCCAATGATGACGGGAAAGAGTGTTTTTGCCGTGTCTCCCGTGAGAGCGAGGTCGAGAATCATGTTCTCCTGGTTTGAAGTCACTTCGTCAAACTTGTCTTCAAAACGGGAAAGAATGTCGTTGATGTCGACAAAATGCTCGCGAACAGTATCTGCTAGCTTTTTATCGCAGTCGGGGCTTCTTTCTGAAAATCATTTTTAACGAAAAATTTGATTTTTAGCGATTCTTACTTGGTGTTTTGCAGCCTTTCATGGGATAATGAATGGACTGAACTCTCTTTAGTTTGTGGTATGGATTTGCCCAGCTACTGTGGGTATAATTTTGAAGCCCGGCAAAGTCGACAACATCTTCTTTTGTACATTCGTTCATTGTCGGAATGCAGATCCCCTTTTCGTCCAAATCGAACCCAGTACAACCCTTTTTTAAGCGATCAAGATGTACTCTTTGGCCCTAGGCTCGGAAACCTGAGTAGAAAGCCTGATTCAGGGTTCTAAAAGAATAAAATGAAAAGCCGCGTAGCGGCTTTTTTTAAAACGAAGCCGCAAAGCGGCTTCGCCAGTTACCAACTCAATGAATTATTTTAACTTACAAAGCCGCTTCGCGGCTTCGTTTAAAAAAAAGCCGCTACGCGGCTTTACATTTTACCTTTTTAAAACCCTGACTCAGTTTTTCTACTCAGGTTGCCGAGCTCAGTTTTGGCCGAGAAAACTTATCGAGAGACTCTTGACCGTTTCCTCTATGTTCTTGCAATGATTGTAGCAATCGTCGAGGGAAGTAACTGAAATAGCTTGAGTTGCGTTATTGATGTTATATCCCCAAGCGCAGTGTCCAAAGAAATACTCTTCACACATGACGATTCCTAAGCATTCTTCATCCTCGTCGATGCACTCGTAGGCTTGAGAGAATTCGTTTGGCTTGACCTTCCGGTGGCAGAACTTGTCCCCGCAGGTGTGTTTGTTGTCAATGCAGGGATGCTCTATTTGAAAATGATTTTGAATGCTCTTTTTTCGAAGCTGGTTTTTTGAACTTACTTGTACCCTCTCGGCAGTTGAGTATGTTACTCTGCCAGTGGCAGCACTGATAGAGCATCTGACCCTCTGGTAAGCAATATTCATAGTTCGGAGAGACTTGACAGGGATAAGTTAGTTGAAGTGGATGAAAACAAGGATCTAAGGAAATTCGTTACTATGAGGCTTTTTATCTTCCGTTTACTTACGGTCATATTTGTATGAGTCGTCTCCGAAGATGGACTTTCCGAAAAGACAAATTTTGAAAAACAGTGCTCTCATTTTTTCAGAAGTTCGGATATGGCACCGATCAACAAGAGCAAGTGTTGATTTTTAACGACTTTGATATTTCAGTGGATTTTCATAATCTGTCGCTTCTTGACATATTTTCGAGACTGTTCGCAATGCTTCCTTTTCAGGTTTTTCTCAATCCAAAATGACGATTTTGTCCGTTAAATGGGTGCTGCGAATCTGTAGCATGAATTTTGTCACTTCCTCAGGCGAGTTTGTCCGAGTGGTTAAGGAGTCTGACTCGAAATCAGATGGGCTCTGCCCGCACAGGTTCGAATCCTGTAGCTCGCGTGCATTTTGTTCCCCGATTCTAGAGACTACAGGCCTTTTTCTTGCATAACTTCTTTTTCGCCATTTCTTTTGTTGTGCGAATACAGCATCTGAAACGCCTATTTCGATTTTCCGTCATGTGGAAGTCTTCATATGCGCTGAGAAAAAGAGCATCTGGTGAGGTTGCTGCTCGAAATTCTGAACCGGATGGGGTCATTCTTAAAATAAGAAAAAAAAAAGATGAAGCTTTCAGCACTTTGCCTTGGATCTTTTGCTTCGGCCCAGCTGACTGATTCAGGTGAGAAGGATTGGCTATCTTTTTTGTAAAAGAGTTTAGGTTGTGATCGAATCAACGGTCAATGCCTTGACTGGAGATACTACAAGGTTGATATTTCTATCTGAAATTATATACAGTCAAAAAATAGTTATCAATTTCTCTTCCTTGATTTCAACTTCAAAAAGTGCACCGCCGGTTACGAGTCCGGCCTCTGCTCCGGCGACAACAACCGAAAGTGCTGCAAGAACTGCAACAGCACCTGCCAATGGCAAGAGAGCCAGGACGCCAAGGGCGACTCAAAGTGCGAAAACGCTGGCGGCAAGTGCCAGCACAACACCAACTACTGCTCCGGCTCGTACCAGGGTGGCATGTGCGGCGGTAGCAGCGAACGACAGTGCTGCGGCGCTTCTGGCTCCGGCGGCGGTGGAGGAAACTGCAACTTGGTCACTTACACCAACACCCACTTGAAGGGCTACAACGGCCTTCGAGTCGAGGTCGACGCTGGCTTCAAGGGCGAAATGGACAAGATGAACCGATACGCAAAGGACTGCAACGTCACCATCTACGTCACGCATGCTTTCCGAAAGGAAGGTCAGAACATCGGAGGCACTGTCGTCCCACCAGCGAGCAACTCGAACCACTTGGTTGGTCATGCCATCGACTTCAACCTCCAGACCCCTTCTGGATGGTGCAACGGTGACTGCTTGGACTGGGAGACCAACTCCTACGCTAGAGTAAGTCTTTTGCATATTTTTTCTCTCCATATCTCGATTTCTAGTGCTTCACTAACAAGATCAAGGCCGATTCCGTCCTCGACTGGGGACAAATGTTCAACGATCCCGTCCACATCGACGACTACTTGAACGGCCGAAACCCATCGAAATGGAACACTCTGTACTACCAAAACCAGGCCTGCTAAACACTTTCAATAAATAAGGATAGATTCGTAAATCGCATTTATTAAACAATCTCGTGCAGGGAAACTGAGACATCAGGTAAATTTTTGGTCAGTTTTGGTCGATTTTTGAGGCTTCTTGGTCTTGTTTTTCGACGTTTAGGATGATTTCAGATGTCAGGATTTTTCTGAAAAAAGCGTTATTCAGTTTCTTTTTGGTTAGTTGAACCTTGCAACGACGAGTAAGAACTCTGTATAATCGATAACTCCATCCTCTTTTTGGTCGATTTTGTCGATAAGCGCTTGGGCTTGATTTTGTGTTAGTAATTTTCCATGTGACCACATCCACTCCTTCAATTCTGCGGCATTGATCGCGCCGTTTTCTTCAATATCATAGCTCTAGAAAGAAATAAGAAGGTGATCGATCAATGTTGCTGACCTTGAATAAGTCCCTGACGGGGTGAAGAGGGGAGCTGACTCCTTTTCGCTGACTCATCAAAATGAGAAAATCTGGAAAGGTCATGTTTTGTGTGTTGACCTGCACTTGACCAACAAGGTTCTCCACGAAGTTTTCAAGTCCTTTTGTGTCTTCGGAGAAGATTTTGTACAAATCTATCAAATAATGACTTCAAAAATTATTCGAAAAAGTTTTACCTCTGATAGGAACTTGGCCATCATCGAATTTATCGTGCGCTTCGAATTTTTGTCGAGTTGAGGTAGAGACGGAATTGAACAGAACTTCTCTTATGTACTAAAAAAATAACAAAGGGCTCGTTATTTACTGTATTTGAACCTGTATTCTTTCTGCTTCGATCTGAACTGCAGATGTTCTCGCGATTATTCTTCCTATATTTCTCAGCATTGTTTTCTCTTTGAGTCGACCTTTTCGTGCGTAAAAGTGAGTAACCTTGTGAGTTTTCTTTGACCCGAAAATGAAAAACAGGGCTAATGGGCGCGTACTGGCATGCGGCCAATGTGAATTTTCGCGCACTTACGTCACAGCGCTGCAATATCTGATTTTATATAGATCGATTATGGTGAACTAGTGGAGTTATGGGGCAAAACTGGTTACTTTTTCTTTTTATTAAAAAAAATCAGCGAAGCCCTCTTCTCCTTGCATCTGAACTGCAGGACCTTCATTAAGATCCTCTAAGAGGATTCCTCTTAAAGATCCTCTTTTACCATAAACAATAAATTGCCCGTTTTCCCCGATTTTTTTGCCAAAAGATAAAAATGGTCGGATTGGTTTTTTGAAATTTGCTTTATTTGAACATAAATTTACAGATTTATTTTTGTTTTCAGTGATTTTACATGTGATTTATAATTCTTCTGCTTCTTTCACAGTTTCAAGTCTCGTTGCACTTTCGGTTAGAGATCCCATTCCCTGATCCTCGGAATCCTCGTCGAGCTTGCTTTGAATTTTTGATTAACAATCGATTCGAGCTATTTTTTCTTTACCTTTTTAAACATTTCTCTTCGGATTCATCTGTCGAACTTGCTTCTTCGGAGGAAGTCGCGCCGATCGGCTGAGCTCCAGCGGGAATTTTTCTAGAGACGATTCGGTTCAGAAGCCCTTTTTGCTTGGTAAAGTAGCACGTGACATCGATGGCGAGGCCGATGATAAGAAGGAAGACGGAGGAGCCGATAGCAAGGAAGAGAACGCGATTTTCTGAAAGAAAAATGAGTTGATGTCTAGTAGACAATCTTGTGAAGGATTGTCTGTAAGCCTTATCCCCCCGAGCGAAAAGAGAAAATGTCCTGGTCGGGACTTGAAAGTTTTATTGATTCCCCCCAGCAGGGAATTAACCTCCTTCTCTCCCTTTTTTTCTGAGCCCGATCAGCGATCAAGGAAGAATATCACGCTGAGGGATTGATTACTTTATTGATTTTGAAAAACAACTTACGCGAAGAGTCTTTAGCTTTGACATCGCATCTGACAGTCTTCGAGGGAAGCTCTTCGTTCTTGGCTTGGAGCAAGACCCAGTAGTTTTCGTTTTTGACGAGGTTGGCGATCTTGATTTTGCCAGAGTTGGATTTGGGGAAGTCGGAGATGTCGGCGATTTTGATCATTTCGGCGTCTTTGTACTAGAAAAAAGGTTTTGAAAGAGAACCATATTAGTTTTATTTAGTCTCTGGATTTTTATTTTTTCCTTAAAAAGAATTCAAAGATATCCACTAAACTTTATAATTATTTAAAGCTTCAGCGTGATCGGAAAAAATGAGTTAAAATTCACTATAACAACCATATTCTAACAAGAAAGAAGCTTACGATTCCGTATTCAAGCTTCAATTCTCGCATTTTTCCACCACCATTGTTGGTAATTTCCCATTCGACGTAATACTGTCCATTCTCCGTGGATACCCGATTGATTTGGACGACAGGTGCTCCTGAAAAAAACCGTGGATTAGCTTAATTGTTCGGTTCATTTTTAATATGGCAATTATCTCCTCAAATATGATCGATTAATTGGGCTTTGACTTACGTGAATCTGAAGTAGAAGTCGTTAGTCGGTTAGTCGGTTAATCGGCGATAAGGCGATTTTGTTGTTAGGCGATTTTTATAGTTTTTTATATGGCGTATTGATTTTTATATAAAGAAAAAATAAAATACCTAGAGGTTCAGTTGTGAACTCGAGCTTTTTAGAGACTGGGCTTTCACCGACGGCGTTGATTCCTTGAAGTCGGAGGGTGTATGTTCGCTCTGGATCAAGGTCGTCGATGGTCACGTGATTTTGGTTGTCGACAGGAATGGTTCGAATGAGATTTGGCCAGTGTGGGGAAGTCAAGTGAACAACGACGTCGGAGAGGTCAATCTGGCCTCTTGAATAGTCCCGGCTAAAGATTGTTTGATGATAATGTCATAAGAAATCCTTTCGAAAATAGATCAATTTTAGTCTATCAATTAACCTGTAAGAAATAACGACTCTGTCCGGCCTCTTTTGAACCACCTTCAAAAGTCTCAATTCTTTGGGTTTCTCCGCCTTGAGTAGTCTCACTTCGTATTCTTCGTTGCCAAGATCGTTTCGAGAAGTGCACTGGTAAGTCGAGGGAAAGTCCTTCTCTTCAGCTTTGAAAACATAATTTACTTCGTTCAAGAGAAGCTCTTCTTCAATTTGAGGGCCGGAGATGGCGGTGAAACCAACAGGATTGGCGACGAAAGAGCAAGGGATATTTGTTTCTAGACCAGGGTAGGAGAAGATTTCCAATTCTTCCGTCGCGATCATTGGCGGATATCGAACCTGGACATTCACTGACGATGAGACCTCGATCATCTCTTTCGTCCTCCCTCTTTTGATCGTCGAAGTGCAAGTGTAGAATCCGGAATCGGTCGTTTCGGCGATTCGATTGAGTTGATCCATCGCTGCTTGAGATCCGTCGGGGGTGGTCCAGACGAAATCAGCAGGGTACATGTTCTCGCAGACGAATTTCATCGGATCACCAAGATTGACAAAGTAGGGAAAGTCGATTCCATCGACGAGTTGGTCGTTGACGATGGTCGTAGGTGGAGGAAGGACAACAAGATTGAAACTAGAAATAAATAATGAAAACCATAAAATACCTTGAATTTCAGTGTATTTTAATTTTTTATTCATCGTAAATACGATTAAAAATCTTTAAATCCTAGAGTGTTGGCTAATGGACGACCCATTTGGCAAAAATACCTTTTTGAAACAGTTCCATGGTCATTTTTCGCCGAGCAAATGTATTTCCCAGAGTTCTCCAACCGAATATCTGTAAACATCAAGTTGTTCTCCGTCCCAATCACATCATAATTCCCTTCCGCTGTCTCTCGACTCCAAGTCATTTCTGGCTCTGGAACAGCAAAGGCCTCGCAGGGGACGGAGAAATTTTGACCTTCAGTCAACCAGACTTCGTTATCTTCGGGGACATTGATGAAGTCTTCAATCTCAGGAGGGTACTCAACTTCGACCAAAATGTCGACGTCGTCGACATCGCCAGTGTCGGTGGTGATGACAGTGCAGCGGTAAATGCCTCCATTGTCGCGGGTGATGTCGTCGACGAAAAGATTGTTGCCGTTTTGAGGAATGAGTGGTGTTGGGTTTCCAGGGGCGTACCACTCGACGATCGTGTCCAAGCCGTTGGCGGAGAAGTCACATGCAATCTCGGCGTTGGTGCCTTCAATGAATGTTTGTTGCTCTTGAGTTTGAAAGTCGACTTCTGGCCGAACCATCACATTTCTCACTTCAAAATCGCCATCCTCTTCGCTCGTGCTTCGGCAAGTGTAGTCGCCGATATCTTCCATTTTCAAGTTTTTGATCCAAAGTCGAAGCTGACCGCTGCGGGTCTCGACGTAAATGCTGTCCGAGCGTTGCTTTGTTGCGATGACATGGCCTTTTGGGTTGACCCATTCAAGATCTGTGCCGAAGCAGGAAAGGAAGAGGTTGTCATGGAGTTGCTTGACCAATCGCTTGTCGGAAGGGATGACTTTGACGGCTAGAAATGTAATATAAAGGGAAAGTTTCTTTGAAATTGACAAAAAACCGCTTGAATTTTTCGACCAATTTTTTTTTTATTTTGAACATTATCTTACCTTGTGTGCCCAAAATAGGCAATAAACTCTTCGAAATTTTCATCCCTCTATCTCTCTTTTCTTTTTCGTATTTTAAATTGTTGTTATAAAAATAGCTGCGACGCTTTTTTCGGTTTTATACCTTTGCTGTGACGCCTTCGGCTCTCGATATGAAAGTGATATATTTTCCGGGCTCATCCCCGCGGCGATCTTTTCAAAATTTTACTGCCTCTCACGTGGTGGCGCTGCGTTTCGACAAACGCCGAGTGCGCGAAATTGAAGCTCTTCCTGGCGGTAGGATCAATTCCCGCTGCGCTGTGGGGATATTGATTTCATATTATCTGAGGGAGGCGAATTTCATGGAAGTTGCACCATTTTCAAAGGCCAAGGAAAGACAATTTTGATAAAAATCTTTACCATTCTTCGTATTTTAGGCTTTGGCAGGTCAGTTAAAACAGGTTTGGCAGTCAGTTACTGCTCTTAGCAATTTTTTTAAGAATTTCTGAAGATCATAAATATAAATTCTGATAATTCCTTTTGGGTTTAATTGGACAAAATAAAGTGACTTTTAAAAGAAATCATAAAATGCTCGTAGCAGGCTGTCACCGATATATATGACCTATGTATGACCTTTTTTTAAAAACGTTCAATGATATTCATATTCTTAGTAGGAGTCAATACATCCTCCCGACGATTGTTAAATACTGACATACGGCCTTGTTGGGTGTCCATGCGAGTGTTCCGCCTTTCATCCCGCACGCTTCTGACGGAATATTAAAATTTTTGTATACCAAGAAGAATGGCTTCATCGATTTTCGCTCAGCTACACGACGGGCAGAACAGTACAGGTGCTCGTGTCGGGAGGGCTTTTTGATCAATTTCGGGGGGAAAAATTGTACTTTTCATACATTAGAGAATCATCTACAGAAAGGATCATTCGTCAAATATGCTCACAAAAAGTCCAAAAAGAAAATTCAAATGTCGATTTATGGTGCTTTCTATTTTGCTTTCCAAAATATCGAAATCAAGGAGGAAAACCCATGAGAAAAGCAAATGACTTCTCAAGTACTCATTTTCATCCTCATTTTCGTCTCGACAAGATCCCCCGAGGGCCCTTGTTGTTCCCCGAGAGTACTTTTTCAACAAAACGAAACAAAAGAACTTGTCGAGAAAATTAAATAAGCCCCCCTCTCGCCGCGCGTTTTCTAAATTTTCAAATGCTAAAACTGTTAAAATCGATCCCGACTCAACTTTGGCCAATTAGCCGAACCGGAATCGATAGAGCAGCAGCTGTGAAATATAACTGAGACAGATTTTGACGTTCTTCTACGCGCTGGTGCCCAAAAACTTTGTAAATTTTTAATAAACCAATAAGCCTAGGGATTTTCCACAGCATCTGGAAGCGTTGCAAATTTGTGGCTAATTGGAAGATTCATTGAAAATTGGGATTCATTTGAAAACTTCTGGTATTTTGGATATTCGCGGAAGTATGTGTACGGTCTGGCCCGAGTGCGTCCTTGTGGCGTACCGCATTGGTGATCTGAAGTTGCGGCTTGTTCTTCTGCGGCTTTTATAGAGTGCAATTATAGCCAACCCAGGACAAATCATGAGCCTGCGATAAACCACTTTCTGGTGTTCAATAAATTGTCCTGAAAAATATTTTTGGTTCGTAAAAATTTTTGATTTTTTACTAGAGCTCTTTTTTAAGACAAAAAATAAATAATTAAGGAAAAAATATTTTTTTTAATTTTAAGAAAAAAATCTTTAAAAGGCCTAAAAATTTTCTCACTCCCGCGGCGCCGTAAAACAGTAATCGATTAAAGAGCTCGGCAGGAAACCGCCACCAATATCGATCGTATTATCGTCGTACTACTTCTGATTTGTATGTTTGCCCGCGATTGTTCACGACGCTTTTTTTGTAAATTTGCGGAGAGGCAATTGAGCACCGAGGGTTGAACCATAAAAAGGAGTCATCAAAAGAGAGAGTAGGGCAGGGTTTCAGCACTTTCAAGAAACTGATGCAGGAGAAAGGTGACCTTCCAATAAGTCTGCGCTTATCGCGATGGCATTTTATGCTCATTACAGGGGCGGAGCTAGAAATTTTTAAAGATTCATTTTGTCAAAAGCCCGAAAAATCCGCATTTGAATATATCTCTGAGCGTAAACCTGGTGAAACAATACCGGTAAAGAAAACTACGTATGCATTTATGCAGCTGCAAGCTGAGAATTTTTTGTTCTTTTGTCACCGACGCACCGGTGGGTTGAGATAACTTCGTGATCAATCAAAAAAGAAAGAAAAGACAAATCAGAATCAGAATTAAAATTCTTTTGCTCAATCAAGATTTTTTTGCGACAATGAAAAACAGGTTTGTTTATAACTTATAAATTATAAGCGATAGAAATATTTATTCGTTAGATCATATTTACAACAAAATTGTACTCGTATTTTCGAGACGCCAGTAGTTAAGGGTTTCCCCTCAATTACAGTCGCCACGAGCACTGCACTGCAATCGGATTGGTGGGTTTTTTCGGGAGCTGCGATGGTTGTTTTCGTTTTTCTTCTTCTATGATTTCAAAGACCCAAAAAAGGGCCATTTTCAAATAATCATTTAATAATTTAATAAATATGTATTTTAAGCTTGTTTTTAACCAATGGAATGTGCCGATTCAGACAGGCAGGTATTTTTTTTGTCTTTTTTTGATGTTTTTTGGTTAGTAATTTGGGGAAAGGGATAGCCTTATTTCGACAATCGGGCTTCTTTTTTTTCAAAATTTGGGACATTATTTTATAAGTTTTACAATTAATTATTACGGAAAAGCGATTTTTTCATCAAAATTAAGCCAAAAAAATAAAAAATGATTTTTCGACTCGGAAATTTACGATACTTTTAAAAAAATTATCACAAAAAGCCTATTTTCTAATGTAAAAATGCCTTGACGCTGATTGGGAGAGTTGTTACTGTAATATCGTTGGTGTTCTGGGGCTGGTGGCTCGTCCTTGGGGCAAGCATCGGTCGTAGTGCACGATTCTGAAATTGCATGTTAGTCAATACTTTCCGGAGGTTTACTATACGCCGCATTACAGCGCATTATTCTGAGCTGGAATCGCCTCGCGGTTCGATGTGTTTTAATCCGATGGGAGATCGATGATTTTTTTACATAAGTTTTTCCGGAATCGCTCGTTTTTGAAACTCACCTTAGTTAGAAACAAAAAGTTCTTTCTGCTGCTGAGCTCGTCTTCTGATGACAACAGCGATGATTCCGATCAAGATTCCAACAAAAGCGAGGACGGTGCAAATGGTGACGATGATGTACAGTCGGAGGAATTCTAAAAATTTGTTTTAAAAAAATCCAATTTGAATATTCTTGAAAAATGCGTCAGAAAAACCAGTTCCATTATTATCTCATTATCGCTCGATGCAAATTAAGCGGCCCAACCAAATTTGCGACCAGTCCAATTTGATTTTGGTGGTTTTTCAGACGCTCACTTAAAAAAGGCAAAAAAGAGGCGTTTTGCGAGGGACGCCCTTAAGATTTTTTGATTTTTAGCTTCGTCTTGATTAATTTTCGCAGAAACGACCACTCAAGTCACTATTAGTGGGACTCTATTTGCGCAACGGAAGGACTCCGAAGTCGAGTTTTGAGAGCGCTTTTGAATTCAAGTGCTTCATCTAAAGATTCTAAACTTCCAAGCGAAGGTCTTTAGCCTACAAGCCACGTGAGTCTATGTTTACTGTATATCACACAAGTGAAGTTGTGTGGCTAAAAAAGGTCTGAGGAAAATAAACAAAGAGGCTTGTTTTTGAATGAACAGGGAAGCGGGAACTTACCGTTATCAGTCATAAAGTCGATCTCGAGCTTGTTGATTTCAGCCTTGCCGACGGAATCGATGATGTCGTCGTCGATGATGATTGGACCCTTGGACATGAAGGTTGGTTTGAATTCAGTGACGACTTCTTCATCGTTGGGGCCGAGCTCGGCATTACGTCGGACACGATCGGTTCCAGAGCAGACGGCATCCTGAAAATACAGTTTAAATGGAGCTAATTTATGCAACTTCTTGAAGGGCGCTCCTTTATGGAACTTGCCGGATCGAATGATAACTTGATTTAGGTTCAATTCTTCTTGTCAGAAGCGTTATCAAATTCTGTCCGGAATGCTTAACCCGATTCTTCCTGCCGACGACAGGAACAATCTGATCAAGTCGCTTGCGGTTCCCAAGGACACATACCACCTTCTTTCTTTAGGGGGGATAACTCTGGGAATTCGCGAGAGAAATTTCGTTTTACGCGCGATTAGTTGAACAGCGGAATACATGGATTCCACATTCTCTTCTTTTTGGAATTCAAAAAAATATTTCAAAAGCAGGAAAAAATCTTTGATGAAGAATTCACGCAAAAACCATAATTCTGATCAAAATTTTCAAATAATTAATTTTTATCAGCGGCTTAAATTTTGGGAAATTTAAATAATTTTTTATGTCTAAATCAGGGATAATTCTAGGTTGAGATAATAAGTGCTTTTTATTTGAAAATTTATTTCTTAATTTTAAAAATCCAAAACTCCCTAACAAAGCCCACAAAATTCATCGACTCTCGTCAAGTTATGCCAAATGCTGGCGTACTTTTGGTTTTCTCTTTTGACAATTGTCACATTTGTGATCTCAACGAAAAAAAATTAGAATGCACCGCAATCGCGGTAAGCCGAGCTATGTTTCGCCTCCCTTGTTTCTAAAGAGCAGGTAGAGCGCTTACCTCATTGTAGCATTCTTCCTTGTCGGAGTCGCACAAGTAGACTTCGCAGTGCATGTAGATGTAGCTAGTTCGGGTCTTCCATTTGAACATGTTGAACTTGAAGCGGGCATTGTTGCCGACGCCGTTTTCGAGGAGGACGATGGAGGGGTCGTTGGGCTGGACGCACCTAAAATTTTGGTTAAAAATAGGGTGGAAAAGATTTAAAGTTAGCCGCGTGCGGCTTTCGAGTCAAAAGAAAATTGAGGATTCCCAACTGCGATTTCGGCTTTGAATTGAGAATTTCTTGGAGCAGTCGAAAAAGCCGCTCGCGGCTTTCGAGTCAAATTTCTTAAAATGTTTTTTTTTGATTCAAAAGCCGCAAGCGGCTTTCTCGATCAATAAAATATTGCTGCAAAAAAGCCGCTCCTGATTTTAATGTCTATTTTAGACACTGTACTTCAGTACAGGCAGTATTTGAGAAAAGACAAAATCTGTGTTATCTCAGCTAATATATTTTCGAAACTGCGGTTCACTAAAAACCGCGCTGGTTAGTTTAACCGGGTTTATATAGCTCCCTAATCAGCGACAGAAGAGAAAATAAACGAATAAAACAAAAGCGCGAATTTGAAATTTCGCGCGATATTTCTAATCAGACACGGAAGCGTATTCAATTTTCGGCAATTAGAAAAAGGTTCATTTTGAAAAATACAGTTCTATTTTTTTCTTTTGAACATTTAAAAATTCAGCTCTATCAAGATATCCTGCCATAATCGCCTTTTCTTTGCGGGTGAATTCCGCCTTTGTGTTCGGCATTCCAAAAATGGTGTACTTACATTCCAGAGATGAGCGAGTACCAATTCGCAGTTTCCGAAGAAGGGTCAGTCTGGTCAGTGGCGAAGCAGTTTTTCACTGTTAGGACGATTTCCGGGAAGGCGAAGGGGCGGTCCAGATTGAGGGAGACGTAGACGGGGGTGTTCAAGCGGATTGGGGTTCGCTCCGAAATCTAGAGAAGAAAGATTATAGAAGAAAAGAGACCATAAGTCATCTAGTGGTTATTCTTGTAAATATTTTTTCATCCTCTAAGTATAGATTTCATACTTCAAGGTTCTCAAATAATGTTATCCCCTGTAAATACGTTGGCTTTAAATTTCATGGATATTTTTATTTTAGTAATTTAGAATTCATCGTCATCATAAAAAGTGGCTCCATCGATTCCAACCCACAATCATTGAATATCAATTGAATATTATATTCACCAAAAAGCAAGCTCAAAAGTTATGGCTGCAAACAACAGTCGAAGCTCTTAGTTTTCTCGTCAGATTGGATAAAACTTCTAATTTGTTGTGCCCATAATATCACATCATACTCGCCATCCGGGCTTTGGTGAGGATAAAAAATAACATCTGTGGATTTAAAAACAGAGCTTAAATTAAATTTATAGTTTTTAAAAATTTTTAAATATTTTAATAAAACTATCAAATGAGCCACAAAACTTCCTACGAGATGCTACAGTTTAACTTTCCTAATCAGGTTTTATTAATATAAAGAAAAATATTAAAAAAAAATATTTCCCATATTTATGGTTTATTACCTCGGAAGTGTATTGATCATCCTGGTAGACTCGCATGTCAACATCAAATTGACCCTTTTCAGTCGTGAAGGAAAGCGTTCTCTTGATTGGTGTAATCGCGTGTTCGTAAGAAACTGTGTATTTATCTTCGTAGATGCATCTCCATTTGAAAACTGAAAAATCACCGCTAGCCGAATTTGAAATCGGGGATCATTTTTTACCTTGAGTTGCTTGTCTCGTGTTATTGAAATAAATTTCGTTGGAAAAGACGTAATCTTCAGTTTCGTGCTCGACTTTTGTGAAACAGGAATCGAAGGGAGCGAAGATCACGAATTTGTAAGCATCTTCTTCTTCGATCGGGATACAAGCTGTGTTGTCGCCCATGTGGAGCTGCTCGCGGTTCTGGACGTTGACCTTGTTTTTCAGAAGATATTCCTTTTGCAGACGGACTTCGATCTTTTTCTGGCCGCATGTTACTGCGATTTCTTCTTTTTCAACCGCTAGAAAGAAAAATTGATAAAATTTAATAATTTTTATTTTTTCTGAAAACCATAAAAGAGAAAAAAATATTAAAAATTTTGAATTTTTCATAAAAAATTAGCATGAAAATATCAAAACATATAGTTTAATGATTCTGTATGCGTCATTCCAATTTAAAAAAAGAAAGAAAAATGATCAAATTTATAAAAAGCATCCTCTGCGACGCCGACCACAGCTGAAGGTCACGTGACATAGCTTCCAAGTGCGTTTTCTCGAACGAGCGCATATCTCATTAGCCAGCCTCTCATCAACCAGGGACGAGAGAAGGACTTCAGAGCGTGCGACCCTTCACAGGAGCCGCACCGTCAAATTTCTTGAATGTTTTACTACTAAACAGAAATCCACGAAAAAAAATCACATTTTCGCGGCACACTTTTTTTTAAATATAATGCCAATTTTTTCAGTTTCAAAATCGCTTTTTCCATTTTTTCTTTCTTTTATCTTAAAAAAAGGGTTGAAAAAGCTCAAGAAATCAGCGTCATCCTCCGTGGGAAGCGCCAGAAAAACCGATAAAACAAAGTCGAAACAAGTCAAAAATCAAAACATTATTGCCTCTTGCGGTTATTTCGCCCGCGCTCTTTCGCTTTTTTTATCTCTTTCTGACAAGTCGCGATTATTTTTCCGAGCTGTTTATCCGATAATTTCTAGCGCCGTTTGAAGATCTTTCAGGAGTGGTCGATTGTGAAAACAGGATTAGAGGTCTTTTTTTAATTTCAAATAATTTTTTAATCTGGCCATTTTTAAAGGATGTGGCCGACCAAAGCAGTCGCGATAAGCAAGTACCTAGAGTAGCAATTTTATGAACCACATTGCTTCCGAGCTTTATCGCGCGAATTTCTGGAGCTAGAAATTTTCTCGAGATATTCAAGTGCGCTCTGACAAAAAATGACAAGATTGTTTTTTCAGGAAAGCCAGAAGAAAAGGCGAAATACCGTAAAAACGCTAGAATGGGCTAACATCCGCTCTTGCTCTTGTATAAGTCCATTCCCTTCGCCGCTTAAAACTTTTAACTGTCAATTTTCGCTTCCGTGAGCGGCAATTCAGAAGAGTGGCTATTCAGTGAGGCAAATTGGCTCTCTCCGGCCCGGCTGGTTAAGGATATCAACCGGCTGCGCATCGGTGCTGGAGATAAACTCCGAAGCTCGGTGAATATTTAACTTTTTCTGATGAGATCTTCTGTGCATGATTTTTAACGGGCGAAAATTTTGTACTGTAAGTCCTGAAAAAATCGGCCGTGCTCCTTTTTGAGCCAAAAATTTGGTCTTATTTGATATTTTTTACGGACCACAATCTTCAAAACTGAAACCAAACGCCTCTCCTTTTTGAAAAAAAGAAGCAACAAAACCTCTAAGCCGCTGAGCTCTTCGCTTGGAGCGTTTCTTGAGCGCTTGGCGGGCGGCTAACGGTCTGCCTCTGATGTCATTTGTTCGCTAGAGTCGCTTGTCGCTAGAATGAGCGCTACCGAAAATTAGATTTGAGGAGTCTGTGACTCGCAAGCTCACCGAGCCGTGAAAGGTGATTCTTAATCATGTTGTCTCAAGAGTTGTTGCGTGGAACTACTGTAGCTTCCGAGACGAAAGGAGAAGTCACGTGATTTCTAAAATCCATTTCGCGGCCAGCTCATTATCGAGTCTTTTTATTTATCAAAACGCATTCTTCTTCCTTTCATTACAAAAAGTACCTTCCTCGCTAATTTCCCGCTTCTTATCAACCGTCGTTTTTAGAAAAAGAACGACGTTGGTACACAGCGGGGGATTTGCGTGATAAGGGTAAGTGACCAAAATCCGGAATTCTTTAAATTGGCCTCGGGTTTTTTCGGTCGCTCAACGGGGGAGAACTCGAATCCGCAAGAATTTTCGCTTATTCTATTTTAGCGCGAAGTTTTCGACTCAAAATTTTCTAACTAGAAATTTTCTTGGGTAACGTGATGTCCGAAAGCCAATATTCTCTTGCCGCTCGAGTTGCGCAGATGATTCAAAGATCATCTCCCCACCCGCGCCTGCACGTGTGGATTCTAGAGCCAAGCCTATTTTTTTGAAAATTTTGTGAAATCTTGCTTTCACAGCTTTTTCCCCTAAAGATTCGAAAAAAAGCTCTGCAATGTGAAAAAACATGCGGCGGTTTTCCGGATATCGCAATATCGCGCATGTCCGGCAAATGTCCGACATCGGCAGGAGATGTTTTCGGATATGCTCTCGGATAAAATTGTTCATTTAGCGCGCCCGTTAGCCGACTTATCTAACGTGATTTTTTCTTGTAGCGAAAAAAAAAACTGAAATTTTGAAGCAAAAGTAAATTCAATCAAAAAACTTTTTCAAAGAAAAAAATTGAAAAATCATCAAATAAAATCGTCAAAATTCCTAAAAATTATTTTTGAGGGAAAAGTAAATTTGAGAAAAAGTTAAAAAATTGAAAAAAAAATCAGAAATTTTTTTTCGCTTTTATTTTTGAGTTCGGATTTTGGAAAGTCTTTACTTCTCAAATAAATGATTTGCTTTTAGAAATCCTCTTTTTTCACGTCAAAATAAACGTCGAAAAAAAGGTTCAAGAAGGGAAAAATCGCAATTTCGTACCTGATATCGTCGAGAGAAAGAATAACGACGGAACAATCCGCATTTTCGTGTGTCCTAAAAAGAAAATTTAGAATCTTGTTACTTGAAAAGTACAGCTTGGCTTTTTACTGAAAATATTTGGTCGATTGCGGCGAGATTCGAGCATAACCGTGTTTGAAAAAATTGTAAACAAGTTATCAAGAATTTTAAGATATAACAAGTAAAACTGATGTTAAAACATTTATCTACAAATTTGTTCGACTAGGATAAAAAATTGAAAAAATTTTTGTTTTGAAAAATAAAAAGAACTCAAGAATAGCTTCTATTTAACGGGGAGGTGTCAGGAACTGACGATAAATCCCGAAAAATTTTACGTGGAAATTTTCAACCAATTAGAAGCCTGAATTCAGCTTACTCGGCTTCTGATTGGCCGGTTTGCCGAATTCAGGCTTTTGGTTGGTCAAAAATTTCCACGCGAAATTTCCTGGGACTTCTTGTCGGCTCCTGACAATTCGCAAAAATAAGGACCTCTTGTTTAAGAAAAGAGGTGCTTTTTTGCTTGAAAAAGAATAATTGCTTATATCATCCTTTTTGAATTTTTCCAGCGCAGCGGCCTTTTGCCTTCACCTCAAGGTTCTTTTAAATCGCCACAAAATTGAAGAATTAAATCAGCTGGAATATTTCGACTGCTGGTGTGACCGACGAGTTAACCCGTATGCGCATAAAAAGGAGACGCCAAGAATCGCGACCGCCCGATTACTAACGTAGTCAATTTCACAGCGGCCGCAATTTTCGTACGCCCCATGAGCGGTTTTATTTTCGCCCGGAAATGGAATCTAATTAGACAAAGCTTACGTAGTTAAAGCTGATTGTATCTTGGGAATACTACAGAAAAGGAAAAAAAGAGAGAGCTGGCTTTTTATCAACCGCGCGGGAGGGTAGATAATCTCGTTTCGGACACGCACGGAAATGGACGAAAATTACCACTTCCACAAAATGATAATGTGGTCCCTTATTGGATCAATTTGCCAAACCAAGCATTAACCGGCTGTACAAAATGATAGCGGAGTTTCTAAAGATAGCTTTGATCCAGGGTGCTTATCTTGAACGGGTCGATAGAGAGATATTTTATTGAGCCAAAAAAGTGATACCCTTAATTTTTTCCTTTATTTTGACTGAAAAATAAGACTTTTCAAGAGAAATACTTACTTATTTTTAGAGACTTTTTGCTAAAGATTCGATTTGTTAAATTAAGAGAGTGATACCCTTAATCAAAAAATCGTTTTTTCCATAGGAAGACTTTTTCAGAGAAAATTTTCTTATTTTGGATAGTTTTCCTAAGGATTTGATCTTTGAACCTAAGAGAGTGATACCCTTATTCAAAAAATCGTTTATTAATAAGCTCGAAAAACGAAATGTCTTTTTATAAAAATTAGCACTAGAATTCATCCAATTTTTCAACATCCTGTCCGGTCCTCACTCGTCGAGTCGGATTTAATCACCCGTCCGATCGTACCGCTCAACCGCACGGTCATGTTTCGCCCCGACTTTCCGCTCATAACGAAGTGCCCAATTTGAAACTCTCGAAAATGTCTAAAAGCAGCTGCCCTGGACGCTGTCAATTTTGCTTGTTTATCGTGACATTTTTGAAAAAGATGTTCTACGAGAGGCTAATTAACACTCACGCGAAAAAAGCAAAACGAGACCGAGGTGCTTATTTTTTTTCTAAAGCGATTTGCGAAATTGTAATTTTGACTTGTGTATAATTTAACGGGGCGCGCATTTTTTCGGACTTGATTTTAATTTTCATTTTCATTTTTTCTAGCTGAGTTTTAATTAAGGGAATACCGATGATATTTCTTGTATGAAAACAATGTTCAAAGAAATATTTTTTCTATCAGAAAATTGATGAATTTTAAGGGTAAACCATTGTTATTCACAGTTTTCAGATTTTTTTTATGATAGCGACACCCTTATTTGATGGTCTGAGTTTTATGAAAAATTCGGCTTTCAGTTTAAGCTTCTCAATTAATCTTTTATAATAAGGGTATCAAACCATAAATCAAGGATAAAGTCAGCTTTAAAATTTAATTTTACGGATTGTACATCCTTAAAATCCATTATGTTTCGTTTAAAATTTTTCTTGAGGTCATATCTTATCAATTAATCTGATTAAATAAGGGTATCACATCGAAAATCTTAGAAAAAAGTCAGTTTGAAAATTTAGTTTTTCGAATGCTACCTCCTTAATTTCTTTATCAAACCCTAACTCAATTTTTGACCGAAAATAAAGAAAACCGATCAAGTAATTGAGCAAATATCCTCCCCTAAATTCAAAAAAATTATCTTCCGGATGTCAATTTTCGTCAGAAATCCGCCCCCAATTTTCCAATTTCTCAATTTTACCATCAATTCCCAAAACGTATATTTCTCGATCAAAAAATAAGAAACTGCTGCGTAAAGCATAAAACCCATGTTCGCCATGTCCGGGCTTGTTTTTAGGCGAATTCACAAGAATTTATTTTTAGGTTCGAAGTATTTTGGTAAATTGTAATTTTGGATGGCGGAATTTTCTGAATGATTTGCTCAAAATTGAAAGGATGGAGAGCTGGAAATAAGTAATTACGGAAAAGGAACGCCCGTAAACAGAAGTAATGATAAGATAGGCCAATCACGTGTCACGTGGGTTTTTACGCTTATCGTAAAATGCCGTAACTTTTTGCAGATAATTGAGGAAAAAAGGCTCTATCTGGAAATGAATGAGGAAATTTTGATTTGAGAACTGATTCTTGAGCGAATATCGATGGCTGCACCCTTAAATTTTTTGTTTTTTATTTGTTCAATTTCTACTGATTCCTCATCTACTCAATTGAGTTTTTCGAAGACTTTAAGGAAGTTAATCGTATAAATGAACGTTTAAAATCTTCTTTTTCTTATGATAAAATTTATTATTATGGTCTTTCGAAAGAGTAAAATAAGCGAAATCGAAAGTGAGGAAGTAATTTATGTATCGGAAAGTGTCCATCCTTAATATCTACTTTCTAACATGAAGCACCGATCTTGTCCGGAGCAAAAAGCCCAATTATGTACAAGTCGCTCGGTATCCAAAAATAATCCAGCCGCATTTTTAGACACGATTTTCAAAAACAAATTGCTTCTATTTCTGGCAAATTCGAAAGGAAAGGCTTTAATTTTGTTCGACTCAAGAAAATCGAATTTGTAGCAAATGATTTTGATCATCAACAAATTGAGCTAACCCTGAGATCTTGGTGACGAGCTCATTTATCGTTTGACATAACAGGTGTTTTATCAAGAATCTAGAATCAGCTGGAATCGGCTTCCCGCTGAGATGATAAGAGAAAAAAACTGCAATTGTGAGGCTCTTTTAGTTTCTTTTGGATTCTAAAAATAATCCGATTGCCGGCGGAATCCATGGGCGTATCAGTTCTTGGCCATGTACCGGATGTCTTAAGGGTAACTCTCTCTTGTTTGACCAAACGGTTACCTCCCTAGTATCTGTTCAGACAGTAAACCCTTTGTCCCGTGTATCAATCCTAAAAAAACGTGAATAAGACCGAAAAAACGGACCGGTAAGTGACAAGTCTTTGACAAACCATCCCAATCATCCTAATTTAAAGCATCTCCCACATTAACGGTTCTGATTTAGCTAATGCGCTCCACAAAAGAGACCGCGGAAATTTTCCGCGAAATCAAGAGCTTCATAATATATCGTTTTTTTTTTTCAAAAATCTCACGCAATATTCAATCAATACTAAATGACTAGAATGATAAATAGTCTATACAGATCTAGTCTAGATAAATCCTAGTTGCTAGAGGATCGTAAAGCTTCATCTAGAAAGCATTTTTCCTCTTGATTCTAGGGTTTCTATCTCTATCTCTAGAATCTAGAAAAAGAGCAAAAATGCTACTGCAAAAATAAAAGTCAAGATTCTAGATTTGATAATGACGATCTAGAGTTGATTGATCCCCCAAGAATCTAGATAACTCTTAAGATAAAAATGATCTTTGAAAATATTCTAGACTTTTCAGTCTAAAATCTAGACCACCAAAATAAATTATTTTTTAGATTTTTCTCGCCGCAAATCAATTAATTCCTTTTGTTACCAACAAACTGATAAAATCCGAGTTCTAGAAAAATTCTAGGAAAAAAACTCACGTTATATAGAAGCTTTCAGCAAGAAAATTCTTCGTTGTCTTCGAAAATCTCTTTATTCAGTTCTTTTTTCTTGTTTTCTTCGAAAGAAACTCTCTACCAGTCGGAGGAGCAAAAACCACTAGCGTCTGCTATTTTCTTATTTTCTCTTGTAGCTAAGCGTTGTGAGGCGATTTCAGAAGGGGCTTGGTGCTTGCTCGCCTCGTTTGGTGGTGGTGCTAAGGCGCTGGGCCTGGTGTATTGCAGAGCGATGGAGTAGCGCCCCGGGCTAGAACAAGGTACTCAACTCAGACTACTTGCAATTGCGGTGGTGGCAGAACAGGGTGGTAGGGCGAGCTACCAGTCTCCCGCCGAGCGCGACAGGAGTTGACCCAGCGCGCGGCGCAGCAGCGCCACCGAGCGCCGCAATCTCGCTTTCAAAATCGCTGATAAGCGAAAAGCTGCAGAGCAAGTGAAGGGGACCCACTAAGCGCCGTCAAATCCGCCGAGCCGCGCGCAGGGGATTTAACCGCAAAACGAGCGGTTAGACAATAGAAGTGCTGATAAAGGAGATTGCTAACTATGGAGAAACTGATAAAACAACAAGTTTTTTCTTATTTCTTAAAATTTCAGAAAAGGATAAATTTTTATTCTTAAATTTTCTTGATTTAAAATATTCCAGAGGCCAGTTCTTTCGGGTAGAACCAATTTTTGGAACAGATATTTATGGAAAGGGTTTTGATTGGCCGGTAGGCAAAATACAGCAATCTTATTGGTTATCCAAAAATTCACTTCCAAAAATTGGTTTAGTCCGTTCTTTCTTGTTATAATGGTTTCATATCGTTTCTTCGATAATTTTTGATAATTCAATTTAAATTTGATGTGGCGCTTCTTAAATTTCAGAAATGTCATTCCACTGAATTCCTCCACCAGCGGCAACCCTGTTTCCTCATTATGTTGATGGGTGATTTTATCTTACCGAGCAGTTCCAGCTCAACTTTTGCTTCCTACAGAGGAAAAGCACGATGCGTATCCGAATAAAATCATTTTTTGAGAGAAAAGTTTGATGACAAAATAATGTTCATTTCCATGGCAATTTTCTATCAGCGGTTTTTTCGAAAATCATTATTTTTTATACAATTTATTTCAAAGATAAAGAACAATTTAATCATAAATTTATTCAGTTTCGGTGCATGTCAAAAATGTCAACACAAGTTTCTTCGATTTCATTCCCTTTTATATCCACTCCAAAAAATGCGCAGATTGACTAAGTTAGCTGAATTTTTATAGCGTGGAAGATGAAAATTAGAGTCAAACTCTACATTTGCGAAGTTAAAATATGATGAACAAAAATAAAGCCTGATAAAGCTAATGTTTTTCATCAAAATTTTTTATTGCGAATGCCGAATCATAGAAATAAAAAGAAACAAATAAAAATGAAAAATATAAACCAAAACGAATCGAATTTTATTGGGTTAAAATTGTTCTAAATCAGAAATCATATTTTGACGCAAAAAAATTATAATAAAAAATTTCTTCTCGGATGACTTTTGATGTGTTCTGATCTGTCGCTGTGTAAATCACATATGGCATCCAGTTATCCTAAACAAAAATATGATCTTTTAGAGAAAAATATTGACAACCAAGTCAGATTGATGTAAAGTGCCATTGAAGTAAAGCTCGGCGTAAGTATCATTCCGGCGATTGATGACGATTTTTTTAATATTCTCCATATTTTCAGGCAAATCTTCATTTTTGTACAAATCGATGCTGTGATCAATATATTCACCACCAATTTTTGAAGGGGCAATTTCGCCAACGAACTGGAGATGTGGCGTTGTTATATTCAGAAGACTTACAAAATAGAAAGAAATGCGGCTAAATAAAGATACATTATACCTTTATGATATGATTCTTACTTTGGACAATCTGGAAAATATGGCGGACATTCAGTCATCAAATCGCATGAGTTCGCTGAAACTTGATTTTTATATTCGAACAAAGGGTCTTACATGATCTTTCATAAGAATAGTAGTTTGGTTCGTCCGGAAAACAGAAATCCAAAAAATAATCAGATATGTTTAAATTTCGATAAGATCCGTGAAGATTGACACAATTTTCTTCGGAAGGAGCAATTAAAAAATTCTCACATTCATTTATATCTTCACAACGTCCATTAACTTCAATATATCCTTCAGGGCAAAGGCATCTTGACCCGTCATTTTTGTCATCGATACATCTGTATTGACACTCTAAAAAACCGCTTAGATGAAGTTAGAAAAATAACCGACCTCGTCCGTCACTTTCACAAATCTTCGTGAGAGAAGAGTCAAATACGCAAGATCCTCTCTTTTCTATGTATCCTGGAAAGCATGAGCACTCAAAATACGGCTTCACTTTTGAGCCCGTGTTTGAACAAATACCATTCCTGCACCGAGAAGATGTACAATGATCGTATTCCTCACAACTCTTCGTCATTTGATTGTAGGTTGGGGGATAAAAATAGTTGTAGGTGAATTCTTGTTGGTATCTTTCCCATACTTCCCATCCATCACTAGAAGACGGTTCTAATGGTTCCTCTTTGCAATCACACTTATAGCTTCCATTAGTGTTAATACATTTTGAGCCTCCTTCGCAATCGTGTAAGCCATGAACACATTCATCAATATCGAGGCAGCTTTTGATGACATTGGAGCCTTCAAAATGAACTGCTGGCAGGAAGCCTGAATTAAAAAAAAGTTTCATTATTGAGATTGTCAAAAAATGGCATTTACCTTCTTCACATTTTGAAGAACCAGTGCAGAGGAAGGTGTCATTATTATGAGCACATATAGCAGAATGTTCGGCCTCAGTTTTATTCATTCCATAACATAGTCCATGATCAAAGCAATAATTAATATCAACACATGTCCAATTATCGGTATTATTCGGGTGGTTATCATTACAAATTATTTCCGGAAATGGTTCGTCCTCACAATCGCTTTGCTCATTATCAAACTCGTGTTTCTGAATTACTTATAAAAAAAAAGGAAACCAAGAAATAATACTGGATCGCAGAAGCATTGATATTTTTCCATGCATTGACACTCGTAAGATCCAATAGTATTTATGCAATTTTGAAAAATGCCACAGGAGTCCCACCCAAATTTACATTCGTTCTCATCAACACATTTGCCTTGGATTTCATCATATTCGTATCCACGAAGACAAAAGCATTCATATCCGATATAACGATCAATACAAAATGAGTTTTCACCGCAGGGATTTGCTAAGCATTCATCTATCCCTTCACAGTCACGATAAGTGAAAAAGTCGTTATTGAATATTTCCAAAACCGTTTTACGCCCTTAAATATGTTTTTTATTGGAGTTTTTACGTACGTGTAAGAAATTTAATCTTCAAGAGCTCCCCCACGGTTTGTTCCGAAATGGCCTCGCGCGGACCAATATTCTTTAAAACAAGATTAAGGGGGGCCCTTTTTAAACTTAAATCTTATTGTTTATCACTTCCAATAAATTTATTCACATTATTATATTTTAGGTCATGGGCCATGACTCATGGCTCTAAGTTTTCTATGGATAAACAAACCGGTAAAGGTCCCTTATTTCGCATTTTACCGAAAACCGGATTTGATCGAACTCAAAATTAAGATCACTTATCTTGGATACACGACGTTTAGAACAAAGCGACGTTTGGAACAAGTACGTTTAGCACAAAGCGACGATTAGAACAATATTCTGAACGTCGTTTTATTCCAGGCGTCGTTATATTCTAAACGTCGCTTTTCCCTAAGAATTGCGTAGGCGCTCTCAAAAATTTGATTTGGACTAGAATCAGTTTGAAAAACGACGTTTTCCACAAACCGACGAGGTTTTCACTCTTCTGAGTCATTTAAATATCATTCAATATTATTTGAGGTTATTCTTATCAGATTTTTTCGGGTTTTTGAATAAGTTACATATATAAATCACATACATATATGTTTAATAATATATTTATTCGGTAAACATATCATAAGATAATCATTATTGTTATTCTATCGAATTTATATTGTTTATGAAATTAATATTTTGAGGAAAACTCAGGCAAATAACTTGTTCTCGTTTCAATCTAATTCGTTCTGGGCGCCCACGCGTTTCAGACTGAAAAGCGACATTTAGAATAAAACGACGCCTGGAATAAAACGACGTTTAGAACAGTGTTCCAGACGTCGCTTTGTTCCAAACGTCGTTTGTTCCAAACGTCGCTTTGTGCTAAACGTCGTGTATCCACTTATCTTAGCTTCATCATTATTAATTTTAATTTATTGATGGACAGCCTTTCAACTGAGCACATATCTATATAAGGGGCATGGTCTCGAACAGAGCTCATTAAAGTTGAGTTGATTTTTTGAAAATGAGGCCTAATTTGAGATAATACTTAGAAAACCTTAAGACTGAGAATTAACCTTAATCTTCCAGATTATAAAAGAACAGACCTCGAGCTTTTTTTTATGCGTTGAGGAAAAATTGATCCAAAGCAAGTAAAAATTTTATAATTAAATGAAAAAACCTTTTTTTTTTGCTTTTTTTTGGAAATTTTCCAAATTTCCCAAAAAAGATGAATTCTTTATTTTCTCATAAAAGTTTCAACTCTTCACCAGAACTATATAAGGACCAAAAAAAATTTTTCAAAAATCGTGATTTTTTAAACCGTGGTCGGGTTCCTATATTCTCAAAATGATCGGGAAGCACTTCTCAATGCCAGCAGTAAGGTTACCAGTAGAGTTGTTCTTAACTATATTAAGATTTGTATATAAAATCGGTAGAGATCCATAGAGATTGCGTGGCCCAACCCTCGACTTTGTTAAGACTTTTAAAAAGATTCTTCCCTTTGGTCGTTCAATGAACGGGTTTAATTAAGTAAACTAAGTTGGACTCATAATCTGTCCGATTGATTACGAACCGGATGGCGCAGTGCAGCGCAATGCAGTACCCCCGAATGCACTTTTTGAATAAACCTTTTTCGCATGGCCGATGATCATATCCAAATACACTATATTTTAAGTCGGATTGATAGAAGCACTTCAATTCGTCATTTAAGCTTGTACAAATCGCGTTCTCCCATGGATCTTGTCCATGATCACAGAGTCCCTGATCAATACAAACTTGCAGATCTTCACAAGTTCCGTCGAAGCGATCGCCTTCTTTGCATTCGATACGAGAGCTGCCATCATTGAAGTTGGGTTCTGTTTTGGGTTTCCACGCGCTGCATGCAGATAAGAAGATGAATACTTAAAAAAATTTACCAAAAGATTTGTGATTTTGGTTGAGCACCTCTCTGATATCTCGTTATCATCGTTGATTGCTTCAAAATAGAAAAGCAACCTGTTGAAATGATTTTCAATGCAACTGAACGTGAAGCAAAAGAGCTGACGTTTTATTGACAAATAATCTGCAACAAATAGAGAATGCCTATCTCAGGCGAAAAAAAAATGCGAAGACTGCCGAAAGAAAGCGGCATTTTCAAGTCGAGAAGCAAATATTTTTAAATCAAACTCTGCCAATCGTCAACTTAAAAATTGATTCTACGGAAAAAATAAGACTTATATAGCCGCATTTTCGAAAGTCCAAAAAGCTAAGCCATGGAGATAAACGATTTTTCGTCTAGCCGAGCTTATCCTTTCAAAATAATAAAGCTGGAAATTTATCTCGGATAATTTCGGATAAAGATTAACAAAAATAATGGTTTTTATTGAGGCGCTCGGTCAGCTGCTACCATCTTAACCCTGTCTCGAGCATTCAAAATTATCCTATCTCGAGCGCGAGCACACGGCCGTGAGCTCGCCCATCTAGAGAAAAAATGTCATTTCTTTCTCTCTCTTGTCTGTGCAAAGGGCATTAATTGCAAGAAAGCTGGTCTGTAAGACAGTAAATAAAACAGTCCTGATCATCGCAAGCCTCATTTCGGTCATTTTGGGGGTGACCCATCCCGATCCGACCGTGAAAAAGGGTGGTCGGCGCCGACCCTAGCCCTCAGCACAGACAAGAGAGAGAGAGAATGAACAGACATTTTTTTTCTCTAGATGGGCGAGCTCATGGCCGTGTGCTCGCGCTCGAGATAGGGTTAAATTGCTGCAGCGAAAAACTGGATCTTTTTGTTACGGCAAATCTTGAAGACAAAATAAATAAACTTATTGAGAGGATTTTATAAATATTGTTTAATATCAATAAATTTGCGGGGCGCACTGACAATGTCGTCGAATGTCGTCGAATCTCGTCGTTTAAAAATTTTATATTTTGAAAACAAAGCGTTCTAGACTCTAGAATCTAGAGATTTCAATTAGCCAAAATATCAAAATAAAGTTGTATTTTTTTTTATTTTTGAAACTCGGATTGATATTCTGTTGTGAGACGACTTTATGTGTGATAAAAAATTTGCGGTTTTTGTTTTTATGAAAAAATTTTTATTGCTCAAAAAAGAAAGCTTTCGCCGGTCTCATATGATTAGAGTCTAATCTATCGAAGCATTAATTTAAAAACCGAATTTGCGAAGAAAAGCTGACTGATCGAAATTTCTCTCTTATCATATTTATCCGACGAGTTCGCGCTTTAGCTCCGCCACATTCGGACTTCAAAAAGCCGGTCGCAAGAAAAAGCCATCACTTCGTCTTTTTCTGAAAGAAAAGATGAAGCTTTCATCGGGACTTTTCGTCCTTTTAGAGAATGCTCACGCAGCGGTTGCACCCGGGCCACGGACAAATGATGATACCGCGTACGGTGATATGGTCTTTTCCGGATGCCAGTATGAACGAATGCTGGTAAGATTTTTCTCCAAAGATTTTTCATCTCTTTTTCTAGAAAGATCCTCGACTCCCGTCCGGCCTTCATTTCAATCATGACGGCTCAGCCTGCTCTTCTCCTCTCGAACGAACTTTTCCCCCATGGAGAGGCTATCAAGACGACGCTGATGGAAAATTCATCGTTCCCTACTTCTTCGACTTCGGCTACAACAACACCGAGTACGATGGATTCCTAGGAGAACATTCTGCTAGCGCGATCAGATGGAAGCTCGGCGAGATGAACAAGAAACTCAATGTCAAATTCGTCGAGATCTATCAAGACGAAGTTGATTTGTACCCAGACCATATCGAGATCGTCAACGAGGAGAACGATGATTTCCTCAGCGCCTGCGCCTCCTACATCGGCAAAATCGGCGGCAAGCAAAAATGGTACATGCGACCCGACTGCGCCTTCCACGACTACTCCCAAGTCAACCACTTCGCCATGTATATCCTCGGATTCGGACCAGCCTTCACACGATCCGGTTACGACTTCGCCGGCGCGGGCTATCATGAAAGTTTGCTTGGAAATGCAAACTATCACTTCCTTGTCGAGGAATTCCAGACCACTTGGAATGGCGATAAGAAGAGTGTCTCAAATCTTCTCCCTTACAAATTGGCAGATGGGAGCTTTTCAATGTGGGATGAGTACATCTACGGAGATATCACCAAAAGATGATTCGAGATTTTCCAGTATCAAATGAAGATATCGACAAAATCAACGGCTACTATCCACTTGACGAAGACAATTTATGTCTAAATGGGTTGAATAAATGTCCAGCCGAAGCATCTTGTCGCCCTATTCCACACTATGATAAGTATATTTGCGACTGCCCTGCTGGAACCATCACAAGCATGGATTCTTACGACATGTACAACGATCAAAAATGCGTTGTTCCAGACCACCTCTACTTGTTCGAGTGGACAAATACCACCCATTTTCACGGCTATGAGCTAAGAGCAGCTCCATATCTCGAATTCAGAGACGCCAACGGATCCTACATTTGGGATTATGATCACAAACAGGAAATCTACGCCAGGGTAAATCTATATCAAAAGTCTTTGACTTTTATATTTTAAGGCAAATTTGATCAGTTTTGGTCCCTCAGATGCACCTGTCTCTCCGGAATTCTGGCCAGAAATTCAAGATAACGTTGTAAAATTCGATTATGGATCGACTGGTTTTTACGACATGGTCGTACCGGAACCTGGCTACTATCAGTTCGCCTATGAGATCGTCGACGGACAAGGGAATAAGTTCTTCCCAGAGTTTGACACAGAAGGAGAAACTTACGATGTTACCCAACTCGCGCCAGTCGCCGTCACCATGGACAATATTCCTGAAATCTTGCCAAAGTAAGTTTTTAGTTCATCATTTTTAATCATTTATTAAAGCAATGTTACTCACGAAGTATCGATGCAAATGATCAATGAGCTCGGCGAGCCCGTCTTTCTCGGCCCTCAACTCTACCACTGGATGGACTTTGAGTGGGATCTTTGGATTGAGTACCAAAACCCTGATGCCAACTGGACTTGGAAGTGAGTGCCGCAGAAAATAAAAAGAAAATTAAACGTTATTTAAGATCATATATTGACGGAAGTAGCTGCGATGAAAATGGAGCGATCACTTTCAAAATGAACCTGATCGACTACGCCGATGCCCCAGGCAGGGTTTGAAATCTGACGAGCTCACGAGCACGTGAGCACGTGAGTGAGCTCGATGAGCATGCTCACGCGTGCTCATGCTCACAGAATTCTAGGCCCCTCGTGCTCACGCGTGCTCATGCTCACCGATTATAGAGCACAGTCGTGCTCACGCGAGCTCATGCTCATGGATCTCTGGAAGGGCAAATTCTGTGCTCATGAGCACGTGAGCACGTGCTCTAAGCTCACATTAAGACGTGCTCACAGTCGTTAACGACTCAAATTGGAAGGTTCTATAAGCGTTTATAAGTCAAACTTGGGGTAAGGGTTCTGCGAGTGGGACTTTTCGGGCCGTCTCAGCCCCGTTCCTTGATTTCTTAATTTAAGGGCTTGACGGCCCTTCGGGCCGTCTCAGCCCCGTTCCTTGATTTCTTAATTTAAGGGGCTTGACGGCCCTTCGGGCCGTCTCGGCCCCGTTCCTTGATTTCTTAATTTAAGGGGCTTGACGGCCCTTCGGGCCGTCTCAGCCCCGTTCCTTGATTTCTTAATTTAAGGGGCTTGACGGCCCTTCGGGCCGTCTCGGCCCCGTTCCTTGATTTCTTAATTTAAGGGGCTTGACGGCCCTTCGGGCCGTCTCGGCCCCGTTCCTTGATTTCTTAATTTAAGGGGCTTGACGGCCCTTCGGGCCGTCTCAGCCCCGTTCCTTGATTTCTTAATTTAAGGGCTTGACGGCCCTTCGGGCCGTCTCAGCCCCGTTCCTTGATTTCTTAATTTAAGGGGCTTGACGGCCCTTCGGGCCGTCTCAGCCCCGTTCCTTGATTTCTTAATTTAAGGGCTTGACGGCCCTTCGGGCCGTCTCAGCCCCGTTCCTTGATTTCTTAATTTAAGGGGCTTGACGGCCCTTCGGGCCGTCTCAGCCCCGTTCCTTGATTTCTTAATTTAAGGGCTTGACGGCCCTTCGGGCCGTCTCAGCCCCGTTCCTTGATTTCTTAATTTAAGGGGCTTGACGGCCCTTCGGGCCGTCTCGGCCCCGTTCCTTGATTTCTTAATTTAAGGGGCTTGACGGCCCTTCGGGCCGTCTCAGCCCCGTTCCTTGATTTCTTAATTTAAGGGGCTTGACGGCCCTTCGGGCCGTCTCGGCCCCGTTCCTTGATTTCTTAATTTAAGGGGCTTGACGGCCCTTCGGGCCGTCTCAGCCCCGTTCCTTGATTTCTTAATTTAAGGGGCTTGACGGCCCTTCGGGCCGTCTCGGCCCCGTTCCTTGATTTCTTAATTTAAGGGGCTTGACATTGGCTAGGACCTTTGAGGTGATCAATCTCAGTAACGTCCCCAACCCCGCCCTCACCCATTGTTGTTAAATTTAAAATTATCCAAGATTTTAGTTTTATTATGGTTTTAAGGGTAATGGTATACATCGGCGCGGCGCTGCTCTCTCGATCCGCGTTCCGCCAGAACCTATTTCTCACGGAGCCGTAAAATCTAAACGGATAAAGATTTTTTCAAAATTCAAAAAGATTCTGAATAATCAAAGTCTTTTCTACTAATACAGCAAAATTGGTAATGATTGTCAAAGAGGAACTATCTGAAAATTGCCAGTTTCCTTCAAATGACATTTTCTTCGATATTTCTCATCCAAAATTTTTGAAAATTACATTGTCTTGTAGAGAATCGTCAGCTTTACAAATCCTGTTTTTCAGATTTTTGTTTTAAGGTCTTCGGATTTAAATATGCGCCCTTGAAGTCAGCGCAGTGAGGTCATTGCGTGAGAAATAGAGAGCGGAGAGGCGCGAGAAGAAGTAGCCCTCTTTACAAATTGCGATGTGAAATTAATAAAAGCTTTAAACAAAAATCTGAAAAACAGGATTTGTAGAGCTGACGATTTTCCACAAGACAGTGTAATTTTCAAAAATTTTGGATGAGAAATATCGAAGAAAATGTCATTTGAAGGAAACTGGCAATTTTCAGATAGTTCCTCTTTGACAATCATTACCAATTTTGCTGTATTAGTAGAAAAGACTTTGATTATTCAGAATCTTTTTGAATTTTGAAAAAATCTTTATCCGTTTAGATTTTACGGCTCCGTGAGAAATAGGTTCTGGCGGAACGCGGATCGAGAGAGCAGCGCCGCGCCGATGTATACCATTACCCTTAATTTAAAATTTTGAAAATACTCTAGGCACACTAGCAGCTCATAAGCAAGTGAGCATGAGCTGCTCATGAGCACGTGAGCATGAGCTGTTTATGAGCACGTGAGTGAGCTCAATGAGCATGCTCACGCGTGCTCATGCTCACGAAAATTTAAGCATCCCCGTGCTCACGCGTGCTCATGCTCACGAAAATTTGAGCATCTCGTGCTCACGCGTGCTCATGCTCACTGAAATTTGAGCAGCCCCGTGCTCACGCGTGCTCATGCTCACTGAATTTTGAGCACCCACGTGCTCACGCGTGCTCGTGCTCACGCGAAATTTTCAGATTTCAAACCCTGGCCCCAGGGTTAATGGAAAACGAAGAGCCTGTCCCTCAACAAGACCTTGATCTAAGTCCAGAAGAAATGCGAAAACTTTCCCCCTCGGAGCGTCAACAAGCTCGCGAAGAGAGGAGAGAAAAGCGATCGCTCAGTACGGTGATAAGATTTGGCCACGATACGTTACCCCAGGTCCGGTCCGATTGTTCTTCGCCAATTGGGGATTCAACGAAATGATCAAAGATCTACCAATTGAGGAAACTAAATTTCACTACTCTGAATGGTTTATTTTCGCGTAAGTATCATTTTTCAATTTTTTCCTAACGAATTATATAAAGATCCGCAAACTGCACCGACTGCCACGAACACGCCCAATGCAACGATGAAGGCATGTGCGAGTGCAACGAAGGATTTAGCGGCGATGGCTACTCCTACTGCATTCCTAAAATTCCTGAAATACTCAAGGATCATTTGTCTGCGATTTCAAGAAGGAACTCTGTGACGACTTGGACCTTCCAAAGCCTGAATGGAAAGGAGTAAGATATTTCTTTCTTGTTCGAATAAGCTGATATTTTTCTTAGCGAAGAGGAATGCGATACATTTACAAATCTGAAGCAGGCTCTCTTATGGCCATGAAGCTTCGTAATAATGGCAAACTTGATATTCGACAAAATCTCTACTCCGGCCTCTTCGTTTGGACCAAGGACGTCTGCGGAATGGACTTCATGAGAGCAATGGAAGATGGCCGAATTGGCATCACACTCATCGACAGCATCGACATCTACGATTTGGAACATGTTCACTACAAGTCCTTTGCGGTTAGTCTTTATAGTTTTTTTTTCGCTAGAAAGTATTTTTCTAGAAATACTCTTCAATCGGAATCAGCTTCGATCTCACAGAAGTCGTCACCAAGGACACTCCATGGAAGTTCGTCAAGGGCGTTCCAACCAAAAACCTTGCGTCCGACGACGTTCAAATCATGCTCACCGGCCTTGACAAGGTCTCTTTCCTCACTACCGAAGAGAACTGCTTGCTCACCGGCGGCGCTGCTTATCTTGAGGCTCGCGAATACACCGATCTCGAGCGCTCTTGCTTGATTGAAGGAAAAACTTTCTGGTCAAAGCCTGTTCTTCCAGCTGCTTAAATCTGTGGTTAAATTTCTCGATGAAATAAAATTTCGTTTTGGTGGTAGCAAAATCAAAGTTGTTTATTCCTAAAACGGCAAATCACGAACTTGCTGAATTTCTCCAGTTATTTTTTCATTTTTCTTCGATTTTCGTTTGACGATAATTTTTTTCCAGCCGCTCTCGATTTTCGACGTAGAGATTTTTACTTTGAAGTTTTTCTCAATCAATCGATATTCTGAGATTTGAGCATCGTTGTCGTCAACAACGAAAGTGTCTGTTCCGCCAATGAAAAAAGTGGAGGCTTTTTTTTGCTCATATTTTTTCAAATCGTCGGTCGAATTTATTCCAAAGAATGAAACTTAGAAATACATATTTACAAAAGAGATTTGAACTTACGAATATCTACTCGAACAGATTTGCCTACGGTGTCTCTTTACTTGTAGTTGAGTGTTTCTTTTCTCCCTTCGTTATTTGTTATATAATTGATGAAATGATCAAGATCCATTTTGAAATCATAATGCTTGTACAAATAATCCGAGATATTTTTGATTTCTTCTTTGTCTTTATCCCGCTGAGTGCTAATCGAGACATGATCGCTCCCAATATATATTTCAGGATTTTTATAAATGCAAAAATAAGAATAACACTAATTGTTCTCATTCATTTTTAATTATTTTATCTCATTTTCTCCCTAAATATCAATCTTCGGCACCAAAAAATATTTCCGATTTTATATGGCAGATACAATTCTTGAAAAAATCGCCAGGTTTGTTCGTTTCTGATACAAAGCCAAACTATTAATCGACAGGAAATCAAAGACTTCTCCCACTTTTGCTAAATCCTGAGGCTACAGCGTTCTCCAAGATCGCTGGTGATTTCATAAACAATAAAAGAATATCCTTAACATAAAAAACTTGAGTTGGTAAAAATAATATGAGAACGATTTAGACCACGCTCTTTTTCTCTCTTCAAATTCTTCAAATCTCAGTGTTTTTAAAACAGTTTTTAAACCATTATTTGATTTACTCAAGACTCGGCGCTACCGAAACAAAGATAGAGCCCTTTTTTTCTTGGAATATTATTATCAGAAAATTGCATTTGAATTTTTTAACGATTCAAAAACCGCAGAACTAGATGGCACCGTAATTATATGGCGTCATGAAATTTATGTTCTGCTGGAAGGTTGTAAACGACTCTTTTATCTTGCCATCGTTATTTTAACTCTCTGTGCCAGCGACAAAAGTTTTGATCAGATGAGAGAGAAAAAATGGTGAATCTTTTAAAATTTTTCATATTTTTTCAGTTGTCAAAAACGCAGACAACAAGCTCTTCAACAAATCAGGAAATAATTGCCGTCGAGATTACTTCTGTATGGACCTTTGACTGGGAAGTAGGCCTCTTAGATTTCAATTCTGATGTTTACTTTGAAAAACAAAATAGAGTCAAATTTAAATTTAAATTTAAAAGAGTCAATATTTAAATTTATTGTTGATGTCTTTATCAATAATCAATGGAAAATTCCTCTTAACTCGAATAAAAAGGCGTTGATTTTGGATATTTTTTCTGACTACAACTATTATTTCATCAGAATGGAATTCTCTTTCGATTCTGATGTCATATGCTCATTCCGGCTAGACTTTGAATCCAATCTTGACTACAGAAGTCTTGTCGAAGAATTTGGGAACCTTACCGCACCACCCGAGTTATTAGGCTGGAATTTCGGCGAAATCTTTTTGGATGAATGTGGAGGAATAATAGATGAGCCTCAAATCATAACATCTCCTGGCTATGAGCGTGGCTACTACTACGGGAATCTCAACTGCACATGGATAATCGAGCTAGATAATGTTGTCAGCTTTAACATTGTCAAAGTTGACTTCGAACTTGAAAATTCCTTCGAGTGTCAATTTGATTCCGTTACATTCAACGAAATCAGCGTATATTGCGGGACCTTCTTCGAAACTCAAAACATTGATGGTGGCTCAGCTAGAATTGTATTTCAAACGGATGAGTTCGATGCATATAAAGGATTTAAACTTAACATCACGGAATTAACGATGGCATCATCGACGATATCAACGACGGCATCAACGATACCAGCATCTACATCTACGTTTATATTTAAAACGGAATCAATTATAACAGACTCAAATACAATCATGCCTTCAACCACGTCGTCAAATTGCTTAAAAGCTCATTTCGCAACAGTCGATTGTACGAATTACAGTTTTGTTGTGACTTTAGATCAAAATTGTTTCGACTCACATTGGAATAGAGGAGAACAATGGAACGAAACGCTAATCTTTGGAAGCTCTGGGGACCCTCTTTGTGAATTTAATGTTGCCGATCAAGGATCAACTACTTTTGAAAGTATAAAATTAAGGTCAATTTCAAGTAGAATTTCAACTTGTTATTTAAGTAAAATTCGACGAATGCGGTGTTGTCCCGAATTATCCAGACTCGTCTGACAAATCGGTCATAGACTTTAACCTGGCTGGAAAAGTCAAGGAGACATTAATTGTATCCGACTTGAGGTTTTTTATTATAAATGAATTTTTTAAGGGAAATGATGATATCGAATCATTTTTCGATTTCAACTATAAATGCGAATACAGAGGTGTTACAGAAGTAGAAGAAATCGCGGTATTTATCTGTCAATGCTTGAACTACATATAAAATTAAGGAACTTTATGATGCAGATATATTAAAAGTCAACAATACATTGACATTGGACAGCTCCGTAATACCAGCACTATTATCTTGTCCAATATCAGAATCACTCTTTTTTACGTCCCCGTTTGATTATTGCGAAATCAACAATGGAATTTTGAAATTAGGAGATTTATTCTACGTTGGCTGGACGAATTTATTTGCGAATGATTTACTTGGTGCCATGAAATTTCGAATCGAAAATATCTGGATTGGGTAGGAAAACTAACCAAAATAACCCTCAACATGTTAAGTCCATCTTCGGGAGAAAAAACACTTCATTTTGTGAGCGATGGCTGTCTTAAAGCACCATTTGATACAGGTCGAAACATAATTTATCCATGGGGAAGAGATATTGAATGGTCTGCATTTAAATTCAAAAACTCCAATAATGTTTTCTTTACGGTTTGTTTCTTGAAATTGTTCGATCTAATAGTTGTGTTAAAGTTTGAGCTTATCATGTGCATCGAAAATGACACGGAATTCTGTATGGGAGCTACTGACTGTGGATCGGGAATTGGAAATCAAGCCCTTTTCGTAAATTGGCTCGCTTCAAACGATCCTTCAAATGCAAAAAGAAAAAGAAAATCAAGTGCTGATGAAAAAGGATCAGTCTTTCAAACTCAGGATCTCGTTGAAATTACGGTTAGTCTACCTCTGAGTCAAAGTTCGAAAATATGCTTGCCATATTTATTTTCTTGATATTTAGGGCGCTAATGTCGAGGTCATCGTCCCAGAGAATGCGAAAACACGAGAAGAAACTATCAACGGTCAGACAATCATCCTTCTTTCTGATCAGCTTGCTTCAATCAATTCCGGAGCCTCAGGAAATTTTTCAACATTTTTACTCTTTTTTGCTTTTAGCTTTTTCTTCTTCTAGAAGTTCATTTCTCTGATTGCATGAATACATGTATTATTAATTAAAAAAAAAACTTTTTCAATAAATTCATAAATGATGTTCACTTCCTTTTAACCCTGTCTCGAGCACTCAAAATTATCCTATCTCGAGCGCGAGCACACGGCGATGAGCTCGCCCATCTAGAGAAAAAATGACATTTTTTCTCTCTCTCTTATGTGTGCGCAGGGCAATGATTTCAATAAAACTGGTCTGTAAGACTGTTAATAAGACAGTAAATTCTGATAAATCTTCTAGTACTCTAACTTTTTCTTCGTCTTCTTGAAAGTAGAGTACCAGAGAGGATTTTTATCAAAAAAGGTACACTGAAATTACTTTTTGTGCTTATAGTTCTTAGCTTTATGGAAGCGCAAGATTTCGAAGGCGTTCTTTTGACTGAATCTCAAGTCCATTCTGACAGAGAAGACGATGAAATTGATTATGGTTGTTCAGACGATGATTCTAGTAGGAAGGCATTAAAAATTTTCAAAAAAAATACGTTCATTTCTCGTGGCTTTTCTTTTCCATTCCTCAAAGTTTTCTTCTTCCCACTCTTTCAGTCGCTATTTCCTTTGATCTAAGATTATATGCCTCTATAGTGACGAAGAAGAGATAGAACAAGTCTGTTTTCAAACAAATGAGGAGTATTTGAAATTCAAAAAATCCGTGGAAAGTCATAAAGATGGTAAACGTTATCCTCCCCTGAACTTCACGCTGCTACAACAGCCGAATTCTTCTTCTTCCATTCCTTCTCATCCTCCCCCACAGCCGCGAATTATTCCAGAGCAGTACTATAAGTCCCCAAAAAAACTATTTGATAAAACGTACGGAATCGAGCGATTTTTTTTGCCAATACTCAATCGCACAAATCAGAATTTAAAGGAAAAATTTCCTTCTGATCCTTTGTTCACCATGGAGGAGCTGCAACGCGGCTTCGGAATGTTATTGTACAGTGCCCTTGAAAGATGCAAAAGCAAAGGAATGGATGATTTTTATTCAGATGCGGTCAAATATCACAAAAATCTCGAACAATATAAATTACTTTCTCTTAGAAGATTCAAAAAATTTCGATCTCTATTAGATGTGGGTGAAGATGAGTATGTTCTTTATCCCGGAAATGAGCATCGTCACATAAATTCGAGAAGAAAAATTTGGCCGTTTGTTCAGTTATTAAATCAAGTTTCTGCTAATTTCTGCTCTTTCGATTGGGGCAATCAATTTCATTCATTAGACGAATCGCTTCGTCGAAGCTTCGGCCGTCGAGATCCAATGCGCAAATATAATCCGCAGAAACCGGCAAAATACGGTCATCAGGTTCAGATGCTTTCTGGACCTGATGGCTGTATTTTGTCGGCCATTCCGGATCTCGACGCCGAGCACAAATTGTACTCTAGCCTTGGTGAACTTTTCTCTAAAATTATTCCAAATCGTTGTAAAAATATTGGGGGCCGTATTGCGATGGATAATTTTTTTGTCTCTCGAGAGAGTATTGAATTTCTCACAGGTTGGGTGGATTTCAATTTTTAATTTACGGATTTGAAAATTACGAATTTTTAAATTTTGACCTCGGATTCGGATTCCTCATGCCGAAAAACTATTTTTTCGCTTCATTTTTGTCGCCCTCTCTAACACCCTTAAAAATTTAGTGATAGCCTTTAGTTACCTATTGTTTATTTATCGCGAGCAGAAGCTCCAAAATTTTTTCATGAGTGAGAGGTTTCGCGAATCTTAAAATGCTTCGTCGCGGACGTTATTTTTCCGACAAAGGCCGTGAGCGCGGATGAGCGCGAGCAGAGATCTCCCAATTTTTAGGTGAGTGAGTGAGCGCGAGCAGTGGCCTTGAAATTTTACGTGAGTGAGTGAGAATGAGCGCTTGCTCGCTCGCTTAGCTCGCTCGCGGCTCGCGATCATCATTTTTTCAAACACTGGACTGGGGCTCAATAAATTGCTGAGGTTAGGCACATGTTCCATTGTTCTAAGGTGGGATTGGTGGGAGAATGGCTTGCTTACTGAATTTTCAATGAATGAATTCAAGAAAATCATATTATTTTTGGGTCCCTTACAGATATTTGCGCCTATTACGATAAGGTTTCGAAAAAACCTGTAGTTTTCATTACCAACGCCTTCGATCTTATGCACGAATACTCGAATCTCCCCCATGCTAGTCTTATTCTCGATGGGAAGGCGAAACCTCCTGTTGCTATTCTGTATAATCGGAATATGGGAGCAGGGATGTGGATTTTTGGGAAATTTTGATTGATTATTCTTGGTCCGAGCCCGGACTAGTCTGTTTAGAGCCCTGGTCTCGACACAATCAATTCGCGCACTTATTTTAGCGCACTAAAATTTTTCGACAGATTTTAGGACGCGAATTTACCAGCCGTGAATAGCCTATTAGAACAGGACTTTCCATGTACAAAAACTCATCAGACATGCACACAGTCACACTTTCTACGTCCGCGAAGGATCTCCGCGCCTGTGTGTATGATTTTATCACGAATTTGCTTTTTGAAGATGAAACGAAACATTGCGTAATTTCAGCGAATTTTATTGCAGTTTCTGATAGATCTTTATCCACATCCCTGTTAAGGCGGGGTTGACTCGATTGATCAGAGCCTCGCTCGATATTCAATCATTTTCGAGTCGAAAAATTTTGCGGGATCTTACGCTCACTTCGCGAAAAAAATGCTTTGTAACGTGCTCGATATGGCCTTTTTCAACGTTTACGTTCTTTTCAAAAAATATCAGATAAGAACTAAAGCAAAAGTTAAAAGTGATAATCATCGACAATTTTTACTTTCTCTTGCTCATGAATTTCTCGGCAAAAAAGCTCAAATCCCTTCTGTTTCATTATCACTCCCTCAGATTCAATCTGTCTCATCTTCTAAATTGCCATGGATTGAAACGCCCTACAAAAAAATGCGTGTCAAGTGTTACTATTGCCCCACTAGAGCGCTCAAAGGGAAAATAACAGGTGTTAGCTGCAAGCTCTGTAAAAAACCTATTTGTCCTCTTCATCGTAAGCCTTTTGGTTCATTTTTCTCCTGCAAATTTTGCATTTGAAAACGCTTCGACTTCGCATTTCATTTATCATTTCAACTTTCATTTTATTCATGTTTTCACCGTTAACTTTATCTATCATCTACTTTTTTCATTGTCATTGAAATTTTAGAGAATAAAACCATTTATCCTCATGCATGATTCTCATTCATCAATTCATTTTCTATTCATCCGTCTATCAGACTAGCTTTATTGCAATTATTGCCCCCAGGACAGACAAGAGAGGGAGAGAATGAAATTACATTTTTTCTCTAGATGGGCGAGCTCATCGCCGTGTGCTCGCGCTCGAGATAGGGTTAAATTAACCATGCGCCGGTTCTTTAGAAATCAGTCTTTAACAAATTATTCTCTTCAACATTGAAACTCCTCCCCGCAAAATGCCAACATCTTCTGTTTCTCCTCAAAGTTTTTCTCTTCAAAGACGAGTTCGTCTGAGACAAAGAAAGAGAACGACACCTGATTGAGAATAAGAGAAAGAGAGGACGCACGCTCTTTTGGACGTACGCTCTTTTGGGACGTACGCTCTCATTAAATATCGCTTGGAAAAATAAACGTCGAGCGTGAGTGTATTCGAACTTCTTTTTGCGTCAGCAGAAAAAAATGTGTCTTGGGCTTCTTATGATTTAAGCAGATGATATTTTTGAAATCAGAGGAGGGCTGACGAACTTCTGATATGAATCAATCAGAAGTTAAGGATCGGATTCGATTACAATTAGCGTTTCGAGGGAAAAAGAGGCGGTGAAACTTAATTACTCGGATTAAATTTGTTGAAAACAGGTTAAAATCAGACTTATTTTCAGCAGTTTTGTTTTCTGATAAAGAAATCTCTTGCTTTTTCTGCTCTTCGAATGACATTTTGAAAGAGCTTTCCTCCGCCATCACAAGCATAGTTTGCAGCAAAACTGTTGATTGCTTCGTTTAATTTGATGTTTTTTTCGCAAAGGAAGCCTATTTGAACGAAGTCAGGTTTGATCATCATTTCTTGCTTAGAACTGAAGCCATTTTCCTCGAAACAGAGGGTTTCTTCTTTGGGCGACTTTAGTTTGCTCATTATTCGTCGCATTTTAGCGGTAAATCGTTCCTTGAATCGAGGTAGAACACCCGGCAGGAGCGCAATAATCGCCTGAATTAATTTATTTTCCGACGTTCTTGAAGATCCAAAGTACCTTGATTTCCGCTTGAATCTGGCGTTTGAAATATTTCTTGGTAAAAGGAATAATTTCGAAACTAAAGCCATCGTAACCGAGATCGTAATCAGACTTGAAGGTAATAGTAGCGGATCCACTTTTGACAGGAAAAGAATGCTGTACAAGGATGAACGATGTTGTCGAACGATAATCAGAATAATTACTTATTCTTCAAAAAGAAACAATAATTAATCTTCATCCCATTTCGGAAAACCCCCTTTGTTGTATAACCAAAAGTCTGATTTTCGAACTTCACTGTGCTTCTTCTTTTTAACTTGCTTTTTATCTGATATACCTTTGCGGCCTTTGAAAAAAATATGACCAGAGTTTGATCCGCAAAAATATTCTTCTGCCCCGTCAGTAGCTACGGCAAGATAATCAAAGCTGCAAATTTTATTCCAGTGTTGCTCAACCTAGAAAACGCTCGGAACGATTTCGAAGCCAGAATCTAGCTCGATGTTCCATGTGCAGCGCGAAAAGTCCGGGTCAGGGTTCGGTAATTTGAGCTCACGCTAAAACTCAAGGAAACAAAGCTTGAGACTCACGTTTTTTAATTTGAGTTTTGAGAACTCAGAGATGAGAAATCAATTCTGGCGATCCATGAGCCAATCAAGGAAGCGCTCGCTTAATTTGAGTTTTGAAAACTCAAAACTCTCAAATCTCCATAAAACTCAAAACTCTCAAAATCTCAAATCTTCTCAAAATGATTTCTCAAGTCACTTTGAGTTCTCAATTTGAGGAAATTTGAGCGTCTAGCCAATATGAGTTTTAGCTTGAGCTCAAATTACCGAACCCTGGTCCGGGTAGACGAGCGGGAAAAGAGGAGATGTGATTGTTTGCGCTGATGTTATTTTTCCTCCGCAGTCAAAATAGAGCGAAGTGGTAGAACCTTGTGTTGTCGTTGTTGGTTCTCGCGTTGTTGTTGTGTATATCGTCGTGGTATAAAAATATGATGTCGTATCATCATTATGCCATCCAGAAATTCCGATTACAAAAAGAAAATACTTAAAAAATAACATTGCTGAAATCAAATGGTTTTTTTTTTAATTTTACCTTCATGCCGATCTTTCTCTCTTAACTGCTTTGCGAAAAATCTGTCCTTAAAACAGTCGCACTTGAAATTCGAAACGCTTAGAGTCGCAAAATCAAAGCCACATGGATAAAACCACGACCAGTACAGTATTCGATTTCACTTTCAAGTTCTTTCGTTTATTTTTGATAAGCAAGCAATTAAAATCAAAACAGGGTTTTTAAGAGGGCATCCCAGATTCGCCGAATTCTCCTTTGTCCGTAAGCAACATCTGATGTCGCTCGCGAGTAACCTCCCCCTCCTTCAAATAGGCGTTGCTCTCCGTAACAAGCAGACCAATTTCCGACTCTGAAAAAAAAACGATTTTAAAGATTTTAAAAATGAAAGCCGCCCAAATAATTGTTTTCTTCTTTCAACTTGCTATTTGCAAGGCCCTCACAGCAGGATACGAAACTGATAAGGTTGTTGAAGAGCCGCTGATCAGAAAAACCCGAGATTTGATTTACTGGAACAGAATGATGAACAACCACAATACACTCCACAACAGAGTCCAGCTCAGAAACCAAGTCCGTTCGAATTTCAGCCGAAACTCTTCCTACTCTCCGTGCAATCTCATCAGCCGCCAGAGCAGAAGACTTACAAGCGCTCAGACTTACAGAGCCCTGACAAGATTCAACTGCCAATATTGAAATTGAAACGATTGCCGCCTTTTTTCCGCATCCCAAGCTGCTTTTTTTTATATATTTGTTACTTTTTTCATTATTTATTTTATGCCTCCTCCTTTCTCATTTCTGTTTACAGTACCTTATTTAATCTACCTTAGGTAGTACCTACTATTTAAAAGCCTTCTGTGCTAATGGCATGATATTATATGTACAATTGCTTCAGTGTTAATAAATGATGTCAATATTTGTAAATATAAATGTTGTTTTTCGAATATTTTTTTCCCCTTTTTCGATAAATATTGACATTTAAACTCGTAAAAACCATAAAATTAGCAAAAAATAGATCCAAAATGGCAATATAATTGAAAAGTAAGTTCAGTCGATTCATATGATTTCAAAAAAAAAGGCGTGATGAAAATCATAACACAATTTACCCCAAGTCTCGTGGTCCCATGAGCTCACAGAATAATTACAACTCGCGGTATCCGCTTCTTCTTCATTTTCGTTTTTGTTGAAGAAAATCTATTTCAGCGAGCCTTGATCGAATTTCGATGCTAAAATAAGCTTCCTGAAGGTCATGATCTGCGAAATTACTAATCTGGAATGAGCGGGAATGGAATTTTTGACGTCTATTGACACTGTTTTGACATTTTGCTCTTCCTCCTTGGACAAGGATTTTCGTCATTTCTGGTCAAAGGTCAGCAGATTTTATTCGATTCTTGAAATTTCTTTTTTTTTCAAAAGGTCCAAATTTCGACCAAATCGCTTGAAATTCTCGTTTCCCAACGTCAAAGGTCAAAATTAATGCTAAATGACAGTAAAAACCATTTTACGACAGATTCTTGTCATTTTATTTGCGACGTCATTTTTGAAGTTATATACAGTTTTATTGTGCTAGACTAAGAAAATATTTTCGAAAGACTATTGTTTTGTTATCTGGGCAATGATAGACAAGCAATTTTGTGCAGACGGGGAAATGTAGATACAGAGCTGATGCAGTTTATCTTGAATTCATTATCTTACAAGCGCCGGGTGATTGTAGAAGGAGGAAGAAGCAAGTGTGATGGAGAGGGGAGCGTTTTAGCCACCGTAGGGATAGGCGCTCACGGAGATGTAGATGATGAATGTGCTCTAGAATCAGGTTTGAAGATGGGTTGGAAGAAAAAGGCTTACCTGGTATTCAATCTTGCCCTCGGGCGAGAGAGAAGTAGCCCTCACTCTCATATTGTAAGTTCTAGGGTGGGTAAGAGCTTGATTTGTGTAGAGAATTCCTGATCCATTCTCCGGCCTAAAAATGGGTAAAAAATCAAAAATAGCTCATTCAAGTACCTGATCGAGAAAGGTAAATTCATTCGATTCTGCTTCGTCAAAATGTAGAATCGAGTATCCGGATGTTTTCTGCCATCTTCAGTAAGAGCCTTGAGAAGAAGTAGGTCTTCGTTTTCCTGGATACCCTTAGGCAGGGCGAGGGTACGATATTCGATGATTGAGACTGGTCGGTTTTCGCATCCTTCTCCTCTGCATGATCTCGTGCACTTGAAATCAGGTTAAGAAAGACTAAATAGGCTGAAATTACCTGAGAGGTAGCAGGATCAGAGTGGTAGTTGACCGGACAAGGAGTGTCAATACAAGTGTAATCTCCAAGTCTGTTAAAGCACATCCTTCCCCTTCCACATTGGATATCCCCCTTGACGCATTCATTGATATCTTCACAAGTCCTTCCGTCCTCCGCCAAGCGATATCCGATTGGACAAGTGCACTGATAACCTCCTGGTAGGTTTGTGCATCCATGTTGGCAGATATAGTCGGCGGTGCATTCATTGATGTCTAGTTAATTCATTTATCGATTTGAGAACAAAAGAGAGAAGTTTTCATGCTTATATATTTACCATAGCATTTGTTCATTATTTGTTGATATCCTTCCGGACAAGGACATGCAGGATTATCTTCATCATAGCACACTTTGATGGCTTGAAGGTCAGGTGAGAAGCCATCACACCCACCGGGAGGGCAAATACAGTGAAACGAGCCGTGAGTATTCAAGCAGCGGTGCGGACAGGGATCGAATAATTCACATTCGTCCACGTCTAAGGGTGAACATGCGGTTAATTTTTGCGTGCAATTACAAGCGGGTTAGTCTAGAATTAACTCCCTACCTAAGCATTTTCCTCCAACAAGTCTGAATCCCTCTTTACAAGTGCACTGAAATCCTCCTTCCGTATTCAGACAAGTTTGATCGCCCCGGCAATCGTTAAGATTCTCATCAGCGCATTCGTCAATGTCCTTGCAATCTTCACCCTCGAAGCCGGGAGGACAGTCGTTTGTACAGTGATAACCTCCTGGTGTATTCTGACATGTCTGTTTGTCTGAGCAGGCTTTTCGGCGGCCGGTGAGGAGGCATTCGTCCATATCTTCGCAAAGAAATTCGCCGATGGCGAGATAGCCCGATCTGCAGCCACATTTGTATGTACCTGAGATTTGTTGATAAAAAATGGACTTTTTATTTCGTATTTTTTTAAACTTGAATAACACCCTTTCTTACCGAGAGTATTGATACATATTTGATCGCACTGGTGAATCCCTTCGGAGCACTCGTCCACATCGTCACAGAATGACTCGTCTTCGGAGAGTCGGGTTCCAGGTTGACATGGGAGAACGCACTGAAAACGGGTGAAAATTAAATGTTACGAAATTCAAATTCTCCAGGGAACGAGGCTGAGAGAATGTAAATTGCTCGTTTTACACACAAGTTTAGATCAATGCCGTAACCATCTGTACTAATCTTTCATGGACGATAATTGTGAGGCACTTTGGAATAATCTGATTATACAGTTTTGAGTCTGAGTCGCCCGGGCTGTAATTGATCTCGAGCGAAATTCTCTCCGTAAATTCGGAAGGGGAGGATAAAATATTTTCCATTCAGCAATTTTATATATAGAATCATGAATCACTTCCTCATCTGTATTTTTAATCTTTTCAAATATACAGAATATAAATATTATCGCACCAATTATTGCTTCAAGCGAAAAGATAAGATATTTTAATTCATACATGTCTATCATACGGATAAGATTCTTGCCTTCATCTAATAGGCTTTTGTATCATATTAAATATATCCATATCGTCTGAGAATAATCCCCTTTCAATACAGTATTTTCGTCGGTCAGACATATTCTGATGGATAAAAATATAGCGGGCTATGAAAGCCTTTTAGCGATTGAGAGCCAAGATTCTTTTTGCGAATATAAATATGTTACTGGCAAGATAAAAATTCTTCCTTTACCTTGTAAGAACCCGGAGTATTTGCGCAAGATAGACCCGCTCCGCACTCGAATTCTCCAGTGGTACATTCATCAACATCAAGACACGATTCTCCATTGAAGTCTATCACGTATCCATCCGGGCAAGTGCACAGGAACGAACCCATTGTATTCACACATCCATCGGAACAGGCGTCATTTTGGGCACATTCATTGACGTCATTGCACCATCTTCCGGAGACGAGGTCTAACTCGTAGCCTTCTGGGCACACGTCGTACTCGTTCGGGTAGATGTTGGCCTCGGCGGAGTAGGTGAAGCTAAGAAAGAGAGTGGTCATCTCAAAGGTAGTCATCTTCGGCTGACGTTTCTCCCGGTAAAAATTACTATGATGACAAGAAACTTACCTTTTGGGATCATTGGAAAAGGTGACGCTGAAACGCGAAAGATCAAGGATTTGGCTGAGAAACGGCATTTGCCCGTAGCGCTCATCATAATTTACGGTGTGATTCACGAAGTACGGGAACGCGATGCCATCCAAGCTCGCCGTCCTCGAGCTCGAACCGTAGAGCATATTTCGCGAGACTTGGACGTATTCCTCAACTGCGTCATCAAAGACAATTGCGTTTCGGTTTGTTATATGCGGCATATTTCCAGAGATTGTTATCGTATAATGATGCCGGCCTCGAGTTATGTGCGTAAGTCTGCACGCGATTCGGAGTACCTCGCCGGTTGCGAATTCGATTTGAGAGGTTCTTTGAAGTTTTCCTTGAGTGAGGCTACAATAAATAGATTAGATAGGAATTTATGCGCATAAAGGTGTATTTATAAATGTAAATTTATAATTTGTGTTTCTTTGAATATTGAAAATTGGATAATTGCTTTTATGAAGTTGTTATATAATCAGTTATTTCAGCAATAAAATTGCTTGTTTCTAAAATTATCTTAATTGCGCCGGGTCCTTTAGTACCTGTATCCATTTTGAGCTCCTTCCTCTTCCCAAGCCGTCAAAAACTCCATTGGCGAAAGAACAGTAGCTATCCATCTGATACTCGGTCTAACTCCAATTGGAATATTTTCAAACGTAATTTGGATTTTGCTCGAATAATCAGTTTTCTTCACTGAGCTTGATATTTTTATCTCCCTCAGGTCGACTCCGTTGATGTTTCCGCGAATGACGCCTTCGGAATCTCGCATCGTTCGAATGTCGCATTCGTTGTGGCAATCTTTTCGCTGCGAATCCATTCCAGAGCAATCGAGGCCGTCCCCAGCTGGTTGGGGGTTGGAACAAGTTCTGCCGCGAACTTGGAAGCCGCGTCCACAGGAAACCGAGCAACTGGACCACTCGGACCACATGCCCCAGTTTCCATCAACCGGGCAGGGTCGAGTGTTGCAGCGCTCAGAAAAATCAGCATGTCCCGCGCAGAACTTTCCGCCATTTATCGGCGGAGGATCAGAGCAAATTCGCGACTTTCTTCTGAATCCGCCACCGCAAGTATGCGAGCAAACCGACCACTCAGTCCATTCCGCCCAATTTCCATTAATCGGACATTCGCCAGTCGTACACATGTCCATCTGCCGCTCCATCCCGTTGCAGAGCATTCCACCAGCAGAGGGCGCAGGCGAGTCGCAGGAGCGTTCACGAGTTCGAGTTCCCATTCCACAAGAAACTGAACAATAGGACCAATGCATCCATTCGCCCCAAGAGCCATCGACTGGGCATTTTCCCATTCCACAAGGCCGGGAAGAAACCGATTGGCCGCGGCAATCTCCAGTTGGGCAATCTCTAGAACGTACTTGCACCCCTCCGTCGCATGTTACGTCACAGGCTTCCCAAGCTCCCCAAGGACCCCACGAAGAAATCGTCAAACAATCAGGATTGTCTAAGCATGGCTTTTCTTCTAGAAGCGTTCCAGAACAAGGAGCACCATTGAACTTTGGCTGGATGCAATCTCTCTGCCGAGTTACATAACCAAATCCACAGGAAACGCTGCATTCTGACCACTCACTCCATTCGGTCAACGCACCGTCTTCCGGGCAAGGAATATTTCGACAAGGAACGGTTTCTTCACTCAAACCGCTAGGACAAACACCACCATTCGCGGGCCCAGGATTGTTGCACATTCGCAGCCTGGTTTTGCTCCCCATTCCACAGCTAACTGAACAAGGACCGAAACGACTCCATTCCGACCATTCTCCATCGCGCCAGACAACAATGCTGCCAGACGCAATATCCGAGCCAATGGCATTTTCAGCGATGCATTCGTATTCGCCTGTGTCTTTCAACTGCGCGTTTGGGATTGTTAAGGTTTCGCCTTGGACAAGCTCAGTTCCGTCCTTGAGCCATTTGATCTTTCCGTCATCGAGATTGCCTACTTCGCAAGTGAGAGAAATAGGAAGACCCTGCTCGACTCTGTGGGAACCTGGGGGACTGAGAATGACAGGCGGCAGCTCAATTTTCAACTCGAATCGAGCATGTTCAGAACCAGCAGAGTTATGAGCTGTGCACCGGATCATTCCGCTATCTTCAGCTGAAACGTCGAAAATCGTCAATCGTCCATCTTCCGTCATTTCGTATTTATCACTCGGAATCAGATCCACTCCATTATGAGTCCAAGAGTATTTCGGCTGAGGCTCTCCATCAGCGTGGCAGTCGAAAGTCACCTGCTCGCCAAGCTCAGCTTTGGCCGTGGTGTTGATATGAGCGCGGATGGAGGGAAGAGTGTCGACTTGAACGAGAACGCGGGAAGTTGCGTCAGCCATTTTGTTGGTTGCCAGGCAAATGTACTCGCCAGCTTGCTCGGGTTGGATGTCCACGATGGTCAGATCTTTGCTGATTCAAGGTTTTTATTATTTCGCGAAAACCATAATAGATTTTTCTCTGTTTGCAAAAGATATTTTATACAGAGGAAATTGCTTGTTAGAATCTCAACAAAAAGTCTGTAGCTCGGATATGATTCACTAGGACAAATATAAATCATTATCGGAATTCCGCGAAATACGCATTTATCATTTCTTGACCGCAATATCAGGTTTATGAAAAATATGATAATGAGCAGCTGCCTTGAATGCTTATTTTTGCGCGAAAACGGCCCATTACCATTATCATATTTATCCTATGTTGTTTTACAAAACCGTTCCTATCAGATATCGACACACCATGGAAAAGCCACATAACATCTGGTTCTGGTTTTCCTTCGACCTCGCATGTCAATTCCAGTGTTTTTCCTTTCTGCCGCCTGACAAGGGGACGCTTGCTCATCACAATTCTTGGTGAGGAATTGACGATAATTGAAAATGAAAGGAAAGATCCTCCAGCAGCGTTCTTGGCGGAAATTGAATAATCTCCCTCGTCGTTGAAGTCCACGGCTGTGATTTTCAGCCCAGACTCAGAAACGATTCTACGAGCATTGTTTCCGATGCGCACGCCATTTCGCATCCACGTGACCTGAATTCCATTTTACGATCAATACCATTATCGAATACATAAAGCGAAGAAATGGACCCTTTCGAAGGTCATTCGATTATCAAAAGAGCTGTACCTGAGGTCTTGGAGATCCAATAAGATTCAGCATCAGACTAAAATCTTCTCCCTTCGTGATTTCTAGCGGCCTGTCAACATCTTTTCCAATCACTGAAATCTTCGGCTTCTCCAACACTGTCAGCAAGACTTCCACTTCATCGAAGCCCGCTTTATTCTCCGCTTTGATAACGTAACGGCCCGAGTCCTCAGGCTCGAGAACAACAAAGATCATTCTTCCTATAGTCTCGTCGACATTTCTGTACTTGTCGGAAAACAATTTTTCTCCATCTTTTCTCCAGCTAAAAGTTGGGCCAGGGAGGCCGCGGACAGTCTCAGGCTTCATTGTAAAGGGAGAACCAGCAGTGGCGGTGAATCGATGAGGGATGGAGATTTTAGGAGGGATAAGGACGGAAACGTCGACCTCTAGAAGAGCAGTTCCGGCGGAGTTCTGGGCGAGACAGACATAGCTTCCCGCATCGCGGATTCGGGCATCTTCGAAAATGAGCTGAGCGCCTTCTTGCCTTGGACTTCCATTTCCCTTCAGGAGCCTTCCCGATCGCTGCCAAATCACACTTGGAGGAGGAGATCCAGAAGCATCGCAAGTCACAATTGCCGAGCCATGCTCAAACAGCTCAACATTCGTGTTGAAATTCTTAACAAATTGGGGCGGAACATAGACGTCAACGTCCAGAATCATTTTCGCAACACCAGCAGAATTTTCTGCGACGCAACTGTACTCGCCAGAATGAGATTCTTGAGCCAAGTTGACGACCAAATCCTTTTTTGGAATTTGTTTTTTGAAAAGTAATTCTCATCGAAAGAAAAAAGAAATTGACAGGCTGAAAAAAGTTTTTTGGTGCGCAGACTAAAGCGTAAAGATTTAAATTTCTGATAGATAGGCGATCAGTTTTGTTACCCTCCTTTTTATATCTATTTTTTATATATAATTCCTTTCCTTTGATACTGGATCAATTTCTACCTCGCCGCCCGGCAAAATCGGTACTCCATTCAAAAACCAGGATACTCGCGGCTCCGGATATCCAACAGCTCGGCAGGGGACGCGGAGAGTATCGCCGACTCGGAGGGTCAAAGAGTCGTCGAAAGCGGTTTTGATGGAGGGAGAGAGGTGAACTTCGAGATTTATCGATCTTTTCGCGGTTTGGAATAGGGCTGGATAAAGTTAGAGAATGATGAATTTTTGAGACTTGATAAAAACTTTCGATTCTGATACTTTTTTATGTATAAAGCGCCTTATAAAATCAGTGGTAACAATTTTCGCTTGAAAAATAGACAATTCTTGTTGTTGAAATTTCTTAATTATCGTCTTTTCTCATGATTACTTTTAAATGAGTATTGTAATTATTCCAAAACGCGTTCCTCGTAGCGCTCCCATGAGTATTCTCCACTTTGCACACATAATCACCGGCATCATCCAACGTAGCAGCGCGAATGGAAAGCGATCCGTCGGACATTTGTAGCGAAAATACATCTGATTCATCGAGAGGTTCTCCATCTTTAAACCAGCGGACTTCTGGTCTAGGAATTCCACTGGCGACGCATTCGAGGAGGGTGGCTTGATTGACGTTTGTGAAGAGTTTTGTCGGACCAACTGCGATCATCGGCTTTGCTTGAACAGCAAGGGTCATTTGAGTCGAGGTTTTGCCCGCTCTATTGATAGCTTCACAAGTGTACATTCCAGAGTCAGCTGCACCTGCTCCTTTGATCTTGATTCCAGTAGCTGTCTCGATATATTTGTCACCAAGATCAAGAAGTCGGCCGTTTCTGCGCCAGATAATGTCAGGTCGAGGATTTCCAGTGACTTCGCAGGTGAGATCGATGTCTTCTCCTCGGAGGGGCTTGACGATTTCAACTAAAATTAAGTTCTAATGAAAATATTGATGATGCGATTATCGATTTGCTTATTAATAACTTAAATAATTCAGCGTCTTCGTGATTGAAAAGAACAAAATTCTAAGAAATTAAGAACAGCTTAGGGTTTTCAAATCAAACTTCTACAGTTGATTTTCCAAAATAGTGAAAGAATGTACCTGGAGAATTAATTATTTCCGGCTCTGTGAAAACATCAACATTCCAAAATCTCTCCGCAAATCCGGCAATATTCTCCGAAATACAGGAATACAATCCCGAGTCACTTTCCGTCACCGGATCAATCACCAGCACTTGTCCATTCGGGCTCAAGCTAAATTTAGCGCTAAACTCGATCGGTTTCATATTCAGTGTCCAAGTAATCTTTGGCGGCGGAAATGCTTCTGATTTGCACTCAAGAACAAGTCGGTGATGCTCTTTCGGTTCTTTAGGAATCGGGCGATCTTTGGATCCGATGGCGAGCGAGTTTCCGGAGTGGTAATCGCTTTCCATGTCTTCGAAAATGTGCTCTAGAATTTCAGGCGGCTTGTGAATCTGCAGATACATATCCAATTTGTTCACTCCAGCGAGGGAAGAAGCCGTGCAAGTATAAGTTCCCTCCTCATCTTGAGTCACATCATTGAGCTTCAACGTCGTCATTCCTACAACACCCCCTTCCATCTCTAGAACCTGATCGTCCTTCTCCCAGAAGACCACAGGTGGCGGGTATCCAGTCGCGCTGCAAGGTACTTCTAGCGACTCACCAGCGATAAGAGCGATTGTCGCGGAAACATTCGACGTGAAAACTGGCTCCTGGAAGACTTCGAAGATCGTTTCCATTTTTGCCACGCCAACTTGGTTTTCAACAACGCAGGTGATATTGCCGGACCAATCGAGAGTCACGTGAGGAATGATCATTTCTTGACCATCATTGTGGAAAACGATGTTGTCCGCGGCGGTTGAGAGCTTTCGATCATTATGAAGCCAGGTGATAGAAGGCGTTGGCTGACCGGATGTCAAACATGTGAACTTTTTCTCCTCGCCGATCGAGGAAAACGAGACCATGTCGAAATCAGGAATGATCGATGGTTTCAAAACGACTCCGACGTTGAAAAGTCGCGAAGTACTTCCAGCATCGTTTTCCACAAAGCATTTGTAGACACCAGCGTCGGATGCAATAACCGGCTTGACTTTCAACCTCGATCCGTGTTTCATCTTCGTCAGCCGCGATGACAGCTCCACGGGCTCATCGTCTTTGAACCATCGAATGACGGGAGCAGGATTTCCGCCAATGACGTTGCACTCGAGCAGGAACTTGTTCTTGATAACAGCTTCGACGAAAGTGTTAAACTCGCCCTCGATGACTGGAGCTTCGATGATACTTAAAGTGACGACAGCTTGAGCATCTCCAGCGACGTTTTCTGCGTTGCAAATATAGACTCCTTCGTCTTGAACTTTGGCGGAAATGATGGTCAAGGTTCCGTCTGAAGATGTTTTCATACGACTATGATCAAGCTTGCCATTTGTCCTTGACCAAGAAATCGTCGGCTTGGGAATTCCAGATACGTCACAGAACAGCTTTACTTCTCGTCCAGATCGTTCCTCAACAATCACGTCTGACACCCTTATTTTTGGTGGCTCGTTGGTGACCAAATTGAACTTTTTCGTGCTCGAGCCAGCTTCATTCTCCGCCATGCAATAATACTCTCCTGAAAATCGCTGAGCAATCTCATTTATCAGCAAGTGTTGACCATCGTTGGAAATTTCAACAAGTCCTGGAATCGTTCTCACTGGAGAGGAGTCCTTGAACCACGTGATTTTTGGTGGCGGAATTCCGATGCTCACGCACTCAAGATCGATGAACTCGCCTGAAACTACAACGATCTCCTCGTCAACCTCTTCTTCCTTATTGTCCTCGATGACGGGGACGCGGAGGACTTGAAGATTGAAAGTTTTCGATGCGCGGCCAGCTTCATTTGACAAAATGCACTTGTATTGTCCCTGCGTTTCGACACTTGAAGTCGCTATGACGAGAACAGAGCCATCTTCTTTGAGGTCGAAATTTTCTAGAAAACTCAAGCTGTAATCGCTCACTGCATCACTTCGCTTAACCGAGAACGTGTCGAAAACCGGTTTGTCAAAAGAAATAGGGACTCCATCAAACATCCATTTTATTTCTGGCTTCGGCGTGATATTCGTCTCACATGATAGCTCAACCCTTGAGCCTTCGATCGAATCGATATTTTTAAAGCTCTCTTCAAAGTTTGGTGATTCTAGAATTTGAACTGTCGTTTCGGAGAATTCTGAGCCAATGATGTTTTCGGCAATGCATTTGTATTTTCCTGCGTCTTCTGGTTTTGTGGAGAAAATTTGAAGCCTCCGTTTGTCGGGGCTGATGTAGACTCGTTCTTGCGATTTCAAGGTGACTCCGTCTTTTTGCCAGAATATAAGGGGAGTTGGTGTTCCGATTACATCGCATTCTAGAGACAAGCTCCGACCCTCGAACAATTTTTCTTTCTCCGGAAGCTTGACGATCGGCTGCTGGTGGATGTTTACAGAGATTTCTTTCTGGTCAACTCCTGCTTTGTTTCTAGCGACGCAGATGTACATTCCAGCGTGCTTCAACTGAACATCTGGGATTTGAAGACTATCTCCTTTGAGAATTGCTTCTTTATGGATCGTTGAAACTCGTTGACCAAATTTGAGCCATTCAATGGAGGGCTTTGGATTTCCAGAAACCGGGCAAGAGATTGTTAGAGTCTGCGAAACGGTTGTTGTTACGTCTTTTTCAAATTTTCCGATGATTTCAGAGTCTTGGGATGAGTCTGAAATCGGCGCACTCGTGAGCAATTTTGGAGGGATAAGAATCGTAAGGGTTACTCGAGTCTGAGCACTGCCAGCAGCGTTGGTCACATGACAAGTGTACACTCCTTCATCTTCACGAGTTGTTGACGATAAGTGAATCTTATCTTTTCTGATCGAAAATCGTAATCGTTCGTTTTCTTTGATAATTTCTCCGTCTCTGGTCCAGTGAAAAGATACTTCTGATTGGTCTTGCTCGGCATTGCAACTGAGAGTGACGCCATGAGATTCGACCACTTCTGGTCCCTTTTCGCTGGGAACGCTGACTTTTGGCGGCTCTTGAACTGTCACCAGAAAGTTTCGATAATCCATTCCCGCCTCATTTTGCAATTTACAATTATATCTTCCAGCGTCCGTCGATTTCACAGTAGTAAAGAGCAAACGTGACTTTTCGATGATCATGTGTCTGCTCAATTCGCCAGGTTCAATTAGTCGACCATCTTTGGACCACGTGACCGTTGGACTTGGCGAGCCTCGAGCTGGATCACATGAAAGCACAAGAGCTGCGCCACCGTTTATTTCTTGCTGTCCAGAAATAAAGCTAATGGCTTCGACTTCGCTTCTTGACCCGCTGCTAATTACCGGTGGGATGAGGACGGTCAGGCGAAAGTAGGCTGATTCATCGCCAACAAGATTGGACGCTTTACATTGATAATCACCACCATGAGCTTCGACGGAGGATGAAATCGCGAGCATTTGCCCCTGTTGAGAAATCTTGTAGGGGGAGTCTTCGTTGATTTCAAGCGGACGGCCGTCGTGAAACCACGTGATCGCGGGCGATGGAACTCCCGAAACGAAACATCTGAATACTGATGTTTCGCCTTCAACAACAACATCATTGAGATGATTTGGCTCAATCTTGGGCACGGTTCGAACGTCCAGGCCAAACGTCATACTCGTCATACCAACATCATTATACGCTACACATTTGAAACTCGTGGAATCAAATAACGTGACTTCAGTGACCTTGAGCGTTTCGCCATTCTTAAACAATTCATATCTACTGTCGAGAATCGAGGAGATTGGAACTGAACCTCGGAGCCATTCCAGTTTTGGCTTTGGGTTTCCCTTGACCGGGCAGTCAAGTGTAAGGGTATCTCCTCCGATAACTGGAATTGTCTGTGTCGTCATTTCAGTCAAGGGAGTTGGTGGACTCCAGATGTCGACAATAAAGGATGCGGATAGACTTCCAGCTGGATTTTTTGCTACACACTGCCAATCACCAGAATCAGTCGGCAACGAATCTTGAATAGTCAAAACTGTGCCAAAGGTAGTTGTGGAGATTCTGCCACCGATTTCGACCTCTTCACCATTGTGGAACCAAGAAATCTCGGGCATGGGATAGGCTTCTATGTCACAATGAAGAGTGAGCGAGGAATCTTCGATGGCAGTTTCTTTCCTCGGTTCAGGAGTTGAGGTAGAGGGTGTTTTGCTTGTTGGTGGTTGCCAGACATCAATGACGAAATCGATTGTTTCTAATCCGGCAGCGTTGTTTGCGGTGCAGGACCAAGTGCCTTTGTCAAATGAATTGATGCCATCAATGAAGAGTTTTGATGTTTCTTCATCGTCGATGATGTCGACATTTTCCTCAACGACTGCTCTTCCATTCCTGCTCCACGAAATAATCGGTCTTGGGTGTCCATCAGCAGCACACCCAAGCTCTACGCTCTCCCCTACGACAGCCGTAAGCTCTCGCCGCGTGGGTACGGTAATCTTAGGCTCTCTGAAAATAGAGACTTCCCATTCACGGATATCATTTCCAGCTTCGTTTTCCGCCAGACAACGGTAGACACCCTCATCATGTTCCCTCACATTCAGGATTTGAAGAACATGGCCATCGGCGTAAAGATTCTCAATGACCAAATCACCGTCTTTGTACCATTTTACTTTTGGCTGAGGCTGGCCTGCTTCAATTTTGCACACAAGTCGTAAAGATTCGTCGATTTTTCTGACGATAATTTTTTCAGTAGATGCTTTTGGCTTGCTGATTTTCGGTGGCTCCATAAGATTCAGTTTGAAAGACTTTTTCGATGACCCAGCTTGGTTTTCCGCGATGCAGTTGTAGACACCGAGATCGTTTAAATCTGTTGTTGTAAGGGTCAACCGCCGATCAGAATCGGAAATTTGAATTGAAGGATTGAAGGAGATTGGTTGATTGTTCCGGAGCCACGTGATCTTCGGCGGTGGGTAGGCATCTACGTCGCAGAAAAACTCGATTTGCTGGCCGACTGTTTGATTAAGAACCTGCTGCTCGACTTCAAAATCCGGAATGCTCCAGACGTCAACTTTGAAATCGATCTTTTTCGAGCCGGCAATATTTTCAGCGATGCAGGAATACATTCCTTTGTCTTCTTCAACATCGAGGCTGGGGATTCGAAGAGATCTAACAGAGGGTCATGTTGCACAACTTTTATGAAATTAATGATAAAGAAAAGACGAGCATGATGACCCCTGTAGCTTGGTGAGATGATGACTCCGGTGGATGAGATTGGCTCGCCATTTCGTTCCCAGCGGATATTTGGTTCGGGTTTTCCTTCAGCATCGCAATCTTTTTACGGGCTTTAATTATCGAATTATAATATTCAACATCCTCCCTCGATACAACAGGTATAAAGGATGAAAATAGTAAATCACTAACCCACTACTCGAAAAATCTCTAAAATATGAAATTTGATAAAATTTGTGGCTCTTAATTAATAATTCTTTTCTAGAAAATTTACTACCCATTCCTAAGGTCAGTGACGAGCCAGAAATTCCCGAAACTTCTTCGTCCGAGTGATGAATTTTCGGTGGCTGCCAGACGTCAACAGTAAAACCCAAGTGATCCATTCCAGCGACGCTTGAAGCTTGACATTTATACACCCCCGCATGTTCGACTCTTGCAATCAGCACTTTCAGCGTTTGCTTTCGCTCTAGAAATACGAAAGCGCCGTCCGTTTGCATCTCATCCAAGGGTTCGTCATCCCTGTACCACTTGATCTCTGGCTCAGGGTCACCTCCGATGATGTCGCAGTTCAATATCAACGAATTGCCGGTCACGACTTCATGCCTCGTTGGCCTTCTCTTGATTTTCGGCGGCGATTGCACAGTTACAGTTATTTCCTTGAAAGCAGCTCCAGCTTTGTTGATCGCAGTGCAGAGGAAATTCCCGGCGAGGTGTTTCGAAGCATTCTCAATCTCTAGAATCGGTCCGTTTGAGACAACTTGGCCTGTTTCTTGATTGATCCAAGAAATCTCCGGAGTTGGAAGTCCTCGAGCGTGGCAGAGAATTGAGAAATCCTCGCCATTTTGAAGCACGAAGAAGCTTTCTTCTGGTTTGACGATTTCGGGCTTACTGTGGACCTCAAGAGACATGTTTATCTCGTCAGATCCGATGGAATTTTCAGCGACGCATTTCCACTCCCCAGTGTCGTCTAAACTAACATCTCTAATGGTCAGAGTAGATGAATCGTAAGCATTTCTAGCCCGAACTCTTGCGGAGCCAGAAACAGGAATTCCATTGCGCTCCCATCTAATCATCGGTTGCGGGCTTCCTTCAGCGACGCATTTCATTGTCACCGTTTCATGAACAGTAGATTCGTAGTTTTTCTTTTCCGCTTTGAGAGTCGGGCGATGCCGGACATTCAGGGTTATGTAACCCTTGTCTTCGCCGATGTCCGAAACAGCAGTGCAAGTGTAAGTCCCTGAATCTTCTCTGGTCAGGCTTTTTATTGTCAGTGAATCTTCCCCAAGCTTGATTTTTTCACCAATATCGGTCGTCAAAACAATTCCATACTTCTCCCACAAAAGTCGAGGCTTTGGCACTCCATCGGACAAACACGAAAGAGTCACATTCGCTCCTGCTGTTGCCTGTTGTTGGGGATTTACAGCGTGGACTTTTGGTGCTGTCAGGACAGTGACGTTGTAGGAGATTTCATCGATTCCAACACGGTTTTCGACTTCACAGGTGTAGGTGCCTGAGTCGTATGAGTTCGAGTTTTTGAGATAAAGCTTCATTTTGTCTTCAGAAAGATCTGAGAAATAAGGATCGAGGAGTCGGCCGTTGAGCTTCCAGGTGATTGACGGCTTTGGCTCTCCATCGACTATGCAATCAAGGATGACATCGCTGTTTTCAACGACTTCTTTGACTTGCTGCTTTTTGTCCGTCTGAATTGTTGGAGGAAGAAGAATGTCCAGATTGTACGTTTTAATCGCGTCTCCAACAGAGCTCTTTGCTTTGCAACTCCAATCACCAGTCATTGACGAGGACGTGACTGGAATAACGAGATTCGTTCCCATTTGATAGACTCCAGGGAATATGTTGAAATTAACAGGGGCATTTTGATAGAACCATGTGACAGTTGGGACTGGGAAGCCACGGACTTCGCAGATGAGGGTGATTTCGCGATTTGCAATGGGCTCAATGTTGACTTCTTTTGGGCCTTTTATTCGAGGAATCTTTTTGTAAGGTTCTGACGAGTATATTCTTAAGAATATTAAGGAGATTAGATATGTTTGTTGAGCTATTTCAAACGATGAATTATTCAAAAATATTCATAAAATGATAGATTCCTTAATATTATGGTTTTCATATTGATTAAATCGCTCTTGAATTCATATTCGTTTTTGAACCCTTCCTGTTGGACATTAACCACTAGTTCCAATTCGCTCATTCCAGCCCTATTCTCTGCCCGGCAAGAATATTTTCCAGAGTCGAAAATCTCAATATTCTTCACTTTCAGCTTCATCTTATCAAATGACAATTCATATCGATTTCCATCTGTCGTATCAATTCGTTCTCCTTCTTTAAGCCAAGTGATGCTTGTTCCCTCGTCAACGTTGACCAAATTGCAGTAAAGATCTAAGTCGTTGAATTCGACAACATCTCTGACGACTGTTCCGTTAGCTGGTCCAGCGACTTCAGGAGCTGATTCAACGAAAAGTTTCTTGTCAAAAACATCAATTCCGACGACATTTTCCGCTTCGCATCGCCAAGCCCCGCCGAAGGTACTGTCAACTTTCTGGATAATGATCTTGTCTTCTTCGACGACGACATTGTCTATCAAACTCGCGGGAATATCATTAAAATACCACGTCACTCTCGGTTTGGGCGCTCCTTGAGTTGGGCATTCGAGAATCACCATTTCGCCTTCAACCGGCGCCATTTTCGGCCATTTTGGATCGAAAATCAACGGAGCCATTTGGACGATGAGTTCCACGGAGAACTCGTCGAAGCCAACAGAATTCGATGCTCGGCAAGTGTAGGTTCCAGAGTGATGAAGTTGCACTTTGTCAAAGACGAGATTTGTGCCTTCTAGATTCAAAGTTCAAAAACTATATTTTTTATATTCATTTCTTGTTATGGCTTTTTCTATTTTTATGAATGTGAAATTAATGAAAAACCTCCAAAAGCTTACTATTAACCTCTCTCATACTAACAAAAGTGAACTTTTTCTTGTGCCTCAATTTTGCCATCATTCGAAGACCAAAACAATTCTGGATCAGGAATACCACTGGCTGCGCAGGGAATGATCACCTTCGATCCAACCTTCGCATTGACAACTGGCCCCGTTCTCGGGATAATACTTGGCGGGATATTGATCTTCAAGCCAACAGAGATGACAGAATTGCCATGAATATTCGTAGCGTAGCACTGAAAAGTAGCATCTTGCAGGGCCAACGATGCTTTTTCGATGATCAGCGTTCCGGTTTCTCGATTGAGAAGCCAGCCGGGAGAGTTGAAGTCCAACATATTTCCATTCACCGTCCATTCGAAAACTGGCTCTGGAGATGCGTCGACTGGGCATTCAAGGACGACTTGGCTTCCGAGCTTGACAGATTTCGAGGTCGGCAGTTCTGGGAAAATAATACTTGGTGGCCACTCGACAGTTATTTCATGCTCGATAACGATCTCATTCGCGATATTTTTCGCGAGGCATTTCCAGATTCCGCTCATTTTTCGACTCGTGCTCAGAATTACCAACCCTGTGTCGGTGATGTACAGATCGTTACTGGGAAGAACTTCTTTTCCGTTGTGGAACCAAGAAATCTCCGGCGCCGGATTTCCTCTCGCATTGCATTCTAGCTCCAGTGTTTCGCCTTCCTGAGGCGTTTTGAATTCAGGAACAGTGGTGACAGAAACTGGCTCAACAACATCAACTGTTGTTTCTCCCACATCTTCTCCGACTTCATTTTTCGCGTGGCATTTGTAGACCCCTTTGTCGGCAAGAGCGAGATTTTTGATCAAAAGCTCGCTATTTCGTTGATTTTGTCGAGCATTTGGGATGTTTCTTCCTTTATGCGACCAGGTTATTTCTGGAAGAGGTTTTCCCTCGGCGAAGCAGGTCAGGATGACGTCATCACCGACATTGAGCTGGACGGTTGAGGATTGAAGGGTTAGTGTTGGTGCTTCCAGACCTTTGTGATGTTGATTATAATTTCGAACTTTATGTAAATACATTATTAATTAAAGTAAATTATGTTCGTTTTCTTAAGAAAAACGACTAGGTTGAAGGTAGTAACCTGCGAGACAATGCGAGACCGGCTTATATTTATACTTCAACTCAAGAGAAAACTGTAAAGTTCAAATTCAATCGCGAGAAAATCCTTTTATGATTTTCCTTTTTTTCAACAATTTCCTGTGACGACCAAATTGAGCCGATAATCAGCCACTCCAAAAGTATTCACAACAGTACATCGATAATTTCCTTCATCTTCTAGCGTCACAGTCTTGATCGTCAGCGTTCCATGCTCGTTGATTTCAAAATTTCTTGATCTCTCAATTCTTCTGTTGTTATGAAACCAAGAGAGCTTTCCTGAGGGAATGGCGGTGTGTGCGCATTCTAGGTTCACAGAAAGGCCAATTTCTGGCTTTACTGTTTGAAGATCCGTGGAGATTTTTGGCTTTTCGCCGACATTGACAAACATGTGATGGATGTCGCGACCAGCGTTGTTTTCAGCGATGCAGGTGAATTTGCCAGAAAGCTCGGTGGAGATCTGGCGGATGATAAGATTCAGACCATCTTGTTCGAATCGCGCGCCGAAGATTGGCTGGGAAAAGGTCAAAAACCATAATTAACTAGAGAATTCGTTAAGTTGGATCAATAAAAAACGATCTTTGATGAAGGATTCTCTCAACTTTTACTTCTACTTTGAGTATTTGGAACCATATTATGGTTACCATAATGAAATTAAAAATGGTCGATATTATTTGGAAATAGAAAATTCGAGCTGACCTTGGCCTGAGAATTAAAAAGCCATCGAACAGTCGGAGTCGGATCTCCTTCTGCTTCACAGAACAAAGTGTAGTCTTCTCCTGCTTCAACCGACGAAGAATTGAAGGTCCTCGAAATTCTCGGCGGGGCCATGAATTCCAAAAACACTCGTTCCTGAACTTTCCCTGCGCTATTTCGTCCCTCGCAAACATAAACTCCCGCATCCGATTCTTTCGCCCTATAAAATTGAACTCTTCCGCCCATGACCCGAACAGTCCTGTCAATTTTTCGAAAGTTTTCTCCATTCTTCGTCCAGAATACGAAAGGCCTTGGGTGTCCATCGCCTTGGCAGAGGAGCCGAATTCGATCGTCTTTTTTGAACAGAATTCGCCGATGAGTCACTCCTTGATTATTGTCGACTTGCCACTCTGGAAGGGAAGTGATCACGATTCTTGGTTTTTGCTGGACGAGGAGCTTTATGTGATGCTGTGTGGTTCCTCCGATATTGCTGGCGACGCAGGTATAGATCCCCTGGTCGCTAGGGCGCAGTCGAGAAATGACCAACCCATTCTCGGTTTGCTTCACATACGGCGATGCGACGCTGGAATGACCTCTCTTCTTCCAAATCAGCTTGTACGGCACTTTCGAGGTAACATTACAATGGAGGGTAGCTCCGCCGCCAGGTGGCGCGACAATCTCTTCAGCGCCGGTAATGATCGGTGGCCGCTCTTCGACGTCGAGAAAAGTTATTCCAGAAGCGCCGCCGCGAGAGGTCTCAACTTGGCACTTGTAGAAACCTTCTGATCCTTCGCTGACAACCAGTTCGTAGAAAACTGGCTCGAGGGGTTGGTAGAGCTTAGGAAGAGTGAGCGCTTGCCAGTCTTTTGTGTCCAAGGATTGACCGAACCACCAAGTGATGCTGTGCGGCATCATGGAATTCACCGAACAGTCGATTCGAACATTTCCATTAATGTAGCCCGGAATAGAGCTGAGCATCTTGACCTTCGGGGGCTCTGGAATAATATTGATGATTGCATTGTGGCTTTGTCGGACGAATTTCTCTCCCGAGTCGGTTCTTCCTTTCACGACCAAGTAATATTCCCTTACATCTGGCGGCCGGAATGGTTCCGCGACAAAGAGTCGGTCGTTGATTTTGCTCACGTGATAGCTCCCGAGCTGGACTCCCTTGATATCTCGAATTTCAACGAATTCTATGATTCCGTCGCCGATGTGCTCTGACGGCTCAATGAGAGCGTGAGTTATGATTCCTTGAACAGGTTGATACGATGAATCATCATAAGAGGCAGTCGGACTTGTCGCAAATTTGACACCAAAGTCGAGTTTTGAAACGCCAGTGACTTGGAAGCTAAAAGATCTGTCCGCGCTGCCGGAAATGGTCCAAATTCCAGGAGGGGAGGGTTCATGAATCACCATAACGTAAGTTTCTTCATTGTCAATGTGAACCACTTGACCACGAGTATACGGCCGTCCATTCGGATCAGTAACGGAAACAGCTCGACCATGACCGGTGATGGAAATTGTCACTTCTTGTAACATACTGTCGAAAGGAATTTTCCATGTTTTGAACTCCCCAGAATCTTGGAAAGAACTGACAATGTGAACTTTATGCGCTTGAATCGCAGATTCGAGGTATTCGACCATTTGGTTCAAATTTTGCTTCGTGAATTGGTAAACTTGTCCACTTGAAACAGCAGCGATTTGTTCGTACGCGCGGTATCCTTCAGCATCTCGGTCACCACAATCGCCTGTTAGGACGAAGATGACTTGGGACTTTTTCTTTTGAATTATCTTTTTGAAGATTTTCTTATGGTAATAGGCACCATAATTTGAAAGTAAATTTTTTCAAGGGTACTTCTTTAAATATGAAAATAATGATATCAAACAAAGAGTTTTTACACCGAATGGTAAGCTCGTAAATCTAAGTTCTTATTTAACAGTTTGGAAATCTTTCCTGAAGTACTTCTGGCAAATAACTGTAGTCCTTCGCTCTTGCATCAGTAAACACATAAATATACGAATTATCAAGCGATAGCAATAGCGCCTCGCGAATAGCATAAATCGACATTTCCGGACAATCCCCTCCACCAGTAATTCTGATATTTCTCAACTCCCTTTGAAACTCGACAGGGTCACGTGTTCGCGAAACTGGGCCGATTTCAGGATCGTGGAAGGGGACGAGAATGTAGTTGTAAAGGGGCTGGATGTGACGATCGCGGGTGGATTGGAGAATTCGCTGGGCGCCGTTTTGAACTTTTTCCAGATCATCCCACATTGATCCCGTTGTGTCAAAAACGAACGCCAAGGAGGCTGTTTTGGGCTTTCGATAAAAGATGAAATTTACAATTTTTACTTTCCCTTAGATCTTTTTTTTTCAAAAAAATTCTTGAAATCAAGGAAGAGACCCTTAAAACCCTTTCCTGTCTCTGGCGGAGCACCTGAATTACCACTCAACCACCTTGGGTCATCAGAATTTATCGGCCCGACGATTCTCTGGGCACAAGCCCCGAGGGCAAGCCATAAAATGCTCCTCATCTTCAGTAATTTTTCTATTTTTTCTTCAATTATCTCTCGTCATTTATAAATTTACAATTTTTTTTTTATTTTCCTTTTTCTTAAGTTTTTTTTCTTCCCTTTTTCCGGTGGTCAGAGGGGAAAAAGGTTTAAAAGTAGGGTGCCTCACTCGTTTTCGAAAAACAAACAAGTTTTGTTTGCGCTGTCTTAGTTTTTTCATCCCTTTCGCGCGTTCCGTTTTCAAAGAAAGCCGTAAAATCCACGCCATGAATGAAACCCTTCAATACTTCAATTGCCCGAGAAGAAAAGCAGGACTTACACGAAGTACTCATCCTCGACCGATTCTTCCAGAAAGACAGAGAAACATACTAAACTCCACTTTTTGTTCAAAAAAAAAGAAATAATCTAATTTTTAGTTCAAAAACTTTCAGATGAAAAATTTTAGAATAAAATATATTAAATAGACTCTCTTCTTTCTCAAAAAGATAGTTAATGAACTTTTGTTTATTCTTCAGCCTTTAATAGTTAAGAAAATTGAACTTTTCTATCGAAAAAATATATTGTCACAGTGCCAGGAAATTGAAAAAAGTCAGAGATTCTGCGCGCGCCACCCTGGATGGGTCAAAAATCACACAGAACGGGTTAAAACGCTTCGTGTGCCTGACCCATAATTTGACTCCCACCACGGTAGCCCTCCCGCTGAGTTAGTAAGTTACTGTTAGTATGCAGCAAAAACTCTCGTTAGATTGTTTTAGTCGATTAATTCTAGAAAAAAAATGGTGGAGGAAGGAATCCGTTGGTGAAAGTTGAAAAGTCTAAGAATGAATTTGCTGATGGCGCGCAAGAGCATCTCTCCGTGAGAATTCACGATTGCATATTGAACATGTATAAGGTCTTTGGCCGGTATGACTTCTCAGATGAATACCAAGATGGCCACTTTGGGAAAAAGTCTTGAAGCAGAAATTGCACTGAAATGGTCTTTTTCGGGCTCTGAATTTTCCGAGAATTGCAAGTAACTGAACTAAAAGTGAGCCTGTTCCTGATCCCAAGATGGGTCTTTTCATGCCTTTTTCTTGAAGTTACTGAAGCAAAAATCTTCCCGCACATTCCACAAGCAAGTGGGTTTCGCTCTAGAATTTCCTTCTCTTCGAATGGTCTCCAAATTTTCGCCTTTCGATCGGGACTTTTCGGTTTCTCCGGCTTTGAGTCACCTTTTTCTGGTGTTTTGGATTGACTATCAACCGGATATCAAAAGAAATGATACTGTAAGAAGCAAACTGTATTAGTATAAGAAGACAAAAAGCAGTTACAGAAATAAAGAAACACATGTTAGTCTTGATCAAAAAGTTTTCTTTTTGCACTTTTGAGTCGAGCTTTTGGTATCCGAAATCTTGCGCCAGAGCGATCCGTTGTAAATGAAGCTTCAGATGAGGAACGTGGCGATTTTCGATGGCTGGCGGTGGCGATTAGGCGCGGCTTTTTCTTTTCTGGCGCTTCCTAGAATTCTTTTTGGCGAAAAAAGGAAGAGAAAAACTACCTTTTCTTTGCGCAAAACAGGATATTTGCTGCGCTTTCTCGTTGGGCTAAAGCTGTCGCCAGTTTCAGAAAAAGGATGAAGAGCTGTTTGCAGCTCTTTTAACTTCAGCTGTCGGCCTAAATTCCACAGTTCGCGGTAGGTTTTCAGGCTCACATCGTTTGAAATGACCCCGAGGTAGACATAGTCGAAGAAGAGGTTCAGGGTCACATGAGAATACTTTATAAAGGGATCATTGGGTGAAGAATTGGAGATCTTACTTGGTCGGCAATGATCGGCAGAATAGCAGTTGATGAAGCGATTGCTAGAATAATGGAAGGTTAGGTTTAATTTTTTGAAAGGACTAGAGATTTGTCAAGGTGGCAGAGATAAGGATAACACTTCAAAGTTGCGTAAAATTTTCTTGGTAACAGAATAAAAATATGATGATATTATGGTTGCTTTTTCCTGATTCTAGATTCTTTCCTGCACTCACCATTTAAAATTGCTGAATGATAGAAAACAACTTCTCCACTTCTGGAAATCAAGGAGGAATCCACAAATATTCCGCAAATTCTCTGACTGTTCAGCTTCCGCAATAAAGTTTCTGCATGTAAAGCGCTATATTCATAATAAAAAACGAGTTATGATGATTTTCTTACCTTTGTGATTGCATTTGATGAAGAAAAAACGACGAAAATAGAAAGGAAAAAAAAACTCAGACGGGTCGACCTCCGGCTGACCTCGAAACTCGAATGATGGGAGTAAGTGACATTTCGCAAGTGCTCAAATACGCGAGTCGCTTATGCGAAATCAACGGGATTAACAACATTCCCTTACAATATCTTCCTCGCGGGAGTGAGCGCTCCCTGCGCGCGGCAATTAGTAGATCTGTAGCTTTTCGTTTATTTGCAGTCATCAGTGTACATTTTTGGGCAATTATAATTTTGATTACAAGTCAATTTTTTCATTATAAATTCGTTGTTCTCGATTCGTTTGGCTCGTTTATTTCGCCGGAGGAGGAGTCGGAGTCATTTGGATCGTTATTTTCTTGAGCTTCTTGAGGAGGGGAAGGGTCTAAGGGGGTCGGATGGGGGTTTATTTCGGAGTAAGGGGGCGGGGCGGGGAGATTGCTTGTTGTTGTGAAGGTTGGGGAGAGTGGAGCGGTCGGTTGGGGTGATTCGCGGGGATCTTTGAAATGTTCAATAATTGTTTCAAAATATATGATTTTTAGAAAATTTCATATCTATATCATAATACGCAGAAATCTTTCACAAACATTGATTTGGTCGTTAAACTCGTTGTTATACTACAACTTGTAAGAAATAGGATCCGAAGATCTCAAATAAATAACCGAAGAGGATTTTAGAGTCTGTTCAACCTCGTTTTTTTTTAAAAATCTATATCAATCAAAAATTGAAACAAGTTATGGTGTTCGAACATGTCCCTAAATTTCCATCGCCATTCCGCCCCTCTGGCGTATTTGGTCGAACAGGCGTTCCGGTTCTCATCTGATAGTTTGACTGACTTTCTCCAGCAACTATCAACCGATTTAATTGCGAATTCGTAAGCATTATTTCCCCTGGCGCTGCTTGGGCCACATTTCCCGGCTAGAAAAGGTTAATGATTTAGAGGGAAAAAGGTATTTACAGATAAAGCGATGCTGAGTTCATGAAGCCTCTCCAGCGGTACCTCAGCGAGTCGGCCGTGTCCTTGAGTCGTAATTGCTTCATCTTCGGTCAAATAGGCGATGACTCCCGGCCGTCGCATGGAATCGCGCTCGATTTTTCGACACCAAAGTTTAACGGTGTTCCAGACAAGCGTCACTAAAAGCGATTAAAACTCTGAAGAAAAAAATGCCACCGGGTACGTCGCGCGGGTCAGAGAGCTCACAAGAAGGGTTGAAAAACTTCGTGGGACGGAAAAATCGTGCCAAGAACTTGCTGACCCGCGCGACTCCCACCACGATTGAAAAATGAGTCTTACCTAAAATAATTGTTCCAGCAATAATTCCGACTAGAACCATCCATCCATCCATCGCTCTTGGCTGCGGATTTGCTGGCACTACAATTTCAGCTGGACTTGCGAGGGTAAGATTTGTGATCATTGTTGTCGGAATCGTTGTCGAAGTAGAAAGTGTTCGGCGAGGAGGTTTTGTGTAGGTTCCGATTTCGGTTACGGGGATGATTCCGTTAAAAACTAAAAAGGGCCAGTCATGATTCATGAGTTATCACGATAATTTTTCGTTTTGATAGAAACAAAGAGGTTCTTAGTTTTACATGATTAATTGGACCTAGGTAGTAGTTGATTGTTATTTACCAAGGTGATGTTTTTTTAATAAGAAACCTGAGTTTTTTTCTCTTTTTTTGCCAAAACCGACGCTAGAATAAATATGAAAAACAAGATTTGTTTTGAGGCTCGGTCGATAATTTTTATTTTGGCTAGTTGAAAGTTTGTACGACTCTTTTTTTCACAAAACAAGACAATTTTTTTGAGAAAGAAGGTCACTCGAAAATCAGAACAATGGAAGTAAGCCGACTGAACTTGGCTCAGATCGCCATGTAAACAAATAAAAGAAGCTCCCTTCTTTCCAATATTCCAATTGAAAATGAAATTAAGGTTGGGCCATTGTTTTGCAAAAATGAAAAAATCAAACCTTCAGTCACTAAATTGGGATCAGCTGGAGCCGAAGTTGTTTCGATGTCGAAATCTCTTGTTATTACATCGTTTTCTTCTTTTTGAATTTGGCATTCTAATCAAGATTGACTCTTTTTTATCAAAAGGGAGTTCAAAATGTTTATTGAGCAATAAATTATTATTGATAAAGTTTGAACTTTGACTAACTTGATTATTGATTTTAACAAATTAAACTTTGAAAAAGTTTTTGTGAGAAAAAAAAAATTAAAGAAATAAATAAAAATAGAAAATAATAAATGAAATAGATTATTTAAATAATAATTAATATATTTTTTTTAATAGATAAAGTAAAAAAATATAATAAAAATTAAAAAAATAAATAATTATTGTCGTTTTTTTTTTCCATTTTGCTAGAATTTTCTGTATAAAATATAATTTTTCGAATTTAAATCTTTTCCTGGAAGCCTCGGATTTCGAGCGCATCTTCTCGCTTTTCTCCTTCTTTCTCTAGCTGTTTCTGAAACCATTAAAAAACAAGAAACCTGTTTTTAAAAGAGAATTTATTATTCTGACAAGACGGAATAAAAATCGCGAGGAAAACGGGGATGACCAGTCGCTGGTGAATTGGCTGAGCCGGAGGGCATCTCTCGCTCAGCAGGTCCCACCGTCGCATTCCTGGACAAGTTTTTTCAATCTCGACTGATTGAATTTTCTCCAAAATCCTATCGCATCAGAACAAGACCTCAATTTTCAAGTTTGCCAATTAATAATGCCCCCTTCCCCTTAAGAGTAAAATGTCAATTATTAATGCGGCTTTTGTAAAAACCGACATATATTTCTATGATCAAACAAATTATTCTGACAATTGCCTTACAATTGATCGACTTACTTTTGACTTGAAATTCAAAAGTTTGTTTTCAGGAGTCATTGTCAGAGAAACATGAAAATTTTAGTTTTTCTCCTTCCAATCGGCTTAGCTGACGAATGTAAATCAGTAGGAGGGGAGAATTCATTTCCTCAACATGAAATGATCGGGAACGACTGTGAGTGCTTATATGATTTTGAGCAGATTGACAGATCTGAGGGATAGTTATTCAAAATAAAATTGTTAATTCATGAATTTTACAAAAAGAAAATATATCGAAGCCGGATTTGATTTTCGGTGAATGGACTGAATAACTTTTTAAAATATACCGAATGATATCAAAAACAAAGAGCGCCCTTTTTGCTGTCACAAAAATGCAAAATTTTCTGAAAGTGATCATGACGAAGATGGATATGATGAAAATAGAGTTTGTAAAATTATCATTTCTTATTCATCATCCTCGTAGTGTGTCTGCAAAGATGGATTTATCCAAGAAAATGACGATGTCGCGATTCTTGATCGCTACAAGAGAGATCTTGTTTGCGTTGAAGAACCTTGTCCGGTATTCTTTGGAATATTTCAATTTTTTTGTACTTCAGAAGACTGAAAACGAATGTAACCCGACTCAAACTTGTGAAATGCGCGAAGGATCTCCATTTTGCCTTTGTAAAGAACATTTCGTTCGTCCTAATTTACAGGCTGAAGAAGGTTCGCCTGAACAATGCAGATGTCCACTTGGTTTTCATATGAATTACATCGAAATCGAGTGCATAAATATTAATGAGTGTCTCTATCCAGTAAGTGTTTTTCAGCAAGTAATCATCATAACCTTTTGAGGGAAATCCTAATTATGGACATCAATGTCATGAGAGTCAAGTTTGCGAGGATACAGTTGGAAGCTAGGTACCCGCTGAGAAAAAAAAAATTCAAAAAAAAAATTTTTTCTTTGCTCAAAAACATGTCTTGACTAAAATGTTCAATTTACGAAACGGAATTAGATAAAAAAAGGGGGCTGTAAAATCGCCTCTTTTATTTCAGCGGGTACCTAGTTGGAAGCTATACTTGCAATTGCACGGCAAATATGGAACTCGACTTTGATCTTGATGAAGGGAAGGCAAAGTGCGTTTGCAAAGAAGGATTTGAGAGGTTTAATAACTCTGCTACTGAGTGTGTTGACAAGGATGAATGCCTGAATCCGGTAAATTTTAAGAAAAGTATTGCCGAGAATAAACTCCTTAGATTGAGGATGATTATAATAAGTGCCACAAAACCCAACTTTGTGAAAATACCCTCGGAAGCTTCGATTGTTATTGCTCCGAAAGCATGGAGAAACAAATCGGCCACGATTCCTGCAAGTGCAAAGAAGGACATGAGCCCATCGAAGATCTGCCAAATGAATGCAAGATGTTGTTGGAGCCCTGTGCTGCGGGAGAATATAGAATCGATGGTTCAACAATTTGCCGACCCTGTGAGTACGGGCACTTTTGTCAGGAAGATGAAAAGTTTCCTTGCGAAAGGGGCTTTTTTGCAGATAAGTCTGGCTCCACAATCTGCACTTATTGTGGCACAGGAGCAACGACGAAAAACACCGGATCGACAAAAAGAAGAGATTGCATAATCGGCTCCTATGGCTTTTTCTCTCCTTTATTCAATGTAGAACCGATGGCTTGTCAATTTCAGAGCTTTTGCCCAAAAGGGCTGCAAGAAATGACTCCTTTTTATCACAACCACAAAGGTAAGTACTTCAAATCGATAATGTTTAATTTTTTCAGGGGCAAATATTTGTCTGAAAAGTGAGACAAAAATGGCAGTTGGAAAAATGAAATTACGAAAAGCTCCTGTTCCCCCTGTCTATGATGCGTAAGAAAAAAATTTTTTTTTGAAGAAAATTTTTCTATCTTTTTCTAGCGAGCCTGAAAATTTCTGCTACAGAGTTTGTCGAGGGAAGCCAAAATGCGTCGCCTTTTCGATTTTACTTGAAGACAAGATTTTCTGCGTGCTCATTTCTAGCTGAATGAAGAAGAAATCAATGATTTTAGAAAATAAACAGTTGTATTTATTAACCTGAAAATCGAAAAAGAAGAGAAAAGTTATTCGTAGGAACAAGGAGAATCTTCCCGCTCGGGACATTCGTCCGCACAGAGTTTGACCGTGCAGGTCAGCCATTGGCTCATCGCAGCTGGGCTCTCGCCGAAGGCAAAGACATCGTACGAAAGACCCTTTCCTGAATTCAATAATTAATTCTTTTCCTTTGAACTCGAGCTTCGCTTACCGTTTTGTTCAATTTGAGCATTGACAAAGGCGGAAGCGCAAGTTTCCTGAACGACTTCGTAAGAAATTTCTTCGAAGCTATCGTCTAGTCCATTGACGATGCATTTGCTGATTTGGTAGTCGACGGCGGAGGGGAGGGGCTGAGCGTTGAGTTTTGCATAAGCAGGTTTTCCTAAGATTTCGGTCAATAATGAAGAGAACAATCTGACTTACCGATGACTCCCTTTGGCTCTTCTAGAGCATTGGTGAACTCCCCATCTTCGTAAAAATTCAAGCTGAAGAGGTCGACAAAGCTCTGATCTCCCTTTCTGACAGCTCCAGATTTTGTTCTTGATGATTTTAAGTAACTATTCGATATTTTAAGAAAAAATGCTCCTCCACTATTATTGCTCACTAAAGAAAATATTTAAAACATTCCTTCTCATCATTCCGCCAAGATCTGCTGTGAAAGTTTCCGAAACTTCGAGGTGATCTTTGAACGCGCATTCTGCTTGGAAGGAAAGGGCGCGGGACATGAGGAGGCCGTCGTCGTTGGTGATGGCGTCGATGTCGCCGAGAACGGTGAAGGAGAGGACGATCTCGCCGGAGGACTCGTCGTGGTAGACGTTTGACGGGCCGCAGTAGTCCCAAGCGGCGTTGATGGTGAAATCGAAGGGGCCGTTCTCGTCGCGGCGGCCACCACACATGCCTAAGTGAGTTTTTATGGTATATAAAAGTCTGAAAAATTAAAGAGAGAGAATCCGGTTGACACGCATTATATAGGCGGAAGAATAATTTCAAGTTGAATTACAACAAGAAATGAAATTATAAAATCGGGCATTGAGAGTGTGTTATTTCATTATGGTGCTAATTTTCTGATTTTAAATTTCTGATTTATATTTTTTCTTCTTCTTTTTATTTTAAAAATTTAAATAAAATAAACATTTATTCGTAAAAACGACATACCTATTCGAAGAAAAGATCCTTTGTAATCTTGCTGAATTCTAGCGTTCTCCCAGAGAACACCCGAGTTCACCGACAAGGTCATTCCATTGATCGGGTCACAAGTGAGGCTGTACTCTGAAGATTTTGGGACGCAAGAAGCGCCGTTGAATTCCCAGCTCTCATTTGGGCAACCAGCGTCATTGTTGTCTCCTGATCCTTCTTGGGCAAAAATTTTTGCGACTTTTATGGCTTGAGATTCTTTCAGTGAAAATTTTCTTACTCAATTTTAATTCATTAAAACTTTCTCACACACCCAAATACTTGATGAAATTGACAAATGGGACCGACCTCGGCTCTAGAATAAAAATATTCAAGCCGAATGATGATGAGACAATTATGGTGCTCAAAATGGATTTTCTCTAGCCATTCCTAAAAATCCAAGAACCTTCATCTTTAGTTGATTTCGATTGACAAAAAATAAAACAAACTGAAATAATAAACTCTTTCTCTAGTGAAACTCTGAAACTATTGACTTTTCGCCTTTTCAGAGATCGAAAATAGATGTGAGTAGCGGCTGAAACTGTGGTGGTGCGGTATTTATGGTGCTCGGCGGTGGCGCGCTAAACCGCGTTGAATTTTGCGTGCGAGACGTTTTCGCCCGTACTCGAGGAATCGTACTTTTTTGAACGTTACGAAATTTGACAAAATGGGTCTCGCGCGAACCAAAATTATGAAAAACCTGGGTTAAGGGTATCTCTTCTTTAACACTAGTATGAAAGATTTAACATTCTTCTATTCGAAAATCTTTATTTGGGGGCAGAAATATACCTAAATTAAGGAGGTACGGGAGGTTATAGACAGCTGCGCCGAACCAAAATTCTGAAAAAAAATATCAAAGTGACGCCCTTATCTGCAGTCGATTTTAAGCACGGGAATTCGTGACCTCTATTTCTAAGGAATCGAAATCGAACTCTTCAACCACCAATTGATTTAAGAATCCTCTTGTTGAGAAGTTCAATTCAGCTTGTTTCTGAATTTCGAAAGAATAATCTTCCGCGGTAGCTCTTCCGCGATAAGCACGAATTTGAGCGGCGCGCTCACTTTTTTGTATAATTTTGTGTTACCCGTCGCAGAAAGCGTGTTTTCTGTCTCCGGTACTCATCTTTGCATTTTGACGGAGGTTTTTTTGGATTAAACTTGAAATTCCAATTTCTCTAGAAATTTTTCTTTTTGATTTTTTATTGAAAATTTGGTTGAGTGAACATATAAATAATTTTTTAACAACAGAAATTTTCATAAAATGTGCATATTTCGCTTGTTTTCTTCTGTTTCTGGGAAATGATCGGAGGGAACGAAGCTAAATTCAGAAGGATCGAAGTTGAACAGGTCCGGGGTTCGCCTCATCACGTGCATTCCGTTTCTTCTCATGATTTGAAGGTTACGCTTTTTGAACATATCGGTCCAATCTTGGGCGAAAGAACATTCAACGACTAAAGAAAATATTATTATATACCTAACTGTATCTTTTTCTGAAAAATATTCCGCAAATTGAGGAGGTGTCAGGAACCGACGAAAAATCCCGACAAATTTCGCTTGGAAATCTTCAACCAGTCAGAAGCCTACTTTTGGCTCACCGACCAATCAGAAGCTGAATAGCTGCACACGCAAAATTTGTCGAAATTTCCTGACGCCACCCCCAAATTTGACAATATTCTCGGTCTTTGAGCACAAGGTTGCAAATTTAAACTTCATTTCTTCTGTATCTTGATAACTTACGTGCAGCAAAAATTGAAAAATCGAAGACTTTCATGTTTGATTCCTTTTTTTTGTTTGAAAATGAGCTGATCAGTTGAGCATCGTGCGTATTAAATATACTTTTGCCAAGTAGACCTTTCAAAAATTAATGCGTCTATTTGAGAAACTAACCGGTACTTATTCGCAATAATAATAGATAAAAGCTGGAGTCGCATTTATTCAGCTGATTTCCTTATTAAATAACCTGATTAAAACTGCTCAAAGCGCGGATTTCGAAGCATTGGTAAGAAAACGCGCGCGATTTGGCTTGATTCGAAAGCTTCGAAATTTGAAACGGTTGATCTTCGAGATGGTAAGTAGAGCTTCATCCCTTTCTCAGGCAAAAATCTTTCTGATTCGCCTAAAATGAAAATAAGATGATAATTTTATTTTTTATTCTTAGAGAAATTTTTGCCCTACCGCCGATGAGATGGGATATTTCATGTAAGTAAAATATTGAATATGATTTCAGATTTTTTGGTTTCTTTTTTTCTTCGAAAATCGAACTGATAAATTGAGAAAATATTTTATGGTGTCTAAAAAATAATCCACTCTCAGCCATTTGGAATACCAACCGACCTCACCTGGGACATCTCAAGTACGCTTATCCTGCCAACTCATTACTCCTACTAATTGCCCTTCAATATTTGATTCTAGCGTGCCCAAACGAAGAGCTTCAAGCCGGCGAGGACTCCAAAATCATCGTCTCCAGATCTTACCCAAACAAAATCGAACTTGGCTGGCAATGCATTTACCACATTTACGCGCCCGATATTGAGCAGCGAATTTTGATTGAATTTGAGGATATTCTGCTGAGCCCGATTTGCGAGGAGCAAAATATAACTGTCATCGGTAAATTGACGGTAAGATCCTTTGGGTAATTAAATTCTTAGACGGAGAAACGCAGCGGGAGCTAGGGCCACTTTGTGACGATCGACCGCCGCCAGATTTCGTCTCTGACAGTTCGTTCCTTTCTCCATAAAAACCACGATGTTTGAATCAAAAATTAAGGTGATGAAGTCATCATAAAAGCCTTCGTCTCGGAAACCTCCTCCTCCGACATGCCAACTCGAGGATACATGTTCAAGTATCGTTGGGTCGACAAAGACTACGCCCAATCCCTAGAACACTTGATCAATGAATTCACCAACGCTGCGTATGAAGATCAGGCGGAAGGAAATCATTTCGGCTCGTGGAATCGCCGCGGCGGAAGAATGCCAATAACAAGAGCGCCGCTGCCGAATTCAGGCTTCGATAACTTTGGACCGCGGAAAATGACTCCGCCGGATTTTGATGGACAGAGCTTTAGGAATGGGTATTTCAAAGATGAAGCTAGAAGATTTGTATTTTCATATTAAACAAAATTTTTCACGGCTTTCTTGCGAAACATTATTTTCCGGTTTCCGATACCATGAAATCTGATAACAAAAATCAGCGGGATCCTTTGACTTTACCCAGCTGTTCAATAATCCAAGCGAAACCTCATCGGAGTATAAACCAGAGGGAACGATTCGGGCATTCATAAGAGTAAAATGAGATTCTCAAAGAATAAGCTTGATCATTGACCTGTATAAACTCTATAATTTGGAAAATCATGATACAGAATACATGGTAAAACGTTTATGTTTTTTAAGAAAAAATCTGTTAAAATGATTCAAAAGTCCAATAATTCTCTATTTTATCATGAAAATTTATGATTTCTAATTAACTGTTACCAGATTTTTGTATTAAATGAAGCAAAATTGATTGTCAGTTACAAAACAATAATAACTGCAACTTATAAATAAAATAATGAAAATGAAAGCTACCCTGATAATAGCACGTCTGGCCCAAAACGTCCGCAAATAAACAACCAACCATCCCTCAACGTACCAGTTTACCGATCAGATGGGGGAATGATAGATAAAAACGGAAAGCTGAACCTATATCCTCCTGGCTCTCCCCTCGGGCCTCCAGTGCCAACTCGCAGAACTCAGACTCGATCGCCCTCAATTCCAATAACAACTGAAGTCGCTCAGACTTCTTGCACTCAAGGGCCGCTTCAAATCTTATAAATAGAGAAAAATATAAGTAGAAGTTTTCAGCGGATAAAAATGTCTTTGAGCTTTTGAATATAAATGAAGAGGTTCCTCCTGGAAAGAGCTGGTGGTCAATACCGAAACTTGTTGCTTTAGGCGCTGGGGTTACTTGTCTTATTGCTCTTATTACGCTTTTGATTCAGGTAAGCAACGTTTTAAAAGGGGCTTTCGATGTCTGTTTTGGCCTAATGAATCATCAAAATTTCAAGATTTTTGTCCGAAAAGCAGAAAAAAAGATCAAATCCGATCTTTCTTACCCCTCTGACCTTTCGTCCCGCTCATCAATATCCAACTTCAAAAAGAATGCGCCACCTCCACCAACACGAAAATCCCTCAAAAAGAAGATGAAAAAACAAAGACTGAAGAGATACGATGGAAAATTTGACGAATCAGATTTGAGAAAAGCTCAATGCGCTCTTGAAATCCAACGACTGCAGAAAAAGCTAATGAAATACACATAAAGCCATTATCATAAAAATAAAATTGTATTGATCAAACATTTTTTTCTTCAGTTTTCGTCGCTTTCGGAATTTTTTCTAGAGGAAGCTCCCGATGAGTTCGAGGAAGATGATGCAGAAGAGGAGATTGAGTTGTTCACTTCAGTAGGGGCGACTTCTTTCTTTGTGCTAGAAAAGATGATAATGAGAATCGAAAAAAAGAAGGTTTCACAAACCTAAAGCAGCTGCAAAGAGCCAAGATAATAAGCAATGCACCGAATACACCTCCAACAACAGCTCCAATGATGCATCCAGTGGAGCATCCTCCAGATCCTGAAAACAAATAAAAAAACGTTCATTTATCCTTCTTTACCGCTTTCATCATCTAAATCTGTTGTGTTCACAGAAATGAAAATTTCTGTTGTGGATTCTTCTACGATTTCTTCTGGCGGCGTGGTTGTTTCTGTTGTCGTTGTAGTAGTTGTTGTTGTCGTTGTTGATGTTGTTGTTGATGATGATGTTGATGATTCAACGGGCTCCTCTGTTGCAACTGACTCCAAAGGTATATCTGTTGCTGCAGCTGTTGTCAAAATGTCAATAGCTTCCGTCGTCGAATTATCTTCGCGCTCTTCACGAAAAAAACGTCCTTGAACAAGCACTAAAAACAATCAATCTTTTATCAAATAAGAGAATGAAAAAAACCTATCGCTAGAAAAAATCTTTGAAAATTCATCTCTCAGGAAGTTCAAAAACTGAGTAGTAATTTCTCAACTAAGCATGAGCAGCCGACAGATATGATATTTGCCAATCATAATCTTAATTTCAATAATGTTCTGTTTCCAGGGCGCAGTAAAAATTTTAGCGCCAGTCGTTTTGTCAATTTCATGATCCAAGCGATTCGGAAAAACAGCAGGATAGTAGCTTGGTTACTGTAAATAACGAAGGAGATAGAATTTATTGATAATGAATTATTTTGGAGTCAAAGAGGAAACCAAAGAAAATCGTGGAGCTTTTCTTTCATTCCTTCTTCGTCAGCGATAATGCTCATTTTTCGATGCCTAAAACAATTCATTCAGAGCTTCTTTCTTTTTCTTTACCTCTTAGACTGTTTAGCCGTATCTCCGCCATCTTCTTGCCGGTTTTCTCTGGTCGAAACATAGTCCGAATCATCGTCCTCGTCTTCGGAAGAATTCGAGTCGTCGAAAGAAACGCTGATCGAGGTTTCTCCGCCTGATATTTTCGGCGAGGTGAAAACTGACAAAATTATAAAGAAGGAAGATAATTTTGCCCACCCGGGATATTTAAAATCTCGTTGTTGAATCTTGAAATTCCGTTGTAAATTGACATTTCAAGGCCGCGATTGCCCCTTTTCGCTCGAGTGCTAAATTGAAATCAAGGAAGAAAATTTTCAAGTAGAAAAAATTAATATTCTTCTTTTCTTTTAGAAATCAAGGCCAAAAGCGATGATTGAGCTTTTCATCCTCTTACATATCCTTTTTCGACACCGGCCTCCTCGTCTTGGCAAAAATTCGTAACCCAATCTTCAAGTCTCTTATCTCCCTCCGAAAAGCCTTCAGCATTTCGAATTTTTCAAAAAGTGAGTTTAAGAGAGTCATCTTTTTTCATATCAATCTTACTGTCTGAGGATAATCTGATGATCGGGGATCTCGAGACGCGCAAGCTAGCTTCATTCATTTTCATAAAAGCTTCTTTACTGTCGTTTTTAAGGAGCTCGTAAGATCAAAATTGACGTGCATCTTAGATGAGTATTTTTTCAGAAAGAATCGATTTCAAAGAGACAAGATTTTTTTTTCAAGATTTATTAAAGAAAGATTTGTTATTTCAAGCACAATTTGGGTTAGGGTTAGGGTTTTAATTTTGCATCATCATCATGAGCCCTCCAAAGATCAAAGTCTGCAGAGCGGCAATTCCTTCACCAGCAGCGGCACTAGAAGCAGCGAGAACCTCCATCAGTCGAGATTGGACAGCGTCAAGACCGCCGCGATATTCGACTTCTCTTTGAAGCTCACCGGCAATTGTCTCATTCAACAGCCGGATAAAATTGTCAGCTCCTCCGACGACGTCAACAGCTTGCTTGAGCGAGGGTTTTGAATAAACAATTTCGAGCTTTGGAAAATTTCTCTGTGACCCTTTCCTGAGCAGTATCTGAAATCGCTTCTTCTTCCATCACCATGTATAGAATTGTCATCAATACAGAAGTATCTACTCCCGATTCTAGTTTGCTGCGCTGAGCCAAGAGCAAAAATTGTTAAAAACTTGAAAATCTTCATCTTTTATATTGTTTTCTCTTACAGTGGGTTGCGCAGGTAGTTGACCCTTTGCGATTGCCGCTTTGGTTGCCCCTTAGCCCGCGCTTTTTCTATTGTTTCTTTCTAGACTTGCTCAAAGTACGAAAATATCATTGCTTTTACATAGTTATAAGTTCGCATTTTTCATGAATTTTTAAAAATTTCATAAAAACTTTCTAAATTTAAAATTCAGAGAGCAAGGGAGGGTTTGGAAACTATCCTGTCAAGAAAAACATCTTCGAAAAATATTCGTTTAGCAAATCTGCACGAAGCGTTTTTTGAGTGGGACCACGTCGCTGGGTTGGAAGCGGAATTCAAGAAATTCACTGAGCCTTGTTATTACTTCAGCGCAACGAATTCAAGCATTTTTATCTTTTTGTAATGACCCTCTTTCAAATAACTCGTCTCTGCGCCACTAGCTCTCGTTAGATCTGGATCGCTAAGAGGAGGGATCAAAATTGCTGGATTTATTCACGTAAGACGGTTTATTTTGAAAATTTATCGTGATTGGATTTTTCGGAAAAGCGCCTTCGGATCGTCGTCAAATTGTCTGGAACTTGTCGCTCTTAAATTTGTTAAATAGCTTTCGGGAAGTTATCCAATTAGTGAAAGAACCGATCCAGCTTAGATCAAAACGGAACCACCCACCACGTTTACAATAGGTTCAGATAAGTTTCTTTTAAAAATACAACAGTAGAAATATACCGCAAAAGATAGGTATTCTATTATATCCGCGAATATGATTTTTTTTTTAAAAGAGAATTTCCGAACGGTGAAAATTCAGTGTAAGGGACACACCCTCCCCCCATCAAAATCAATTTTACCATAAAAACTATTACAAAAACATAGTTCAAGGCAATTAAGACAATAAAAACTGAAAACAAAGACCAATATTGCCAAATATTCGAAACCAAAAAAACCTGCATCTAGCAACCTTACCTTTAAGGAGCTGTATATCCTTAAGTTGTCGATCGAGAAAACATGATAACTTTTCATTGATAAGGGAGTCGGTAGAATAGTTGTTAAGAAAAACTTTCACTTTAAAGCCCCGGCTATATATTATATATAATATATTATATATAACACCCCCCCCCCCATCATGAATCTTGGAGCCGTATATAATATATAGCCATATATATGATATATAATATATATGTATGCATCATACAGTATGATAGAAATTATAAGCTCATAATCCTTTAGCTAATTGCAGGGAAAAAGAACGAGAAAATCATAGCTGGTAGACTTCTTTCATATAATATAAATCAAAATTACCTATTGTCGGGATCGTAGGGATTTTTATGGTGCCTTCAAATTTTCCACTGAAACCTCGTCGTCTTAAGATAGTGACCCTCAAACTCGATAAGGCGGGTCAAGCCTTTGCCTGCCACCCTCTAACGTGATTTCATTTCGCTTCTGTCCACGTTTTTCGCTGTTTTATAATCATACGCCCTGTTTTCATACCAACCAGCATCCATAACTTCTTTCTTCGTCTTGATCAAATTATTATTACCAATTTTCTTGTTTTGGCAAGTTCAACACTTGGGCTTCCGGAAGAAGGAAAAAACGAAGCTCAAAAAAGTTGTTTTAAATTAAATTATTGAAAATTGAATTCAAAGAGATAAAAAATTAATGAATCATTTTTCGGACTTCAGTTTTTTGACAGTTGTTTTCTGGCAAATTTTGATGGCTGGAATAATATTTGACTTTATAAGCCAAATGCACTGTGACATAAGTTTATAAGCAAAGGATTCCCTTGATTTCTCCGTAGCTGGCAGATCTGTTTATTTCAATTTTCAAATATTTTACAACTCATGTCCGGTGAGTTCAACCAGAACCATCTCTTACCTCTTTACCTTTGCTTTCAAAGATGATACAGTAGAAAAGGGACTTTTTAATGAAATTGAGTTTGATACTATTTTGAGCCTTTTTTCATTAGTATTGACGCGCTTTTTTAAGGTTTTGGAGGTTTTCTAGCCCATTAGAGCCTAACACCATACCTTTTTGTCATCAGCAGGAAATTCAAAGAACTTTGACCCTTTTTGTTTTCGAAAATTCCACTTCCAGTCCGATTCTAGAGCCGGAAGTTGACGAAATTTAGGAGTAAGGGTTAAGTGTGACCTATCAAATTGATGCTCAGAAGATTTCCTATATTAAAAAAAAAGAATCGATTCATCCATTCGAAAAGCCTTACTTAGCATCTGGTGACAAATGAGTGTTAATTGAGATGACCACGATTGAAGACGCAATTTTTCAGCGAGCCAAAGAATTCAAAATAAATTTATGGTGACGTTTCACTTGGAAATCTGAAGTCTGCATTTGTTTAATATAACATCTATTATTAAGGAACCCCCGTCAACACTTTACGAAAAATCGAAATTCGGAATTTGATAATTTTGACCCCGGAAATGGATTCTACGGGTCAAAAACGATTTTCGGGTTCCATTTTTGGAGGTCAATCTCGACTCTATCAGCGCCAAAATTGCATTTGAAAATTGGACTTTTCGCCGAAAATTGACCATTATGACCTAATTTTGCTAAAATTTTAGATTTTTATTAGTTAAAGAGGGCTCCGACCAAGTTTTTTGATGTATTTAACTTCAAGGAAGTCTAAGAAGCTGTTTTAAAATTTTCGATTTTTCGAGGAAAATTGTTGACGGGGGGTCGAAAAAAAACAAAATTTTATCGATTCGGTGCCATTTCTGCTTTTCGAAATCTTCATCAGTCTGTTCGACAAAGCACGTTTGTAACCCATCACTTGCTGATAGTTTCGCTCTCGTGATGTGAACATTCTTTTGAGTGGGAAAAAACTCATATTTGAATGGTATGGTATTTATGTATCTTTCTTCTTTTCTCGCCGGGGAGACTTCAAAGGAAAATGCTCAACCGTTTACCAAGTGGTTCAAAAGAAAGAAGGCTAAGTGTTATTTCAGTTGAACCAGCGGCGAAAAAAACAGTTTCAGATTTTGTCCGACTCTAAGTCACGCATGCCTTACATGATTAGCATGAGCCTCCGTAATCCACTTTCGCACGGGGTGCTCTAGAAAACCTCCTCCGGCGATTTTTTTTTTCGCGCCGAGATTAAATGTTCTTTTGACGGTCGTTTTCAATGATTTTTTCGTTTATTCGATTTTATATTTCGAGAAAAGCAGGAAAAAGACTTGATTCAAGGCAGCTCAAAAGTCCAATGAAACATCTTGTTTTCCATGTTGACAGATTCATCATTTGAAATCGGAGGAACTTTTTGGATAAAATTTTTAATATCAAAAGAAAATGAAAATTTTATCCTTACCGTAGAGGATATCTTGTCCATTGATCATTCCCGGCTGATCAGAGTTGCAAATTTGGCTTTATTTTCGCTGAGCTGAGCTGAGCTGAGCTGCGTGAGAAATTCTCTGAGCTGAGCTGAGCTGAGCTGGCCTATTTTCAGAAGTCATTGAGCTGAGCTGAGCTGAGCTGAGCTTGCCTATTTCGGAGCTCACTGAGCTGAGCTGAGCTGAGCTGGCCATTTTCAGAAGTCATTGAGCTGAGCTGAGCTGAGCAGACCTTTTTTTAAGGTAGTTGAGCTGAGCTGAGCTGAGCAGACCCTAATTAGAGCTGAGCTGAGCTAAGTGGGATGATTTGAGCTATTTTTTACTGTTTTTTGGTAGTGAAATTGTGTTAAAATCACTGAGCTGAGCTGAGCTGAGCTGAATGATACTTGTCTGAGCTGAGCTGAGCTGAGCAGAATAGATCATGTTCGAGAATAATTGAGCTGAGCTGAGCTGAGCTGAGTGATTATTGTCTTAGCTGAGCTGAGCTGAGCAGATAAATTCATTTTCGAAAATCAGTGAGCTGAGCTGCGCTGAGCGTCTGCTCAGCTCACTCAGCCAGCTCAGCTCACTCAGCTCAGCAAATTTGCAACTCTGCGGCTGATAAGTTATTGCATTCCGTTCATTCACGTGGGTGTCAAAGTGGTAGTCATTGTCCCAGTGGATCTGGAAAGTGTCAGGAAAAGTTGGATGAGGAACAAATCTCCAAAAATCGCCTTCGCCGAAATCTTTCATGATGAAATTTCCGCCGTTAACTGAGCCCCAGTAATTCAGCCTCCATTGCTGTTTTGTGAGAGCATCTTCGATCCTTCCTCTCTGGATTCCTCCCTCGAGAATTTCCATGTCAACGATTCGAATAGCACTTCCCGACGAGACTCGATCAAGGTGAAGAAGCTTTGTTCCAGAGAATCTGAGTTGGGCAACGCCAGCACCATCGCATCGGGGGTAGAAAATACTATCCCCAGGTGTTGTTGATTTAATTGATTCAGTTGTTGGGCAAATTGGATTTTCACAGCCTTGCCATCCGTTTGGACAATTTTCTCCACAAGGGCAGTCTTCGTTACATCCTCAATATTGATTTTACGAAAATTTCTGCCTCTTGATATCTCTTACTGTCGAACTCGGAGTTGCAGATCGACAAGCAGTATTCTGTCTCGCACAGAAGACGACACGCAGTATAATCGTTATTCCCATGCAGTCTTTTTGCAGCTCTTCATCACTAGAATTTTCAATAGATTTTTAACCTTACGCCGCCAAACTCGAATTTCACCCCCCGCCGCCAAATGTGCCATATATGGCACATTGCAGTGTATTCGATGTGCCAAATATGGCACAACTCTTAAAAAGTCGGCTTGAGATGTTGAAAATAGGAAATTTTTTGTCATGCTTCCAAATGTTAGACATTTGACATTATAGGACATCAGATGACACCAAATGACATCAGATTGATGTCGGAAATGTTTATCTTCCTCTTATAAGGGAAAATTCCTTACAATGCATTTTAGGCGGAAAAAGTCCCACCGCCGCCAAATGTGCCAAATATGGCACATCACAAAACATTCTTGTGCCATATATGGCACACGAGTAGCGAAGCTAAATTCGCTATTTTGACGCATTTGTAGCGAAGCTAAGCCAACCAAAGGCCTACCACGTGAAAGTTTAGCTAAAAGTAGGGGTATAAAGGGGGGTCGGCGAGACTCTAACTCCAAGTAAAAAATAAGTTACAGGCGTTTTAAAGTCTTGGTGCCATATATGGCACACTTGGCGGCGTAAGGTTAATAAAGAAAAGGGGCCTTACATGCATGTTTCCTCGAATAAAGCTCTTCTTGCTGCTACGGCAGAGAAAAATAGATAAAATTTCTTCATCTCTCTGATGCAGAGAATTTCTTCGAGTCAAAATAAAATCTTCCGCGTAGGAAAATTCTTGATATTTGCGTATGCGAAATTTGACATTTTAATAACTGGGTCATTCATACACCCATTTGTTACATAAAAATTCATAAAATACTCGATAATTATTTTTTCTAAAAAAACTTTCTAACTTTTTCACTAAACAGAATTTCCCGTTGCTTATCTAAAAGCAGCCGCGTTCTTATCATCTTCCGTATTTGCAGTGCGAAAGTACAGCAGATGAGCCCGGAGCGCTCTTATCTATTTTTTTCGCTTCGAAAAACGTATTTTTTGGATTTTGGCTCTCGAGCGCCCCGCCATGAGCGTTCGCGATTTTACTACAACTCTGGCGCTTTGACGTTCGGCGCGCTGATTGGCCGGGGCGCGAGAAGAGGATGGAAGGGACCCTGGTACATGTAACAGATCAGACGAGAATTTTTGCTCACGGGTTAATCCGCTTGTAAAAGACGCTTTTTGGAAAAGTAGAAATAAAGATAAAAATAAGAGATCGCCGAAGAAAGGAAGAGATTTTAGAAAAATTGGAGAAGTTCGCTTCGAAAATTATTAGTTTTTAAGGTATTTATTCATTTTTTTAATAATTTATTAAATTATTCAAAAATTTTATTTTTTATTTTTTAAAAATTGTTCTTTTCAAAAAAAATGTTGTGTTCTGTTGTATTCGAGTTGCGTCAAAATTTGAATATTTAAATTTAATTATTCCGCATAATTTATGTTTTACAATATTTTACAAGTAAACATTCTTCCCCTGAAAAATACGTTAGTTGCGTGTTTCTTCGAGTGCTTGTACCAAGAAGCTATTATCGTTCGACAAATTGATCAATCCACATTTCTGGCAATTTACGTTTTTCGCCCAAAAGAAGCCCTTATTTCGCAGTCTTTTTCGTCCGTTTTTTTCGGATTTTCCAGTTCAAAGTCGGCTTAAACGTTTACTGTTCTAAAGAAATAAGCTCTCCACGTAGAAGATATGAACTTACGTCGCCGGAATGCGCGTTGTTTAAATTTTTCCTCGGAAGGTGGCGAAAGGAGGATTCTAGCGTCAAAAATCGCGCAGAATTTACATCAGCTATTTCGGCGAAATGTGGTTTTTGAACCGAGAAGCAAGGAAAAAATATGCACGAGTTTGATCATAGAAATGCGTTACATCATCACTGCGTTTTCTCATGAGTTTTCACGATTATTAAAATTTGCTGTTTTGCACATTTTAGATGCGATTTTGTAAATTTTGAAAAAAAAATTCTTTCGGCATAAATTTCATCTGAAATCTGATTGGCCTTCAAGCCGAAAGCAGAAATCTGATTGGTTTAAAATTTGACTCAAATTTTAATCATTTTTGTCGTTTTTTTGGCGATTTGTCTTTCCTCTCCGACAAAAGTGAATTTTTTTCAGAAATCAAAATTAATGAGAAAAACCCGATTAAGAAGTCAATTAAATAAATCAAGGAGAGCCTTAAGAGCAGCCAGAATTAAGCCGAAATCAAAAGCAGATCAGTTTTGCTAAAATAACAGTCTTTATTGAACAGTGTCAGTAAGACTGCCTTTTTTTTTACAGTAGTTGTTCGATTCTGAGAATTCATGAAAAGCGTTTCGAATTTCTGTGAAATGAGAATCACTCATCCGCCGAGCGGGGCAATTGACGCGGCTTAGACAGTTGCTTTGAATAATTTCGATTAAAAATGTCGGACTTTTCGTTTCCCGAGCGGTTCAGTTTTTGCGGTCAATTTTGGGGACCGCTCAAACTAAAAAAAAAAGATCGAGAAAATCTCTGTCTAGGTTTCTTCTGTAATACTGTAGTGTGTCCGTGTTGTTACTCGTGCTTTTGATGCTGATAAGAGCTCTTATCAGTAGCGAAAACCCGCTTTTTATGTCATCTTATCAATTTTTTATGCATAATGCAAAATGATTTCAACCCTAATTAACGCGACATCTACAGTGGTCATTACAGTGGCCCTCTAAAAAGAGACATTTGAAATTATAATGAACCCGTTTCTTTTTGGTAAAAAAAAATTATCATTCTTCTTCTTTTTTGAAGAAATCAGCATTTTTGAGCAGTTAGGTCAGCAACAAAGCGAGTTAGATTTTAGCAAAAAAGATAAGACGCAAGAAAGAAAGCTTCTAATCTGCCCAACCGGCAATGTCAAGCCTATCGGTTTATGAAGTCACGTGGCCGTAGACAGAAAAAAGTGAAGATCGGCGGAAGAAAATTGAGGGGAACGTTGATGGATTAGCTGATAATAAGCGGATGGATCAGTTATTGATGATAATCATAAGAAGAATAGGGAGAAATATGCCTGAAAAACCAGCAAGAAAAGCAGCGTGCGGCTACGAGAAACAAAAATTTAGCCGCTTATTGCGCGGCTTTTTCTTCGCAAGCGGCTTCTTGGTTTAAATTAAGGGTCTCACGTCCTTAACTAAAAATGAGCAAAAAGAGTGAAGCCGCATGTTGCGCGGCTTTTTTTAGAAAAAAAAACTCGAAGCCGCAAGCGGCTTCTCGAATCGGGTTTCAGTTAACCCGTTAACTAGGCACTGAATATTAGGGGTTAACGGGCGCGAGGCCGTGAGAAGGCCTCGCACATTTTGGCTTTTTCTGAGTAAATTGGTTTAAGAAATTCATTTCTAAGAGGACCAGATGATTCACAAGGGTCTAATCTTTCCTCTAGATGTTGTTTTAGTCATTTTCACGCTCGTTTAGTGGGTTAAAATTGAGGTCAAAGTTACGTCATTTTCGGCGCTGAGATTCAAAGAAAGGGAAAGCGCGAGCGCATTGTATTACGCTTTCCCTTTTTCCCGCCGATCGAAATTTTTCTTTCGCCTCTCATTTTTTTAATTTCAGGCCAATTCTTTCCCGAATCAAATACATGGATAGAGAATCGATTGAATATCTCAGAAATAAAAATTTTTTTCGTAAAAAAAAGAGCCTAGACCATTTTATCGCGCTCCAAAGGCCAAAAGGCCCTCAGAGGGCCTCGCGCCTGTTAACGGGTTAAGGGTGTCAAGTCGTTGAAAAAGCCACCACTCTGTGCCGTGAACTCTGTCAAAAAGTGCACACTTTGCGGTCATTCTATTTATTAATAGATTGAGGGTAAGATCGAGGAGATTCCTGGACCAAGTAGTGAGGAGCGATTGAAAAACTTGTTTAGCTTTTGCTCCGGCTCATGGTTCAACTTGGGGCTTTTAGGGCGACTCTGGGACTAAACACCGCGGTCGCAACCGGAACGGACCCGGGGCCGCTTTTCTAATTGCAACGCGAGGAGTTTCAAAGGAGCTGACGCAAGAAAGGAAGAATGATTGATCTTTTCTTGGACGGCTCTTGGAAGCTGCATTTGAGTAAAAACAGAATGAACACGTTTTTGAACGGGGTTTTTGCCGAAAAGTTGTCGAAAATACAAGAGCACGAATGATTTCGCCGCGTGTTATCAAAACAGTATTCTCGCCTAGTAATACTAATTGGAGGTCTACAGTTTTAACAATTTTAACAACTCAATTTTAGTAACAATTTTCATTTGATTATTTAACAATTATCGTGTTAAACAATGTTTTATCATTTAAAAAAATTGTGCGAATTTGATTGGTTGAAATTTTTTTTGATAAAAAAAATTCTTTCAGGAAGCCAAAAATGCTGAAAATGGTCGACTAAAAAGAAATCATCTAAAAATGGGATTTTCAAAAGCGCTGCGCAAAGTTTTCCGATCCAAGAAGAAAAAAGACCTCGAATCTCAAGACGACGCGTACCAAACCAATCAAGGGGGAAGATTTCCAGCCTCGCAAAATGGCGGTTTTGACCAAATTTGGTCCTTTGGCCAAAATGGTTTCGGAGAAAATGCCGGATTTGAGCGAGGGAAGAGTGTAAGACGGGGAATTTACGAGCCATACAGGCAACACTTTCCGGTGAAATCGTCGCAGTATGATAGTATACAGCCCTACGAGCCCGCGCAACCAAATCAAAAGGAAAGGGATTAGAGAGGATTATTTTTCCCGTCAAAATATGACGCTATTAATTGAGCGCTTTTTTGGGCAGCTTATCTTTTTTGGAACAAAAAATTCTCTAACCCAAAACCAGCAAAATGGCCAATACGGCCCAAAACTCGTGACTGCCGATGGAACCTACAACCAAAACGGGGATTTCACCCCTTCCGCGAACTACTCAGAGCACCGCGTGCCGAATCTCACGAGATCAGGCAGCAACGCCTCACTCTGCCACTTCCAAAATCAACACTCTCAAAATCATCAAAATCAAGCGCCAGCCAATTATCAAATGTTCCAGCCCAGATCGGTTCACGGCCAATTTGGCGGCTCTCAGGTAAAAATCATGTTTCAAATTCAAAAATTAATTTTTCCTTTTTAGATGAACTTGTCTTCTACCCCGGCGGTGCCGAACTTTAGGCGCCCAGTACGTAGCAATTCAACGCTGTCGAATTACGAAGTTGCGGCATTCCAAAGTCAGCAGCAGAACCAAGCCACTCGCGGCGCCACGATTCAACGACAAGGATCGCTCAGGAATGGTTAAATTTTCTTTTTATCTTGGAAACCACAGTATTTGAGAAAATTATTGAACCGAGGGCGGATGTTAGTCCGCCACGAGTTAATTCCATCCTTTCTTTTGACAAAGGAAAATATACGTCACTTCAAAGAGACGAATTTTGGGAAAAATAAAATTAACCATTAAAAAGCTCAATTCCAACCTTTACCTCCAATCCTTTCAATCAATTCCAAAAGCAAAATCAACATCGCCCCTCCAGCGTTATTGGAGGGCAATTCTCTCAACAACAACCAATCGCTCAACAACATAGTAATTATGGTAAGTTTTCAAACAAAATCAATGTCTATTGAATCTTATTTTGCTCGCTTTTTTAACCCGTTTTCGCATTTTTGACCAATTTTTTGGTCATTTTTGATTTCCAATCGGTGCTTTTTTCTAATGAAAATATCATATTCAGAAATTTCCGTCAAACCAACTTTTTGGCAAAAATGCGTGAACGGGTTAAAATGAAAAAAATGCTCCTCAATGTTAAATGTTAAATGTGCGGTGTTTTTTCAGACCAAATGAATGTTGCTCGTCCGCAGCGGCCAAGCTCGGCCCAAGGATTCTATTCAAACTATGACATGTCCGTGCATAGTTTCGAATCAGGTAAAAAAACATGGTTGAAATGAACTTGTTCCGGTTAAAATGCGCGAGTGTCGCCATTTTCCTGGATGCATTGATGAATGAAAATATTTATATACGTTCCATATTTAGCTCCGCCCGTGATGTCACCAGTCTCCTCCAATTATCCCTCAACGAGGTCTTCTAGTTTTATAAATAACAGGGTTATGAGCCCTGTTGGATCAGTTGCGACGATGAGCAATGCTGGAGGTAATGTCTTTTTACTTTAAAGACCCCCCCGCTAGCTTTTTCATTCGAAAAATGGAAATTTTCAAAAAACACCAAATTTTTGGTTCTGAACGCGTCCTCAGGTTAAAATTTCTTCAAAAACTTGATGAGAGGAATTTTTGACGAAGAAAAATCAATATTATTGCCAAAATAAGGGCAAATTCGTCAATTTTTGGGGAAAAATTCAATTTTCAAATGGGATTTTTGGGGTGAAGGAGTCGAGATAAACCCCCAAAAATGAAGGGGAGGTGTCTGGAACCGACAAAAAATTTCGACAAATTTTGCGTGGAAATTTTCAACCAATCAGAAGTCTGGATTTGGCAAACCAGCCAATCAGCAGCCGAATAGCCGCCCACGCAAAATTTGTCGAATTTTTTTGTCGGTTCCAGACACCATCCCAAAATGAAGTCTGAGAATAGTTTTTTGACCCGTAAAATCCATTTCCGGGGTCAAAATTTTAAAATTCCGAAATTTGATTTTTCGAAAAGCTGACGGGGGGGGGGGTCCTTAATTTTTCAGCTATAGTCAAAGATAACCATATCCTTAAAGATGCTCCCGCCCAATTTGAACAACAAGTGTTCACTTTGTCTCAGCTGCGAAGCTCTCAGGCCAATCTCCAGCAAGCACTTCGTGCCCAAGAAGACATCTTACGTCAGGTGCGCGCCATTCGACCATCGCCAGAAATAAACAGATCACTCTTTAGAACGGCCCTCAAAACACACCAGAGCTGGACACGACAATGAAGATTATGCAAACTTGTCTCGACATGTTGGACTCGATTTCAGGGTTGGTCGAGAGGTCAACTACTCCAGTTCCGCAGCAGCAGCCTATGACTGTTTTCGAGCCCGAAAAACCCTTCATCAATCATCAGGTAAAACTAGACAATTAAGAAAAATACTCATATTTTTCAGATGAAGCCAAAAAAGTCCGCACTAAAGCAGCGAAAGTCGAATTCTTCGGCCTTCGAAAAAGTGGCTCCGAAAGCAAGCAGGAGCGCCGAAATAGTTTCTGATTCCTCGGATGGGTATTTTGAGGAAAGCTCCTCGCCATCTGCGGAATCGGGGCTAGAAACGCCAGATCTTTCGTGTCAGGAGGGGATCTCGATTATTTTTCCACAGATTTCTCAAATTTTAAGGAAAAAAAATTCGGGAAAGTGTCAAACTGCGATTCTTTGTTCGCGACAAATTTTTCCCGTAAACGATACTGGCCACTGATTGGCCGGTAGGCCGAAAACAGGCCTCTGATTGGCTTATTTTTCTCATGGATTTTCCATGAAAGTTTGTCGCGAACGAAGAATCGCAGTTTGACATTGGCCCAAAATTTCGACCAATCAGAGGGCTGAAATCATGATGAAAACTTTTGTTGTCCAGAATGCCCTCTGTAGATATTTCTATAACCGAAACTTACCGTTAAAATATTGATCCTCTAAAAAGACCAGCCCTGGACCTTCAGAGCTGTCTGAAGACTCAGGATTCGAGCGAGCCGCCTCGGCCTCCCCAGCAAAAAAGCTCGACGAATTTAAGCCAATGCTGAGCTCTCTTTCTCAGCTCAAAATCTCTCAAATGTAAAAAACGACAACAAGAGACTTAGATCATTTTTTAAAACATTTTTTTCACCAAGGACTCTTTCGTAAGTATTTTTACTTGTAAAAGAAAGAAGCGAATACAACTGTATAATGAAGAATTAAACCTGGCTCGAAAATAACAACGACTAACAGAAGAAAAAATGAAAATCTCGTTTGAATCTTTCCACTGTAAATAAATCTTTATTTATCTTTTACTTCTCTAGACTTTTTTCAAAGACAGGAGTTTTTGTTATTTTGAAAGTCAAAAATGTTTGAAAATGGAAGAATTTACAAAAAGCCAAGTCAGGAAGAGCTTTTGAGAGCTCATGGGCGGCTGTCAGAGTTTGTTAACGGGACGATTACTGTTATTCCTGCTGATAAAGAAGAGATTGATTCATCAAAGGTAAAAATAGCTTTGTGGAGAAATAACCATAAATGAGAAATGAAATTGTTCAATTGGATTTTTCTGTTCATCTTCCGATCGGATTAAAAGATAAAAGGACAAGATCATTTTTTGTGTATTCCCTTGAGATTTTCTAGCTAGAATTCTTACTCGACTGGACAACACCAACGATTCTCCTGGTTACCTTCATCATCACTCTTTTTCTCACAATTCGGGGTCGGTACTACATCATTCGCCACAAAACCGCTCCGAATATCAAGCCCTACCATACCGTCTACATAATCAAGTTCTTCCCAAAAGTCGAGAAGATGACCATTTTTGATCGATTGATCAAAATATTCAAGAATAAACAACCCTTCGCTGTCGAGTTTGCGATGGAAGGAGTTTATCTTAAGGCAGAAAAGATCAAGTTCGAAGCGAAAGAAGGAGAGCCTTATGAAATCGGTAAATAGAACCTTTTCCTTCCCTTTTTCATGAATTCCTAGTTTTGGATAAGAGCCTCCGACGAGTGAAAAAGATCTGGATCACGGGGTTCAACGGCACGATCGTTCTTGAGACGAAAATCTCCAAAGTACTCCTTGTCTACCCAAAAACAACGGACGAATATTACCAGCGCTATAAAGACCCCTTCGCGAAAATGCCCTACATGAAAGCGCTCCGTTTCTTCATGTCCTTCATCAAAAAAATCGAATAAAATTGGAATTGATTTTGAGTTTTTGAACTTTTATTGTTGATTGAGAGGTTGTTAGCGAAGAGTGGTTGTGTTGAAGGAAGAGTTCGGGATGAGGTAGTTTGCTGGGCTGCCAGAGCGGATTGTTGTTGGGGGTCCCTGGAAGCCCTTTTCGACTGTGAGGATAAGAGTTCTGTTCTGATCATTCGCGACGCGCTAGAATTTTTACCCGCTTGGGAAGGGCATAATTATAGATTCAAACCTGCTTGACTTGGTTGAGCGGCTTGTTAGTGCAGTCCAATTCGTCCACTTGCAAAATAATGTCGTAAACTTCCAAATATCTGCCAGCAATTGAGTCTTCCTTGATTTCAAAAATTATCTTTCCCAAAAAGGAAGAAACAAACCTTGATAGCATCGATAAAAATACGATTGCCAAGACTGAAGCCAAATCCTTGCCCCGGATTTCTCGTCAATTCCAGGTTAACCGGCGCTAATTCGTTTTGTCGATCGATTGTTAGGACCAAGCGCGAGGACTTTTTTATGGTTAGGGAAACGAAACATTGGTTTTTATAGGTTTCCGAGGAACCAGGACCTTGGAAATTTCATTGACTGCCCATCGTTCGGACATGTTGACTGTTGAGTGGCCGTTTAGTTGAACGATTATGTCGTCATTCTGAAGAAAAATTTAAGTTATTATTTGATCGATTTTTTTTTAAATTTTCCCGGAGAAAACAAGATTAATCTCAAATTTTATTTAAAATTCTGCTCAAAAGGCCAAAGACAAATAAAAATGGGGCAGGCTCAATTTGATTTAAAAATTATGATTCTTTTAACTCATTTGTTTACTCACCTTGACATAGTTTTGCGCCGCGAGTCCGTTTGGTAGGGTATCTCTTACGCACAAAACGCTCGCTAAATTCATTCCGAAAGGTTCTCCTACATTTCTCGAGATCTTCAAACTTGTGATTTCTGGCTCTAGAACTCTGACACTCGGATCTTCGAGCTTTTTCTGTCGCTGTTTTTCCTCGAAAATGAAGTCATTTATTCGTCTTTTTAGGGCTCAAAAAGGCTCGATATCATTTCGGAAAGAAGAATGATTTGAACCCTTATTCTGAAAAGCTCTTCGTCGAGCATAATTATCGGGCTTCTCTGCTCTGAAGAAGAGACGCGTGATTTCGACGCTTTTGTCGAGAATTATGAGAGATGAGCCAGATCAGCTCGTAAAACTTCGCGGAAGAGCTCCTTTGTTTCGGTTCATTTCATCACCAGCAAATGGTATGTGTATTATTCAAATAATTTTGAAGGCGAAATATTATTGTCAGTATTTTTATTTCCTTTTCTTTCAATTTAATTCAGTAGAAAAGAATGGCGAAGATCAAATGCGAAAATTAGCCAAAAGTGGTTTTGTTTCCATGGATTCCGGCTTTTTGGCTTTTCTTCTGAAACCAATTAGGGCGTCATAACTTCCTAGTAGCATTCTTCGTTGTTCCTACCCTAGCCGAACGAGTCTAACTTCAAGCTTCTTTACAAAAAAAAGCTGCGTTCTGGAGCGCTTGGAAGTGAGGGCGATCTTGGTCAGAGTCAGAAAGAATCTAGCCTGGCGCGTTGTCAACAAGCGCAAACAAGAAAATTCAAAAAAGAACACTTGGCTGCCGTACTTATGCCACAATTGCCACAACCGCAAACACAAGTTTTCTCACTTTCAAGAAACATTTGATTTTTTCGTGTCAGATAGAGCAAGAGAGAGAATCAGAAAGAAATCAATAAAGAAAGTCAGCGTTTTCTTCCTAAATGAGAATGCTGGACAAACCAATTTTTGAAGGATCAAGAGGGGATTTGATTGAATTAAGGTAAATATAGAGGGATGCGTTGATTATACAATTACGCGAATTGGTATTTATAAATTTTCAATGTTATTTTATCAAGAAATTGTATGCCCGATGGTTGAAATAGTCTGATTATGGTTTCTCCTCATTATTTCGAGAACTTGATTTACGAAATTCTTTTTGGGAAATTTATTGAGTAGCTTACGATTTGAGATAATCAAAAGATTGAGCTCGGCTTCCTGGTAACGGAAGTGATAAGCTGCATTGATATCAATTTAAAATTTACTTTTCTTACTCACTTTTTCCTCAATCTCAGTAGGCAAAGTTGCTTATTTCAAAATGAAATTTTTCTAGAAAAATTTAAAAACAAGGGATCATAAAATGTTAGTAAATACTTTCGTTGGGGACTTAAAAAAAAACATTCTTGGTTGACAACAGTAACAAAATATGACCAAGGTATAGATGTTTGTACTCATCAGTAACATTTTCTTAGATCTCTTTGCAAGCCACCCGGAATCGTCAACGAGGTCTTGAGGGCCCTCGTGATCTTGTTGGGCTTCAAGCCTACTCCTGATAACATGTAAGTTCTTTCCTCTCCTTCCTGTTTATTCTTCTTTTCCAGATCCCATTTGCTCTCGAATGTCAATGATCTCCAAGCAAAAATGGCGACGTACAATCTCGAAACAGTTCTCCGGCGGACGAGAAAATTGAAAGGTGTCGACATAGATCCGGACAAAGTTTGCAAAGCTTCTAAAGCGGCGAGTTCCGTTGCGAAATGGGTCAAGGACTTGCAGAATTATCAGAAATCGCCGATTGAGAGCTTTGAAAGGTATAAAAAAATCTCCATTTTCGGCCCCAATTTCGTCAATTTGAAGGTCGCGGTCTTGTGTTGATTTCTCCCTCGTCCAGCCAGAAGAAATCGAAGAAGAAAAACGACGCTCAAAAGTTCGAGTTCAGAAAAAGCAGAAAATCACGCGCCCGAGAATTTCAAAAGCAGCTATTCTAGAGCTAAAGAGCTTCAAATGCCCTCCAGATACAGTCCAAAGAATTGCTGGTTAGTTGAATTAGATCGGTCGAAATCATGATAAAACGATAGGGATACCCTTAATCCTTCCAATCGAAATTTTGGTCAACAAATCTGTCTATCTTTTCTCCTTGACTTGACCTGACAAATTGTCAACAAGTTCCAAAGTAGCGTTTTTTTTATCATCTATCTGGCCTGTCCCCCTTAAGGGACCTGGGCGAGCAGCGCGGAGCCAAACTTCACGGGCGCATAGCTTCTCTTAGAAATATGATTTTTTTGGAATTTCTTTTTGCAAATCAAATTTGCGAATCTTCAGCTTTCTCTTCCGATTTTCAGAATTTCTCTATCACTAACGGTTGTTGAGCTAGGGAGAAAAAGAGAAGCGCAACTTCAAAAGGCATCAAGTCCTGCACACTTAATTTTTTCTTGATAAAATTAGAACCATTGAAAAGCCCGTTTAATTCTCAACAAATCTTACTCCATCAGCTGAGCTAAATTCGAACTTGTTGGCGTGTAAGGCCATATAAACGAAGATACTTAGCACGCGCAGCTGGTCGCGGCACGGCTGGACGCTCCGATTTAGCTATTTTGGGCTCCCTGGACATGATTCCCGCTGGGCGGGCGCTAAGTTATCTTGTTTATCTGGCCTCTATCTCCAGCAAGTACAGAGTTAGTTTAGCTGATGGAGTGGGATCTGTTCAGAATTTAACGCGCTTTTCAATGGTGCCAGTTTCATGAAGAAAAAATAAAGTTTGCAAGACTTGATGCCTTTTGAAGTTGGGCTTCTCTTTTTCTCGCTAGCTCATCAACCAAGAACGATAGAGAAAAACTAAGAATGGGAACAGAAAGCTTAAGATTAGAAGATATAATTTACAAAAAAAAATTTCAAAAAATCTTATTTCTAAGAAGAACGGCGAGCGCGTGAAGTTTGGCTCAGCGCTGCTCGCCCAGGTCCCTTAAGCTCCATTATCGACTTCGATAAAAAATTACGGAAGTAACTTCTGAAAGCGTTTTTCAGAAGGCCGCTTTTCTCTTCAAAGAACAAAGGGTGATGGCTAGTATTATTTTCTTAATTCTCAACATTGCGAAAGTGGCTTGAAAATGAGCATTGTTTCAGGTGCCGCTGCTGTTATGATCGACCTGCCCTCAGAGTGGACCCATTGTCGCAAGATGCTGGATATTCCCGATTTGGCGGAGCAATTTGATCATGCTGAGAGGTTTAAATAGACTATTTTTTATAATTTAACTCATATACCGTATAAAGAAACCCTATTGTCAACGTATTATCGTTGCTTCATTAGCTGCGCTTGTACTTAAAAATTGCTCAAATTTGATCAGACATAAAACTCCGTATTTTTTTAATAAAACGTAATCTTATCGTTTCTCTTAAAATCCTCTAGATATCATCGAAAACGACCTATCTGCGCCGGAAAACTGTGGCAACTAAATCGACTGAAAATAACTCATATAAAAATTGACGAAGTTCTCAAAGGTAAATACCTGTATTACCAGCAGGACTCCCTTTTCGCAAATTTCTGACAGTTTGTTTAGTTTCTCAAGGTGCTCGACAAATTTACAACTGGCTTAACTTCATGCTCGATCGACATGTTCGACGCTTTCCTGAAGTTTCTTTTGCAAAATAAAAAATATTTCAATAAGTCCTTTATTTACTGAAGAGATTCAAGAACTTCAGCAGCGTCCTTATCAGCCTCGTCTTCTTCGCCCCAGGAAACGATCGTTTCGATCATGTTTTCGTAAGGAATATTCGTCATTTTCGACATTTCATATGCTCGGTGGCAGGTCTTGAACAGCTCGTTTTCGGAGAAATTTGACTTGGCAAGGAAAAGAAGAATGTGAATGTCTCGCAGACCGAAGAAATTGGCGGAGTTGTGGATTTCATTTTCGTCGATAATTGGGATCATTTCGAGGAGTTTGAAGGCTCGATGGGCATTGACAGCATCTAACATAAATTCTTATTAAAAAACTCATTTCATTTTTATACCTTTAATCGTGATAAAAAAGATTCCAACAAAGCAAGTTCCAATAATGCACAAATATATTTGCACCAAAAGTCTTCTCGTCGAAACATCTCCAATCGAGCATCTAACATAATCCACCCCATCCCCGACTAAAATCCTCTTTTTTCTACGGCATTCTCCTTTCTCTTACCTGTTCCAAGCGGCTGATACTTCAATTTGCAGTTGAAAAAGTCCTGATTGTCCAAATAATAAATCTCGTACATGAAAATCCCGACGAGGATCAAAAGCACAAGGGTAAAGATCCGTCGCTGAATAAATGCCCTGGCGAGTTTCGTGCTAGAATTTTTCTTCTGCAAATATTTCTTGAAAGCCTTGAATTTGATGTCGATTTCTTCCGAGTAGTTTTTCTCCAACATGGCTAAAATCCGAATTTCAATCAAGGTGAAAATAAACTGACCATTCATTCTGTCTTTGACATTTTCAGTAGTCTTCTCTCTGTTTTTCTCTTGAACCAAATCGCTCATCAAAGAAAGAGTCAAAGCGAGGGCTTCTTCCAAACCACTCATGATATAAGTCGCTTGGCGCTAGAATTCATAATTCAAATTGAAGGAGGGCCGAAGTTAGGGTACCTTGACATTATCACTGTACGCGAGGACCCAATTTATCGCTGGCATACCAAGAATAAAAGCAAAAAGAAAGAAAGCATAAGGAAAAGCTTTATGATGAATCATCCATCTCGGCTCTCCAACTTCAACCGGCCCATCTTCGGTGAAATTCAACTCGTAGTGATTGAAGTTTTCCCAGCAATAATTGTACATCTGCAAAACTCAAAATTTTTCAATCGAAAATTTGCTTACGTAAAATCGATTTTTCATCGGACTTGTTGGTGCGCAGCGAAGACCATTTTCCGTTGCGAGATTTGGAGAAAAGACGAGAGCAAAAGAAATCAGTAAAATTGGCGAGCTGAAAAATAAAAATAATTTTCCACATTTTTCATTTTCTTTTTGACGACTTACCCGACAGCGAGAAGAGTGACAATATTGTCGTTAGGCAAACTTGCTTTTGAGACTTTCGTGTCGCCAGTATTCGTCTTCGCATTTGCAAAGATCGCATCCGCTGCTAAAGACAGCATCTTTCTCTTTGAGAAAATCTCTACTCTTGGCCTTTCTTATCATTCTTTTGGCTCGAGACTCTGTAGGAGCTTATCGCCTGCCACAGTTTGCATCTTTTGAGTTTCAAATATTTATGAGATCTGTAACAATTAAAAAATGAATATTTATTGAAATAAAATTGAATTTACAAAAAAAAAGAAGTTTATCAAGAATCAAATATTTTTGTTTTTTTTTTGGTGTTTTTGGAATTCCGCCGACTACTATTCAATCATGGTCTTCTTCGTAGAAAAACCAGTTTATTGAAACTTCCTTCTTTCTTGCTTTTTTGATATTTATCAACTGACCGTCATCGCCGTGGATTGATGGTAAGGAGGCTAAAAATACAAATTTTCGCCAATACAAAAGTTTTCAAATTTGAGGCGGAAAATGAGAAACAAACGATATTATATTGTAAATCTTACAAATTTCGATACAAGTTGCTTGTTTGGTGACTTCTCCGCATTTGTACTCAACAAGTTCGTTTTTCACAGCATCTGTTTTTACCATGTCAAGAAAATCTACCAATCGAACTCGATACAAAAGACGATGTTCTTCCTCTTCTTCCTCCTCTTCGTCAGTTCCGTCAATTACTTCCTTGTCATCAACCTGCTCCAAGTCTGAGTTGTCCGTTGTCTTATCTTCTAGGTCATTTATTTTATTATTTTTTTAATTTCAATTTTCTTCATTACCTTCTATATTAAGGCCTTCGTCTTCCAGATCAATATTTCCCTGGACTTCATCGTCAGAATCGCTCGCTTCTTCCTCAAAATCAGCGTCAGTATCTATAAGATAAAGGTCCCGTTTTTCATAATAATCAAGTTCGTTGAAATCCGAATTTTTGCACCATTCCGTGACATAAAGTTTGTTCTTTTCCAGCTCAACTTCAAACCGTGCTTTTATGAAGCAGAAAATGTTATCACGGAAGTTGTTTTCTTCATCCTCTTCATGAAGAACGCCAAGACAATAAAATTTAGATCGTTCTTCTTGATTCTCTTGAGTTTGAACTTGAAAAAAATCTGGCGATCGCCTCAGATAGTAGACCTGATTGTGCACAACTCCGAAACCAATTGAATCGAAGGTTTGTTCTGATGGAGACTCTTTGAAGTAAAGACAATCTCTCGGCGGTATATAATTCATACAACTTATCATGATATTATGGCCAGGGAAAAGGTATTTGTTTGCTTTCTTATTTTTCCAAGAAATATGAATGAAGTGGTCGGTCCCATCCCGCCTGGTACTTTCTCCCATGAATATTGTTGTCTTACAGCGTTCCACAAGGAGCAGATCATTTTCGTCAATCCAGATCATCCAGAAGTTCGACCAGACCGGAACTTCTGGCAGAGACTGAGACCAAACAAGGTCGTCATTTTCATAAGCTACGAAATTCTTCTCTCTCCCATCTTCATAATACTTCAGTCGTTTTGTTCTTGATAAACGATATTTTTTTTCTTTGGACATTTTTCGAAAAAAAAATCCAAAAATTCAAGAGAAGGAATGATTCTTCTGGAATATTATCTTTTTGAAAATGTTCCTCTGCTTTTTGAAAGTGCCACCGACCTTATAAAATATTCTATATCAATTTTGCGGCAACGATACAGCAAAAACTAAGATTTAGAATTTCCTACGATTAGGAATTGTTACTTTGCTGTCAATATTTTTGAATGAACAAAACAAGTTATTTTTTTATAAAATTTATATTACAGTCTGGTTTCAAGCTTGAGGCTATGCAGTTTGTCACAAAAGTGTACAGTTAGTTTTTCATTTGGACAGTTTTGTTTTTCTTTCGAATCTGTTAATAATTGAATGAATTTCGTTGTTTTTTACACAAAGCTGCATTTTCGCTTATTTTTGGGAAGGAATCTTGTGCTTTTCTTTTTGTTAGTTAGTCGGAGTTTTTTGTTAAAGTGAGGGGGACCGTCAAAAATATCGGTTTTTGTCGTTTTCGAGAATTGTTAAAAATTTACTTTTTTGAAAAAAACTATTTTTAGATTTTTTATTTCGCAAGTTTTTCGATTCTTGAATTTATTCAGAGTCAAAAATTAAGGAAAAACTTTAAGGTTCAGAGCGACCAATCAAAATGCTTTATTAAGCAAATTGACCAATTATATGACAGAAAATTTTGTCGCTCTTTTCGACCGAAATTTTGTTGATGAGTCATCTATGATTTTTTTTTGATTTTTTGAAAACCGAATATTTTAAAAATAAATTAATAAAACAAGGCAAAATTGTGAAAATTGGAAGTTAAAATGGAAAGGAGTGAGAAAAATGTTCGAGGAAAAAGGGGGTTTACAAAGGCACTTCTCGGTCGGTTTCGCACTGGGAAATGTCGGTCGTCGAGTAGAAGGAGTCTTTTTGGGAGGCCAGGTCGGCGAGATTCTTGCGTCGATGGCGCGCGTTCGACAGCGCGATGCCTGAAAAGGGTCAGTTTGGTAAATCACAACAACGCTAATTTGAAGGGCTGAGACATCGAAAAATGTCAACCGGAATGTTGTTATGCTTTCGATCGCGAATTCTAGCAGTGCTTTCGAATCGTTATTCAGGTCAAAATGGGGACAGAAACAATCAAAAAAGTCGAAAAAAAATAATTTAAGACATACTTTTAGTGATGGATTCAGTTTCGTCCACGGAAGCAGATGAGTATCCTGTGCCGCGAGATTCGGTGTCGGACGTGTAGCAAGTCGAAGCAGCTTCAATTGCAAATAGTTTGAAACACTCATCTTTCAGAATGAACTTACCGAGTGAAGTGCCGTCTGATTGGTCGAAAGTGCTGTCCAATGCAGAGCTCGAAAAGACGCTCTCTTGCGCCACACTCGGGCACGTGTCCTTCAGCATCGACATGATGTCGTCCAAAATATTCATCGAGCCAATTTTCGACTCGATATCCGCGAAAATGTCCTCGCTGCTGGTCGATTTTCGCATCGGACTGGCGGCTCGAGCGCGCTCTGGAATTTCGCGAACGACTGAGAGTTTCGCGTCGCGGGAAAGATGACGTTGAGATTTTTCGCGCTTGAGGATTTCCGCGGTTGTGCAGACGATTCGTTGGGACTCGTCTATCGTGAAACATTCGTCTCTAGAATTTGGTTTTAGACAAGAAGCAAAGACTTTTGACAGTTTTCTAGAAGTTTTCTCAAAAAATCAAAAAGCCGCATGCGGCTTCGAACAAAAGGATATTTTAGCCGCAGAAAACGCGGCTGAATGTGTTTTGCATACTCGAAGCCGCAAGCGGCTTCTCGATTTTTAGCAATTTTTGTTGAAATCAAGGAAGAAAACCAAGATTCTAGTCAAAAATTCACATGTTGGTCAAACAAGAATGCTCTAGAAACAGAATAGTAGCAGCAAGATAAGCCCACTTTAATTAAATTTCTTGAACTTTTCTGATAATCTCATCCGGATCGCTGAGGCGTCAGGCGGATTTTTAGCCGCGCTCGGAGGAGCAAAAGATGGCGAGTTTCGGATTTAATGATTTTGTTGAAAAGTAAGAAATTGCTGATAAGTAACTATTACAGTTTTTTTCGCGATAAAAGTCGAGATGAACTTTTTCAGCCGAACTCTCAAAATCGAGAAGCCGCTTGCGGCTTCGAGCCGAAAAATGGAAGAAGGAAAAAAAATTGAAATCGCTTCCTAAGGCGGCTTTTTTCGCCTCGAAAAAAAAATTAAAATTGCGGCTCGTTTTTTTATCATGAAAAAAGCCGCTTGCGGCTTCCCGTAAAAATATTTATCATTTTTTTTCGATCAATTTTTTGAGCCGCGCGCGGCCCTGATTTTTACCTTTCTTTGTCGACTCCAGCTGTATGAGTGTAGTCAATCGGTTTGCTGATTGCCAATTTGTTCGCCTTGATCTTCTTCGTTTTCGTTTTCAAGTTAATCGGCGCGATGTTCCACTTTTTGCTCTTTTCCCTCAAATTTTCGGTCGACTTCGACCATCTTGAAAGCAGCGACATTCTATTGTTTCTTTCGATTTCGGATTGAGTTTTCTGAGTTTCTTCTTTTTCGTGAAGTTTTCCGCTTTCCGCTTATCTTCTTTCTTCTGTCACGTGAGTAATAGTCAGTCAGCTGTCTAAACAAAAAGTTCAGCAAAAATTCAGCAACGGGCGGGTTTTTTTTTCTAGCGCTCGAAACTGCGTGAAATCAAAAATTCAAAATAATTCGTAACGTTGAAATTGGGAACGTTACGCGTCAAAATATTTTGGCGTTTGTTCAAAAATTCTTTCAGAGAAAAGTTTGAAATCGGATTATGTCAGAAGTTGGGGGTTGGAATTTCAGAGCGTAATTGCGATCCGAGGGGGTTGAAGGTAAAAATAACAGACTTTTTTAATGAACGGCTCAATCAAATTTAAAGGCTTCAACACTCGGCTCGAAAACCTTAATAAGGGCCAAAAAATATTTTCTAAAAAGCCGACTAGCGGCTTTCTTAGTAAAGAAGCCGCAAAGCGGCTTGGCGAAAATATTGAGTAAAATCCAAAAATCAATTTCGCGACGCCCCTCTGTTTAAAAAAGCCGCTTGCGGCTCTGATGAGAAATTAAAGAATAGCCGCACTTTCTGCGGCTTCTCCTTATTTCTGACTCAAAGCCGCAAGCGGCTTTTTTTAAAGGCTTTTTATTCAGAAAAAGCCTCAAGAAAAATGCTTCTTTTGCGAAGCCGCTTTGTTAAAAAAAAGCCGCTTGCGGCTTTGATCAAAAATAAAAAGAAAAGCTGCATTTTCCGCGTCTTCTTTTTATTTTTGACTCAAAGCCTCAAGCGGCTTATTGATGGACTTTTTTATTCTCGAAAAGGCTCAAAAAAAAAATTGCTACAGTAATGAATAAAAAACACGATAAAAATTCGTTGAAAAAGGAAGAGCTCCAATCTTTTTGGGCTGGAAAGTGCGACCTCAAAAATTCGTATTGGCGCTGAGATAATCTGCCTTTGTGGGAAGATAATCCCGCAAAGCTCAATTCGCAAATGACCAGTCGCCCGCACCTACTTTCCAAATTTCATGTTCAGAAAGCCCATTTTTCTAGTTTTCTCGCGCAATTTTGAGAAATGGAGTTTTTTTTCTTGAGAACCGAAAAACATGTTCTTGTTATTGCGATTTTGAAATTCTCAAATTTTTGAAAAATTTTCAAAAAAAAAAAATTTTTTTTCATCTTATTTTTTGAAATTTTTCTTGAAAAAATACTTTCGGGTATCAAATATTTTCCAAAAAAATTTTACTTACTTAAGGGTATCTCTCCAAAAAGTCAAAAAAAAAACTGAAAATTGATGTTGAACTTTCCGCGGAACTACAACGAATGAAAAAAAAAAGAATCAAAAACATTTTCAAAGATCGATTTTTTTTTTCGCGCTGCGAAAAATAAACAACATCAAAATTTAAAAATTTTTACAATCATGATCTAAATCGAGAAGAAAAGGAAAGGTAAGACGGGTTGTTTTTCCAGCTGCAAAATATTTTTGACGGAGATTTGATAAAGCTTTTCTATTTATGTAACTTTGGCATTTTATCAGTTTTTCGGAGGGTGCGTCCGGAGCGTAACCTTTTGGGAAACGGCTCGACCGGTTCGAATCAGATCTCCATCTCAAAATTGTATCCCGATCAGTGATATTTCAGCGATTTTATGCTATCGATACTACCGGATAGAGCCGCTAAGGGCACATGATACTGTTTTTCATCGATAATAATATCATTTTTCAAGAAAAAAATCGCGATTTTCTAGCAGTTTTTCCTCTGAATTTCGGCTCGTCAACCAATCAAAAACCTGACTCAGGGTCATAAAAATAATTTTCATGAAAAGCCGCAATTTTATGCTGACCATGTTAGAATTTTTAAAATTGATGTTTTCATCAAAAAATAATAACAGTCATTTTGACTCGAAAAAGATGAGGAACTACTGTAGGAAAAGAAAGTAGAGGGAGTCGTCTTGAACTTTTGGCACACGTTCGGGAGCAGCTGGGGTGCGTTAGACGCGTTTTTTTTCGCCTGAGTCGACAGGTGAATATTCACTTTCTGAAACGTGCCCGGGACCATACTTAACTCAGATTTGACAACGGGTTGAATATTTGAAACCTTATCGTTTTCTCCTCCGCCTCTTTTTTATTTTTTTTGCATATCAATTGAGACTTATGCTTTTGTAAAATTTCTGTACGATAATAAACAAGAGCAAGAATATTGAAAAATTTTATTATTTTTTTAACTAAAAATTTTTATTAATTAAAGTTCTTTATTTAATTTTTATTGCGTAAAATAACATAAAAATCGGGAAGAAAAAGGCTTTCTCTAGAAAAAAGTCTGAAAGCCGCTTCAGGGAAACAACTTTCTTTTTTAGCCAGAAAAATTGAATTAAATTATATTTCAATTAAATTTTCTGTTTGCAAAGAAACAAATTAAACACTCTTTGTTCCTTGTTTTGCCAAAAATATCCTGCCTCGGGTTTTCTTATTCTGCAGAATCTGGATACTCTGGGCGCACTTTGCTTCGCTTTCTTATCGCTATTTGTACACCCTTTGCCGTATTTGGTATCTAAGCTTAAAACATGATACTCAAGTAGCAGCGATCTGCAAAAACGTGAGACATTTCTTTTTTCTTACAAGTAGATATGTATAGACTTTCTTGTAAGTTAGATTTGGCTCAAAACTTGTACTTGAGTTGGCAGACAAATGCAAATGATTCGGTTATGATTTCAGCTTTGTTTCTCGAAAGACAACTCTAGAATAATTTAAAACGGTCGAAAAGCCGCTTGCGGCTTCGAGCAAAAAAACGTTATAGCCGCACATTGCGCGGCTAATACATCTACGGCTCGAAACCGCAAGCGGCTTTTATATATTCTCTCGATATTTGAGGGAAAATAATCTTTTATTAATTAAAATTTCTAATTAATAAAATCATTGAAATTTTAAAATTTTGAGAAATAGATCTCCCAAATTATAAAAGTTCGAAAAAGATATTTCTTCTGTAAAAAATTCTGTACAAAAGTTCGCCTCAGTTAAACCCTAAAACACGAATCAAAAAAGTGATTTGACAAAGTTGCCTCTTGGGCGGTTTTCGTCAAGTGTTCAGAAGCACGGGTCCAGGAAGCGAGCTCCTGGGAGCGCGCATTTAGAGAGCCCGGCCAACTGTCCCCCTAAAAGGAGAATTGAGTGCTTCCAGTTGTTGAGGGGCTCTCTCTTTTCTCCCATTTGTAAAAATGTTTAGTGCTGAAGTTCGCGAGTTGGCAAAATAGTAAACGCCACAAGTTGAAAGATGACGTTTGCGGAGACAACAAACGGTCAGAGGTGTTTGACATTAAAAATATTCTAGAGCAAAGAGACAAAGACGCGTAAGATCAATTCCATTAGAAGTTGGGTGCAATTTGATTGCGAAAAAAGAAACATCGGAAAACTTGCTTTTCAAGCTGACTTCTGAATTTCAGTAAGCTGGAATGAAGAGCCGCGAAGCGGCTTTTTTAAAAACTTAGCCGCGAAGTGGCTTCGCGAAAATTTTCGAATACATTTTAATTTTTATATTCCGAAGCGGCTTCGCGGCTTCGTCTTTCAAAAAGCCGCTACGCGGCTTTTGATTGAAATTCTTCAAAACCTTCAAAAAAAGACTAAACATTCTATTCGCTCGTAAGAGCTCTTTAATTTCACGAAAAGATGATTTAATTTCACAAACATATCAACCCGACCCTGCCGCTCGAGTGGCGCTACATCAAACGGTTAGTCGAACTCGATCTGGGCCTGGACGCCAACCGGAGCTCCCGCGGCGCTTATCGGCTTAGCCGAAACTCGACCCAACTCTCGCCAAAAAGACAGATTTAAAACCGTCACAAACAAACACATACTCAAATCGAATTCGCGCCAAGAATTTGCTAAAAAAACGAGAAGTCGCTTGCGGCTTCTAGAAAAAAAAAACAATGAAAAAGCCGCGCTTCGCGCGGCTAAAATTGTTTTCTGACTCGAAGCCGCAAGCGGCTTCTCGATAAATTTTTTTTCGTATTTTTTCCAGAAGCGGAGAAAAACCCACGTATGCTGGAATTTACGTTTCCTAGGTCGTGTCACTAACGGTCGGGGAAAATTGGCACATAGCTTACGTAGCCGCAAGAAGTAAAGCGAGGGGCCAATGTCCGACGACCGGTTGCAGGAAGTCTTAAGCAGGATCATTAGCCGCCAGTGGTTGGCGTAGATAACAATCGAACTCTCTTTTTTTCTTGCTCAATTTTTCTGTTCAGTCTACCATATTCATGGTCCATGAATTAAGGACCCCTCTGTCAAATACAAAGATTTTTTCAAACAGTCATTTCGGAGTGATACCCTTAAGTATTTTTGAAATTTTTTCGCTTCCCATATAGCCCGATAGTTGTTCTAGGGCAAGGATGTGTTAGCACGCTCGGTCAATTCTTAAGGGTGTCTCTACAATAGAATAAAGTTTAAAAGTTTTTCTTGGAAAAAAATTTGAAGGAAGATGAAAAAAATGACTCGAGCGTCATTTCAAATGAGCTGTTTTCTAAAAGCGATTTTCAGCGGTGAAAACGCGCCTCGAGTCCTCCATCAAATGTCTTTGGAGAGGGAAATTTAACGCGCCATAATCGCCAAGCTAATTCTAAACTTTGCGCTTACCATGCTGTCACCAATTTGACTTCGCCTCTAAAGTCGACTCGTCAATATCTGAGCGCTTATCGCCGTTTTCTTGTCAAGCTGAAATTTTATCAGGTGTTCTCTTTCGCGTTTCGGTACTGTTTTGTCGGCAACAGGAAGAAGTTAAAGCAAAGTTCAACCTTCTATTTTTGACTTTTTACAGTAGTTTCTCAAACCAACGAATTCTTTTTTATCTAAAAAGAAAAGTAAGACAATATTGAATTAAACGAATTATGATTGGCGGTAAAATAGAAAACAGCGCCCCCATTATGATTTTTCTCGATTCTGATTGGATCAAAAAACAGGATTTCTTGAAAAAAGAGATAATTCGACAAAAAATGCAATATTCTT